AAAGAGTGTTTATATTATTTATTATCAACAACCGTTCCTCTATCACAGCTCATTCGCATATTTGGTTTTTGACATGATAAAGCTTTTATGTGTAATTTCTTAAATCAGTATTATCGTTAAGGCAGTAATAAATAAGATGATAAACTTATCAGACCGCTGGGCATAAATGATTAAAAGTAGGTCAAACCACAACTATGCTGTTATCACGTTGCTCTGACGCCTTGAGTTCTCCTCAAGAACAAAAGCTAATGGTCATATAAAAATGCCATGTTTGATCATCTTCACAGATCTAAACCATCTCCTTAGGGAGGGGATGGTGAGGAATCTTATTATTTGCTCGTATTGTGCATTCGAAGCAACGGCACTGGATTTATTTTTAATTCTTGTGGCGATTTGCAATTTAAAATTGCTCCTTTCCCTACTTTGCATAGATTTTGGACATTTTCTAACTTTGCGTTACCATGAGAAATTCTTGATATCGCAAAGAGATAATCAGTACTGGCTTAAAACTTCTTAAAGGGAAGTTTGAACAGGTCTTAATCGCAGTCGTCGCCTGATTGCCAAGAAATCTGCCTCTTTGTTACGTGTTTGATGTTATTCCGAGGATAATCTCTTGGATGTACTTACATCAATTGCACAACACAGTGTATGTCAGTAGCCCACTTTACAAAAGAGTACCGTTTATCCAGACGGAAAGCGAGGCTGCCATTGAAAACGCTTCCAAAGATGAAGCCTAGAGATTGTCCACCAAAAGGCTGTTCAGTTTCATTGATCTGTTTTTGAAACACTGTTTGTGTAAGTTAAATGTTGTTCATCCGCTTTAAAATATACGTATGATCCGCAGTGTTTTCTTTGTAAAGATATCAACTTGAAACCTTAGAAATCTAACTCCATTTTTTTCCTGCCTCTCAAGAAAGGATTTCATGGATTTGTCGATTTGCCTTTTCAATCTGCGCTGTTCAAGGGTAATTATTGATAAGCCTGGATGACTTAAAGTTTCCTTGGGTGATTTTAAAAGCAGGTAATTCCTAAAAGCAAAAGATAAAAGTTTAAATCTAAGGATAACGAGCGGAAACGACTGACGAAGGTCAACTGCGTTTTATCAGCCAAATGAGTTTAGACGTACCAAGAGCGTGGATTTGGTGTGAATTTCGGACACACTGTAGTCCCACTCTAATTGAGCTATGAGAGAATATGACTGACCTCACGAAAGATTTCTGTAGAGCTTCGGTTCACCATTGCACTGCAAAATCCGAATGTTTTTGGGTTCGAATTCCAACTTTCGTGATTTGTGTTTACTTCTTAGGGGTTGAACTACAGAATCAAATTTCACCTTTAGGGTGGGGCCTCACTGCCGAGTGAATTTCAACCAGTTTCAACAGTGAGGCCTTACGCTGAATATCAAAATCCCGAAGTTCGAAAAAAAATCTATCAAAGGTTTTTCAGACCGTCCTAAGAACTGTTAGCCAGGATTTCCCCATAAAATTATCATAACATTAACGATTGCCATCCCCGGCCCATAATTTTAAATTTCCATCCTTGGGTCAACGCACGTGTGAAAATCTTGGAAAGCGCCACTGGATAGAGTTGGTGTTTTAAGCACTCTGAATATAGCCAGTCAGCTAAGCTAAAAAAAGACTGTATCCAGCCACCTTAAGCAATTAAATTTATGCACATTTCGTACAAAACCACCGCCTAAGCTAGTTACTCATTTAGGAAAAAATTAGCACCTACTTGTCCCAAAATAAGATCGTGAAATAGTCTTCGTTCTTAATAGAACAGAATAGAATGGAATTGTGTCCTTGATTGAATTAAGTGCCTTCAGTCGAAACCTCCTAGAGAGACAGATTTGCCTCAGTTAGTACTTTATGAGTGGAATGCCCCATGAAGGAACAAGACTACTAGAAAAAACCTATGAATCATTCTTAAAAAACTGTCGACATTTTAATGGTGAGCACGATTGGTTAAGTTTGAGTTCTTATGACATAACTGCATTGTTAACTGAACCAAACTAATCTTGTACGTGAGGTCACTTGCGATTGTGCGAAGGCAGAAGGACTTGAAGAGGTTCGTTTGAAAATCACTAATAGATTATTCCGTTCATAGTGAGCGTGGAGTGCATAGTTTCTTCACCCTTAAGACTTTTTAGTTCAATTAATCATGGTACCATTTGTGAATTTATCTGACTGCAGCTAGAAGGGCGTTTTCCATTCATCTCACAAAACCGATCGACCATTCTAGACGCAATGCATTCCACTCTCGTAATTAGCAACTTCACTCGATCCTGACTGACTCACTGAATCATTAAGGAGTGATTTATCATTTTATCGCTATCTTTCGAGTCGAGTCAAACGGCAAAGTAAGACATGCTCGATCGATGCTCGAACGCTTTGCTTCACTGTTACAGTTATCTCCGAGTCTTTGGTTTAAATTTCATAACAATTCAATGAAGGTAACAGATGCTGTTCTAATTAGATCTTGTTAGGGTTGGTTTTCTCCGCAGCTGAACAAGAAAGTATCCGGCAAGGAGTTCAATAATCTTCTTAACATTCTTTTAAAAAAATGCGATATCTATACAACGGATTTTTTTTTTATAAATCGGTTTACAACTTTCCTGCAACTTATATAACTGGGAATTGGCTTTTGTCGGGCGAATAAATTCTCGCCTCTGCCGTTTCGTTGTGCAATTTATTTATGAACATCAAGTTTTATTCGAGGATAGTTCGCTTTCTGACAGGCGCTTATGTGATTGAAACGTATTTTACGTCAGCACTTTTATAAATATACAGAACCTCGATGCTACAAATAGAATGAGAACACGTGGTATCTTGAAATCTTTCAGCTAATACTAGGTTCTAGGTATCGAGTTTCTTTCAGACATTCTAAAGTACGGTAAACGTCTTCAACGACAATGAAGGTTGGGTAGGATATTGGACATACACAGCATTTACTCGTATGGATAAATATATATACAAACATGGCGCTTATGTTGGTGAGGTTGTGATTTCAGTTCTTTGCAAATTAAGAGGAACAAAAGATAAAAAAAATACTTCAACCTCCTCTTGCCCTTCAGTTGAGCTTTTCTTATAGAGGTGAATGTAGAAAAGAAATTAGAAGTTTAAGGCTCAGTGGCATGGAAAAATTAAATCTTTTTCACTAACATGGTCACATGGTAAATTCAGAGGTGACAATCGCCGCGCATACTACAAAGATCAGCAATGTGGAAAATAGATAAGGAAGAAAAAGGGATACATTATGTGCTCGGTTATCGACTGAAAACACCACTGATCTTAGCCTCGTAAAACGCTCGTCAGTTGTGAACTATAACAGTCGAACCTGTATTAAGCGGTCACCTACAGGGAATGAATGACCACTTAATACAGGTTCCACAGATTAGGGGCATTGTAAAAAACGTTGAACAACTCCTCCTTATGCCATAATTGACCATTTCATGTACAGAATCTCGCTCGAATATACAACTTACTTTGATTTTGGGAGGAAAACATGAAATAAAAGTTACTTGACGTAAAAATTACAGTGATAAATGGGAAACAAATTGGGGACTTTGACAACTGACCGCTAAATACAGGGTGACCGCTTAATTCAGGTTCGAATGTATGTGAATGAGCTCACTAATGATTTCTGTGTATTTAAAAGGTTCACCACTGCATTGCGAAATCCGAAGGTTTTAAGATTCAAGTTCTCTTTGTTAAATTACCCTGAGCACTTGAGACAAAAATGAAAGGGAATTTTTTATCACAAGGGCATCTAAGTCGGAGAAATGAAGTCAAGTTTTGGGTTTCAACTAATTATGTTGAAAGGAAGCGGTACTTGAAGTGACATGTTAAAAAAATTGTCCATTTTTTTTTTCACTGAAAGCGCTTTCTGCGGAAGCCTATTACACTCTATTAATGAGATCCTGCTTTCTACTGATAAATTGTCAAACACATTAATGGCTTTGTTCACCTGCAACAATGATGTTTTTTAAAAAAACCTGTTAAAGAATTCACTGATGGTTCATTAATTAATTACTCGTGATTTATTTAAAAACCATTAAAGAGATTTGAATACTGCCATTTACCACGCTGACGGATTAACATCAATTTTCGAGAGGCCTTACGTACTGTTTTAAAATCGTCTGGTGTTTATGAAAATGACTGATTATCAGGGGATAGTTCAAAGTTCAGGGTTTGTTTCATGCACCATTGTTGGCAAGTTGTGGATGATAAGAGTTGCAGACAAAACCTCGATAACAATGATTTATTTCAGTTTGCTCGCACTGAAGTCAATTATAAATCTTTGCGATCCCTACTCAACAACTGCTGACATGTAGAAAAACAAAAGAAGGACGCAAAAAGAAATAAGAACAACCAAAATAAAAAAAAAGCTGCGAGCTTCTTAGAGTGTATGATTCTAGATTATTCCCTTAGCGCTTCTAAAGTAAGGCAATCGAATTCAATGGCTTTTTTCTCTGGAACTGCAAAACGTTTGTCTTGTTATTGTTCAGCCACCCTGAAACGTGACTTCGGTGAACGGAAGTTTAGATGCATAGGTATGGTTGGCAGTCTTTGGTAACTATTTCAAGAACGATCATCTCTCAAAAAGCTTAAATAAGTTATTCAAAGACATCTTTTATTCACACATCCGCCCTTTCCGATCAAGTTTTGTTTCTCATTCTTAGATATCAGGCATCACGCCTTTTCAAAGGTGTAAAAGTTTGCATTTTTAAATACTTAAAGCAATTTGGAACAGCTGTGAAGGGGGTCATGTTATCGTAGTAAAAGATCTTTCCAGTCGAATTCCTGATAAAAGGCTAATTTGAGTATATTTTTAAGTCACAAGGTATGCATAAAGTTATTACAATTTTGGTTAGACTCGAGAAGTCTCGTGTTATCTTAATTAAGTCGACGAAAGATTGAAGCAACTCAATACATTGTTTAGAAATTACATAACTTACATTTTATTGATGACATGTAACTGGTTTCTTTGTTTAGAGCAAAATGTGGCTTCAGATCTCGTGGATTCTCTTGATGACTACAATGTTGTTGTCAAATGCTGAACTGCCGAGTGACAATGACAATGAAGGTAATTTAATGGAGTTGTATCAGTCGGGATTAAAGAGTAATCCGCTATGAAAATTTTACAGTGTCTTGAGGCAGACATTTCTAGAGATCTTGTAACTACGAAATTTTGGGGTCAGGGCAGTGTTCGTTTCAGAGTAATGAAACAAATACGATGTGGAACACAATTTCAACGAAGCAGCTAAGCTATGTCACCTAAATCGAGGCTGCACGACAAAGATTTTTGTATCTACAATAGTTGATTGACAATTTTGAAATTTACCCGTGTTAGTGCGGTACAAAAAATAATATAAACAGTCACGGCACTGGGACACTTGAATGTTCATTATTTTTTCCGTACAAAACTCTTGCTTCAAACACGTTTGTCTTTTTGAGCGAGAAACGGGAGAGTCTAGAATCCGACTGATGACCGATGCTGACCCCACTTTGCGTAAAACTTCCTTCATCTCTTGGAGTAAAGAAAAAACGTCACACTCTGCAAACTGCAGGCCAGGAGTATCTCGGTGTTAGCTGACGGCTCAGTCAGGATTTCGGGGTTGCAAGCTTACAGTGGCGCATAAGTCTTCTCGTTGCTTTAACTTTCAATCGAGGCACGGGAAGTGAAGAGGGGAGTTTTCTCCTATGCGAACTTTGAGTAGCCTCAGAAGATCACAAGAATAATAATCTTTGTACTGTTCCCTAACTAACTTACATATCATTACAAAAGATGAAATTAGACTACTGGGAATAACCCCAGGGGATAGCGTTAGCGAAAGTAGACAGCGAATAGGGATTGGGTTATTGAGCCGCTAGTTGGTAAACAGATCTATATTTAGACCATAATGGTTTTGAGTCGATATTGATTTTCAGGGGAATCACAGGAGGGAAGAAAAGTATTTGTGTCTTAATGCAACAACAAAAACAACAACAAAGAACATTCGAGCGAATTTTCAAGCAAATTTTGTTATTCTTTTTTCAAAACTGAAGCGAAAAACCTGATGGATTTGCAACCCAAGTACACTTTTCAGAGGCCAGATCGGCTGAAAACGGTTGTGGAGAATGACATGGTTTTGTATGAACCAGAGTCAGGATTTGGAGAACTGGTGGATAAGCACAAACTGAGAGTTCAGAGGAGTTCCACACTTTCAGGGTGTGGGGGTCCTTTACTGATGAAGTTATTTTTTTTTTCTTTGCTTCGAGATGGAAGGAACATACCCCCCCCCTAGGATCCCCTCCCTTGGCTGTGACTTAAGTTCATTGTTATTGCATTTCTTGACAGAAGAGAACTCCAGTCCAAGGAGCATGCCGGATTTCTGGTTGTTTGGCGACATTAAACTTACAGATCATCAAAAAGTTCTACTTGATGTGCCTGAAGGTGCGAAGGATAAATTCGGTTTTCCACGAAAACCCCCAGCTGCCACACGAGAGAAAACCTTGCTGTGGGATAATGGAGTTATACCGTATGAGTTTGACTGCAGCTTGCGTAAGTGATTCAGAAATTACAGAACCGCATCAACAAGGACGTTTTTGAGCTACGGAGTACATCTGAACATCTGATGTTCTCTCGAGCGGCTCACTTTTGTAGATAGCATCACCCCATTGCTGAGCGCGATCGACCAGTGGTAGGGCATTGCTGGAAGCAATCAGTCGAATTTGATTTTTCTCAGCCTTCTAAGAAACTTCTTCCTAAGAAACTTCTCTTATATAAAGCTACAGATTTAGTGTTTACAAAGTCAAGGCTGAAATTTATAGGCAAAGAAGTCCTCTGCAACGGATTGCTGTGTGTTCAATGCGCGCCAATGAAAGAGATCAAATTCGTAGCTCAAAGCGTCACTGCTTTTCAAAGCTCAACTCAAAAGTCTAAATGTTGGAAGTCGAGGATTGTCATTTACTTCTTGCAAATTCTCTTAGAAGTTAAAACCAAGTTACATGAAATTACTAACAAGTTATCATGATTTTCATGTAATTTATCCTCCACGCTACTGTTAGCTGTTGTTTTATTATTTGAGTTTTGCATGCAGCTTAGTATCAAGTTGACGAATTCATGTAAGGAACTAAATTTCTCTAAATGTCAGTTAGTAAACGTGAAAATTTCCAGCCATTTCTCCGCTATTTCTATTGATGATCAGTGAGAGACAAAGACGAAAGGGATTTCCTTCTTGTTTACCAACGGGTTTCTAAGCGTCAGTTACCGGCAGTCTACAGCCGCTTGTGAAATCTCTCAACGCCGTCCATTTTAGCTTACGAGCAAGCTATCGCATTTGGATTTTACCTTGCGATTTTACCTTGTTTGAGATCATTTAAAAATTAAATTATAACATATTTTTTTTATTGTCCTACTTTTATTGCTACACAGAAAACATGCCAGAACTGCAAAGAATAATCCGACTGGCTATGAATGACTGGGAATCGAAAACCTGCATCAAGTTTATAGAAAGAACCAACGAGAAGGATTACGTCAATTTCTTTCGAGGAACTCAGTAAGAAAAATGGTTTTTTTTGGATCAAAGTGTTTGTGACCATGTTTTAATTCTAGCAATCGTTTAATCGAGTTATTGTTTGATATGCGCACATCTTTTCGACTTTTAATGTTTGACTTCGTTTTCCATCCCTCTTTCGACCTGCATCCAGTTGTTACGGCACAGTAGGCAAGGCTCGAAATGAACGCCGGGAAGTGTCTGTCGGATTCGGGTGCGAGTACCATCACGTGATGGCACATGAGCTAGGTCACGTGATTGGATTTTGGCACGAACAGAGCAGACCCGACAGAGACGAGTACGTGAAGATAATTTGGAAAAACGTGAACAGAGGTAGATGAAATGAATTCGGTTATGTTTTCCCTTTTTCATAGAATTTTAGATATTAGCTCGGTCATGACTACTCTAACTTTTAGAAAGAGCTGGATGGTAATAAGGTGTTCAGCTTCACGCAGTAAACTGGAGAAACTGGCTCATTTTGCTCATGAGACACTGCTCGTATCTGCATTCCGACGTAAAGGGTTGTTTAGAATCAATTTACTTCTTCTTCGATCACAGGCTGGGAACACGCATTCCTCAAACAGACGTGGCAAGCTGTGGACTCTTTCGATACGCCGTATGATTACAACAGCATCATGCACTACCGACTGAACGCTTTTTCGCGATCAAGGAGAAGAAAAACAATTATACCCCTGAAGAAGGATGCGCACAAAGTCCGGCCCTACAGAAAGATATCAAAGATTGACGCGATTCAGGTTAAAAGGATGTACAATTGTGATGGTAAGACTTTCTTAGCTCTAAAAAAAATCGGAATCTAATTTTAACGTGCCAGCGTTATTGCAGACAGATTTGTAGGACGGAAGTGGTTAGACTCCCGAACCCCAAGTGAACTGAGTACAAGCTGTTACGCCGCAAAATGTAACATTAACGCGAAATGTAACAACTTTTGACGCGAAATGTAACATTAACCCGAAATGTAATTTCGACAATTTACACTTTATTTACAATGCTCATGTCCAAGTCTCTCAGTTATTTCAAGGCTGTAACATTTTGCTTGTTACATTTCGCGTTAAAAATGTTGTTACATTTCGCGTTAAAAAGTTGTTACATTTTGCGTCAAAAGTTGTTACATTTTTCGTCAAAAGTTGTTACATTTCTCGGCGTAACACAAGCCCCTTCCCGGGCGAGGTCACAATTACTGTGATCTGAGAAAAACGCGTTGACGGTGAATTCATAGGGACAATTAAAAACATTTCATAATCTTTGACAACTTTCTTTTAGTTAGCTCTCTCTTCAAACCGAAATCAGATGTTGAGCAATCACGTTTTAGTCGCTGTGGTTACGTTTGTCTTACATGTTTGAAACACTGGCATACATTTCTTGGATTGCGGCCCGTTTAAGTAGAAGAGATACCACTACGCTTGCCAAACGAAAGGGAGATTGACTATCTTTCCATCATGTTGTGTATGTAGTGTCTGTTGATCTGTTTGTCGCTGTAAATTGTTCAGTGACATCATTTTGTCTCCTCCCTAGCTAAAAATCAAAGACTTTTGAATAATTCAAGTCTTGAAGCTTTTAGACGAGCGAAAAGAGCCGTTGGCGGAGGAGGATTGGTAACAATCAGAGGATCCAGTCTCCGCTCAAAAGAAGGTAAACATTGCAATACCAACTAAGACAACTTTTTACTCCATAACTATCGCAAATAACAGCGGCAATGTGAGAAGTGAGGAGTCTTCAACTGAAAATATATAAATAACGACTAATCAAGTAAATAATTTCTATAAGATGTCCATGATGCATAATGATTATGACATTTGAATACTGAGGTAATTAACGGTTTTATTTCAACAGAGACAGAGAAAAAGAAAAAGACGACGAAAGATCTAAACTGTAAAGATACAAGTACAGCCTGTCCTTACTGGGCCAAGAAAGGTTTCTGCGAGGCACGGCAGGACATCAAACTCACGCATTGCAGGTTAAGCTGTAACGCCTGTGATGAAGGTAACAACAGTCGAACATGTGTTAAGCGGTAACCCACAGGGAATGATGGGGTGACAGCTAAATATACAGGGTGATCGCTTAACACAGGTTCCACAAATAAGGGGTATTATGATACATTCAACTCACTCTCTCTTTTCTGATTGGCCGAAAGCGTACAGTGAATTTTCGAAATCAGCGTCTGGGAGGTCATCAAGCTGCAGATTATACAAAACACTCAAGGCCACGGGTAATCATGTCATGTATGACCGCAGTGCATGATTTTAAGGGTAATCATGTTAAGTTCGCTCGCTTTGTGTTGCTTGCCGTCAGCGAAGACGCAAAAACTACTAATAAAACAGTTATTAGATTCGGTTTTTAGTGATATCCAGAATAATCAAGGCCTCGGTAAGGGTTATCGTAACCCCAGCCTTGACCTTGATTATTTTGGATATCACAAGAACCGAATCTAATAACTCATTTTTTCTCTTTATTTATTAGCAATTGAGGTTAAACCATCAGAAAAACCTGACGGTGAATGTGTAGATAGAAATGACGCTTGTGAACTCTGGGTAAAAAGCGGATATTGTGAAAGTCGACCAGACATAATGCGCGTGGAATGTAGGAAAAGCTGTCGCATCTGTAGTAAGTTGTCCGTGTCTAACTGTCAAATGATATACAAGGGTAAGAGTGAAAGGGAGGGGAGGGGAGGGAGAGGAGAGTGGGCGAACGACAAGAATGAGCGGCATGTCATGGATTGAACAAAAATGGCACGACTTGAAATTTCCCATCCTTATCACCACCTCCAACAGAAGCAAACGAATCAGGTGATCTGTGCAAAATAGCTAATTACACTCCAGTACTATATATGAGCCGTACAGCCCCGCGCATGACTATTTGAGGGCTGTAAGCAATGAAAGTGGGGACGTACAAAGCCATTCGACCCCGCGAGAAAAGAAGAAAGGAAGAAAGAGAACGGGGGGCGGTTATTTTACAAATATTTGAATGAGACAAGTTGAGCCGGACTTGATCCTGACTAACCTTGAGACCGATATTAAACCTTCCAGCCCTCCGACTCTGTACACTTTACTGATTCACGTGCACTTTACACTTTGCACTTCACACTCTGCACTTTACACTTTGCACTTTGCACTTTGCACTTTGCACTTTGCACTTTGCACTTTGCACTTTGCACTTTGCACTTTGCACTTTGCACTTTGCACTTTGCACTTTGCACTTTGCACTTAACACTTTACACTCTACTGCACTGTACACTTCACCGACTCACGTGGCGGCCAAACGCATCCCTCCCTTCCAGTTAATAGGTACATAGTATCAACTTGGTAGAAAGCTCTAATGGTCACAACTCATTGTTTGGAGGGGGGGGGGTGTGGAGGTATTGAAAAAAAGGTAACATTGACGCTAACTGTTACCCTTAAGAGATGCCATGAATTTCTTTGATTCATTGTTAGCTGACGAGAAATGTATCGACATGGATCCACGTTGCCGTGCCTGGTCCAGGTGGAAATATTGCATCGATAAGGCACATAAGAACGTTATGATGCAGGCGTGCAGGAGAAGCTGTGGATTTTGCGTGGCTGGTAAGAGACTTTCTCATCCAATGTACCGGTTCTTTTTATTACTTTGGACGAGATTTTTCCCACTCTCTCAAGACCAGTCTATGTTCCTCTCTTAGAGGGGAGGAGAATCATGGGCTCCAGGCTCTTACGAGCTCATCAAATTACGGGTATTCCGTCGATTCACAATTTTTGTTTGCATTTTTATCGTCTAAAAAAACTTGCGCCCCTCTCTCAACCAATCAGATGCGAAACTAAAACCAATTACGTCTTGGTCACCCGCGCTTTTGGCAGTTTGCCCGTTTTCACTTTGAGTACTGCTTGGCACTTTAGGTTATTTTTGTTCCTGTGGATTGGTCGTTGTGACTACCTCGGTTTTGGGGTAACGAAACTCAATTTAGAAGTGTTCTGACGTAACGAGAATTCCAATTTTGATCGTAGAAACCCATGACTGCAGGGATCGTTTGAAATATCGCTGCAAAAGGCTAAAAGACGAAGGATACTGCGAATCAAAGAAACCAAACGAGCGAAACTCCATGAGAAATATGTGCGCTTTGACCTGCAACTTTTGTTGTAAGTGTGTGAATTTATACATATGTAGAAAATGGATAATTAAAAACTTGAAAAGCGACTTTGGATGACACCATTTTAACCGCACAGTTTAAGTCAGTGTTTCGCACAGAAGAAGTAACTGTAAGAACTTAGGGTATACAGTATACAATTTATATTATTTTATTGTTTTTATTGTAGTTGCTATTTTTTTGTCTTGTTTATACAACTTATTCAGGAGAAATTAAGCTAAACTTGGGACATCTTAACTACCAGTCACCAATTTTTTCGAGCAATTTTTTTTTTAACGACGTTTACAAACGGTGACTTATAATTTCAGACCGTTGGCAAGTTGCAAACAAGCAATTTCAAAAAGGCCTACAAACAAAGTACATTCCCTCTTTTAATATTTCTTGAACTCCAGACAAAGATGTAACCGTGGCAAAAACAAAACCGGCAAGAAGACCTCCTTGTGTGGACACAATGAAAGCCTGTTTCGGTTGGTCAAGGCTTGGTTACTGTTTCGCTGACCACAGAGAGAGTTTCATGCGAGAGTACTGCAAAAGGAGTTGTAACCTGTGTTCTAGCATGAGTCCAGATCACACAAGTAAGTCATTCAGAGCTATTCAGTGACGTGTGTATATCCTAGACTGTATGCAGTTTCTTCTTTGCGGCGAAGTCCGTCGCGCGAGTCAAAAAAACTAATAATGTTAGCGCGCTGAGTGGAAGCTTTGGATTTTATGGCTAAGAGGTTGCTGTTTGATTTTAGCTGAAAAATGTTTAGATAACGACATCATGTGTGAAGAACTGAAGGGCCGCGGATACTGTGAACAGGCGGACAAGAAAAAATACATGGCGTTTCATTGTAAGAGAACTTGTAAACTGTGTAATAGAAAAGAAGGTAAGCCCTTAATATCGAATACAAAACTCTAAATTGTCTATGGCAGAACTTTTTCGTCAATTTGCTCTTCCTTACATAATTCAAGAAGCCTTTGAGCTTGCCTGATTACACATGGCTTCATTTCAACTGACAAAATCAACGGCGAAAAACGCCAACAAAAAGAGTAAATAGCTACTTTAGCAAGCGGGTTAGTGACTTTTGTAATTCAAAACGAGTCAATTAAGTTATCCTCCCTTTCCCCCATCCATCGCGGCCTGTATTTGTCTTCAAAAATCATAGTCGAATACTTATGTGTGTGTAAACATATTCACGCCTGTTTCCCGATAGGAGCACATGTACATTTTATTGCAAATGTTTAGAACAGTCTAGACAGTCAGTGTTTTATTATCTGCTGGATTATATATAGTGAGAACAAAAGAAAATTCATACTTACGCTGTTTGATTTTTTTCTTGTTGATTTTATTAGAGATGCCAGCACCATGCAAGGACAAGTATAAATCCTGTAACGCTTGGGCAGCAAAGGGTGGCTGTCACGTTAGAGCACTGTACATGATGAAATATTGCAAACGGACCTGCAACCTCTGCCGATCGATCGGATTGTACCAGATAAGTAAGTTGCTTACCTCACATTTCTCCTGCCAGCTAAGCCAGATATTGCCTGGATATGCTTCCATTTTCTCATTCAAATGTATCATTTTTTTTCAGAGCCCACGCTTCAAAATTCGCCATGCATTGACAAGCACCCTTTTTGCCCCAGATTGACTGAAAAAGGCTATTGTAATCTTTTTTCTAAATTCATGTACAAGAAATGCCCACTGAGCTGTGAAGCTTGTTACCCAGGTAACGCATTCCTCCAGGTTACTTTTTCTTTGTTTTTCCAGTCTCTTTCGCAGCCGTTCTTTGGGATGTCACGCAACATTGCCGTTTCCCTTGGGTTGAGCGTCGCGTGACATCCCAAAGAATAGCTGCGAAGGAGACGAGTCTTCCTCCAGCCCGTTATCTTCATGGTTGGGCAAAGAGGTGCGAAGCGAAGGTGTGAAAACTAAATTTACGCGGCTCGAGTACTGGACGATGATTGAAGAAGGGAGAACAGTACAGTTTCTTGCGAAGAAATATGTTATAATTATACTTCAGTATGCATTTTTATTACGCTCGAGGACCTTAAGTTTTTTTCAGGGAGGAAATGAGACAGATCAATTTATTTTTTGGTGTAGCAATTTTTTTTTCTACAAGATATTCTTACTGAGGAATTTTCAGCAGATAAAACTTTAGTCGGTATAGTGGCCTCTCTTTTTCTTCTCAAGTAGATAGTATATCTCCGAAAATAAAAGAGAAAAATAGAGAGAGAGAGATGGAGAAAAATATCTGTATTTTCTCTGTGAAGCCTTTGACCCCTAAGAGTGATTAGCATCTAATTTCTCCTTATGATATCTTCCCTGAATCAAATATTAAGGTCACGAGAATAAAAGAAATGATCACCAACTAAAAATGCTCTTCATTGTTGAACAAATTCTCTATGTCAGCACCTTAGTAAACGTAAAGTGTGGAGAAAATGCATAGTGATGTTAGAGTGTAAAAGGGCAACAGACAAACATGTTTTTCATTTGCTTCTCTCCCAGAGGTTGATAAAAAATTGGCAGAGAAATGTAAAAATAAGATGGATGATGCTAACTGTGAGCATTGGGCTGGACTCGGCTACTGTCAAAGCAGGGCTAACTTCATGACTGACAAGTGTCAACATGCCTGCAATTCATGCCCTAAAGGTAACAACTAACTTTGGAGTGAAATCTTGTACCTATATCTTATTTGGCCAAAGGAAGTCTGGGCACAAGACAGTGGTTTTTCTTTAGAAAGCCAATCACTTTTCTCAATAGCAAACTGGGATAAGAGAGGGGGAAAGGGGTTAGACCAAAAGACAGGTAAGCCGAACCCCCCCCCCCCTCCTCTTTCCCGCAAAGTTTTGCTATTGATGTCTTCAGTTTTTCAAGTAAATACTGGTTTTCAACGTGTATCTTACATTTTAGATGAAACTCAAGGAAGAAAGAGGCTGTTTGGAGTACAACTATCAGAGGAAAGATCCTATTTGGTTTTAAGCCCCCCCCCCCCTTGTTGTTCATGTAAAATAAAAAAAATCAAGGAAACACATGATGACGAAGAGCTTACATTGACAAACTAAAGTAAAATGCTTCGTGTTTGTTTTCGTATATTCTTTTCCAGAACCTGTTAAAACTCGACCAGCTAAACCTAAAGGTAAGTTCACTTTAATTTGGTCCTAATTTCAAGATCTCAGGTTGATGAAATTTTCCTGAAGCCCTCAAGGTTTCGGCCAACGTTGGAAATAGTAGCTTTAAGATAAAGCTTCACACTTATTTACTTTTCGTATCCTGGATTGCGACTTATTTCTCTGTTTTTGTTCTTCTTTAGTCGTAGACAATTCTTCCCTCGAGTTCCTTTGCAAATCTAGTACATTGCCTGACTTTACGTTCCTTTCGTAACACCTCATAGGTATAAGGTGTCATGACCCTTGCAAAAAATGGCTCGAGCGAGGACAGTGCACGACTAGATGGCGAAGACGTTGTATTAGGACGTGTTTAACTTTAGGATGTGACGAGGAACCCGTGAGGCCAGAAGGTGAGAAACCATCTTTTCTTTTTTTTTCTTTGCACTATCGTGATAATGCTATCCATCTGATATTGAGAAATTATTGGATGATGTTCAGCATGATATGATGAATTATCAATGCCGAGGTCTGCGTTATCTGCCGAAGCCAAAGGCAGATAACGCTAACAAGAGGCTTGACAATTCATAATATCATGCGAAAACCGAATTCACTAATTATTTTATTACACATTTTTTAAATGAAACAAGCTGGAAAAGAAGGAAGTGCGCTTTGAATTTGCAAAAGTTTGAGAACACAACACGCACGAGGGGCTTGGAAACTAGGCAGATTTTGAACTTGACATGATAACCCAATAGCTGCTGCAGATAGGTGCTTTGACAGCGAATGAGAGACAGAGGTTTCATTAACTCCCATGAGTGACCAAGACAGAATTTCCCCTTGCAATATCTATACAATATCAACCAGATAAGTGATGAGAATAAAGAAGGAGATCAATTGGGGATAATTAGTTGAGCTAATACTAAATTCTCTGAATTAACAATATAAAAGTTGTATGGTTGACAGTAAGGAGAATTACAAATTTAATCTGGGAGTTTAAGGGTTAAAAGCAGGTAACTGGCGGTCTACCGCCGCCCATAAGACCTCCTGCAGCCAGGATCTTGTTTGGGTTTTCCCCTACGGCACAGCCGCCTATGACATCATCGAAAGCCGCCTGTGGAAAAAGTTATCGAAATCCTTGGGAGGGGCCATTGAGTTTTATCAGAAACCAGAGAGCCAGCGAGAATTCAAACTTTGTTAGACTTGCTGGATAAGGAAAAAAATCATAGATTCCGGCAAAGCTGAAAAAGCACAAAAACTGAAAAATAATTTTAACATAACCTTAACTGGCCCAATCCCCAAAACCGAAAGATCCAATTAATCCCCCCCTCCCTCACTAATAAGAGACAGTTTGGGAAGTAACGATACGAGACTGTTGTTAGTTTGAAAACAGGGCACCGAATAATGGAGTAAATTTTCTCTACCTAGTCTCTATGCCGTTTCATCGTAATTTCCGTGTTTGGTTCCTTCAGTTGCCTTTTGCTTCTTGTAGTTCTTGAAAATCAGAGGTTACCACTGAATTACTTATCGCTGAAAATAATTCCTGCGCAGGAACTTGTTCTGAGCCCCTTGGAGTAGGATGGGATAGCACTCTGCCAGACAGTGCCTTTAACGCATCATCGAGTCTCTTCACACGTAAGTAGCTAGAGATCATTAAGAATTTGTCAAAATCCATTATATTCGCAACGAATCTTAGGGAAAATCGAAAAAAAAGTATTGTCATTGTCATAGCTTGCCGAATTTTTAAGTACGCAAGGAGCCCGCTAATATAACTTGCTGTGATTATTTCTAATCCAGGTCCATGGGACTTTGGTCCATATAATGGAAGACTCTATCTACAGGACGATCGCATCAGAAAGAGAATTGGTGGCTGGTGTGCGAGACACAAGAACCATAATCAGTGGTTACAGGTGGATCTTGGAAAGATTAAGTCCGTAACAGCTGTTGCCACTCAAGGTATAAGCTCTATTTAGGGTTAGGACACCTCCAGCTTCGTTACCGGTGGAGGTCGGAAGTTGGAACGAGTGCATGAATTGCATATCGTACGAACCCTACAAGCTTTTGCACGCTCATGTTTTGCTCGTGCATATCCCATCTCCTCCATATCGAAGGACTGAGATAAAAAAAGGTGCTTTCGGTTAGTTTTGCCCTTGTATGCTTTAATTACTCTTATTGCAGTTACGACCAACTTTTGGGGGTTGGCTTTAGAACACTCGCTTAGGCAAGAGGAACCGACACGCTTCTTCTGGAATTTCTTCTTTATTCAGTTAAATCCTCAACTGTTCAACAGCTCAACAAACTAAGTCAAGTCTTATACACATCCATACGTACTTTATTAGTGAACATTTTTGGGTTATAGGCCTTTCGATTTTGGAGGATTAAATCACTCTGTAGAACCTCTAACCCAAATATTCGTACAGGGTTTGTAGGAGCGAACAAAGCATTTGATATTCTACGCAATTAGAAGTCAAAAATCACAAACAGGAATTATGTTTTTGGTCCAAACCAAGGCCAAGAGACAAATCCAAACAAGAACACCATTAACAAAACCCAGACCGGAACTACGTTGTTCATGTTGTTCATTGCAAACATACAAAATATTTTGATCAATCTGGTAAAGGTATACAGGTTCAAAGCTAGACATCTAAACATAACACGCTAATCAGGAAACGTAACGTAACGTTGGGGCTAAATCTACCTTTGACAACTAACTTCGCAACAATACTTAGAGAGAAGCGCAGAAAGAAACGCAATTCACCAGAAGATATCTGAATTTGGTGTATCATTTCTGTTCATACGGCTTCAGACATTACTTTTATACCCGAACCAACACAAGGAGATCCAAATTATAAATGAGCTTATGAATTATCAATTGACTATTGTTTCTGTCAGGTCGAGACAAATATTACGAGCATGTTAAATCCTATGAGCTGGCATTTAGCAAGGACGGAGTGCGATGGAATCGTTACAAGGAAAACGGAAGAGTTCGGGTGAGATTCAATTACTTTCTCTAAGTCTACGTAATTTAAATTGAAGCAGTGTAGATATTATGCCCCTCCCTGAGAGAGATCGTAAAAGTTTTTACGAATTTGAGCGTAGGTCCTTTTCAGTCGACCATGGTGCAAAATATAGACTTATACCACCGGTATGAGTTTATTCCAGAGGACTCATATACAAGAATGAGACGGGTGTGTGCGATTTCAAGGTTTGGCGCCATCTCGAACTGGCTGACCACTCGCCTCGATTTCATGAGAGAGCTTTGAATCCCGCTGGCTAAGTGTCCCGCGGGTTGACGCGCTTTGGTCTGAATGTTATGAGAAGATACGTATAATTAAATTCAAACCAAATGATTAAACACACTTCACTAATCAATTACTGTTACTAGTTATCATGTGTTAGTAATTTTATTTTTTCACTTTCTTTCGGTGAAAGGTATTACCGGGAAACTGTGACAACTTTACCCCAGTGATCAACAAGTTGATCCGGCCCGTTCAGGCCAGGTTTGTCCGGTTTTATCCCAGAACTTATAACAATATATGTATGAGAGTCGAAGTGTACGGATGTAGCAGGCAAAAAGGTGAGGCGAGACAGTAAATAGAGTCTGTGAAGTTAGTTAGATCGTCCTGTTGGTAAGCGCTCTAAAATACATATATCTCAGCGTTTATTTTCTCTATTATCAGGTTATGAAATGAAGAGAGGACGTTAGGGATGCTAGCTCCCGTGTTTAAGATGGCAAGACTGGACAACAGGGAGAAGCCACTGGAAGCTTCCGTGTTTGGACTGTGAAGCCTGATTAACAGCCTCCAGAACTTTTAGTTACATGAAGCAAGCAGTGCAATGGGAAACGCTTCTGCTGTTAGATAATAGGTTTGCAGATGGAAAAGGCGGGGAAATTATGCAGCAGTTTGCAGAATTAGCTACGCTTGAAGCGCTAGTTTTGAAAGTGGCTTGGGTAAAGCATCAAACTTTACATTTAGGTAATGAGTTTGACATGCAAATGATTGAAACGATTTTGCTTAGATATCATGTGTCGAACCTCGGACGACCCATGAAATGTTTTAGTGTTTTAGCTGAGCCTCAAACAATAATGGGAGTGATTAGGGAAAAGCAACAATCAAGAGGATCACCTAATTCCTCTGATAGCATATAACAACCGTTGTAACTTAAGTGGGGGGGAATGGCTGGGAAATGTCAATTTTGAGTTGAGACGGACATCCAATGTGCATTCTCGCTTACGAAGCGCAAATTTGACACTTTTTCCAAAGTCTTTTTCGTCAACACAATCATTCCTCACGTTTTCCGTCTTGAGGATATCAGATCAAGGTTGGCCTTCATGAGGAGGTCTTGGAAGAAAGACTCGTTTGCTAAACCATGTATAGACATCTCAAGTCGACCTGACATTTCCCAAGGCCAGCGATATGAGCCTGGTTTCTTTCCTCTGTTTTCTCGTAATGCTACTGAGTTCTTGCGTAGACTTTGTGACCCCAAGCTATTCCTTACCTCTTCCTTACTTAACATCCTCGATCAACGATAGCACCTTAACCTGCTCACTGAAAGCGATTGAACAAATCCTAGGTGCCTTGGAATTCGTCCTCCACTGTTTCAGTAGCGTAAGGACACAGTTGCATGCTTCGTTTATTTCGTTCAGTTTCTTGGAGATGGCCCAGAGAAACTGCCGCGTTCTTGGCTCATCTTCGAGCAGCGTCAGTTAGTTCTTTTAAACATTTAGGGCTAATATTTAAATTATTTTAGAAAATTGTGTAGATGAGATCATAAGTTTTTTTTAAAGTTTGCGTAAGTTTGCAGACACCCAGTGCGTTCATATAAACATTGTGACGTAAAGCCATTCAAAAAAAGCCAAAGTTTCGCGCGATGTCCAAGCACAAGAAGTCTTGGAAACCACTTCAGTTAGATATTTTCATAAAATGTACATATATATCATTTTAGCGAGAGATATTGCTGATATTTTCACTAGCTATTTTTTAAAAAGTCCACAAGTTTTTCTATTCCATTTACGTGTTTTTATCTTTAGTGCGAAGTTTGTGATCAAGGCTAAAGTTAAATTGATCATATAAACTTTTATCGAAGACAAGCTTAATTATCAAAGACATTTTGCGATTGTCAGTTATCTCATTCGTACTTATTCTCTCTCCTTCTTATACTAATATTGAGTAAACCTTTAAAAAAATCTCAAATAGCCCAAAAACTTAAAAAAAAGGGAACTTATCTTGCAATAGTTTTTGTATCAAGTCTGTTGTGTTGCAACGACGATCACGTCACGTGACTGTCGGATCACTTGACTATTTGTGCATCTTACACGACAAAGTCAAGAGCAATTTTTTCTTGGAGGAAAAGTAGTTTCTTACGGCAGTGTGATCCATTTTATAAGTGCCTATTTTAGAATGATTTTCTTCCCTTGGAGCAGCTCATAATCATGGGCTAAATTGTTTTCAAATCAGGAAAGAGGTTTCGTGGAGAAATCTGTCGCCTTCAAGTTCGAGGCTTCAGGGCAGAAATCGCTAGGAAGAGACTAGGGAATGGTATAGATGTATAGACTTTACACTCTGTAAATGCAAGAAGGATATGAAAGAAGGAGAAATAGATATATTTCAAGGAAGAACTGATGTTTTACGAGTATGAACGCAGTATACTCATCATAGCATGTGATTATGCCTTTACGAGAGAATGTACCCACAAAGTTATATTTCTGATGTTTCCGAGTAGTTTCCGTTTCTTGTCAGTTCCTCTCTCTTCCAAGGATGCTCTCTTGTAAATATCCGCTGAACGTACTGATTTTCGCTTGCCCTCATTGCCTTTCGAGAGCCTCCACAAAGAAGAGAGGATTTGTTCCCCTTCTGTTTACTTTAAGGTAGGCATTTTACTTTATTGCACTTCGAGATAGCCATTTTTTCTAATGTCTAATTTTGCTGAATACATTGTTTCCGTGAATTTCGTTTTAGCTCGAATATTGACTCGCTTCAATCACGTGCATCATCTGCCTCTAACCATATTTATGTAGTCAGTTTTTCACCGTTATGTTCGTAAAGAAATCGATAATTTTGTTCGCATTTGTTTGCAAAGACATCAATAAAATCATATTAGTTAAGAAACTTCGATTGTCTTTTTTTTCAGTGGGGGGAGTCCTTTTCATGCTAAAAATATTCTCTTTTTTTTTTCTTTGACTTTTAACTTTGACTGTGACTTTTGTATGTCGACTTATTGCAATATAGTTATCGTTTGTGCTTAAGTTTTGTCTTTTCGGTAAAAAGCGGTGTTGCGTGAGTTTGAACCGCAAAGGCGAGTACCTTTGTGAAGTGTTCACCATGACGATCCCAAACTCCAGTGATGAGTCTTACCAGAGTGACAACCAAATGCTACTAGCTATCGTAAGCCAAAAATTCTGGCCTAGTTTGAACTCGATCCGTTGGCGTTGTGACAAGACCGAGGAAGTTCCATGAGACTAGCCAGTTTGTGAATATGTGAAAAGTCTTCCTTCGCCTAATCCATTGCGGCGTCACCGCTGGTACCGTTGACTCCCATCATGATGGCTATGCCTGCTCGCATGGGTCTACCTTCCAGAAGTGAAGAGGCCCTCTTAAAAGTGATCGCAACACTCCGATTTCCAAGCCACAGAATCAACATACAAAGTTACAGCTTAGGGTCTCGTGAAAGGAAGTCATTTGAATGTAACGCAATCACCTGGAATGGAAATACCTTTTCCTTTCCTTGAAGGAAGCGCAGTACTTTCCGTTTTATTCTCTTGTGGTTGTGTTTTTTTCTGTGGGGTTCTACGAACCCTTTCTATTTCAATGAAATCTCAAAAAGATTTCTTGGTAAGATGTATTCCTAAATAACCTGTTGCATAGCGCCCAGTGAACCCCTCTCAGTTGTTGTATTTCAAGCATATCTATTTGGTCATTCTCTTCCGCTGCGCTCACAATTTTAATTAATACAGGCTGTTGTTTCAATCGGCAAACTATTAATTTTCTTAATATTATCCTCTTTCGTTTGTGAATTTACTTGAAAACTTGTGATATTTTGTAGCAGCAGTCTTCCTCGAAGAGCAAATATTGCGTCATAAAGGGTCTCGTGATGAATCATGGGAATAGATGGCCAACCAGTCCGTGCCACGACCACGACATCACGTGACGAAATTGTTGTGAGGAAGGCCAGTTTTATCCAACTAAAGCGAGAGTGAGCGATGTTTACAAACTAGAATGGCAAATTTAGCCTTTGATTCGCCTGTTACTTTAGTTATAAAGACTCCAAACCAAAAAATTGACGATTTAAGAATTGATTGTGCCTTGGAATGGTCAGTGGAACAACTAAAAAAGCATCTTTCGAGCGTGTATCCAACCCAACCGGTAAGGAATTGACTTCCGTTTGTGATGGAATCGTTTTGTTTCTAATTAGATAGATAAAGTTTATACTGATTTCGTTGGTTCTGTATTCAAGGAAAGCCAACATCAGAGGATCATTTATTCGGGACAGCTACTGAACGATAATTTAATCCTTAAAGATGTGTTCAGAGAGGTGAGCAACTGGAATTTGTGCGCGGGTATGAAGCGTCTATGTTTATCGATGCATAGAAAGCCATACATTTTATCCCCATCGCTGATACTTTCTTTCAACTGTATTCAGCATCAGCCCGCATACACGGCCAAAATAGATAGATTTGAGTGGATTATTATTGTTTAACGTGAGATGCACAGAGAACTCCCACTATGTGCATCGAAAACTGTCTTTGCTTCTACCTACGAACGTGACAATACATAAATTACAAAGCATGTCGTGAATTTTTCTTGCACAGCTGTCTTCCTTTAAACAATGGATCTTTCTCTTATTTTACCGTCCTATTTCCCCATTCAGTTTTCTCGTTGATTCGTTTGTCTCGGGCAAGGGGAATTTATGAACTGTAGAAACCTCGTTGAAATATGTCAGCCAATGATATGGATGTAAATTAAAATTCTATATCTATTACATAACTGAATACAGCACCAAATTGACTGAAAAAATGGGTTACAATTGAATTGCAACGGTGTTTTATCATTTTCATGAAACGCAAACAACTCATTCATACTCGTGTATATGTTTTAACAATAATTAAATTTATTTATTTTTGCCTTTTCTTGTGCTACTTTCACTTTTGCTTAAATTGAAAGGAAATCCCAGACCTTCACCTTTCAAATGAATCTTATGGATCCTCTGGTTGGAAATTTCACACATTTCACAGCACACATTTAAGTTAAAAAAAGAGGAAAATTCTGATAATTTATTTTGTACTAAACTCCACTGAAACGTTCCACACGGTATGCTAAGTCCATAATGTTAAAGGTGTATCACAACAACCAGTCTATACATTAGTTTCCAGTTATTCTATGGAAAGAGATAACATTACTACTTGAGTATTCATAGTTCTATGCATCTCTTTTACAATTATTGTGCCACCTTTAAAAATCTTTCCTCTCACTAATGTGCATCTAAATACAAGATGCAACTGAGGGTTTGCAAAACATTCAAGAATTCTCCTTGCCCCCAGTGCAAGAAGATGAGCCTCTGCAAATACAGAAAATTGAAAATAAATTGAAAATCGAAAATAAATATTATGTGTCAAAATTTGTGCAGATCTAAAGCTTCATAAAGGTGTTTATAGATTTCTATCTGAACACTCCTATTGGCAAACAAGAGCATGCATACACTGTAGTATCTTATTTTTACTCATTTTATACACAGAAAATATAAATTTTTGCCTGGGAGAATTATTGTACTGTTTCCAGTAAAAATAATCAAAAGTTATTTTTGTCATCTAAAACAGCATGTAGATGGGAAACAACATACTGTTCATCTTGTATGCCCAATGAAATCAGAAACACAGTCTACCACTGATTCTAAGGGAAAGGTAAGAGTGTGCTGAATTTACTTGACTTGTCTCACATGTGCACTTATGTTTAAAATAATTTGTTTTTATTGTTATTTCAGAATGAACCTAGTGCACCTACAACAAATGCCAACACCTCGACTGAGATGCCATCCACAGCGCCAACTACTTCACAGATAGCCAGTGATGGACTCAGATACAGGGGAGCCAATACACCAACATATCCACCATTTAACATGTTCCAGTAAGTGTTTTACTTTTATGTCTGACTTGCTAAATTATCATCATCTTAAGACATCACTTTATTACTTGTAGCATAGCTTGTGTCCTACAGATGTTAATTCTATCAGTAAGTCTTTTGTTGTAGAAATGTTTCCAAAGGAATAGTGCATTGCAAATTACCTCTATAGTGTACACTTCATTTCCTTCTTCAGGGGAAACTAATTGGCTCTCTGCTAGTATACATGTAGGTAAATATATGACTAGAGAGTTTTCATTCCAGGACTCTTTTGGAAGCTACTCAATGTATATGTTAAATTGAAGCATTGTGATACTGGGTTTACTTACCAAGGTTCGAAACATTCACTGCACCTTTTTTTGGGTGATTCATTTTCAACTGCTTTATGTTTTTATCATACTCACTTAATAATAATTTTTGTTCAGTTGGAATCTTTCTTAATTACTTTTCCTCATCCTACAGCCAGCAGATGGCAAATGCTGCATACAACCTTCCTGCCCAGGGACTTGGCTATGCAGTGCCACCTTTTGTTCCACCCCCTTACTGGATGCAGCAGATGTTTGCACAGCATATGGCTGCCGGAAGGATACCCCAGCCAAATATGTACATGCCAGCCAATTAGTAAGTGTCTTCTTCCATGTGTTACAAAAAGTGCTGTTTGCTGGCAAGTATGTTTATCTAGAAATTCTTCAAGTTGTCATGAAGAATTGAATTTAGTAGGAGAATGATTGGAGGAAGAGTACACTGGGAAGAGTTTCCCTGCATTTTGTAACTGGAAGCAGCCATCATTGTATACCTCCTGCAGAAATTTACAGCTTGCAAAAACCTTAACCCATCCCTTTTTAACCCTTTAACTCCCAGATCAAATTTGTTATTCTCCTTGCTGTCAACCATACAATTCTTATAATGTTAGTTCAGAGAATCTAGTATTGGATCAACTAATTATCCCCAAATTGCTATTTTTCTTTATTCTCGTCAAAGGGTTAAGAACAACCAAAAAGAAATTTCTTTTTTACAATATCAACACAATAGTCTGAAAGAAGGTTAGGAAGAGAAAGAAAAATGTTGAATAGGGAATACTATTGGATTTGAAGTAAATTATTAGTGCTAAAACTATGAGAAATGTGTAGTTGACAGTGTGGATAATGGATAACAAGGTCTTAGTGGTGAAAGGATTTAGGAAGCCTGTGATAGTTATTTCCAGCCTATGACATTTTTTGACAACCCTGCCTATAACATCCTGTATTTCTTTAAGTAACTGCCTGGGTGCCTTTATGGCTGAAAGAAGGGGTGCTTGTTGGAAGAAGGGCATGTACTGATTTTGTTGTAGTTGTAACTTAAAAAGTTATAAGTTTTGAGGCATTAGAAACAGGTTGTATCCCTACAACATTGTATTTAAGAAAGTGAGAGAGGAGGAAGGGGGGGGGGGGGAAGGGGGCACTTACTGTACTTGAGAGGGGCACTTTTTTGACTTAATGGCAAGGGAATGGGTACTTGATTGGAGAAGAGTGCTTATGAGAATAAACAATAATTTCCAGCTTACAACTTACTAAAGCAAAAAGGAACCATAAATTATCATGTGATATAAAATTATGGTATATTAGACTTGATCTGCTGACCTTTGGCCAAACCTATGCATATGTATGTTGAAAGTGGTTACTAACTAATACACATACCTGTACTTTGACAACCTGTTTGGTTTTCTTTGTGTTATAAGAAAAATGTGAGTCAATGCTGATGCCACATTGCTTTTCTTTCTGCAGTGGCTATCCACAAATGCCCTACCCTTGGTTCCCTCAGGCTGGGAATGTCCCTGCACCACAAGTACCATTGGCCAACCCACCAGCCCTTCATGTACCGCAGACCCCACCACCCCAGCAACCTGCAGCACAACCACAGGCACCCCAACCACAAGGGAATGAAAATGCTCAAGGAAATGCCAATGCAGGACCTCTATTCAATGATGAGGATGATGATGAAGAAAATCCTAACCGTGATTGGCTAGATAAGATTTACACTTTGTGTCGAGTTGGAATCCTCCTGAGCATTTTTTGGTTTTATTCATCCACAACTCGTTTTCTGGTGCTGATATTGACCTTTGTTCTCATCTATCTGTACCAATCAGGGGTGTTTGCTATCTTCAGAAGAGGTAAATTTTGACAATAAACAGTTCATCTTCATTACACAATCCATTGGAAGTATGTTATCTTTGATCCCTGTACACAATGGATATATCTCTGCATGTGCAGCTACAGTGAAACAACTTTCTCTTCAGCTTTTCAAGTCTTAAACTCCCACACTCTTTATACACACACTTTATAAGTTCATGTATTGTGCAAGGTGCACAATTATTGAATAATGATGTAACTTACTTAATTTCACGATAATGATCAATTAATTTCCTGGTGAATTGCTTTTCTAGGCAATAATCGTCAAGAAATTCCCATGCCAGCTCCTGCACCACCCCCACAGCCAGAGCAACAGGCAGAACAAAGACAGGGTGAAAATGTATGTACATCTACATGTAATGTGTATGGTCTCTTCTGGAGCTGTTTGGTTTTTTTACGTCATTTACTTATTTTGTCTATTTATGTGACATAATTATTTTGCTGTTACCACCCTATAAGAGGTGGTTATAATACTGAAATACTCAAGAGCAAAACTCTTTTTTTGCTTAGTTTAATTATGAATCCAAAATTATTATTTTGCCCCTCAGTAATTATTGTGGAATCATTCTTTTGATACTATTTTTGCATCTATTCTACAAGATTCATTTTGCATTTGGTTAACAACAATAATAAATGTATCACAATTTGTATCTGTTGTTGTGGGAATAAGGCTATTTTCATAATGTTTTGTTGTTGTTATGTTTCCTATCCAGGCCCCAGACAGTCCTCAGGGAGATGTTACTGATAATGCTCCACAAAACACAGAAGAAAATGGGCTTGGAAATGGGGATGAGACTACTGCTACACCCGCTCTACCTACCCCTCCCCCAGGACCATCAGCTGCAACTGTTGCCTTCAACTTTGTCACTTCCTTCTTTACATCACTGTTCCCAAATACACCTGCTGTGCAGAATTAATGTATTCAAATTACTGTTATTGAGAAATAGTCTTAATGTCTACTTTTAACCTTGCAATGGACCATTGTCAGAGGACTCTTAGTGAGAAATTTCTGTGAAAGTGAAGAAGATACTACAAGTATTTATGTCACATCCTGGTGGCCAAGACGAGGTTTAGATGGCAGGGCAATGATTATATAAATGTAAGATATAAAAACGCCAATAAGAGAGGTAAAAAAATATTAGAGATATTTTTATACATGCCAACATAAGTGACTATGCCTAAATATATCTGGATTTAATTGTCATTAAATTGACAAGTTAATTCTCCTACATAGCTATTTAGGCCTTAATGTACAGTTAATTACTCATAATCTTTCCAAAAAATGCTACATTTTCTCGTGGTGATAAATGTTCTTTTGATATTGCAACATGTTATAATGAGGGTATCAGAAGCTATAGGGATTTGAGGGGAAGGGGGGGAACAGAAAATTTTTCACCAGCCCCAAGCTAGTAGAAATGGAGGAAACCCTTGAAAATCAGGGGTGCACGTAGTTAAATTTTTGTTGCACTGTTGCGATTTCTCATAAAATTTTTCTTTGCTTGTTGATGCATTTAGCTGGGACAGATGAATTGGTCTTAGCCCAGTTCGTTTACATTTAATAGCCCAAGAAAGATAAAGGGAATGACAAGTTTTATTTAACTTAATGTAAGGCTTTCTAGGTATCTGTTTTGAAAGTTGGCACAAACTGTAATTAGAGACTCTACGGATGTGTTTTGCTAGAATGCCTTTCATATTCTTTAATTTACACTCAGGGAATTTCGTTTGAATCACAAAATTTGTCAGTAGACGATACAGGAGAACATTTTATTTAAGATTCCAAGAGGTACCATTTCCAGATTGTGATGTTTCAGTTAGCTTGCACTCCTGAATGCTACTTACTAGTACATAAAGAGTGTCAAACAAACCCTGAAGAAATGCAATATGCTAATTACTGTTTGAGAATATTTCCGTGCGATGTTTTAGAAGCAATTTTGTAGTATAAGAACTTCTGTACAAATGAAAATAGTTGTAATGAATATTAATTTTCCCTTTGCTATGATGGGTGGTTGAGTTGGTTGAAGTTACAGTGGGTTTTTTTATTGAGGTCCAATTACCTGCAATATAGAAATATTTGTGGACAGTGTTGTACAAAAGGGACGGGTAATGTAAATAGACAGGGAATGTTTAACTTATCTATGCAAATTTTATGTAAACAAGGCAAAAAAGAATAAAGATTTTGTCGCCAGCTTCATCTAACTGAAAATTGTTCGTGTGGTTACAAGCAATGTTCGTGTTACACATACGGAGTGCGTTGGAATTGTAGGCGCGTCAAGCGAAAGTACATGTGAGCGGAGAATTGTTAAGGTCTGGGTTCGTCTCTGGGAGAGATGAAGGGGACCCGGTATTCTGGCCATTTACCCGTGCGCTAATTTTACCTCCTCGAGATTACCGTTTTGGACCCGTGAAAAAAGTTACGTTATAACGACTAGTTTAAGTAGCGTGTAAAGGACGCATGTGGGGACTGTCTCTTCAATTTCTCATCCAAACTCCGGGTTAAGAGGGAGCTCCATTCAAGAATCTCCTTCCTTAGCCCTGTAGTCCTCAGTTTGCTCCCCTGGGTCTCCCTCAGATACCGTATTTATTCGATTAAACGCCGCCCTCGAATTTACGCCGCAACATGATGCGGCGTTTATTTGAATAATAGACTCAAAAAGCACACAGCGATCAATGCTTCGATGGCAGTAGGCAATTTTGAGTGAACTAGACACATATCCTTTTGAATGCACCAGTTCTGATGTTGAGAAAGCATATCCGACATTAGATTTTCATTCACTTTACCCACTCTACGTATTGTAGTAGTATTAACATGCTCGTCGTGAAAATGAGAAAGATATAAAAAATGACATTTTAGGCGAGCACTAAAACGTTTCTGTTTTTCAAAATTAAAATAGTTAGTTACCATACTTGCAAGAAATAAAGTGTATTTTAAATAAACGCTACCCTCGAACAAACGCCGCCCTCGAGTAAACGCCGCACTCGAATCACGAAAAATATAGTAAACGCCGCGGCGTTTAAATGAATAAATACAGTACACACCCCGCGATTTATAGGCAGGTTGGACACCAACAAAGTTGCAAACATGTCCTTATACAGTCCGGTGAATTCTTTTTGTCATGTCATAATTCCTTTATTGACCAAGCTTGCCATTTTCAGTCTTAAAGAAAGAAAAGGTAACAAACCAACAAACACCTGGTAGGTAAAAGAGGAAACCTTATCTCATTGTCGCAGTTCACATTTTCTACATTGAAGCTTTGTAAGTTTAAGCCACTTCCGTTTCAAGGAAATTGAGGAAAACATTCGGGAGAAGGAAATGAAGAGTAAAGTTAACAAGCGTATAGAAAACTACTCGTAAATAGTAATGGACTTAAAAAACGTGTAGTGTCATCTCGGAGACAGTGCTATTTCAGTGGGTAACATATTATGTAATCAAGCGTCACAGCCGTACACCTCTACACGCATACAGACGTAGTTATAAGTCACTGGATAAAATCTGATATATCTAGCGGTAACGCCACGCTGCAAGAAATTTAAGACGGGGGTAAAGTGATCACAATTCCCGCCAAATACCTGTAAAGGAAAGAAAACAAAACCGATAAGGAAGGAAACTTTGCTTATTTCAAAACAAGCCGAGGAATAAGTAAAAATATGTGTTGGTTTTCTGGTGAAGTTCCTTGTTCTCTTGAACAAATAGTAAAGACTGCAGCAAGTCTTACCTTGTCTTCGCCATCTGTTTGGTAGAAACTCCAAGAGTTTCCATCCTTACTGAAGGCGAGTTTATACGATTTCACGTGCTCGTAATACTTGTGTCGTCCTAATATTTGAAGAGAAATATTGTTAACAAGTCTAGAGCATAACGTTCATTAGGGAACTTGCTTTAAAAGTCAGCTGGTATCATGTCCTCAGGACACAGTTGGCGAATAATACTTCCTATTGATGCTTTCGCTGTTACGAGTATTTTGAGTCGGATTAGGAAGAAAAACGTTACAGGATTTCTGTCTTTCTCGACTCTGCAATTGCTTGAATTCTAGAATAATGGTGAGGATAATGGTGAGGATCCACCTTCCGAGCAATTCTCGGTTCGCCCATGAGAAACGAAGCTGAGAACCTTGAAATTTTTTTCACATTACATCTACTAGAGCAATTTACATTTGAGCGTTAAAAGCAATCCGGGATTGCACTGGAAAAACCATGTCACCTCGAGCAATAAAATGCAAACTTTCCCTCACTCCAGGAAGTTTGTCTTTTTTATATATAATTCCAGTTGGCCCCTTATTTTTCCTTTGATCCTCTCGGTCTTTCTACCGGATTGGTTTATTTTATTGAAATGCACTTTTAAAGGGCAACTAATAACTAAGTTATCTTTAGTTATTCCCTCTTCATCGTTGATCACCTTGCGTTCCAACAGCTGTAATATGTTTGTCCATTCCTAAGTCCACTTGCAGCCATTGGTTCTTTGGCGTCGCTGCGCACCAGGCCCCAACCCGCTTGGAATCAAAACTGTCTGTAAAATACATTCGTGCATTGCGCGCACCGCTGTCCCAGCCGCCACCTGTAAAGCCAATGAGAAATATTAAGTTTTATCTCGTACCCAGATCCTACCGTGTAACTGTAACTGAACAACAGCTTAACCGTAAAAGGTTTGGATATGAGACCAACTAGTTGTGTATACCCCGAGATGTAGAGCTATGGGATTGATTAAAGAAAGAGTGGACAGTCTTCTTACCAACATCAAGTGACGAAGACGCTGAAAATGCGCTGTCAGGCAGTTTAAAATTCCAACCTATTCCGAGTGGACTGGAGCATGGAGCTACCGAAGAAAAATAAAAACACAATTCTTTGTTTTAAGTTCGGTAAAGCTTCTAACAGGTTTGAAAAGCCTAAAGGCAACTAAAAAGCTACGCGTGCCTAGTCACTATTTACCCTTTACACCCTAACATCAGCATGTATATTCTCCATACTGTTCTCTATACATTTCCCTTGGTGCTAACAAGGAGAATTTGTTTACCAATCAAAAGTTTCTTTCGTTGTTGATCATTTCCTTTATTCTCATGACCTTAAGTGTGATTCAGGGGAGAAATTGGTTGGGAGAAATTTGATGCCAGTCACTGTTAGGGTTTAAAGGGTTCATAAAAAGTCTTTGTTTGCTTGCCTCTGAACAAAGAAAAGGCTCAAATAATCAGGAAACTGACACTGGAATGACAAGATGGAGGTTGAGTTTGTAGGTTCATGTTCCTAACCTTATGGGTCGATTGACTGAGACTACAAAAAGAGAAACATTGATGTCTCCTCGTTCTTACTTGATTCAAGAAGGGACCCAATGAATGCGCTTTTAATTCAAATTTATTAGATTCCTCTGGCAAACCGTCCGCCGTGCATAGTTGGAGTTCACTGATACGCACCTCACTTGTAATTGAGATTCCAACACTAACTCGCGGAGTTTTCATGAAACATAACTTAAATAAGAATAGGAAAAGGAAAGCTTTCTCAGGAGCTTAACTATAATTCTCCTTGTCAAAGAAATACTTCCTCTTCTCATACACCGGCATGGAGAGAGCATTCTTCACGGAAAGAAACATTTCCTAGCTGTACTAACCAAGAGGTCTAACAGGTTCTTTATCGCATAATTTGGATCCACAACTCTTCTTGCAGTTTTCTCCCATCCAGCCTGGATTATTGGTGCACTCCCCCCTCTTGGCAAAATCTGCGCAGTTTGGATGGAGATCTTCGCACTTAAAGCCTGATATAAAGAAAATAGTGTTGAAAGTCTTTGAAGCGTTTATACAAAATCAAAGACAAAAAAATAGGTTATACGCTAAACAAAACTTTCTTATATAAGATAATTCTTCTCACCTGTGGGCTTTTCTGGTATTATTATTGGTGGGCGTGGCGTGACCTTTGTGGTTGGTTTGACTGGTTTTGGTGTCGTAGAGGCCTGTGGGCGAATAGATGATGCTGGTTTTGGTGTCGTTGAGGCCTGAGTAGATGGTGCCTCAGTGGCCGTTGTGGATTTCATGGGGGTCGTTTCTGGCGGAGGATTAGTCGGCTGAACTAAGAGATCATAACAAACCGTTGAGTAAGACAATCTTACGATAAATGGGTACCTTTACAAAGATTCCATGGGTAACAAATCCAAACTCCGCATGTCGCAGATTTTAGTCTTTACTGCGATGTATTCTCTAACGAGTTATGCAGTTATCATCGCATCTCACAATCAACAGTTATGCTCACTTGAGAATCTTCACCTTCCCGGAGATTGAGACATCAACACAAGGTTATTAAGTCTATGATTATGCCTTGATCGATTCCTTAATCCGCTGTTTAACTTTATTCCTCATTGAAAGAATCGCGATTGGTGTGTATTGACTGACTGGGCGACCGAACGACCAACTGATTGGCTGACTGACTGACTGACGGTTGGTCGGGGGTTGGTCGGACGGTCGAACAGTCGGACCCGCGAATCGTCGGACGGTCGGACGGTCGGTCGGATCACATGGTCAATGGAATGATCAATCGACTGTCTGCCAATTAATTGATTGATTGATTACTAAAGAAAAGATTCAGACCGTTAGATTCTTTATATTCCCTTACTTCTGTACAAACGTGGAACTGATCGGAACGCCAACATTATCGTCAGTTGTCCTTGCTAAAGACATATTATTTTCGTTTACCTTGTATGCTTACCTGGACAGCCATAAAACTCAGCCCTGAGACAAATGTCCGCATTCCAGGAAGTTGGGAGAATACGAACAAATCTAGCAACTATTGGGCTTGTTAGCTGATTTGTCTTGACTGTTGACATGTCACTGTTTCCAACAAAAACCTGTTGAAAACCCAAGTTAGACGATCGATGGCGAAATGAGTACCGTTTTTTCTGGATAACTTTCACCTCTCCATTTTTAAACTAATTGAAAGTTGTCTGTTCCTCCGGATTTTTTCTGAGGTTAAAAACTGGTTTCTGAAAAGATATTTCGGCCATTCTCAAAGCTGATATGCAATTTAAAAGTTAATACGACGGATCTTTGGTTTTGCCTTTTGACATCACAATTAAACTAACCATTACCATTTTATGATTCAAAATTCAAGGTAGATTGCGCAGGGGCCTGCAGTGTGGTTCAAAAACCATTTAACCTCGGATGGAAACCCTTAAGAATGTTACCTCCTTTATTCAGTAGAGAGATTAGACAAAAATACTTTAATCCTCAACTGACACCTGCTAATACCATTAACCTCCAGATCTTAGGGTCAGGGTATGGGCGTATACTAATTTGAAGTTTCCGGAGAAGTCATAAGAACCAAATCATGTTCTCTTCGGCCTCAAAACAGAGTCTTAATCAGTGTCCATGTACTTGGTGTGTTAAGATCATAAGTTACCTTGGAATAAAGATCCCACGACTTTCCATCATCGCTATAGGAGAGCATATATTCCTTCACAAACTTTGGATATGCACTTTCTCTTCCTAAGGATACAGAAAAAAGGACAGGAAAATGGGTATTATAAAACTCTTGTTATTGTTTATTATTTTACTCTTTTTCCATTTCTGTTTCTCATCATGTCACCTTGGGTTGCAACTCCTGTTACGGTGGTTTTCTTCAAAAAGTCAACTTGTAAGTGCACTTCGTTGTTCGGCTTCCCTACGCACCAGGCCCCTACACCACCTTTGCCGACCGGAAGGTTAAGACGAGCCTGGCTAGGACCATGAAATCTGGTTTAAAAGAGAAGAAACATAGAGACCTCACTGGGCGTGTTTGAGGTTTTATTCGTACCTGGGCTTAAACTGATCTGAACTTCGACAAATACTGATGCTTTAATGGGGCCAGGTGACCGTATTTTAGTTCAAATTAGCAGGGATCGAGAACATCCATATAAAAGACATTAAGGATAAGAAACGACACTTTAAAATAGCATGAGGTAAACTTGAAACCATAGGTATGGCTGTACTCGGTTTTAACCGAGATAATGAGATGTAAGGGAATGCAATCAACAGAACTGTTGGTTACTGTCAAAAAATAATTGGTGATGAGGTCTCTTTAAGACCCATTTTGTACCAACAACTTACCTGTTAACGCTCTTGGACGCTGTTATTTGACTGTCCTTGATGGTGAAATCTTCCATCCCAAGAGCCGCGGAACACCCTGGAGATGATGTGATAGGGGCATGCGTGGATGGAGTATTGGGAACAGAAGTCTGAGGACGAGGAGGAGTGTTCGGCGGAGAAGAAGTCTGGGGTGGAGGGGGTGTGTTCGGCGGCGGAGGAGTCTGGGGTGGAGGGGGTGTGTTCGACGGCGAAGGAGTCTGGGGTGGAGGTGGTGTGTTCGGCGGAGGAGGAGTTTGAGGAGGAGGCGGCGTGTTTGGCGGAGACGAGGTTTTGGGAGGAGGTGGTGTTTTTGGTGGAGGAGGAGTCTGCGGCTTCATCGTTGGTGGTTTGGGTTTTACAGTCGTTGGCTTGGGCCTTACTGTTGGTGGCTTCGTTCTCACCGTCGGAGGCTTGGGCCTCACTGTTGGTGGCTTCGGTCTCACCGTCGGAGGCTTGGGGCAGAGCCCACAGGTTTTCTTACAGTTTGTTCTTGTGTACCAATTTGTGCGGCAATAATTTCTCCACGTAGCACAACGATAGTCTTTATCCCTACACACTGCCGTGGTTCCACCTGCCAAGGGATAATATCAATAAAACAATTGTAAGAATTTGCAGCGATATGCTTTTTTATTGAATATCCTGTATTTAACAGATCTCGTACTCCGTGTAACTGTGGCGAAAATGTAGGATCTCTTCCAACCGCTTGGCCGTGGAAGGTCTGGGTACGAGACTAGTAATTAACTCCCGTTCGCCTCTAAAAGAAAAAAATGCGTAAAAAGTACCACTGAAGGAATATCTTTACCTAAGCCTAATTATAAGGACTTATCATTTTAATCAACACCGATCTTTTCTTACAAAAACGTACCAAAAAGTGTTTTTTCACGGGTGAACCGAAGATTACCGAGGAGAGCAAGTGTTGGTGTAAAATTATCTTAGAAAAATAAATCCAATCATCATTCTCTAATGATCCTCTTGTGAGTTCGTCAGTTAGGTCCAAGCTAGTCTCCAATCCCAAACATCAACCTCAATCAGCGACACATTTCCACAAATAAGGAAAATCGTTCATCATTTTCTGATACTTACAAACTCCACAACTTCTTTTGCAATAACGATTCATGTAGCGTGGATTTCGTCTACATTCCCCTCTTCGCGCCCAGTAATAACAATTTTGGGTGCTATCGAAGCATGCTGTTGGAAAATTAACACAGACACAGTTTAAGATAATACAAATGGTTGACTACTTTTCTTGCTGTTGACCATAAAACTGTCCACAATTTCCATAAAAAAATTAAACTCTCTCTGAGTTGTTACCCCCGACCTACTTCCAATCAGGAAACTAAGTAAAATCGAAGCTCCGCGGCCCTTTCATTTAAAACATTTTCATTTCTTCTCACAAAAAATTTTGTCTTATAATGCAGCGACGGCTTAGTGCGAGAAGAGATTGCACTGTCCTTTCGCATTCAAGATTAATGCCTTGCAGAAAATTCGGTTAGTTTAAACCAATATGCCTTCAGTGAAAAGTTTTGAAATTACTGTATTTGATACGGGATGCAGGGAGCTTCAAACAAAACTTTTACACGTCCAGGATTGTTGAGGCTACAAGCAGAATGATTGAGACGTTCCAAATGACTATCAAAAAAGTTAATTAACTCTCCGACTCCCTAGTCCCAGTGGTAATTATTCTTACTGTTTTCCAAACAATTTCTATGATGTTTGTTCAGAGAATTTGTTATTGGATCAACTTGATAAACATAATTGATATTTTTCTTTATTCTCATCACTAATCTGCTCGATATTGTATTGATATTTTAGGAAGAATTCTGTCTTGGTCACTCACGGGATTTTAAGGGTTAAGACAAAAACTTTAACAAAATTTACCACTTTGTCTGCGTTTTCGTTTCTTCGCGTTACAACCATACATCCAATCCGTCTGTTCAGCATCCAGTGGACTCAGGTTTTGGTAAGGTTGCTTGCCGTTTAATGGTTTAAGGGCTTGTAACGTTGGCTGACCGTTTTTGGAGAAAGCATTAAATGGATAGTGCATGATAGACCCGTAGTCGTAGGGTAAACCAAGAGAATCTATTTTGTCCCTGCCATACTTAGCAAAAGCACTTTCTACACCTTGACCAGGAGAAAACATGTTTTAATTAGCTTTATTATTTTGAGTAATAATGAAATAATAAATTTCTCCCGTGTCTGAACACGCGAAGTGAGCATACCCACCAAATCTTTACACTCTATACGATTATAGTCGTCAAGGCAACTGTAGCACACGTGCAGGCTTTCATTATTAGTGTCAGACCCCCGGCAAACCTCTCCCACTAATAATGAGCCCCCCTTCGTGGACTATGGCAACCGGGTTTATCATAAGGCAGTTTAACTTTCCGTGCAGGCCATTTTTTCTTCGCAAACATTACTAGGGTAGAAACCAACCTCTTCTACTATAAAGAGTAGCCGTTTTTTTGTTTTGTTTTGTTTTAGATAACTTTCTTTCTCTCCTGACAAGTTTAAGGAGCATCTCTACAAGCTGAATTTAAGTTCAGGTAACCTCTACATCCGGTGCTCTTGAAACGTGTTTTCAAATTGCCTTTGATTCAAACATCTCATCAATATTCAGTCATATTAGGAACAAGAGCGTATATAGCCACGTGTGGAAACGAATTTATCTCCTCTTGTTGATAACGTCTCTCACTCTGTGCTTCGGTCACTCGTGAAAGTTATGATAAACACTCAACGATAGATTTGTATCCACACGCGGCCATAACATATCTTTTAAATCTAATGTATTGTTGGTTAATATTACACTCCTTTAAAAAGAAGTAGAAACATTCAGCAAGTAGGCATAAGGACGGACGGACAGACGGATAGACAGACAGACAGACCGATTGACAAACAAACGAACAGGCAGACACAGACACAAACACAGACACACAGTGAGTGACATGGTTCTTCTTATAACATCGCTACCTTCATATAACAATAATGAAGTACCTACACTTACCTGGCAGTATATTCTGTTTCAGTACCCGGACGTAACTATCTCTGTCCGGACGACTTTGCTCGTGCCAAAAACCAACCGCGTGACCGATCTCATGTACCATCACGTGCTTGTATTCACAACCAAATCCAACTGATAGATACGTCTTTCCACCAATGCGTCCGACATTACACCAGCACCTGAAGGAATCAATTTTTACTTTTAGAGCTCTTTTCAATTAAGCGTCGTCGAACCAAACAAAGTCAGCACAAAAGCCAATCAAAAAAAAGGAAAATATTTCAAGGAGCCGATGAGAACCACCAAACCACACTTCCTCCCTCAACATGTTTTGTTCAGGATGTTGTCTTGTACCCAGACCTTTCACGGCCAGACGGTTGTAATTTCAATTATAGTTACACAGTAGGATCTGGGTACGAGATTAATCAGGACGTTTACCGTACTTTCATCTCTTACCCTCTTTGACGGAAGAACCAAAGGTAATCTTTTTGAGTTGTTCTCTTCACAAACTTGATACAAGTCTTGCTTTCCCATTCCTTTATAGCTGCATCTATGGCACTCATTGCATCGGGCATGTTTTCTGTAAAAGGCAAGAAGACAAAGGTATTGTTTTTGTAATAAAGCCCCGATAAACTTGCAATGAAACGGTTTTTTCAAAACAGCTAACATTACAAGGAAGTGGAAGAGCGCTGAAAAAAGAAAAAAAGTGCGGTGAAAGAGCACCACAAAAGCGATTTCTTACTTCTATGGACGCTATTTTTTGCTATCGAGATATGACCATGGATGTAAACGTTTTCCTAGTAAGTCATAAAACCTATGTAACTGCCAATCAGACAGTTTGAAAGTCGATTTCCCGCCAAGACGTTACGTGCGTCACACTCAAAAGATGTTTCGGCCTAATGCACAATATCCGTTAAGACAACAATTGACTTCTGAACTTAAATGTTGCTTCCATTTGTGTAAAGTATTTCTTCCATGTTTTTCACTTGATGGGCTCGATTGGACTGCAAATCGCGGCAACTAAGAAATGCTTTTCGCTTGGTGAGCTCAATTGGACAGCAAGCCATGATCACTGTCGCGCCCTAACTAATATTGGTAATAGGACCAAGTGGAGTCCAATTCTGTCTGTAATCATAGGAGTGATTAACAATATCAGACGACCGCGAGGCGGGAGCCCGATCATGATTACAGACAGAATTGAACGACATGAAGTCTTGTTGCCAATTAATCGAAATTATGACAAAATTTGAGAAAGAAACTAGACAACGGTTATACGTTCTCATAAAAAAAAAACAGTTAACTCGGCGAAATGCGAGACAACAGCGCACGCACATGACGCGTTCTATCCACTTCCACAGGCATGACGTAATAACTGTCCCTTTAACTGTCCTATCATCAAGCATGACGCGCACACTGTCCTATTTCTGCTCACATCGGGCTGGTGATATCCAATCACGTTCGAGAATTTTTCTATAGTTTTGATTATACAAAGAATAACAACATCACTTACGTAAGCTGCAGTCAATTTCATAGGGTATTATACCGTTCGGCCATCTAAGACGTCCGTTGCCGTCGGCCGCTCTGCTAACATTGCCTCTGATATCGCCATGAATATCAATATTAATCAGCTGCTGTTTAGTTAAAACGATATCCCCTTCAAACACGCTATCTGGGAGCGGTGGACTGGAAAAGGCTGAAAATGATAAAGTGAATGTTACAGTAGAACGATCCTCATCAAATCTGATTTTATCTTGTGCAATAGTTGTTTGTAATGGCCCGAGTTTAGAAAGCCGGTGATATAAGCGCGCGCGCGCGTTATGGTTTGCATTTTCACTTTGTTTTATCATCGCTTACAACAGAGGTGCACAATTATGATGTCATTCTGTGTGCACGCTGTTGGAAAGTTGAGGAAAACCGGTGATTTGCAGTGAGTAAGAAGACAATATCGAGGTTTTATTTGAAAGAGGCACTGACGATTGTTGAAATCCAGGAAAAGATGGCAGAACAAGACGCACAAGAAATTAAAGGAGTATTAAAGCGACTGAAGGAAAACATTGCAAAACTTCAACCTTCATTTGAAGAAGTTGTTGCCGAGCAGGCTGAGATGTTGATTGGTGATGAGAGGAAAAAACTCCGAAAGGCATATAAAGCCGAGTGTAAGGATTTGCTACGCGAACTGAAAGAAGTGAAGAGTGAAATGGAGGAGTGTATCACTGACATTGACCGAAACACCAGGAAGTGTATCCATGAGGTCAATCGGGACATGGACGAAAAATTCAGAGCCGTTATTCGTCAGGAAAGGCTTAAAAGGAGTAAAGAACTTGACGAAATCAGAGTAGAAACAAAGAATAATACAATCGTTGAACTTCTCAGCCCGTGCGATAAATATCAGGTCATGAAAATTTCTGTAAATTCGAATTTTGTTTCCAAGAGCACGCCGAGGTGCGCAAGTTGTGGCAAAGAGAGCGTATGGTTGTATTTCTGCGGAGGTTGCAAAATTGCCAGATATTGCGACGAAAAATGCCAGGAAGCTGATTGGGAGAGCCACAAGAACACCTGCATAGGATTGAATAATAACTAAGAGTAACGGAAAGCTATACCACTGTAAAGTGAGCAATCTTTGCGAAAATTAAACTGCTTAAACTTGTTTTGCTACTGTTAACTTTGTGTACTTACCCCTATCAGTATCTGTTTTAAAAGAGTGTCACTTGGTAGGGATTTGCTTAAAAATAGGAAAGCGTTCTTCTAAGTTTGGTTGTTTGTATGTGTTTTTTTGTATGTTAGTTCCGCAAAATATTGTTAACAACGGAGACAACGCGCGAGTGATTACGGGAAATAATCTCGCCCCGTATTCTTTCATCGCAATCGTCCACTTCCCCTCCCTAACCCCCGTGTATCAAGAGAATATGTGCTGTAGTTTAAGCTCTCTTCTTGTATGCAAAACTGAAACCTTCAGTGCAATGACAGTGGCATGTCCTTGAGAATCAGTAAAATAGATTTCGCGGGATCATGCACGTTTCCTCCAAATAATAAAGCGATGAACATTTTTCTAGGCCGGCGTAAGCTTGAGCTATGAACTTCTACTCATCTCAATGACCTATTAAAACAGACAAAAGAGCTCGTAAAATAATTTTGTAATTCAGACTAGTGATTAAGCTTTCACTCGTCTATCATTTCGTCAGTCCTATTTCGTTAATCATCAGTGCGCGCACGCATTCATAGTATGCGTCACAAAACGCGTCATAAAGGTCATTTAAAAGTTACATGCACGTGGTTAGAATTAGAAGAATTCGACGCTTTGCGACGTCATAAAGCTATTTTGAACTCCAGGGTCCAGTTGTATCTATGGCAGATAATGCTATCCAACGGATAAATCGCTATCCAGCGGATAAGTGATGGCAAAACGTATAAAGTTATCCACCGGATAGAGATTTATCCTGTGGATAGCGTTATCCGACCTGTGAACAACCACGGCCAGTAGTCTATAGCGACAGCAAAAAAGACTCGCAACAATACTGTCAGCCTCTGTTTGACTCGTCAACTGTCATAAGCGGCTGATTTAATACTATTTTCAAAACCCGTGAAATTTTTTGGTCTTCGGTTCACAACACACACGAACGAGGCAAAAACGAAATACACTGTAGGTGCACGCGGACAGTTATTGCGACAAGGGTCCCCCTCTCATTAGGCACTGCATCAGCGAATGGAACGAAACGTGAAGCCAGGCACTGTTTTGAGTTTTGTTTAAAAATTTCAATTTAACGACAATTATTCCCTTCCCTTTCTCCGATCGGTAGTCTTTTGTTCACGGCTCAGGGGCAACGCAGGTGATTCTAAGGATTTAGTTGTCAGGATTGGGGACCGAACTTTGATTTGAACTTAAACGTAAAAAATGAGGTGGAAAATTTCGTCTTGTCACTTCTTTCCAGCTGTTTTTGCGCTTTCTTCTTTCTTCGCTTCATTTTTTAAGGGCTATATATGGCTTCATTTATTAGAGAATGGGCATTCCTGCTACGGGTACACAAACATGTACTTACAGTCACGTTCTGTGCCCAAGTTGGCTTGTAGAATCTGATCAAAAGCTCCCTTCTTCTGCGGATCGGGAATGCTGGGTAACGCGGAGGTGATCCCAAATGGACTGGGAACCAGACCCAGAAGTAGGGCGATCCACAACTGGAATAACATACCTAGTGAAAATTTTTCCAAGTACAGCAAGTGTGAACATAGCTTTTAGTTCGGGTCTCTTTCGGCATAAAGGCGAAAGTGCAGTATGTAAGTAAACTATGAACTAGGTCAATTTCCCCAAGCCCGCCGGAAAAGTCAGCTTGTTTTTCATGATTTCAACAATAGTTAACATTACCAATGGAATTTAAACTGCTGACGATTTCCTTTTGACACTACATATACGTTTAATCCCTCTTTAGGCCCCCTAAATTTATATGAGTCTAGGGTATTAGAAAATTTTTCATCTGACTTAATTTTGAATACACTGTACAGAGCACATGTCTTACACTTCTAAAATCGAGTGTTTTCTCATCATTTACCAGTTTAAAGTGTTTTAATCGTTGGTTTATGAATTTCTTGAGATTTCTTAATATACAATTCTCAAACTGAGGTTTCCACAGAAGAACTTTAGGGAGTCTTAGGAACAAACGTTATTTTTTGCCCTTTTTCAGGCAAGCGAAGGCAAGCGCGAGGCGAGCGCGAAGAGCGCAACTTGTAAATGGTTTATCAATGGTTGATGATATTTAATCATATCATCAGATTTAAGAAAACTTTGGTATCAAAAGCATATACATACCACTCCTCTCTGATACGGATACCACTTGTTTTGTGCTGTAAGTTGCTACAAAAAAAGATAAATGCCAAACAGTACGTTTAAACTCTCATCAGCGACTTTAAAAACACCAGCTGCAGTTATATATCGAGATTGACGACACGTTTGAATTCCCAAAATTGGTATAAAGGGAAGAATGAATCAAAATGCGTCATAATGACCTTATATGATAGTGGGAAATAATTTCTGTCAGAAAATTCACCAATTTTTTTTTGGTTATGACAATTATGAGTGGGTTAGCGCAAAGGCGAGTACGTTCTTTCCGGAAAAAAAAAATATCGCGCCTTCAACATTCTTAGATTTAACGAAGCACTTGATATCTTGTTAAATGAAAAATATTCTTTGTAGCAACAGGGGAATATATTTCTAGAAACTAAAGGGTCACTAATAGATATCACTGTTTTTTTACCCTTCTCAATGTCTTAATATTGTCAAGGGGACGTGGGAGGATTGCGCGACGTCGCGCACTTCCAGGTGTCAAATCCGTTGCCAGTAATCGGATCCTCGTGTTACGCGCGAAGGATTGTGGGATCACTAAGGGGCAAACATTGCAAGTTGCTAGATGGAAATATATGGCGCCGGCTGTTTCACCCCATTCGACGTCCCAAATAAAATTATTTTGGAGAGAATTCAGAGCTTTTTCGCAATTGTTTTATCAGAAGAGGATTAAGGCAATGTAAATGCAGACCGAACTACAATAGTCCGTGTTGATTGCTATGCGCACAGCTGTTTGTAGTATGGTTTTTTTTTATAGGACCAATCAAGAAAGTCGATTTCTGCTTGGTTCCGTGTTGGAATGTTATCGATTTCTGCTTGGTTCCATGGCGGAATGTCAGTGTAAAGGGAACGCTGGGGAAAAGCCTCAACAAACTAAAAGACGTGGTGAATGCAGCTAATTTTTTCGGTGTTTTGAGCAACTTATATCTGGTAGATGTTTTAAAAATTATCATTTTCATTGCTGATGGTTCACTAAGGTACATATCTCATTTAGCGCGTCAAAGAGCACGTTGTCATTTTTTAAACTTATTAGTAGATCATTATTACATGAGATGGTCCTTAATATCTGTAATTCTCTACTTCCCAGGAAATATCACACGTAATGTGAAATACATACAGTGCGGCTGCTGTGTTTGTTTTCTCTGCTCCTCTCACAGCATGATACTGCGTTTGGCACTCTGTGACAGATCTTAACAATGCACGTATCCAGTGGTGTAAAACCCAGACGTATTAAACATTCCCATCTAGTCTTTAGGTAGTGTGTTTAATGCGCTAAAATAAGAATCGTTTCGCATCAGCATTAACACTGCGATATGAACTTCACACTCTTCAATTCGCAGTTTTAAGCAGACACATTTTAACTCTAAGCAGCTGGTGTTTTTGTTTCTGCTTTCGCAGATTAACGAGTGCTTAGTAAATTGTCAGCTACGAGACTTTTAAATGTTTAAGTTAAGGAGGACTTAAGTCACTCTGTTAGGAAAGCACATGGGCAACTTTACATTAGGAAAAGCGAGTGTGAGCTGAGATGAGGAAAACTATTTGAGCTTTCTAGCTGGCGAAATGTCCAACTACGTTGTATAGACAACCCCTCGAATCACCTTACCTTGTAATCCGTAATTCCTGGCAAATATGAAAATCAAGGTAGGTTGCTGACTAAAATAAGATTTGTTTGGATCCGATGGGTAGTTCTTGGCTGGCTGTCTTGTGAAAAGATTCCTTGCACACAGTGACTTCAGTCGTATTGAAGGCTGATTTGCGCAACTGATTCAGGATGGTAGAGATCGTCGACTTTACGTATCACGTAACGCCGAATCGTGACGAACCGTATGGGGCAGTCGACAATGTACGTCATAGTATCAGATAACACTTATCAACTGATACTTTATATGACATCAAATTTGCGTAACTCTGCTCTGCACTGACAGGTAACTGCGAACGTCGAGTTAACGCTGTGTCATAGGACTAAAGAAATTGGTCCTTTATATCGAGAGTTCATTATATCGAAAACCTCGATTTAACGAATTTGCGGAAAAACAACCAAAACGTTCGTTATATCGAAGTATGGTTAATAATTGCTTGTTTTTTCTTTTTCCTTTTTGTGGTGTGACGTTGCGCTACTTAACCTTTTGGGATCGGATCGATTACTCTAAATGACATTTGTGCTTTAATGTCTATAGCTATATGAAGACTTACTTGTGAAAAAATTAAATTAAACGCCTGTATTTATAAGCCACAGTAAGGGGGCTATAAGAGCGAATAACCGTATAGACTCGGCTGGACGTACGATCGAACAGGAACAGGCGAAGTTGTGAAAATTTCGTCAATTTTTTTAAAGCAAGGTAAGAAAAAATAATAAGGGGCCTCGGTTTAGTTTAGCGTTCACTTGTAAAACTCCCGAAGAAGTCAACGACAGTTAGACGAAACGCATCGGAGAATCATGAATGAAGAAGTTTTAAAACTATCGCCGCAGAGTGCCGCTCATTACTTTAGTCTTTTAAGACATTTTTTAAAAAAAAATTGTCACGTGTTGACATTTGTTCGTTACATCGGGGTATATTACACGTTTGGGCTTCCAGATTGTATTCGTTATATCAAGGATTTCGTTATATCGAGGTTCTTTCCCACATATTTTACTGTAACTTTGGCCGGGCTGAAGAGTATTGGTCGTCATACCGGCCGAGGACTTCATTATATAGAGGTTCCTTAAATCGAGGTTCTACTGTATTTCAAAATCTAAACTCCTGCTTGACTTTCTACAGAAATTCTACTGAAACTTACAATAAACGAAGGAAAAAGGTTCAATTCCCTTAGAGAAATTCAAAGCTCTCCTTAGTCTGAATGAAGGGTCCCCGGATTTTCATCAAGGTTCAGAGGGACTCGCTCGTGTTGAGCTTTGCGGTTACGAGGTATTAGCCAAGAACCACAGAGCCATTTGACTATCGATACAACTTGTGACGTCACTGGTACGTTTTACATCGCACATAAGCCCTTTAAGAGCGGTCAAGTTAATTTTCAAGGGCGTGTCTTTGAGTGTTTCACCTCTCTTGTATGAGATTATGCCGAAGGGATTACATTTACTTTCCTCAGCAGTGGCTAATTTAAGAAATGTCTTCTTTTCTTTAGGTGAGGGGAATTCAACGAAATGGAACTGGGAAGAGAAAACGGAACCTATTATTTTTTCTTCCTGAAAAAACTTCGGGATTTCGCAAATGGGAGAAAAATATGTCAAGGAACATTATTACTATTATACTAATAATTATTGTTATTACTGTTATTAGTTTTTTTTATCAGTTATTATAAGTGTATTAAATACAGGGGCATTGGAGAAACCAAACGCATGCAGGTTAAATACCAGAGGCAGCTAACCAATTTCTGAAAAATTTGAAATTATGAAATTTACATACAGTACTATTTGCTTCTAGTTCCACCGTCAATTCCTTTCACATTGAAACTGTTAGGGTACTTTTGAGACTCTAGAATGCGACCTTTTGTTGAAAAATCTTGTCACTCCCTTACCCTCCCAAATGAACTTACTACTTGATGAAAACTGGACCAGGCATTGAGGCATTGAATATACAATTGCAACTACGTTTGCTTAGACGATTGGTGGGAAGGATTTTCACACTTGATACCGAAGGTCAGGAAAATTGACGCTAACCCTCGGATGCAATTAGTAAAAGAGATTATCAAAATCTTGATCCTGATCTTGATTAAGATTTTGAGTTAGAAATCATCACAAAACTTCGCTGTTTGCATGGAAATCGCACGCGTCGGTTGACTCGATCTTAGAGAACTTAAAAGTAGTGCAGCTGAAAATACAACCAGACGGTTTTTGCTATTTTTAGCTGAGCCCATCTGCGCCCCCTGTCTGTGATTTAGAGGTAAGACAGTTTTGAGTCTTAAGGTAAAATGTTTTCGAGCTGTAGTTCTGTTAACTTGCATTTTGTATAAATAGCTTGCACGTATCGTTTTTTGCGATATATTACTTCGTACAGTTAAGACGTCGCAAAGTTTTCATTACCAAAATGAAAAATGAGCCGGATGAGGGGAAGTATAGGAAATCTGCGTCTTTTGTGAGCTTGTTTACTCAACTTGAATGCCGAAATGAACGCCAAAATTGTTTGCGAATATTTTAGCTTGTGCTTATGTCTTTACCCTTCTTGTTGCGAGCAAAACCTGGCTGGTCTCTTCTTCAAGGCAAAGTAAGTGAATTCGAATAAAGTTTGATCGAGATAAAACCCAGACGAATAATGCACGACCCGAAAAATTGATTTATTAATAGAAAAAAAATGCAAAAAAATATACAACAGAGAAAAAAATCATGGGCAGAAGAAATGGACTGAATAAATAAATCATGATTATCCAGGGTCATTTGTCAGTTTGGCAGTTATCTTCAACAGGCGATCTCGTCTTGCACAATATATTTCTTTTTAAGAGTTTCATGAAAAAATTTGCCTTGCGGCTTTTAAAACATGCCTGATAAGATAAAGTTTCAGACGTGACTGACCCAGGATTCGGAAGGACGAACTAAAGGAAAAAAAATTTGACCTGATACTTTGAGTAAGGTTTAACGAATAATTCTTTTCAAATTCCAAATAATGAATGCCTAATCTTAATCCATAATAGTGTTTCCTGTTTATGTAAGATGACATCTTTCATTCTGACAATGGCAACTCGGGTATTCAAAACAGTGCGAACTTTCCGTTGGTTTTCAAAGCTCCCCAAAATGTGCTTACTTAGCATCCGGTTTGATGTTCAATCAATCGAAACAGCTTTGGTTGCAAATTGCTAAAAAAAGGTGTCGAACCCCGCCTCAACGGGTACACAACATCCTAATTTTATTATTATCATTATTATTATTATTATTATTATTATTATTATTATTATTACTTTGTTAATACGTTTCTTTAGAGGCGTTCCCACGTATATGACTTTGTTAGTGTTCATATGATTTCTAAGTAAAATTTACACTACCCTTAACTGTATGGAAACACTCGTGAGCTTTGGGAAGAAGCAATTCGCGGAGAAGAATTAATCTCTCATACCGAGGAGGAGGATTGCGTTGTAGGTTATCCCCCACCTGCGTGACAAAATCTAATGACGTCATAACTTGCCGTGATTTACATAAATTACGAATATTGCAGCTTTTTGAATGTTACACTTTTCCTCTACAACCGCTCATAGCTGAATTCTGGTCGTTCCGTGCCATCTACATAGCGTTTTGATCGTTACGTTTCCGCTTGTTTGGTGAGAATTAGTGTAACTTATCTTAAATATTGTCATGTTTAGGTGAATAATTGAAAGTAAGTTGTTGGTCGAATCAGTTCTCCGAGCACACCTGAGCGTGCAACATTTACCTTCGCGTAACCATTTCCTTTTCAGAAAGTACTGTTATTTCGTTTTTACTCAACCCGCCTATAAACAAAAATTGATCATTTCTTTATGATAAGTGTCATTTCAAATTACTTAAAAAAAGTTTTTGTTTTGATTTCTCATCGCAGAGACAAATTCAGCTGGGAGCACTGCTGGACTCCTCAGAGAGGCCATGTTGTTTGTTTTCGTTCTTTGCAGTGTTCTGATCGCAGCATCAGTAGAGGCGAGCAAGTAAGAGTACATTTTAATAAGAGAACGTAACGCCTAGAGAAATATTGGCTTATTCAATTCCGATCATAACTTGAATAAATGCATAAGTTTACTTTGTGAGTTGACTCTATACTTGTACGTAAATCAAGCTATAACCTAACGAGGAAAAAATTTGCTTATTTAGCGCTATGTTCTGTAGGCTTAGAAATATTGATCCTGAAACAGAAGCCTTGAATCGAACAATTCATTTGTGTAGAGCAACTTGCACTTTTTTCACAATGTGTAACAATCAAGTCAAGGTTAAGAATGTTTCATGAAGGTCGTTTGTCGAAACAGCTCTAATGCTGACATTTAACTGGCAGCAGCTATTAGAATATATTTAGCGCGTTTGTGATATGATTTCCTCTAGAAAGTTCTTAATTAGAACTTCCGGTATAATTTATATTGTACTTATTGTATTTATATTGAGACTTGTCGTGCGAATGTCACTTGCGTGCCAAATACATTTAAAGGTTGAGGTTTGCCAATATTAAAGTAGTTTAGGATTCTGTTCCTGTTTATAAATAGCCTCATCACAAGGGGTGTTTAGAGAATTCGAGAAGGTAGTGCAAACCCGAGAAACAGTAGAAGCATTTGCATAACTTTCGACAAAAGTCCACTTTACAGTTGCGTGCTTAGTTGCCAATCCTTTAAACAGGAGTGAGGCTAAGGATGAGCTTGTTATGCTACAAACCGTGCTGCTTCTCAAATTTTAATTGCTTTGTTATCACGCTAACTAAATACCGCTCTCTATCACAACAAGGTCACCTTTAGCCTCATTTCAAATCAAAGGCTAGGCAACTGAGTACACAACTGTAAAATTGTCTATTGTGAGTGTTAAAGATGAGGGTATAAAAACAGCATAAGGTAGTCCTCTCTTTGTTTAAATTATTTTTCAAAAATAACTCAAAACAAAGAAAGCATGACATCACAACTGTGAATACAGACATACTCTCATATAAACACACCTATTGACCAATTGGAGCACTTGCACCATCTTCTGTATTTTATAACATGAATTAATCTAAGCCCCTTGTGTATCTGTAATGAAAACTTGGGAAACTCTTAAACCAAGCTTTCTGTTTTTAGAACTTAAAACTGCTCCTGGTCAGGTTTTTTTTTCCAAACTTCCATCTTGTTTAACTGAGTGTGCTGGTACAACTGAATCTATACCCTTAGGGTAATCAGGGAAAGGAACTTCAAGATTTAAGTGTCTTGTCCAATGCAAATAGCACAACAGTGCCCATGCTTTGGTGTGGGCTTGAACCTGCTTGTTTTCATCCAGAGTCAGTCCCATTGGCATGCATATTATAACCCTTTAACTCCCAGGATCTGATTGTTAATTCTCCCCTCTAGCTGCTACACATTTCCTTGTAACTTAGTTGCAAGAATTTGGTATTAGATCAAGATAACAACTACTACCTGATATATTTGAGTATTCTCATTACCTGTTTGCTGGGATAGTGAATGGATATTGTGGGGGAGAAGTTACATGTGAATCACTTCTGGGAGTTAAGGGGTTGAGACTTGCACTGCATGCAACTCTATTAGTAAATCCCTATAGAAAAAAAAGTATATGCAAAGTCTGCAATGCTTCTCAACTTACCATGATAATATTTTTCAGTAGCTACTTTATCACTGCATCAAGTGTCTTCAGACCAGGGCAGCCATTTAAACTCAGAGTCTGGCTGAATGATACTGTGACTGACCCAGTGAACATAACATGTGGTATCTTGGACGTCAAGCTCAAAACTGTGATTGCAAGCAATAGTGACACATTTGCGAACGGTCAAGTTCAGTATTTGCACATGTACCTCTGTTTATTCTTAAATTAAGAATAAATATTAAAATCAAAAATTTTTATAAATCTTTTCATGTTATTTTTGCAGGATCTAGTAAGGAAATTGCATTACAGGTACTCATGCATGATACTTTTTGCTCTTATCAAAATTTTTTATCAATTTTGTTATGTGAGTATTTGAGTCTTTACTTGTAGATTCACCCAAGTATGAATTTTAGTTTTACACGAAGTGCCTACTATCAGCTTTTTTTTTAATACTATATAGAAACAAAATAGTGAATTATGTAAAATTTGTATCTTCCAGGTTCCCTATGGCGTTGCATCGACAACTGTTACATATACTTTGTCAGTCAATGGGACAGGTGGTACCAATTTCTCTAAAACAAAATATGTTCGCTTTATGGAAAAGGGTTTTAGCATTTACATTCAGACTGACAAAGCTGTGTACAAACCGGGACAAAAAGGTAACTTAGCTTATTATACACCTCTTTGATTTGCTCCTAGATCTAAAAAGTTATTTGGCTTGGTGATGGCCATCACTTCTTGTATGGTTAATTCTGTAATAATCTTCCTGAGAGGCCTTTTAAATTCTGTTGCGTTCAGACAGGAGTCTTATGAGTATTAAGTGATACCTATCATTTTTTAATTTGGAAATTTACTGTTACATGCATCTTAGGGACAGGTGATGTGTTGATTTTTGGGAAAAAAAGAGTGATATTTATTACCAATACCTTATAACTGGAATTGTATGGCCTTCAGAGTTAAACTGTAATAGAACTCCAGCAAGAGGGCCATTTAAAAGAAATTAAAGGAGGTGTATACAGTTAACCATGCTCAATTAAACCATAAATAAAACTGTTTCAGGGTATGGCCATGTAGATGTATATCCAGATATAAGCTATAAAAAAATATTTAGATGCAGAAGAAGATTGAATTTGTCATAATTTTATCTCAATTTTTTTAATTTTCAGTTCTCATGAGAATCTTTGGAGTGCATCCAGACTTAAAACTGTACACTGGCAATGTGAGTATAATGAACTTACACATGTATAATGATTATTTTCTCCCATAAGTGAACCATAAACAACTTTATTGAAAATAGCTTGCAATGTTGCAGTCACAATATATTTCAATTCATTGCAGTTAATATACATTAATGTTAATTTATCTAAAACCAAGAAAAATAGAAATTAAATTACACTGTATACCTAGCATAAAATATTTTTGACCTAATTTATCATAAACCCAAAATTTCAAGTTGTAAGTGTCTCTTTAATTTGACTAAAATTTTAACAATTCATTTAATTTTTGAGTCTTTTCTATATTTTCTTAACAGCTGACTGTGGATATATTGGTGAGTCATTTGGATTATGGATTTTTTTCAATTAAGTTTTTCAATTATTCAGTTAATATAGTCATACGTAAAGGCATGAACACGTATGGTTGAAGTAATTAGTATTTATATATTTAATGTTTTCAAAGACTACATTTAAGGTAGTTTAAAAAGTTAAATTTACTTTTATTTTTGAAATTCCTTGCTTTAATCACAGGATCCCAATGGTAATAAGATGGCTCATTGGGTCAATGTTAACAGCCAGTCAGGTTTGGTAGTTTGTTTGTTTGTTTTTGTTTAGAAAATTTCTTTGCCTTTTACTAGTTTTTAGCAATCATCAGTGGGAATTGTTTACGATTACAATTTTTTTTACCATACTGATAACTTAGGCATGCTTAACAAAGATAAAAGCATTTATTTAGCTAAATGGAAAAATAAATAGGAGATTTGTATTTGATGATAAATAGATGATCCTGTTCTATTATTTTCAGGTGTCATCAAGAAGGAATTTCTCCTCTCCACTCAGCCAGTAGAGGGAAATTGGAAAATCTCTGTTACAGCTGCTAAGGTATTGGATACAAACAAATTGAATATAAAAAAGGAGTAAATTTTAGTTGTTCCTACAGTATGCTTGAGTAAGCCAGCCTGGAAAGTGTATACTTCCTATCTGTTATTCAATTCAAATACTGTAAGGAATTAGTAATCAAGTCATGATTTTTCTTCAAAGTACAGCACTGGGAAAAAATTGCACTCTTTATGATTTGTGCATGGATTAATCACCCATTCAAAAACAAAACTACAGCCCTCTATTGAAATAACAACTGGAAAGAGAAAGAATTATTGTGATATCTATTGAGTAGTTATGAGGTGAGGGGTATATTTGGGGCTACTTACACAGAGTCTAACCTGTATTAGGTGGCACTGAATTAAGCGATAACCACGTATTAAGCAGTCAGCTGCCTGTAAAGGCCAGGATTTGTATCTCCCTGTAATTTTCACCTCTTTTAAGGGGTCACCTCTACTAAGCGGATTGAACAGTCAGTGAAACCAGGACCACTCAAATAAATCTGAAAAAAATTTCTATCAAACAGTTTTTAATCCATGGCCTCTCCCAAAATCAAAGTAAGTAATATTTTCAAGGAAGGTTCTTCACAGTAAGTGGTCAATTATGGCATATGGTGGCATTGTTTATCGCTTTTTTATAATACCCCTAATCTATCTGTGAAACCTGTATTAAGCAGTTAACTTGTATTAAGAAGCCACCACACCATTCCCTGTGGGTGACAACTTAACACAGGTTCAACTTTACTTGAAATAATTCACCTGTAAGTCTGAAATATTTCTTATTTTTTTGTGGTTAGGACCAGAAAGCAGAACAAGTTATAGAAGTAAAGCCATATGGTTTGTAAATGTTCATCCATTTAAAATCATTACAAACACATTGATTATTCAAATTTAAATCCATCCTTCATGGATTTTTTTTCGTCAAATGTACAATGAGTGTATTTTAAGCCTGTTTAAGTACTGTTTTGTTTACAGCAAATTACACTAACTCTAGATGATTTTATATGGTGATTCTTCTGTGCTCCTCACCTAGGAGGTTAAGTTTGTAATTTAATCACCAAAAAATAAAATGCAGCTATTCAGGACTGTAAAATTAGAAACACTTAAAAATAATTGACAGTGTATATTTTGCTTTTGTTTGCAGTGCTACCCAAATTTGAAGTGAAGGTGAACCTTCCAGATTATGCCCTTGAGAAAGAAAAATATATCCATGGTTCTGTTGATGTCAAGTGAGTTCCTTACCTTAAAAGAACATCAGCAAATTTTAAGCCGCTGGAATTGAAATATTTTAGGGATAAGTATGTTCTAAACCAAAGTTGACTTGTTATCGGTTTAAAAATTGGCATCTTTCTCTTAGTATATATATACACGTAGATAGCTGGGTTCTGCATACTTCACCAACCTCCATGACCTTCCCCCACCCACCACTCCCTCCCTGTTTCTATATTGACATCACTTGGCACATCTCTTTTGCATTAAGTAGCCCTTAAACTCAAAAGAGTGACCAGGAAGTAATTTCCTATCATCCTGGCCCTAGTTTTTCAAAGGGCAGATAACAATCTGACAGATAAATTGCTATCTAGTGGATAAGAGCTAACAAAATGTACAGCACTATCCATTGGATAAAGATTTATCAAATGGATGGCATTATCCACCCCTCAAACAACCAGGATCTGATGCGGAGTGGTATTTAGAAGCAAGAAAATTGTAGACTAGAGGATGCAGCTCAATTGAACATCAAATTATTTGGGGCTTAAGTCCTGAGAAATATATGGTAAATAGTAAGGAGAATTACTTGATATCACAAATAAAAAGGCTAACACACTTCATGAACATTTTACTATTGGATCCAGTAAGTGCATTGAATAGTGATGTTTCATTCCTGATATTGTTATTTTTTCTTTTCTAAAGGTATACGTATGGAAAGGGAGCCAAAGGTCGGGCAAATATTCAGTTGTATTTTCCTTATTTCTGGCATCAAAAGAAGCCCACGTATGCTAAAGATGTTCCTGTAAGTACCAGGAAGTATTGTGAGAATTGCATGTACACTGTATGTCTATAAAAACTAACTGCTTTTATGTGTTCCAGGTTGTTGATGGCCATGGAAAATTTTCATTCAGAATGAAGGATATTAATCAGTTATTCAAAAAGAGTTTTGGTGATTACATGGATGACAGCTTCCTCTATAAATATGGTTACAGAATGGAGGTCAATGCAACATTTTACGAGGATCTCACTGGAAAGAAAGCCGCTGGCCTAGGAAGCATTTCTTTTCATGAGATAGACGTGAAGTTGCAATGGGCTGAATTCAATCCAGAGAACTTCAGACCAGGACTACCTTACACAGCTTTGGTAATAAATTGCTAAAACTTATCAGATCAAACTATATCTTGTTGCATTTTTGATGTTAAGCTTTTATGTTTGTCTGTTGGATGACTTTTTTTTAAAATACTTGATTATTTGTGGAGGTGTTTTTGATTTGGCTTTGTTTGTTTCTTCCCTCATGTCTTTGTTTTTTTTTGTTATCTTTTTTCGTAATAACATGATGTTCAGTATGAACAAGCTCTACTTTTACCCTAGAGATTACTGGGGCAAATCAAAATGGAAATTGTTGGAAAATTTTGTTGTAGGATGAATCATGATCCATGAGGTAGCAGTCTGAATGGGGGAGATGCTTGTGTTTGCTTATTAAGAAATTTGTCCAGTAGGTTCTATCACAGCTTTCATTAGCCTGCTAAAATGAGCAGAGATCCATAAGTCAGCAAGTAGACAGCAGTCTGCTTGCAGTCTACTTGCCTTTCCTTGACCGAGAAATTGGTCAAGACCTAATAGCATGCTTCATCACAGCTTTCATTAGCCTGCGAGCAGTCTCTTATCATTGGTGTTGCAGGATTTACATTTCTCTGCCCACAGGAAGATTAGAGACAAATCGCAGTGAGGCTTACCGGGTAGTCTGGCACTAATAACCATGTTAGACCCCTTACAGACGTCTTTCAAGGCCTCATACTTTCCAGTGGGTGGAGTAATGCCTGTGCTGAATTTCTAATAACGGGAGCTACTTTCAGGGTAAGCTTTTATTTGATAATCAAGATACTGACTTTACTTCCCTGTGTATTGTGTTTAGGTTACTGCTGTGCAACCAAACAATGAGCCACTCACTCCTAGTAGACTGCAAGAAATTCAGGGTAAAATCAAGCTAACGACTAAGTATCAATGGAATGACAAAGGGACTGAAGAATTTTTGCCGCATTCAAGTGATGGAAGTTTCATCATTACAAAGGATGTTCCATCCTCTGCATATTATGTATCTTTAAAGGTTTGTTAGAGGGTTTTCATTAAAAAATGTAGTGCTAGGAAAATAGTGCAAGGTAACTAGAGAATATCCTCCTTTTCTTGATATAGAATAGTTTTTAATCCATGAAATATTTTTGCTCCCTCTCTCTTATCATAGGTCTAAGCAAGCGCATCACCTGACCAAATATACCCCAGCTAAAACTGGAGAATATCCAGTGAACCAGTGATACCCCCAAGTGATATTCAAAACCTTACATTCACTATGATAAAGATCTTCCTCTACAATTTCATTTGAGACGAGAGCATTTTTCTTTTGTTACTAACAGGAGAATTAACATGTTTGTTTTTTCATTAAGTCTTACTAGAGAAAATTGAAAAGGAAACAATATCCCATAAAGGAAAAATTTAAACCGTAAACAATTTTCCTGCGCGTTCCAAAAATACTTGAAGAACGAAAAACACAATTGCATCCATTTGGTGGGAAAATGTGCTTGTATATAGGTTTGTTCTTGGATATTATCAATTCCTCGTAATTCACAGTCTTCCCCAAGCATCTCAGAACAGACCATGTCTGAAGACAAATATCCGAGCATATTTTTTGTGCCAAATAAAGGCTATTAGTAATTTAGACTATGAAAATGTAGCTGGAGAATGAACACCCAGATATCATGGTCAGAAAATTGTTCGTTTTTCACTGGCTTGTTTGTTTCATTTTGTATCTATCACCATCAATTCAGTGAAGTCTGACTGAAGCAAACTTTAAGTGGACACAACCTGTATTATAGTACACCAGCCAAGGTCATTATTTTGTCCCAATTCTGTCAGTAAAATGTTATGGGATAAATTCAGAATAATGCAATGACATTGACATATAGCCCACACACATGCAGTTATTTTTGCCATACGACCCTATGATATGGGTGATGTAAATTCAAAATTTTGAACTCTGGTACTGTGTATTTATTATTTTTTTCCATTTTGCAGGCAGAATATTACGAAGGTCTGAAAGGAACATGGGCATATTTGTCAGCTTCTAAGGCCAGCTCACCAAGCAAATCTTTCTTACAGTTATCAACAACCACACCTTCAGTGAAGGTTCCATCAGTTTTTCACTACAGTTATTTTAACTAAGTGACTTGAAAATACTAATTGTTTGGTTAGTCGTAGTGTACATGTAGTTGAAAGTAATTATGGATGTAGAATGATATTTTTTGAACCTATTTGGGCTGTAATGTATCAGATAACTTCAAACCTTTAGGGGACACTGAGTAGGCTGAATCAGAATATGCTTTATAAAATAATTCAAATAGTACGCGCGCTCTGATTGGCCATAAAACCATTTTACATGAGCGTATGTAAACACGGTTTTCGTTCCTCTTTCATTAGTTATTTTATAAAAGAAATGTAAAATGGTTTCCGTGTTTACATAGCCTGATGTAAACACGCGATAAGCTGGATGTAAACACTCGATAAGCTGGAAACCACTCCGCTTCGCGTCGTGGTTTCCTACGCTTATCTCGTGTTCTCCCAACCTCCCGCGTGTTTACATCAGGCTATGTAAACACGGAAACCATTTTACATTTCTTCAGTGTTCCTCTGAAGCATAAGTGGCCAGCATTTTCGCCAGCTTCTTCTTATTTAAGCGCCGGCTACCTAATAAGACGAAGCAGTGAAGTGCCTGTCTTGATCCAAAATAAAACTAAAACTTTGCTGGCAAGTGTTTTTCTATGGTTGGCCGCTAATGAAAAACACTGTGGAGGACACTGAATTTTGTTACTTACATATCAGTATATAAACACATAAGTAAATTGATATTGTGAACGGAAAGGTACTATTAATTCTCTCGATGTACCTGTTCAACAGTAATGTTTAAGCTCCATTTTGAGGCTGTTGTGAGTTTACACACTATTGTTTACAGGCTGGTGATGTAATAGCATTGGCCGTGGAGGCTACTTTCCAACTTTCAGAGTTGAGATATATGGTAAGTTAACTATCGTAATTGTTTTACAGTAAATGGTTTGAACCCGGGAGTAACATGTAATAGAGTAGTTTGATCGTCCGGGTGAGTGTAGTCCTGAGAAGGACTGTTGTCGGTAGTGGTGACATACGTTTCGACAACCTGAGCGGAAGTCATCATCAGAGTCAAGTGAAAGGTTGTTGTCAGTCGAATGTACTTAGTCCAGTTCGTGTACACTGATTGGTCAGTTTTGCCGTGATGTTATTGGCTGTAAGACTCAAGTGGCGTAGGTCAGTCGTGATTGGTCGGTTTGGATCCGTTAGTGAAGTTAGGTCGTTCTGTCCTGTTCGAACGAACCGACTACACTCACCCGGACGATCAAACTACACTACTATCGTAATTGTTTATTAGACAGACTGGACTAGCTGCATATATGTTAGAAACATATTAAGCATGGTAAGATATGCGTTACCTCAACCAATCAGGTGCGTTACTAAGACGGATTGCTTTCTGAACTCTTGTGTTTTCCGACAGTTAAAAAACTACTCAAGTGAGTGTTGTACGAAATCCGGAATTGCTCTGCTTTTTATTCACTCCGTTTTGTGATTAGTTAAAAAAAAAATCACGCCACCCTCTGATCCAATTAGATGCAAGACTAAAACTTATCGCGTCTTGGCCACTTGCGTTTTCCCGCGCTTCAAAGAGGTGGCTTGTTTTTACTCTGGGCTTTCATTGGCTTATTTTGATGTTGATCTTTGTTTTGATGGGCCGTTGTAATTGCACGGGCTTTAGTTATTGTGACAGCAGATCGACTTTAGCTTTAAGAACACGTGTCGATTTGTTATGTTGCTTGTGATCCCCAGCCTTCGCTCTCATTTTCTGAGAAGATATTTGAACTTTGGATTTGGTTTCTTGGCGTTCAATCGAAGTGTGCTCCATAGAGGTTATTTCATTTTCCTTTTTTCCCTATGGAACAGGTTTTGTCACGTGGCATGTGGGTTAAAACTGGTTCTCACATTGTGTCTCCTGGCTCCACCAAAGCGTCCTTCACCATCCAGTCCAAAACAGAAATGGCGCCTAGTGCTCGTCTATTGGTTTACTGCATAAAACAAAGTGGGGAAGTTGTTGTAGACAGTCTGAATATCGAAGTAGAGAATCCTTTCCAAAATGAAGTGAGGACCTTCTTTAGCTTGGTGTTCATCATCATCTTTATCTGCTTCTCTTTCCCTATTTCCTCTCCCTCTTCCTCTCTATCTTCTCCATCCTTTTTCTCCCCATCTTTATTTTCATCTGCTTCTGTGCATCTTCCGTCTCCTCTTCTTCTCTCTAATCTTGTTTTTCTCCCTCTCCATCTCCATTTACACCTTCGTCTTGTTCTTCGTCTCCATCTTCAGGTTTCTGTGACAATCGACACCAACAATAGAGACAGCGTCGCTCCGGGTGACATGGTAACTATAAAAGGGAAAGCAACTCCAGGATCTTTCATTGCCTTCCGAGCAGTCGACAAGAGTGTACTTCTCATGAAGGAGGATACAGACCTGTCTGTTAAGAAGGTTCTAGAAGAGCTTCAAAGTTACGACTCGGCGCAAGTTTGGTATCCATTTTGGGACTGGGGCAGGCGAAGTAGACGTCGTAGAATGATCATGCCTTATCCCTCTTCAGGACGCAATGCGGCAGCAGTCTTTGAGGTATTTATGTGAAACTGAGGCAAAAGGACGAGACAAATGGAGAAACATGTTCCGGGAATAAATTTTTGCCACACTTTCGTTTGCTTTTGTTGCCGACGAATCGTGCCCGATTCATAATTTTTTCCATTTTTACGAAAAATAGAAGGGTAAAATTCCAACTTGACCATGTGAAAGTGGGTACGTAGAAACAACAGCTTAGCTTACTCAGTTCACATATTTTAACTCAGGAGGGGTGTTTCTTGAGTGGTTCTGATTTGGGGGGAGATCTGTGGGGGTAATCGATTCTTGAATCAGCACCGATGTCATAACGCCCTTTTTTCGATGCCCGTTGATTGTTTTACTTTGTAAAAGCTCTACTCTACTTGAGAGAGACCTCATATCGCATGTGGAACTGTAAGTTTTTGTTTGTTTGTTTGTTTGTTTTTATCAGGGGTGGTACCTTGGGTTTCTTCCCATCCTCTCTCTTATAGTGTGACTAAAGATGCTCTTAAGTGGCCAGATATAAGACTAATAACACTTTTGTTGATGAGCAACCTCTCCTTGCTGCTGACACCTTTCATTTCTTACCCTCCCCTGCCCCCCCTTCAACTCACAAAAATTATCTGTACACCGTTTTTGTTTTCATTGGCAGAACTCTGGTCTCGTTGTTATCACTGACTATGAATTGCCAGGGGGCTTTGATGACCGAATGATAATGATGGCACCAATGCCGAATATGGAGTCAGGTGTGTAAGAATACATTTCGTGGTGTTTATTTGGAGTATTGCCACCTCGTGAGTTAATCTAGCTTAAATGTTTGTCAAAAAACTGCGAGTCTTCACCTCAGGGTTCTGTCAGATATTATTCAACGTTAATTGCTTTCCGGTTGATTTCCGATAAGATTCTATTATATATTTAAATGAGAGAGACCAGAGAGGGAGATCAAATTGATTAAAAAAGGTTTCGGAACACAGCAGACTCGTCAGTCTCATTTACGACAGTTCGTACAAATCTGGAAAGTCATGGGTCTTGCGAGCTTATCATAGAATGGCATAAGAAAATGACCCATAACCATTTCTTTAAAAGGGAAAAAAACCTTAAATAACTAAAGCTTCCAACAAATGCTCGCTTTCACACTAGAATTGAGTGTCGAAGGTATTTCAGGATTATTATGACTGTGGTTTTGCTTTACTTCGCTTTGTGTTCGGTCTAGTAAACTCTCGCCAGTTTTTCAACCGATCAGATTCAAAACTAAACCCAATCTGAATATTTCACGGAAAGTCAGAAAATTTTATTGGCTGAAACGAGTAAGAACCTTCAAACTGATTTCAAATAAAGAAAAAAAAGGAATTAAAGGCTACATTAGCGTGGCTTTGACCACTTTTAAGGGGTTAAAAGCCACTAAACCTTAGTCGCGAACGTTGGAAAATTTTGTTTTGCGTTTAGTTCGCCTTATCACATCCATGTGCGACAATGGCTAATCATTTTTATGCGACAGGAGTTTGTATTGTTGTTGTTATTCAGTCGACTCTCTTTTGTATCACTTCATACATACGTGCTGCAGCAGATGGGGAAATTATGTTCAAAGCAAATAGTAACGGCGGTGGCGCGCCCAAGCTTGCTGAAGTGAAGCGCGTCAGAAGTCTGTTCCCTGAGACCTGGATCTGGTTGGAGTATGATGTCAAGTAAGTGACTTACGGTGTAAATTAATTTTGAACGGAGAGAGGAAATTGATTATTTCTCCTCTTAGTGGATGTTGTCGACCTGTTTAGGTAACGTGACGAATTGCTTGGGGTTAACTGCCTTTACGCTGGCAAACCTGTATTAAGCATTTAATTGTAGGAATAGCTTTTGACTTGTGAGACGCAATGTCCTGCCGATTTGAGTATCGGTGACTATTTGGAATAGTCACGATCTTGCGCTGTTCACGATAAAGCGCCTGATAGTCAAACAATTGAAGCCACCGGTACTTATAAGGTAAGGGATAATCGAGTATGCGAGGCGGTCATCTTTTTTATCTTTTGTGGCTAATCTATAGAAGTTGAATATTTGTTGCTCAGTAACCAAATTGCAAAAGAAAAAAACAAACAAAATAAAGCAGAAAAATGGAACAGAGGTTACACAAAAACACAAACACAAGCAAGTTAAAAAAGATTTTAAAACCAAGGGAAATGCTTCTTTGTTTGTGACTTTTTGATAACTGAGAACCTTCCGTCGTGAGCCTGTATAAAAAAATGTTTGTGAACCGTCTTTTTGGTATTAGTTCTGCCAACTGAGAACCCTCTGTCGTGAGCCTGTATAAAAATGTTCGTTTACGGTCTTTGTTAGTAGTTCTGCCAACTGAGAATCCTCTGTCGTGAGCCTGTATAAAAATGTTCGTTTACGGTCTTTGTTAATAGTTCTGCCAACTGAGAACCCTCTTTCGTGAGCCTGTATAAAAATGTCTGTTTATAGTCTTTGCTATAAGTTCTGCCAATTGAGAACCCTCTGTCGCGAGCCTTTATAAATGTATTTTTATGTTTTTTTTGTCAGTTCTGCAGGCGAGGTTGAATTTCAGCGGGCTGTCCCTGATACACTAACCACATGGGTAACCAGTGCTTTTGCTGTGTCCAACGTTACCGGTCTCGGTGTTGGAGAACTTAAACCACAGGTTGGTGTTACTTTTTGAGGGTGATTGCTTAACTCATTACGCCCTAACATCAAAATGCATATTTTCCGAACTGTTTTCTATAAATTTTCTATGGTACTCCTTGACAAGGACAATTTGTTTAACAATCAAGGGCTTCTTAAGCTGAAGATTATTTCCTAAATTTTTATAATTTTTTTTTCTGTTTGATTCAGCAGCGATACTGCAAAGAGAGTTCAGATAATAATTACTCTTAGGGGTTAAAAGATCCACACATTGCTCTGGAGCTACGCTCCTATTCCCTATTCAGAGCGCTTTGGTAGCTTTTAGCTAATAAGCTCGTTGGTCAATCCTGTAGCTGTTTAATCCGGTTGAATGAAAACCTTGATTTTAAATGCAGCTATCTATTTCTAATATTTCTCTTAATGGTACAAGTCATTATATTTTTTAACCTGGGTTTGAAGGAGTTCTATTTTTCTGGCCATTAGGTGAAAGTGTTTCAGTCGTTCTTCGTATCTTTGAATCTTCCATACTCTGTTGTTCGAGGCGAAGAGCTCGCTCTGCAGGTCACTGTCTTCAATTATGAGGCTGAGAAACAGCTGGTAAGTTAAACAAGTAACTAAATAGTTATTGAAAATGGGTTATGAAAGAGTAACGAACGATTCGCGAACGAATTACGAACGATTAACGAACGAGTAACGGACGATTAACGAACGAGTAACGAACTTGTAACGAACGAGTGACGGACGATAACGAACGATTAACGAACGAGTGACGACGATTAACGAACGAGTAACGGGCGATTAACGAACGAGTAACGGACGATTAACGAACGAGTAACGAACGATTAACGAACGAGTTATGGACGAGTCACACACGAGTAACGGACGATTAACAAACGAGTTACGAACGATTAACGAATGAGTAACGAACGATTAGCAAACGAGTAACTAACGAGGAACGAACGAGAAACAAACCAAGAAGTGAGAAGTGACGATTGACAAAACCTTAACCTGTCCTCGCGTTTGTTGTTGTTGATGATTTTTCTTTGGGAAGCCGTGTTTGCACCTTTTGTAATCGTAGGATTATTTGAACTGGTCAATTTTCACAGTGTAGGTCTTGTGTGTATGTTTGATTTAATCACTGAAGCCACATTGTCATGAAGGCTACAGATAGAAGAAGTTTATAACTTGATAGGATCTTTTCCGTTGTAGAACCAATCGAAAGTTTTGTCCCTTGAATAAAGGAACCCTTCTAGAGGCCAAAAAGAGAGGCTCTACAGAGAGGCCCAAAGGAGAGGCCTAAAAGAGAGGTTGCATATTCTCTAACGTAGTCGTCAACTCAATGACTTTTTTTGTTTTCTGCCAAGGTCACAGTGACACTGAAAGCTTCCAAAGACTGGGCTATCATAGATGAAGTAAACAGCCTTGGGCTAAGGGGGCAAAGCTCCGTAAACAAGGATTATGTCGACAAAGCAATGGACCTTTCAGTGGAGATTGAGGTTGGGGCCGGCGAAGGAAAAGCTGTGTCGTTCCCCGTGGTCCCGAAAACATTGGGTCAGGTACCAATTGAAGTTCGAGCTCAATCTGTGTCCAACGCTGATGCTGTTAAAAGGAACTTGTTGGTAGAGGTAATGATGCAAACAGTTGTGGAAAATTGTTTCTATTCATGGAAATTGTGATGCGAAATCTAAGAAACTTGTAATGGTAACAGGACCGAAAAGAGGAGAATTAAGTTTGTCACCATGCGATCAATGACATGACGTCTTCACTTTAAAAGTGTGGTATTTGAAATGTAACAACTTTTTCAAAAGATAATATGGTTTTATCAATTTAGTTGATAACAGAAATTGACCGCCGTTAAGAGTTTGTAAGCTGACGTTTCGATTGTTAAACCTTTGTCAGAGCGAAAGACGAAAAGCTCAACGTTCGAAACGTCACGTTTAGAAACTCTTTTTGGTGGCCGACTTACATTATCAACTCAGTCGTTAAAATCTAATTATCATGTAACACCCTCTACCGACTGCGACGCAGCACCACAGTTTCTGTAGAAACTAACCCCGTTATTTCTTTTCTCACAGCCAGAGGGAGTGCCACAGGAATATTCTATCAGCGTGTTATTGGATCTTAACTCCAGTATGTAAAACCTTTCTTAAAGCCAGTTGTATTGTTGCTCTCAGTCAGTTACCACTTGCCAAATGTTTTACAGCTCATATTGGTGTTGTAACATGGATCGACTGTTTTGTGTGCTCTTTGCAGCCTCAAGTCTTACACGCACACTGGATCTGAGTGTACCAAAGAACACCGTCAAGGGATCTGCGACAGCCACAGTGTCCATCATGGGTAAGTGTTGTCATCGAGATCAATTTTCATTGATTGATGCCGAGATGAATGATGAATGATTGCTTTCTGAGTTTGTTGTCGGTTCTTTTATGTCTTTCTCTCTTACCGAGCTAAGATTTTTTATTTTCCCTTAGTTGAACGTAGCCTGTTGCAGGCATTTAGGTAATGAAACTGAGCGAAATAGTGAACGGCGCGATTTTAGCGGCAGTGCGAAAACAAGAGAGGTCTGGGTTTAGTCGTTCATTACGCAACGCGATCCAGACCTCCCTCGTCTCTCACTCCTCCGATAGTATATCGCCTTTTATCATCGCGCTTCGTTTTACGACAGGCTAGTGTTACGTAGTTTTCACGCGCAAAAAAATGTATATATCTTTGCAAAACTTCACTTCAGTTTCACCTTTTTTGAGTTTTCGTAGACTGGTTAGAGTAGAACTGAAAAAATCTTGGACGTTCTAGTAGCGGAGGGACGGAGTCACTCGCCCACATTCTACTCCATGTAAAAACTTGTAGACTTCGAGCACCACGAAACACTTCCGTTGTGGTTTACGTCCTGTTGTAACACTCCTACATTTCTCTTCTCCAGGTGACATTCTTGGATCGTCTCTGAACAACCTGGATAAGTTGCTGCGCATGCCCTATGGTTGCGGTGAACAGAACATGATTAATTTCGCTCCAAACATCTACGTCAAGAAATACCTGAAGACAGTGAACCAACTTGCGGATCAAATGGAACGGAAAGCCAAAACTTTTATGATCTCAGGTTAGTGCTGAAAACTTTCCGAGCAAACAACGTTTTTAGCCCTTGTCCGAATATTGAAACAGACCTGAAAACCAAGTACTTAAGGGATTACTGACGTGGTATTCAGGATGTTGTTAGTCACTCTCTGTTACATTCGCACAATTATACAACAAACAGTGGCTTTTGGTTGTTCTGCGAGCAAACTCTGTTAAAGTTCTTTATTTTTCTGTAATTTGATTGGTTACTTTAAGCAAGCCTTGAAATCTGATTGGTTGCTGTGTTTAGTAAAGCTTTCTCATTGGTTAGGGGACAAAAATGCGATTTAGAGCCAAAAAATGGTGCGATTTGTGAACGTATCACACCAATGAGGACCAATCGTATTGCAAGGATCACCATTGATTTCAAAATAGATGTAATAAATAGTGTAATCTTTTCCCATAAAACGCCAAAAAGCGACCTCGAGCATTCCTCAGCCATATTGATAGAGCAAGCCTGGGCAGTGATAGCGCAAATGATTTTACTGCATCGTTTATAGTTCATACTTGTTCCTTTTCACAGGATATCAACGTGAACAAACCTATCGTCATCGTGACGGCTCATACAGCGCTTTCGGTGAACGTGATTTATCTGGAAGCATGTGGTAAGAACGTGGATTTGACAATGTTGCACTTCAAGCAAGGATGATATCAATGAGAAGGGATTTAAACACAAAGTAGAACTTACATAAGATAGAGTAAAAGGAATTTGTAAGTTAAGGGATAATTTCAATTATTCATTCTATTCCAAGAAAACCGAGGCGAACTTTTCGAGGGTGATATTTAACAATATTCATCATTGCGCAAGAACATCGCATATCGGCATCCCTATCCTCGTAATATGCGGGAAGTTTGTCACCATAGATATAGGTAAACGGCCTAATCTGCCGCAAGTCTCCTATAGCTCGGTGATAAAGCATCCGAGGTACTAATCGGAAGGTCGTAGGTTCGACTCTTATCGGGAACACTCAGTAGAGCATCCGAAGTACAAATTGGAAGGTAGCAGGTTCGAATCGTATTGGGATTACTTGCAGTTCTTTTTCCGAGTATGCCAGTGTTATTCACTGAATGACGTCATCTTTTACTTTCAATTTTCAACAGGATCTTTTTTTTCCTTCCCTAAGGATACTTAAAAAGCTTGTTTCCTCCATACAATTAAACCTTGTTGTTTCTCCTTCCCCATTAGGCTGACAGCATTTGTAGCAAAGTCTTTTGCACAAGCGCGCGCGTTTATACCTGAATACATCGATGACGAGTTGTTAGAAGAAAGCTTGGAATGGATGTCACGTCAGACAAACATTGACAAATCCTTCAGGAAAGTTGGAAAAGTTCACAGCTCTGTTCTGAAGGTAATGTGTTTTGTTAACCACCAATCAGGTCAGAATCGATGATCATGCGGCAATACTTGCCTATTTCCTTTTTCTTGTAGGGAGGTCAAACTGGTGCAATCTCACTCACGGCTTACGTCCTTGTTGCTTTGGCTGAGGCGAACTCAAAGTCACAGGTAAGATTATTTTGAATTTATATTTCCCACTCCCCACCGGTTCCGAATTGATCAGGGTTTCTTCAGGTCCTGGAAAAGCTGAAAAGTCCTGGAAGTTTATTTTAACTTTTTCCAGGGCTGGAAAGTCTCCGAAAAAGACTACAGGTCCTAAAACGTCTTGTAGATCTACTTAACTCAACCAATAAAGTTTTCAGAATTTACGTTAAAAATATGTATACCGTAAGGAGAATTGATTTTGAAGTATTGGGAATGAAAGGTTTTAAGGTGAAATTTGGAGTCCTGGAAAATCAATCAGAGTTGTGGAAAAGATCCTGGAAAAGTCCTGAAATTTGTTTCGGAAAGAAAAAGGGTGCGAACCCTGTTAATGTATTTCTTTTACGGTGGAAGGGCGGGGAGAAGATGACAAAATACATCGAGGTTGGGAAGGGTAAAGAGAGATTGTGTTCACCCTTTTATAAGAAGTTATAATGCGCATCGTAATTATAAATAGGATGCTTTGTCCATACATTAGCTCTTCTTTAAAATGAGGATAATTGTAATAGAAAATTACGAAAGCGCGAAAAGTTAACGTTACATACTTCTTTGTGGAGATGACTTTTCTGTGAAAAGATTACTATTCGCGAAGGGTATAGTTGTTGTAAGTGAAGTGTTGTAGTAAGGTACAACGTACTCTCCGTCCTATCCCCATTATTGAAGCGAGCTCCTGATTTCACCCCCCTGTAGTAGCGTAACCAGCTGTTTCCTGAGAGTTTTTATCGGCGAAGGCTCGTGCAGAATAAAGAAGAAAAACGTTTTCGCGTGCAGTGTTTTCCGCGACTTAATTACTTTGATCGAGCGCAGTTAACCGACTAATTTTGTAATGAAGAGTGTTTGGAGGGCGTCAAAAGAGCATGCCTTAAATTCCGAGTTTTAAATATCTTTAAAGGTGACCCATTTTGATTTCAGACTGTTATTAACGCCAAGAATGGAGCCATAAGTTTCTTGGAAGGCAAGGTTCAAGCTATGTCAAGTGATATACAAGACGCTTACACGTTAGCAATCACCGCATACGCCCTGGGGCTGGTCGGCAGCGCCACGAAATGGAAAGCACTCACGGAACTGCGTAAATTGGCCGTAGAAAGAGGTATAAGTTGAGCATGCGCAGAGGTCGTAAACGTAAACGGACAAGGGAAGTGAAGAATGCCAAGGGAAAGAGAGCGGAATCTGTGAAACCAAGCCTACAAAGCTCCTTTTCCTTAGAAGGCTTCCTTTGTCTTAAGTGCAGGAGACATGGCGGTCTAATGGTTAGAGTGGTAGGGGGGGGGGTCTACGATGAACTTGCAGCCATGCAGGGGGGAGGAACAGTACTCCAAGTCACTTCATGCTAATTGAATCGGATTAAGCCCAGCATGAAAGATCCAGAAGGGTTATTTATGTTGTAATCGAAAGTTTCTTCCCATGCGGAAAATTCTAGGCACCTCTCAGATCGTGCATCGATCAGCAGTAAACGTCTGCTTAGCCTGTTAGATTACAACTTTTTGAGGTCATGAAATTTGATACACTCTTCATATTCCACACCATGAATTTCAGATGGTCTTATTTACTGGCAAGAAAAACCGGAAGGCAACAAACCAAACGACAATCCGTGGTGGCGCCCATATTACCGTCCGCGATCAGCTGACATAGAAATCACTGCTTACGCTCTGCTAGCTTTCACACTCAACAAAGATATAAGCGTTGGTCTGCCCATCTCCCGCTGGTTGTCTCAGCAGAGAAACTCGCTCGGAGGATACTCGTCAACTCAGGTGTGGTGCAGTTTTTGTAGTTTTTTTTGCTTTTTTTTTTTAAGATTAATTGAGTTTATAGAGCAATTTTCAATTGAATGTCGAAAGTAATCCGGAATTGTTTCGCTTTAGCTTAACTTTGTTCTGTGATTGGTCCAAAAACACTCGCACCATCCTCTCAGCCAAAAAGGTACAAAATTGAAAACAATAGCGACTTGGTCATTCACCGGCGTTTCCCGCGCCTCAAAGAATATCCTTGTTTTCATTTTGAGTTCTCTTTGGCAAACAGTTTTGTTAGCTTTTGTTCTGATTGGATATTAGATGACAGATAGCTGACGAGGCCCGTTAGGCCGAGTTGGCTATAATCATCTCATATTCCACAAACGTTGGTGGAATGATGTGTTCATGAAAAACGCCCCAAAATATGGACAAGTCTTCCTAAATTGTTTTTGTAAGAATCGCGCACCAAATTTGTAGAGCATGGTATAATGGCTCATAACCCATGATGGCTAAGCCAATGAAAGCTCGGGAATTGCATCATCTAATGATCCAGTTTTTAATAACTGTGATTATAACGTATCTTCTTTCAGGACACGGTGATTGGACTCCAGGCCCTCTCGGAGTTCGCCGAGTTAATTTATGCGCCTGATATCGACTTCACAGTTCGTTTGAGTCTTACTGGGGATCCGTTCTTCAGCAAAACTGTAACTGTCAATCAACAAAACTCCATGGTGCTACAATTAGTAGAGGTAACGTCGTAATTTCTTCTTGAATCAAAACATATTTATGTGTGTTATTTATCAGGCGGGAGGTCCGTATGGGAAAACTTTGTTCGAGGTATCGTGTGCGGCTCGAAGCCGAAGACTGAGCGCCTTACTCGAGAACTAGGGCAAAGTTGTCTCGCATACGGACCAACTTAGAGCGGTAAATAACTTATTTTGATAACTTATTGTAGATTGTGAAACATGCAGAGTTAGTCCATACAATTTGGGAAAGGTTTTACTTAAAATTTTGTTGTGAACAGATTCCAGATGTGGCTGCAGCAGGCTCTCTGAAAGTATCGGCAGATGGTCGTGGAGTAGGAATGTTACAGGTTAGATTCAACTGGTTTACAGTACTGCAATGAAAGCGTTCGATAGTCTGAACATTTAAGGCCAGAGGCTTGATAATTTGTTCTGGTCATTTAGTTTCTTCGGAGATAGGAATGTTTCAAAGCGGCATCCTTAGAAAAAAAAAAAAACCACGAGCCTCGAACGCAAGCTCATCAGGCTTATTCTTTAAATTCCTAGAAATAGTCCAAATTTTTCTTCTTCTCACGATTTCAATGTACCATCTGGAAGAAAATCGACCAAAGGAGACGCATGTTAGTTAAGGGCTGATATCTTGATAACACATGAAATTCTCTTCGCTAATGTATCGCGGCTTGAATGGAAAATAGAAAATTAGATTGTGTAATACTCCGCTGTTATGTAACTGTTGGTCTCCCGTCACCGAGGTGGTTAAGTGAGCGTGTTACGTAACTGGACCAAACGACAGCTACGAAGGAGACTATATAACTGTATGACCGATGATAACTTTAGTATTCCCCTACAGGTGGGTGTCACTTATAACGTGGACAAAGCCCCTGACGAAAACTCGTTTGATTTCCTCTTGGAAGTCATCCGGGAAACTGATTATGAGATCGAAGTGCAAGCGTGTTCCAAGTGGACTGAGAACGATCAGAGCTCGGGTATGGCGGTCATGGATGTCGGGATTCCTTCAGGATTTGAATTAGACCAGAACAGTGTCGATAAGGTGAGACCTTCCATTATGAGTTTGACGAGGTGCTATTTTTCTTTATCAAAATGATACGGTTAATTGTTTATGAGTTAAAAAGTAAACCGTCTTTGGCTGCAGTGACTTTTGTTATAAGTCTAAGGTGGGGGGGGGTGAGAGGGATTTTGATTGTGTTAAAATAAAATTGACCTGATAAAACCCCCCCCCCCCCATTGACAACCAATTTTCTACAGTTCCCCCCTTTAAACTCTGTCAGAGACGACTGATACCTTGCTCCGTTCCCCTAGAAAACCATGTGATCCCTTCCAAAATAATTCGACCCCGCCCCCTCTCTCCCCTCCCCGGCGCTAAATATTGACTGGTCCCTATCAACCTGGTAGGCTGGTAGCGAAGATGGCGGTCTGGGTCAAAAAAAGGAGTTAAGATTACGTACCTGTGTGCCGGTTTCTCTCTGCAGATTATGTCGAACCCATCTCTGAAGCTGAAGCGTGTCGAGACGGAAGATCGCAAAGTGCTTTTCTACTTTGACGAGGTGACTTACACAAGGTTACAGTTCATGATAACAATTTTTGAAGGTGTTATTACTTTGTTTAAAGTATTGAGATTACCATGTTTGATGTGTGAGTCACAGCTTCATGAAAGTGACTCATTCGACGACACGGATTTTGAACAAACATTCCATTGTCCTAATGTGTGTGGATGAGCTGCAAAAGAGTTGGTCAAACTATGTAGCTGATTAACAAACCTTTCTTTTGAATTACAGATCCCTTCAAGTCGAAAGGTGTGCGTGAAAGTGTTGTTTCAGCGTGCTTTTGACGTAGGAAAACCTCAGCCCTCTTCAGCATCCGTTTACAGCTACTACGAGCCAGGTACGAGATGATATTCGCAATAAAAATGATTTGTTTCTCTCTTATCATAGTTACTTTAATGCGCTTTCCGTGATGTGGGTCTTAACAAACATGGGATTTAGTCACCAAATTTAGTGTGGTTCAACACTGACTAACCCTCGGACCCTTAACCCTTTAACTCCCATGAATGACCAAGACAGAATTTCTCCTCCCAATATCCTTACAATATCAAGTACACAAGTGATGAGAATAAGGAAAAATATCATTTAGGGAATTATTAGTTGATCCTATACCAAATTCTCCGAACTAACATCATAAGAATAGTATGGCAGACAGTTGAGAGAATTACTGATGAAATCTTGGGAGCGAAAGGATTAAGAGTGCCTAGCACATAATTTCTCCTTACGGTTTAAGCCCTCAATCAAACAGTAAGGTCTTGAGAATGAAGAAATGATCGTCACTCAATGAAGCTCCTGATTAATAAACGAATTCTCCTTGTTTGTAGCCTAGGAAATGTATATAGAACAGTATGAAGAATATGCGCACTGATGTTCGATTGTTAAGGATTTAGGAACCGGTCCCTTTCTTATGTAGAAGGAGGGGAAGGAAATTTTGAAAAGATCGAAATTTCTATGAGCCTTCAGACATGTAAATGGCAAGTGACCCTCCCCCTCCCCCTCCCCCATCATTATTCAATATTTACGCGATGACCCCTCCGTCACCTCATATCTCTTCTTATGTGCCTTGTAATGATTAAAATTAATTCACGTACAACCATAAGTTGATTTTCCAATGATTTTCCTTCAGTTGTAAAAGGAATACTTTCTTGTTGTTATTTCGTGTTTAATCACTTCTTGGGTTATTGATATGACAAGCATTTTGTCAAAGGAAAATTCAGTCGAACCAAATATTAAAGCAGGTGGGTTCGGATTGTTTATATACTAAAAATTTGGGACAACGAAGGAATTTTGAGTGCAAGCAGTATATCTGTGAAATAAAAATCACACTTTATAACTTTCATATATTCACAGTCATTAAAAATCACTAAGTTGTACAAAATAGTGGTTAAACAAAAGAAAACAATAGAATTAACACAATAACTGTACGATTTAGCATCACTTTTTCACATATTTTGTTTACACTCTACTATTTACCTGTTTTACCTGCTTTGGGCAATGGACCATTTTAAAATGTTCTTCTGTATAAGAGGTTAAATAGGCCCCCCCCTCTGGCCAATCTGAAACCCCCCTTCTTTTTCGTCTTGTAATTCTCGCTTGTGTACATTCGCGAGCTACTCTTCCACTCCCAGCCGTCAGAAGGGTACCATCGCATTATCCAAAAAACAGGGTGAGATAAAATAGAGAAACTGTAACAGATATTGTTATGGCACCAAATTCTCGTAACAAATTTTCAAGGAAATATACAGCAGGCAGAAGGAACAAATATGGAAGAATTGGATATATGGGGTTAAAAAATTCATGAAGTCAAAAGAATTATGCTAATCCGCTGAATCCCTCGCAAAATAACATCTTTTTTATCCTCTTTTTTTTAGCGAACCGTGCCGAAGCTTTATATGCTGTAGACTCTCTCAAAGATAAAGGGGTCTGCCGTGTTTGTGCGGACTGTGTGAACTGTGAAGCGTCAGACGAACCTGATGTTAAACGAAAGAGTTCTGCACCTGGAGTGTCGGTTCAAGTCGGAAGCTGTGTACTGATGGTGTTGTCTCTGATATTGATGGCTGCATTGCAGTAGCTCCCGTTGCCACAGGGAGGACCTTTCAAGGGCAGCATATGACACAAAAGTATTTTTTTTTCAGTCACGATTTTGCGTTACGTTGGTTCACGTCAGTATCCTAATACTCTTTTTTATACCGCAGCTCTGTAGTTTGAAAGTAACAATAGATACGAACGAGTATATCACTCTAAACAATTTAAGACCGATCGATTTAGAGCACTACAGGCCTTTCTAGATTTTGTAACATTAGGGTAAACTTTTTAGGGTCTTAAACCTTTTAGATTAAAATAAACGTTTTAAGGTCCTCTACAGTTAATCTTTCGGTCTTTATTCAACAAATGCACCCATGAAACTGAAAAAATTTGTAAGACATCTTCTGTCAGTGTTATGGAACGACATTTGCAAATATACTATTAGATATTCACGTTTTTCGACGTCAGTGGAGTACATAGTTGAAGCCCTTTTTAAAAAAAAGCACACCACAGATATGCCCTAGGGGTGCACCTTGTAATTTCATAGTATTTAGCATAATCCTACAAAGGCTGAAGAAAGTTTTCCTCGTCTCCTATTGCATATAAACCATTTCAGCCAGGTAGCCTTCACATATTCAGAGATCTCTCTTTTATTTCAAATATGGATAGATATTAAGTGATAGCATTTAATTAGGATTTTAAACGTACTTAATCGTTTTAATGTATTATTTCGCATACATCCACCAAATAAACTTATTGCAAGTAAGTTAATATGAGCATTTTTTTTTCTGACCGTGTTACTCTGAGCCCATTGTCTCCCCGTGCCAATCCCCCAAAAGGCACTCTCAATGAGAAAGCATTCTACTGAGGTATATCAGGGAGAGAAGACGACAGAATTCTCTAACTGTCGGGCTAAGATAGATAATGATTAATGAAAACAGGCTAAAGAAGAACAAAACAAAAAATGCGGCGTGGCATCTTATCTTTCATAAGTTAGTTTTCTTGTCTAGTGCGAAGCAACCAGACACCTTGCAAGAGCAGTGAAGGATTCAGTAGGATTTGCGTCAACAAATGACGTAATGCTGTTATAGTTTCTTTGAAGTTTACTGTACATGACAGGCTTACATGAGGTAATCGCTTAACACAAGTGAGGTGGCGTAGCTACATCGTAGGACCTGACGTGATAAGTCGGAAATTTCTCTTTAATGAGCGAAACTCCTTGAGATATTCGGAACCAATTGAATTCGAAAAAACAAACGTTAAGAGAAAGTTTATCGTCGTAGAAACCATGCGTTTTGTAGATTGTCGTATCTTAAGGAGAGCCTGAGGTGGCGAAGCAAGGTTATTTCGGAGAGTAAACCAGTCTTTTGTAATTTATTGATACAGAATAGAGTTCCGATCATACGTGCTCACATTTCACATCTACAATTGACCTTTGTGATTCGTGCATCCATTTTGTATGTCTGATATGGTAACGCTTCAAATATGATCGGAATGCCATCGCGAATTGTACCCAAATTGTATCTTTCTTTGTTTTACAGAATTAAATATATTACGGAAATCCTCGCGTTGATATCTTTCCGTTATTTCCGTTCTCATAAACTGATCTTATTTTAAAATTATATTTGCTGTTTCTTAAACATTTGCAAAATTTTGTTCTTTGGTAATCATAATCTGATTAGTTTAGAAACTCTCCCGTGGATCGATTTGCTTAGAAAACTCGGAAATCTTAGTCTAACTGTTACATAGTTTATCCAAAAAATGCGTTGAAAACTACTGCTCTTTGGTTAACCTATGCACCCATTGATATCTATTCAGCATACCCTTGAAACAGACTGAAAGTGCAGAAAAGCTGTAAGCATGTAATCATTTACTAATACAGTTATTTCAATTTGTACTAGACACACGTACGCAATATGCACCCATTTTTTCTGTTGGACGGTGGAAACTTCCTACGCTATGATTGTCGTTGAACATTAAGAAGTTGCAAATGCAGTTAGTATATTGAGCTGCTTCAAGACGAGTCACTTTCAATGGAGTGATCTTTCTTAAGCTTCTGGAGGAACTCGTCATGCGTAGAATGCACCTCGCGCCAATGTTCTTGACCTTTGACCCTCGTTAGCCACTCCCAGAGCCTGGGCCAAAGTTTGAAGTCAAAGTCAACCCACTCTGCCTGACATAGAATGGTTGCAACGTAACTATCAGCCACAGTTAGTTCAGATCCGCACAAGAATGGATTGTCTCCAAGATAGTAATTCTCCAAGGCTTCCAGGAGTTCACTGGCCTCTGACAATCCTTTATCAACTAGTTCCTCTGTGGCGGCCTCGTTCGGAAGGTGATATCTTTCCAGCAACTGAGGATACACGTATTTGTAGCCTAGAACACTACATTATGAAGAAACACAGAAGAGTAATTATGATGGAAAGGTTGCAATTAGATTTAAATCACAAACATTCGATATGGTTACATTGTTTGGATGAGACCGCGGGAAATGGGTCGAGTACAAATAATCGAGGCTAATCGGTGAAATTACATGGAAAAAATATGAAAAAAAACTAAATCTCGTCTCTTTGAATTGTTGTAGATAGAAAGCCCCATCGTGCGACAAAAGGAGAGGGGCTTATTAATCCAAAGTTAAATCCAAATGATATGGTTCAAACCTCAGATCGAGGAGGAAAATTTTTCCATCTTTTTTTGACTCATTTACTCGGGAAGTTAACCAGAAAGCCTCGAACAAAAGTAGTCAGATGCAATTTATTTTTTACGGTGTAAACCCCATCTGATTTCAAAAACCCTCGACCCAAACAAACTCAGTGAAAGTGAAACAGTGATTAAGTTGAAAATGGTTCAGATTCGGGCCCGCATAAAATTTCTCCGTTATGTTTTCGTGATCTTATTCAGGTAATCCATATGCACTGCCTACTTGATTTTATGGTATAAACAACGGGAAAAAAGGGAAAGTACTATGAGACTAGAAATAGTTCTTTCATTTGTCACTATACACGATAGTTTCCTCAGTATGTACGGCCACCACTCAACTGTCTCGAGTATACACGACAATTTCCTCGGTATGTACGGCCACCACTCAACTGTCTCGAGTATACACGACAGTTTCCTCAGTATGTACGGCCACCACTCAACCGTCTCGTTTCTCAGTGTTCAGTTATTATTTTCTTCTTTTTTTTGAAACTTTGAGTTCCCTTTCCCTCTTTCACATCAAAAAGCATGCATGGAGAAATGAAGCAACAATAATCAACGGTTTTATCTAGCGATGATTTACTGGTCAAAGTTCCCAAGGGCAAGCACCATTAAAGGTCCGAAAACCTATAAACACAAAAGTGGTGGCATCATTCAAACTTACTCTAACAACTTGGAGCTGGCCCAGTCTAGAACTGAATGCACCCTGTAGCGGTCTTCGCTTGTTTTTCCCCAGCCGGCAAAGTCTGTGTATTTCTGGGCAAAGTAACGTAGTATCGCTATCCTAAAAGATGGAATGAGATCAAAATTATTTGCGCTCTGGGAACTTAAGTCGCCGTAACTTTAGGCGACTTTGGGCGATTTAAGGCGACTTTGGGCGATTTAAGGCGACTTAAGGCGACTTTAGCAAAATGACACAAAAAAGTATAGCGACTTTAGGCGATTTAAGGCGACTTGAGGCGACTTAAAGCGATTTTATTTGACTGAAGCGATGTAACCAAAGTTAGCAACAGTCTCTCCATAAACTTTAAAAATGTCTACAGAATCCCTTGCAATAAACACAACAGTCGTTTCGGTTACTTAGGTATGCTCATAAGTCACCATAGTCTAAAATACCCAGATTTCAAATCAATTTAGCTAAAAATGTTCAGACAGAATTACCACAACAGCTATTGTAAAATTATACAGTCAAAGCTAGTAAATAAATAGCCAGGAAAACATCATAGGTTATATGCTAACATCAAGCAAACCTATCATAAATATACACATAGTGCCATAAATTTTTAATTTAAGAAAAGAGACACAACTTTGATGAAACTATCCATAAATTTTCCACATAATTAATTAAAAATAACATGATTATTTACGTGTATTTATTATTTCACAAAGCTCCACAAATTATAAAAATTGTTATCTTGGTAAACTTGTCTTCCATATTTTTGGCACTTGCATTGTCAATTTTGGCATGAAAGTTTGGCAAGTCGCTTGCCTTTCCAACAGCATCCAATATTGCACGGATCCTTTTCAGCGACCCAACCAATTTGTTGTTCTCCTGCCTCAGTTAGACAAAACACTCCAATACCATACTGAGAACCAAATGCTAAGGTCCTTTATAAAACTACTTCCTTTCCAGCCTCTCCAACTACTTTTCTAGCTGCAGAAAACTATGATTGGAGTGGAGTGGATAGGGTCAATTGGGACGGGTGGAACCCTTATGACATTGCGTAACCAATAGCAACCCTAAGGAAACTTAAGGCGACTTAAGGTGACTTTAGGCGACTTTGGGCGACTTTAGGTGACTTAAGGCGACTTAAGGCGACTTAAGGCGACTTAAGGTCTCAGAGTAGGCCTTAATCAGGGGCAGTTGAAACATTTTTACCTCAGTCCGTTACGCGATTGACTGAGGAAAATAAGTTTTTTTGGTTAAATAACCGTTAAAAATTAATTACTGAAAAACATGTATGCAAACTTGTCGCCTAAGGCTAGCTCCATAAAACGTGAGAATAATCTGACACAAACCCTCCAAAAACTGTTGTGCTTCCATCAGTCAGTATCGGAACTTCTTCGTGTGGATTCATCGCCACGAACTTCGGCTCACGGTGTTCTCCGTTAAAGACATTAACGTCTGCTAATTCGCAAGGTATTTTGTGCTGGATGAGATCAAAGAAACAAGAATGTAAAGTATCTCATACATGCACTGGACCAAAATTAAAACGAAGAAGAGGAAATATTGAGGACTTGAATTATTTCCTGGATTCTAAATTTTCACAGATGATATTTTTCTGGAAAAATCAATCATTTTAGAGTTTTTGGCAGTCTTATTTTCATTTTCCTCTGACTTTTTACCATATTCTTAAAAAACCCAATTCAATTGTAAGTGCAAATGACCGTAAAATCGCCAACTGTGAAATTGAAATGAGATGCAAAAAGGACAAACTGTAATTGGTAAAATAACGAATAAAATGCGATTTTTCATTCCGCACCAGACATTTATTCAATTTATGATAAACAATTTATCTTGCCTTTGATCGTGGCAATCTACCCTTTTGAAAGACGGATTATCGAAGTCTGAGCTTATGCGAGAGTTCTGAGATTCTGCAAGATGTTTTAGCGAAAAGTATGACAACGAGGAATAAAATTATACCGGCTGCGAGACTTTTTGCAAAATTGGGTAACCGATTAGCGAAAAAGTTTGGCCGCTCTAAGTTCAAATAAACTTTTAAGACATAGCATAAGAAGGAATGCCGCAAGCAGTGGTTGTGGATCTAAGACTTCGACAAAACACCTGACTGGTTTCCTTGTTACAAGACCAAATACACATTTTAAATGAAGGAAATTTTTTACAGCTGGATTGGTGCGAATGTAATATTTCAGTATTGCTATTGTTAAGTTTGTTTTCTTCCGAGGCCATATAATCGTAGCTGATTGCATTACGATTAGAGAATTTAAGTTTACGCGAAGAGTTGCTGTGAATATTTACTTTCCGGCCTTACCTGCAGTGCATACAGCCAGATCATTCGACAACACGGCGAAACTCGCACGAGATGAAGCCTCAATGGAGTTTTACAATCTGTTTCGGCGGACATCGTCCACTCATAACCATTTAGTCAATTGGAAGAATAAAACTATTAAAAATCTTAAATTATACCGCCTGATTTCGGTTGAGAATGGGTTTGCTTCGTTAATGATCGCTCCGGGGCGGAAGTTGTTAGAATTGCATTTTGAATACACGTCATTTATCATCCACCGTTTCGCACGTCATTTGAATATTTGAAGAAGCATAACCTGTCACAAGTTAAGAAGTTTCCTTTCTTTGAAAAACCTGTCATTCATTTTTGGATATTATGTTTCTAACTGCAGCAGGAAGAATTATATAATCAAAGACTGAATAACAGTGGAAATGATACGATAAAATTTTTGCAGAATACTAAAAATTATAAATAAATAGCGAACAGACAAATTAAATTAAATTAAAAAAACAAAACAAAACAAAACGAACAGAATGACAAAAAACGTTTACTTAACTTGCGCGAGTAAATAGGTAAGACGTATAGACCGAAATAAATAATTTATGAATTCAATAATCCCGATTTATCTGGAGCAAACAAAATTACAATTTTCGTACGAAGAAAAAATATCATGTTTAAAAAACTATTGCTAAAAATTTATAGGTCATGTTTTCCCAAGCTAACTTTTGTTATCATAAATTTTTTCCTTTCCTTTCGTGTTTTAATAATATACGTCATCGTTGTCGGAATTGTTTCTTTAAACTGTAAGATTGGTGAATTTGTTTGCAACAATGATTACATAAGGAGGCAAAAGGAGGCAAAAGTACACTTCCGAAAGAGAGAGATTGGGAACAAAGAAAACGAATAAAGCATGGACGCGAGAAGCTTGGGAATCAGTTTTCATGGTCGCAACGGTTACCAAGTCAACAAAACAAAATGGCCGCAGAGGTTGCAGTGTAGATCTCATGCTGGAGGATGAACCGAATGTTGTAGGAAGCAGCATCATGTCGCACACGAAACTGCCCCCTCTACCACCGTAAGTGTCTATTGTTATCTATTTTTAAGACGCATCGTGCAATCTGGTCCTCCCTCTCGTAATCAACTGGAATGGAAGAAAGTAAAGACGGCAATGGAGAGTTGTACTAAGTCGTACAAACCAGAAATTATTTAGTTGGCATTTTTGGATATTCGTAGGATTTTAGGCTAAGTAAAACACAGATATCTACCTTCTAAGGATCTTACTTCGGCTTCCTACATGCACATACAGCTGTAAGACTAATTGTTTGTAGGTTGTTCGATATGAGCCCTCGGCACATAATGGATTTTAATACCAAAGATCTTACTAAATACAATGTCCAAGTTGTCCAGAGGGAATCTTGAAACTTAAGTGAGACCGTGAGTTACTGAAAGCGATTATGGGTTTAGTGGGATTTGGAAAGTTTTTCCCGCAGTAAATCCTCTTTTTTAACTTTTTAAATGAAATATTGGAACGTAAATTCCTTAGAATTGCATGATCCATGTGTTTTGTAACTTCTCCTCCTTAAAATTGCTTACACATCCTTCACACAAAAACTATATATGTCATTTCTCTGCACTATCTGTGGTAAATTTCTTCTAACTTAAGTTTTGACAATTCAGTGGGCATGAAAGATATTGTAAGGTTAGAACATATGCTGTTTTGTGGACTCCTAAGAGTGTAAAGGTTACTTTACAATGATAATGAATCTGGTAAGATACTAGTATTCACAGGGAATATCTTCATAAATGCATCCCACCAAATACAACCAGTAGGTATGCACCATTATTTTAAATCTTCAAGTGTTCTATTAAAAATGCTGCAGTCTTATTAACTTTGCTATTTATTATCCATTCCATGCTATCAGGTAACTAGAGTGAGTAACCTAGTTTTATCTTAAAACACCAGATTATTTTCTTCAGGTTTCTTAGTGTGGTTGCTGACCAGGATTTTTCCCTCATCAACTTTCACTCAATTGAAATCGTAAGCACTCAAGTAGCACATAAGGGCTGGCTAAAACTTTAATGAATTGACTCAGAAGTGTGTTCTGACTTATTCATTCCAAAGCTCCCTGACAACATATCCTCAACCCAACACAAATGGCAAAACTGTAAAACAGTACACTGGACTGAGTGGATCAAGTTATAGCCTGACTGGCCCATCTGGTAGTACAAAGTTTGCTCTCCCTTCAGCGGCTGTACTGCAGGTACTGTCCTTCTTTCAGTAGATCTATTGGTTTATGAATTCCTTTTGATACTTGATATATCCGACTACTAGGTAAAAGTATATACACCTGTTTTAAGGGGGTTAATGTATTGAGTCCTATACATTTATATTCAATCCATTATATAGGGTTACTGCTTGGATGGATGATGTCACATAATATTCTGTGTTGTTTTTTCTGCTTTTATTTTTCTGTTTCATTCCTGCATTTTTAGGAGTCAGCAATTGAATTTATTATTTTCCACGTAAAACCAGAATGACTGTAGATAATGACAAACGCATCCCATGTCAATGCTTCAGGCATCTTGTAGTTTATAAATACATTTTCTTTCTTTCTATTTCTTTTAGCCCTATATAGACACCAGGGCAGGGACTTTGGACACATGGCCAGCACATGCTCTTGGTCCCAGTGCCCCAGATCTCAACCCTGGGGTGGCCAAACAAAGTAATGAATTCATGCCAAAGGGAGTGCATAAGCCAAAGTTCCTGGAACAATTAGAGGCTTTCTTGCAAAAAGAATTGCGCTCTTTAGATTGTGCAGAAATGGTTCCAAGTGAAAAAAGATTACAGGTGTGTTTCTTAGTGAAAATAATATGTTTTTTCCTAAATATACATTTATTTACATACATGTTGATTTAAGCAGAGGAGCATAAGATTGACATGTCAGCTGGCTCAGGTCAACTATTCATAAAAGAACACTATTTTGTATGGGACATCTATTCTTTCATGATTTCTCAAAAATGAAAAAAAACATAAATTGAAGAGTAAATTAAAGGTAGGGTACATGTAGACTGGAAAAAAACAATTTAACCCTTGAACCCCCATGAGTGACCAAGACAGAATCTCTCCTTACAATATCAATACAATATCAAGAAGGCAAGCAATGAGAATAAAGAAAAATATCAATTAGGGGATTATAAGTCAATCCAATCCCAAATTCTCCAAACTAACATCACAAGAACTGTATGGCAGACAGTAAGGAGAATTACTGATGAGATCTTGGGAGTTAGAGGGTTAAAAAAAATTTAATAGATAGTAAAAATGTGAAAAACCTATCTACCACCAGGTAAAAAAGCACTGGTTTTGTGGTAGTCATTATGGAATGTTTGTTTCTATCATTTGATTTATTTACATTTCATCCTTCACCCTTAGACTAATAAGGGTGACCAGCATCTATGTTCTCCTTACAATTTCACCCCTGAATTGAATATTAAGGTCACTAAAGTAAATGAAATGATCATCACCTAAAGAAGTTCTTGATCTTTAACACAACATCTCCTTGTCTGCACCTTAGGAAATGTATACAGAACGTTATGGAGAATTTGTATTCTGGCGTTAGGGTGTAATGGGTTAAATGGTGAAATGGTGGGTAAAATCATAACACTTGTGTATAACTGTGTCTCTAATTCTGAACATATCCATGTAGGTATGCACATGTCTTTTATCATGGAGAATGAAGATGATAATATTGAGCACAATGATTTTTTTTGAGTTGTTTTGTTATATTTTCTCTCAGGCTTTTAGGGAGGTATTTGAATATTTAATAGAAGACTTCAAGACTTACAAGCCTCTGTTATCAGCAATAAAGCATGAGTATGAGATGATGTTGATTCATCAGAGGGAGAAGATCAGGGAACTGGAACCTTTGAAGGTACTTCCATCTAAAATTGATAATACTGCAGGTTATTTATATGTACTTTATATTTCAATCATAAAAGTCTGACTAAGGTACCATTTTTTAAATAAAGGGGGTAAGTTTCTAAAGAAACTGGGGTGCTGCATCAGTAGGAGAGTATAACAAGGTAATTTGGTGTGATCAATTGATAAACATAAATTGGCCACCTCAAAGAGTTTCTAAGCTGATGTTTTGAGTAGTAACCCTTCATCAAAGCAAATGGGGCGATGAGACAATTAAATTAAAGTTAATTGCTTAAAATTAGCTATATTCTAGACCACCACGTGATCAAGCAATGTAGATTTTCTGAAATTTGTCATTTTATTTGCATGCAGTTTGTGTCGTGACACATTCTTTTATGGAAAGAAGGGGCTAGAGTCCAAACTCCATAGAAAATATGTATTTCTAAAACTTGTTAAATGAACCACAACATTTGGCTAAAATAAAAAGTCAGAAAATTCCAAACAAAGGGGTAACAAGTTTGACGTCATTCTTGCCATAGAAGAGGGAATGGGGCTCTGTAAAGCTGTATATCTTTTGTTGGACCAAAACCTATCATCACTTGCATTTGTCATCTTTCTCAGAGCATGCTAGTCACAGTATCTGAGCAATGTGAAAAGAAACTTCTAGCTGTCAAACAGGAGGAGAAATCAGGTGATGTTTCACTTACATGTATTTGTTGAACTGTGGGTTTTCAAAACACAACATGCAGTATATATGTCATTTTGGTTAATAAATTAATAAATTATGTGCCTTAAAAAACATTACTTCTGACATACAGGATAGGTATCATTGAGAGGCAATGTGTCTTGTGTTGCCAATTACAAATTGCAGATTTTTTTTCTGAGGTGCTGGTTAACAAAAATAATATTCTCTTGAAATTTGTTTACTAATGAAATAATTTGTGCGATTCATCACGACATGTTGTTTGACATGGACATCCATGGACTCCCAAATGTTTATCTGTTACCTTTCACTTTTTTACTTATCCAGATATGCTGGAGATGAAGAAGGAGAATCAAAGACTTCAAAATATAATAACAAAACTAAGGTATACTGTAAAAGGAGTGTGATTTTATATTGCTGTGCATACTGCTGGTGTACTTTCTAATTGTCCAACACTCTTTGTTATTGGAAATGACAAGAGACACCAACAAATTTTGAGAAGCTGATTCCAAAAGTTCATTTATACGATATACCAGATGCATCAGGAACGTATTTAGAAATACATTGCGTTTGTGAAGGATTACTGCACTGTTTGAGTTCTTTTATTTGCCATGCTTGGCTATGTGAAGATTTACATTTACTCTTTACTGTTGTTCTCGATCACACCTTTCCTGGCTATGCAGCGTTTACATGCGCGTTTTCGTCAGGTTCCAAGGCGCATTCGGTAAAGGAAAATTTTCTTGGAATAAATGTTTGCATTTTTTTTAATGTAATACTAGGCTGTGATTCTGTCCAATTTGAACGAAGTTTTAATTACTTTCTTACAATTCTGTTTTGGTAGAGAAGAACAAGTGTCACTCCAAGTTCAAGTAGAGAAGGTAATGTGTTCATGAAGGGAAACATCATGGGAACGAAACCCAATTTAACAATCCCAGAGAATCACACTTTCTCCGTGTTGTTCATCGCGCGAGTTTATAACTGATTATAAAATGTTCAGAGAAATGCGCGCGCCGTGATTGGTCAGAACGAGTTCATTTTATTTCCATAAAGCACGCGCCTTACATCACTCGAGTGTACTGTTAATGAATAATGCACACAGCTACGTCATCGGTACGAGCGCGCGCAATTCACGATACTTTTTATAAAAGAAATAAAAAAACTTGTTCCGTGAGCATTGTTGAGTTATATAAGCACTTGGGAATTTTTAAGAACACTCGAGAAGTGCGAGAAGCACTCGCCTTCGGCTCGAACTTCTCCGCACTTCTCTTGTGTTCTTAAAAATTTCCGCATGCTTATATAAGTCAACATTGCACTCGGCGCGTTTTTTATTTCTTTAGCACGCCTTGCTCTCAGAGTTTACACGGCGCGGAGTCACTTTTTCGCTCACCTGTACTTAAGGTGATCCTTCGGAAGACCAGGTTGTCATAAAATTTTTTTTAAACTTTCCTTAAATGTTCCATACAATGTCTGTTTCTAAAATGTAACAAAAAGATGGGTCAACGTGTTTATCTTAGAGATATGATGAGCCTAACTAACCCCGTTGATGCCTGTACTGGCACTAATCACGCGCGTTATGTCATAGGTTCACGGTACATTTTGCGGTAGCTGGAAGCGAGGGTTTTTAATTAACACTTGAATTGAAAAAAACTTGATAGGTAGAAAGTCATGAGCGTATGGAGCAATTTGATTTACATATTGTGCAAAAATCACGCAATTTTGAAACGACATCAACTCAAAACGTTCCTCGAGTCGTTGCTTTCAAGGTCATCATTTGCATCCTCGAATAAAGGGCTTCGTGCACACTTTTACTTTCTACCCAAAATGGTGCTTGTGCGCATGCATTTAGAGCAGTTTTTAATCGAATATCGAAACTGATCCTAGATTGCTCCGTTTTTGCTCTGTGATTGGTCCAGAATACTCGCGCCACAGTCTAAACCGATCCTCACGTGGTCAAATGCGTTTTCCCGCTCTTTAAGCTGGTTGCCTATTGGTACCTTGATTTCTTATTGGTTTATGATGATAATAACCTTTGTTCTGTTTGGTTTGTGTTTTCGAAACTGTACTAATCACCATATTAAATTACACCCTTTTATGGACCTTTTTTATTGGAACGTTTAGGCTGAGATTAACCAAAATGTTACGAACGCACTAAGAATATACCCAGGCTGAGAGTCAGTGAAGAACGTCTTCATTTTGATTATTTTTTTTGTGAGAATAATAAATATAAAGGTAAAAGAAATGTAAAACTGTGGTCTTAAAGGATAATTAACTCAAGTACTTGGGGAAATTTTAAGAAAGTTTTCGGCTCAAATTGCTAAAAAAAGTTCTTATAAAAAAAGAAAGAGTATTCCGCAGTAAGTTTTGTGACAAAAGCATACAGTTCTCACAGCACTTTGTATTACTCTTCATTTTGCAGCTTCAAGAGGAACTCGCTGCCGAGTACCTGAGATATAGGAACGAGTGCGATGCTAGGTAAAGTATCCAAGTTTTAATCTAGAACCCAATTGTTCAAAGCTGGGTTAAAACAACCCAGGCTTAGTGTGAAATTTGATTTCAGATCTGAAAGCATGAAAATAAAAATCTTCATAATTCTTTTTTTGTCTGCAACTTGAAGATTGGATGATCTAAAAGCAATAGAGAAAATTATTCCAAAAAGGCTTTTGAATAAAGGAATAAAGAAACCTAGTTTATGAATTAACCCTGGGTTAGCATTAATCGGCCTTCGAGCACCTGGGCCCAGGATTATAATCTAGGACTGCTATGATTTCGCTTTACTTAGTTCTGTCATTTGTCCAAAAAGCCAGCGGTCACTCGTGTTTCCCGCGCTTCAGGCAGCCTGTTAGTCTCACTTTGAAATCTCATTGGCTCCTTGTAACATTTTCCTGTGTTGCGATTGGTTTTTGTAACTTCTTTAGTCTGTTTTTACGTACCCTTTCATAACAGCGTGCACGAATTTTGTCTCTTCTTGTATTTGGCAGGAAAATGTTGATAGCGGACATAAACGAACTGAAATATCAACAGGAGGATGCCAAAAAACCAAACGCTGAAGAAGAAGGGGAAGGAAAAGAAGATGTCACCTTCCTAAAATTGGCTCTTAAGTAAGTTCAATTTCAAGACTTCGAACAATTCCTCATATTTTGGTTATTCCATCGCGCGCGAGTACAAACAAGCAGTGAAAAATGATGTTATCGCGCTGGAAGTGAGGCGTACGTATATCAATATTTAATTTCGCTGATTTTTTTTTGACTCGCGCGACGGACGTCATCAAAAAGGAGAGATTGCTCGTTGTCTTGCTCAATCAGAAGAGTAAACACCTGTTAAAGGTGACTCTTCAGTTGAATTGGATCAAACTTGCCAGATTTTCCTTTTTTTAACCTTGCTTGACCGTAATTAAACACTAAGATAGGCTTTGTGAGTGTTAGAAGTCAAAGTTGCACAATAATTGTTTGGTCTTTCATTGCCATTAAATCAATAAAAACTATAACAATTAGAATCTATCTCTTTTTTTGCTGGAAAATCTCTCCCAACTCGATTTTTGTACTGTTGCAATCCGTACGATGTACTGAAAGGACGTCTTCGTATTGTATTGATGAGTTAAATTTTTTTTGTGACAGGAAAGCGCGCGAAGATCTTGACGCTAAGAATAAAAAACTGGCGGAAATGGAGGCTGATTATGGTGATGTTGTACCAAGACGAGACTTTGAAAGACTGGAAACGCAGTTTAACGTAAGAAATACTAAACTTAGCTGCGAATTTCAGAAATTGTAAATATCGATGAATTACCAACTTGTCCAAGTTAAAGCTTCGGGCAAATTTTTAAAACGCTTCATCTGTGCCCTTTTAGGGGCCGATAACTATTTATCGCCTGTGTAGGGAGGGGGGGGTGTGGGGTGGGAGGATTTTGGTTGTGGCACAGTAAAATTGCTTGTAGTCTAATGATCTCCCTGATTGGCAGTCAGTTTTCTTCTTTCCCCCTTCAAACTCTGTTAGCGGTGACTGATCCCTCCCTCCCTCCCTCTGTTCCCCCTGACTTTTTGTAGACTAGGAATAGTCTAAATGTTCTTAGAGAAATTTCTTGTGAGTGACACCTACTACTAGTAAAAGCAGTACAGTCTACACGTTAAGATCACTTTCCTCAGGTGAGCTAAACCACTTATATCGCTTCTGATGCATTTGTATCCTTTACAGAAATTGCAAAAAGATATTGAGACGTTTACGGTGGATAATCAAAAACTCATGCAAGAACACAAGTGAGTATATGAGGATATCCCTTCCCTCTCATTCTTGCAGCTATTCAGTTTGCACCGAGATTGGAAGAAAAATAAGGGGTTGTATAATAGTGTGTCTTGCGTTCTTCTTCCATGGCTTCTCACGTGCTCAGCCTGCAATGGCCCGCGCGAGCAAAGCAGACTGGGTCGAGCACATGGACTCAAGGCTTGCTGGTACACCTCCTGGAAAGATGATGTGAAGCAACATGTAGAGTGTTCCTGACTATTGTTTTTACAATTTGTCGTCTTCTCACTCTGGCATTTTTTTTATTCTTGGTTTCTTGACGAAGTAACACAGCCATTTTTTGAGCCAAGCGAGGAGCGCGAGACAGGCGCATAAGAACGAGCATGGAGCGGGACAAATGAAATGGGAGTATTTTCTCTTCCCTAACCTTGACTCCTAAGCTATCGTGTTCCAAAAACTCCCCACAACTCTTATTTAGCTCGCGAACTGGAAGACGATAATAGAGGAAATAGAAGGTCTGTGATCAGACTGCATGTTTTCAACGTTTTCCAAATTGTGGTACAGACAGTGTCTGATTGCCTTTTATTTTACAGCGCAATTCTTGAAGTACACAAGAAAGTTGTTGAGCAGAGAGACCAGTACGCTCATGACACTGAGCAGATGAGAAGAAGCGCTACTCCAAGGTAACAATCAATCAGTTACTAAATGCTACCTTTACCAAGTGAACTTGATAATGTTTTAATGCAGTCTTGCCAAACCTTTAAAACTGTGTGATAAGTAACGTGCACTCAACTCGTGTTCTCCTTCATTAATATTTGCAGACCTCACTGGGAGAAATGTGGTCAGTATATTGAAGGTGGAATCGATCGCTGGAACGAGTTGTCACAGGACAGAAGTAGTGATGAGCTTGTGGATATTTTACTAGCAGAAATGACAGGACAAGATATTACTATTATTCAGGCTGGAGTGAACACGGGTGCGGAATACTTCACTGGACAGGTAAACTGAAAAGAAACCTGCATAATGTGTCAACTCTCAATTGTCTATCAAATAAAATACGCGATTGTGATTGGTCCGGAAGAGTTACGCCTCCCTCTCAACCAATCAGACGCTGCAGTGCTTCAGGTAGTTTCTTGTTCTTATTTGCTTCAAGTACTATCTCCCATCGCTCTGTTCGGTCTTTCTCCACTCAGGACTGGTAAACTGCTGTAGACACGCTATTTTTCCACTCGCTGCAAACGTACATATTTTAGTTGCTGAGAGGACAGTTGTAAACGTTGTTTCTTTTTGTAGGGTACAGGCCCTGAAGTGCCTAAGTTCCTACGTTTTGAGGGACAAGTTCGTAACAGACGGCTTGGGAAGAGGGATACGTCACTGCTTATTAAGGACATCTGGCAAGAAAAGGCTGCCCATGATGCGGAGGTAAACTTACTAAGCCGTTTCTTGTAAGGAAAAAAAATGGAAAGAAGAAACACGTATTGAGTTAAAAAAATGATCAAGGTGGATTTTTTCCAATATCATTTTTCTGACTATTTGAGATGGTTTCAGCATTGACCGTCAATCGAGAGGTTGAGCTTGACGTTGACAGCAAACAGAAACAATAAACTCCTTGCTGTCTTGTTTCGCTCTTAATGCGCTTTAAAGAAAATGTCTGCTTTTGGTGTGAACAGGACTCATGACCACTTAATGCAAATATTTTCGTTTGAGCGTACAAACAATCCCCAAAAAATGTCCTGATTAAAAATCGAAACGAAACGCACAAAATTACATACATATTAAATATTGAGATCAGTACATATGAAGACCTTGTAATTTGAAGTAACGCACCAAAAGTTACTTGACTTGTTAAATCCTGGACAAAGTAGATTGTTTTTCGTTTCATTGCAGCAAATAGATGATGGAAAGATTCCATTCCTTGTTGTTTTCATGTTAGTGGTTGTGTTGTCGCTGTTTGTTTGTTTGTTTGTTTGTTTGTTTGTTTTACCTATAGTTCTGTAGGAACATCCTCTTATTGTGACGACAACTAGCGTAATCGAATGTAGTCTTCTCACAAGCAGACGCGGGATATATAGTATAAATGGCCTTTTATTCCTCGACTCGTAGAATTTCAGCTTACTGAGGAACTTGAGTGTGAGTTATGAAATACTTGCATGTGTCAACCATTTCATTTGCCGTCTTTTGTTGTCCTTTAGAAACCGGATGGAGAACGCGATGACTTGGGCGAATTCTTGTATCAGTATCTCCAAAGGCGATTTGGTGTCGAGAACATGATCGTAGAATGGGGATACAATCTTTACGATGCATGTGGAAGATACTCACACGATCCCAGAATAGGACTATTCTTTGGCATTCTTCAGAAAGAGGTATGGTTGCCCCTTAACACCCTCACATCAGTATACATATTCTCCATACTGTTCTCTATACATTTCCCAAGGTGCAGACTAGGAGAATTTAGGTGGTGATCATTTGCGTTATTCACGTGATCATATTGTGTAATTTGGGAGTGATATTGTAGGGAGAAATTAGATGTTAGTCACTCGTAGGGTTCAAGGGGTTAATTTTAAAAATGGCGCCAATTCCAAGCCTTCAAGGAGTCAGGTGTAATCTTAAATAAAATTCATGGTAAATTAGAAGTGTGATAAAAATAAACTTACATCCGCTTTTTACTTTCCAGGTCGACGAAGCTGTTCATCACGATCAGCTAGTGATGTTAGAGAAACTTTACAATGCTTTGACTAAAGTTGATCTGGCAGCAGGAAACCAGGTAAGCCCTCATGTTTCTCGAATAGTCCACACTTCATTTACTAGTTGAAGAGCAAGTATTGAGTTTCTGAATGATTAACACGATTCTCTCTCAGGGTACATTATCCCGCGCGGACCTGGAGCAATGCCTGCGGTCGTTTTTCCCGTTGAAAGACGATGAATCAATTGAAGCGTTAATGAAAGCCTGCGAACAGGAAGCACCGGGAGAGAGTGTTCAATATAAAAATCTGTTTACTGAGGTGAGAATTACAGAGCAGAACTCTAAGCTATGTGATCTAGAGGGTGTTTCTTGTTAAATTCTTTCATAAGGAACTTTACTAAATTAACCCATACATTTTACACACCTAAAGAAATTGGCATGAAGCTCCAGAAGAAGATCTGGGGTGCTTAAGACCGATTATGTACAATTAAATTTATAATTATCTCCTCCATGGTCCAATTTTGGGAAAGGAACACATTAAATACGATTTTTTTTATTGTTTATCTTTGCCCGAAAAGGACGAGGAAGGGCGGTCTGGTCCATTTGTGGACAAGATCAGAGAACAGGAAAAGCTTGAGAAGACCATGTACATAAAGGATATCGAAAGCGCTCTGGGTGGCAGCAGGCAAGTCTTACCTTTAAACGTTAAGGTTTATCACTTCACTTGGCCACAAACTCACAAGCTGAGACTTGTAAATGAAGTGACACCGGGTAGAAATTTAGCAATTATTGGATGAGGTTGAGCATGATATCATCATGATTCATCAATATCGAGGTCGGGGTTCTCTGCTGAAGCCTAAAGCTGAGGCAGATAACACAGACTCGAGATTTGATAATTCATGATATCATGCGAAAACCGACTCAATAATTGTGTTATTGTACATTTATTGACCAATCTGCCCAAGAAGACACTTCTCTCTTACTTTGCAAAAGTTTGTGACCACTACACGAACGAGGGACTTGGAAACTACACTTCACACGCTATTGTATACTGACTGTCTGCATGCACTCGACCGATTAGAGTTTTCATAACAAGTCTGGTGTAAAATAACAAGAGATATCTTACTTCACCGCAGGGATTTAAACCCCAGTAAAAGCAAATTCTTGGCTTTATTACTGCGCTTCAGGGAATTCTGTATGGCAAGCCAAGGCTATTCGTTTTATTCATGCGCGAAGATAGCAAATTTTGAGTTCACTCGGTTGTTGCATGGAAATTGTTACGAGGTTGTGATTGTTATGTGAGACAAGAAAATGTTGTTGTCCTTAATATTTCATAGTGAAGTTTCTGTTGAGGATGTCCGCCGCGCCATTCAGTCTGTTGACCCAGAGGTACCGACTGAGATGATTGATAAATACCTGGAGCGAGCGTTTAACATCCCCTCTGAGCAGCAAGAGTCTGGCACCAAGATTGAAACGACGCTGTTAGTCAAGAGACTACAAAGTGGAAGCGTTAGGAGACTGGGCGCCAAACCGAAATGAACAGACGCAGATGAACTTTTCATGGACAGTTTATTTTTTACACCCTTTGATTTAAAAATGGCTGTAATTTTCTAACGATCCAAACTTTTAGTTCTAGGAAATTGTAAAAAGCTATTCAGTGTACTGAGCAATGGAAGAAAAGAAAAAACACAGTTGTTGAGAGCGTCATAATTAGAAATTAAGTGAATAATTAACCTAAACCCAAAACCTAATTTTTGGTTTTAAATGTATATAATAAAAGGTGTACATATATTTAAAAGCAAATAGCGTCGAAACTACTATTGCTGCGAAAAATGTGTTTGTTCATCGTGGATATGATAATACTGGAACATTTGACCGTTTGTCTTACGTTTGAAAGATCATAATCCATCATAGCGTCCATTTATTGATTCAGAAGTGGAACCCCCTAAAAACGCTTTAATCTCTCATGGAACGCCTGACTCTATAATTTATAGTTGTCAACGTTCTTTTATCATTTAAGACCACTGTTATAATAATAATGCAGGCTTTTGTCTCACTTGGTTTACAGTAAGAGGCTCGGCTAAACACTCATCAAAATGTTAAATATTTAGCAAAGTTTCTTCATTTCATAGTTATTTTCTTTGTTTTGGTTAATTCAAGGCTTCTACTGTGTACTCTAAACGCTGTTAACTATTTTAGCGTCTACAACTACAAATTGATATTACTAGCTAACGGTGAAGACTGGTTTACTCATGCCACAAAAGCATAACTGCACGCAAAATATGTCAAAGTTGTTACGTTGATCATCTAATGCTTTTTGTTCCACAAAATCTCAACAAAATGCACTTCTACGTATGTTATTTCCATTTATGCTTGTGTCGTAGAGATATGTCCAAAAAAAACATATAACAGCTAAAATGGAAATTTAAACGAAATTTCGCCGAAGTTTTAAGTCTGAGGTAATGAGAAATATTTTTCGAATTCATTTTCTTCAGGGTGTAATAGGTGTCGTATGTATTAAAGTAAAATATTATCTAGAACTTTAGGGAACTTCGCTGCGGTTTTTACACCTTGGAAAAACTTTATGTGAAATTTATTTCAATCTCGATCATCCTTCATCACCCTCGCAAGTCTTTGCTTTATCCCCTCCTTTTTTCAATAGATCCTTCTACACTAACACCTTGACAAGGCCCATCGACAGTCTAGAATATGCAGAAGTCTCGAAAAACAGTCTTGTCGATCCTTCATCACCGTCGCAGCATTTGCTTTACCTCTTCCTTTTTTATGGGTCTTTCTAAACTAACACCTTGACGTTAGCCATTGAAAGTCTAAAATACACGGAAGCCTCGAGAGAACCTCTAACAACACCGAAATATATCTTTAGGTTTCCCTTTAGCTATAAATCAAAAGGCAAGGTGGTCAAATTAATGTTGCGCGTGATCGTTAAATCAAAAATATAGCAAAACAAAAACAAACAGGCAAAAACGAAGAACATCCGTTGGAAATGGCATAAATACCACGCACAGAGTAACTGATCAACGCTCTACGACCACAGAACTGACCTCTTTGGTATCAAGAGATAATGGTTTATAATCTCTTGTTGGTATGCAAGGCTCTGCCAAAACTACCTCTTCTCAGTTCTCTCAGGGGATTTCGACTGTCTTAAGTGCATATATCTGTTTCGAAGAGCATCTGTTAGTGACAGTTTCGGCATTTAGAATGGCACTTCTTGCCACCAACACGACACCTACAACCTCCTGAGATGTCTCCAGTGCCCTAAAAACAAGAAAAAGAATCGGTCTCAGTCTAAACGTGAGCATAACTGGAGATTTATGCGCATCGTCTTCCGTTCGATTGTATAGCTGACCTTCTTGTACAAACATGAAACTGAAAACTGATCCTTTCTTATTATCTTGTTTAGAATCACATGCTTACTCGGATTCATGAACAGAGGCATGAACATGACAAAAGCCCTATCCTATCGGCGCCAGCAACACCCAAAGTGCTGAGCACTGTAAGTTACTTTCCTCTTTTCATAAAAAAAGAGCAACTGCCTTTAACGTACGATAGCCTCGTCCATCTTCTTCTTCTTCTTCTTCTTTGTAAGGACAATTTGATCACCCAAAGCACCGAAAAAATGCCATGATAGCATCGATGATTTTGGCTCGTGGTTTTGTCCACCCAACCGCCCGTGAAAAGAGGCGTGGATCACGCGCGGAATACAGCTGTATGGCACTTAACACTATCGACCTTTCTCATTATAACGAATCGGACGTAAAGAGACAACGAAAGCGGGAAATACAAGTCCGGTCTGAAACTCACCCCAGGTCCCCATCTCGGTCCTCTGGTGGCCCAACATATCTCCGTTCTACACATACTGCACCTCATCCAATCACAACCGTCTTTCTTAACTAAAATAATCTCACATGTTGGACAATGCATCGCCTCTCCACCAGCGACCATACCCTGAAAAAAAAAGTATTCAGCAAATTGTCACCACAATGATAATACTGATAGCATCAATAATGCTCGAGGGCATCAATTTCCACTGGTCGGAAAAATCCCCAACGGTTGGGGATTCCACGGTTTCCATTCTGTCCCAATGTTTGCCCATAAATTGGGAAATATGCAGACATAATGTCCTGGATTGTTGCGATATTAGGTTTTTGGGGGACAGAATTAACGAATTAACGATTTGAATCTAGTGATGAAAAGTTGATGGCGTCCCCAAAGTCTTAATCAAGCTTTTTTTTGTACTTTGAATACGATCGTCGACCATCGCAATAGTCTGGTGAGTGGCGGGGAAAATGAAACGCTTCCAATATTCACGCTTTGTCCCTACGACTCGGGATGTCTACAAATTCAAATTCTAAGAACTTAAAAAATTCTCGAACAGTTATTTTCCCGAGCATGTGGGATTCTCTTTATCCCACTTCATGTTCTCTACTATTTTGATGAGCGCCGTACGCCAAACGCCGAAGTTCTGAATCGTCCAATCTTTATTCGCCACTATTTCGATTTTGACGATAAGTTCGATGACTAGCCGCTGTCCTGGAAGAGCCCACGATCCAGGAACGAACACCGGACTGGAGAGAAAGTGTCAAAAAAAGGGCCTGGTATCGAAATTAGAGTGCAGCAAAGAGGAAGTATACAAGCAGCCAGTCATTCTTACTATTTTACCTCGAGAAACTGTTGCGTTTTCCTGGCCGCTTCATCATTATGTGCCCTTCTCTTGAGGTCATCTTGATATTCTTTGCAGTTCATGTTGGCGTGAATCACTTTGCACGTCAAACAGTTCGGCTGATTACACACTGGACAGTGGAAAGTATTGACATTGTCCTCGTACACACACCACCCCTGACAATTTGGAGTTTTACAATGAAAGCTGTTGGGGGCTTGACTTTCCGCAGTGGCGAGGCTGCGGTTCAAGAACTTGTTGAAATCTTCCGGCGAGAGAAGCTACATAAACAAATAAAAACAAAAGAAAAACAATTTACTTGGAAGTACGTAGAACTATTATCAATTATCCCATACTCCAAGATTGAGATCTTGTGCAAAATTTCGCGCAAAGCCGCAAGAAGTCTTGGAGTGTTTAGTGTCGCTCGAAAAAGAGAAAACACCAACTGTTGTCTGAACAAACTTTCACCTAGTCGCTTAACAATAAGGCAACTGCTCTCATATTTTAAAACTGACGAGGATGTGTCTCTTTTCTTTTGGTAATTATGTTGCATGGTGTCTTGGGACTGATTTTATGCAAGAACATGTTTTAAATTTTACTCACTGCTTTAATTTCTTGACCCGTGATGGTTGCGTGACACGCATAATTTTCATCCTGATGAGGACACTGAACTTCTGGATCTGTTGCGTGACGAATGTGTTCACTAAGGCAATCCCTTCGAAATAAGCCAGCAAAAAACGATGATCAGAATTAGTGAATAGGATCTAAGAAAGAGCTAATCGTTGTAATTGGCACTAATTAAAAAGAAACAAATTTTATATTGGTTAGCTGTTCGTCTAACTCAACTTTTGAGCAGCGAAATTGTTTGGTAAGGCATGGTACCATGATCCAACTAAGACAAAAGCGGATTTCGCCTGTTTAGTCACGAAAATAACAAAAAGCTTAAAAGGGATTGGTTATCAGTAAGAGGACAGTGTATGCTTCACAAACTGTGATCAAACGTCTGCGTATGCGTGAACGTTGCTTCAGGCTTTCAGAATTAAGTTGTGTAACAGGAATTATAAAGTAGTCGTAGGTCACGATGTGTTAAAGGCGTTTGATTTTTTGACAAAACAAAATAAAATGGTAAATAAACAGGATACCCGTAGTAATTAAGGTTAGCGTTTGAAAAGTCTCGGGTTTTCTTTCTTTCTACGGTTTCCTTTTAAAACATTTCTTTGAACTTTCCAACGTTTTCCGCATCCTGCGCGACAGGATGTTGTTTCATGTTTTTCTATGGAATTTTGCGCGGAAAATGTGCACGCTGCCAGCTTAAATTGATTCCTTGCGCATGCTCGATGTTAGACCGCTGGATTACGTGTCATGGTTATCATTGGCCAGTGTGAGAAGACAGTAAGACAGTCGTTTAATTGTAACTGTTAACAACAAGTGTGCTCCTTTTGGCTAGCGCCTTTTTACCTTTACCTGCAAAACCTGTGTAAACATTCTCTAAGTACAACTCCCTCTCCGGGGTCCACGGGCACATAGCATATGCCGCAGTCAAACTCCTCCGGGTTGGGTATTAGACTTTGCTGTGCGGTCTGTAGGAGGGTAGTAAAGTTTCTCTCTCTTGCCATCTCTTCTTCTTCTTGCCGCGTTCGTTCAGCCTGAGAAGAAGAAAAAAAAAATGACATAACTCCTCAAATAGGCTTGAATTATCATCAGACTATCTTATCATCACGCACGTCCTAGTGTAGTCTGGCAAATTTGCTGCATCGTGTAGCAATCTTAAAGAGCTCATGTCTTGCAATATCTTCATTATTATTGCCGCAAGCATTGATGAGATGGATCAATTACTGTTTCCAGAATCGATTGGCTGGGGTGACACGACAAAATAAAACACCTTTGCCATTTCATAAATACAAACGTTGAAATGATCGGTGTGGTACTTACAGACCTCATTTTCATGGAATCAAGCGTCTTCTTTCCATTTACCAAGCACTTAAGCAGTGAATAATGAACCGATTTAATTGATCTTTACACTTGTTCTGATCGGCATTGGTATTTAGTTTGGTTTTGGTCTTATGATTCTCATACGAGAGGCGTTCTAGGAATTTGGATTGGCCAGATCCGGCCACTACAGGTCTCTTAAACATACTCTAAGTCTTTCTCAGTTCCTTCATGCTCTCATTGAAAATGGATGCTACTGTAATGAAATATTTGTAAAGTAATTGCATTCAGGCATTTCATCTCCTAATGGTTACAATTACTATTACATCCATTCCGAAATCACTGGCAATGCGATTTGCTCTCTGCAATTCCATTTATTCACGAAGCGCATAATTTAATTGCTCTAAACCGCATCTTTATACTCAGCAAACGACAAAGCAACACTAAAACAAAACAACCAGTCGAGATTTCAAGGCTTGCTTATATAGTATAGTAACCCATCAAATTACAGGAAGATGAAAGAAAAGGCAGCCATTTTGCAGCAAATTTAGCAACTTTACTCCTGTATTTCCCACTTATTTCTGCATTTGGGCAATTAAATTTTGCGATTTCAAGATGGAAGCATTACCGGGGTAATTGAACTACGTGTTGTGCAATTTCGGTCTGAAATCACGCCTACGATATCTGACCAAATTGCACTTCACTTCGCTCAATTACCATAAAGATGATAAATTTTATTTTAAGTCATAAAAGGACGTCTTCTGTGGTTAACTAATACCCCATTCACACCAGCAAAACATGTTTTGTTAAACTGGTTTTCATTGAATGAAAATTATAAACAGAGAACTGAAAAACTTGATTTTCCATTGGATTCAAGTACTTGCTAACTTGCATTTCCAATGTGCTACATTCAAGTCAAAAATATTCGGCTAAATAGTTTCTATGAAGAAAAAAAAGATTAAACTGTGTTTAACAAAACAACTTTTAAACATGTTTAAGCTTTGGTGTGAATGGGGCATAAGTCAACTATAATACAACCACCATCGTGTGAAGAAATCTCACGGAGAAACGTCATGGAACCCTCGAAAAAGAACGTAGCGTGTGAGAACAGGCACAATCACTGACAGTGACTACCATTTATAGTGGAAAGAACAGAATTTGTCATCTCCAAATTATTGCGGAGTGCAAATCATCCACCAATACTTCCAGGAATTTTCTACATTTTTAATAATTCAATTTCTCCACGATATCTTAAGTGATTCTCCTTACTGTCATGCCATACAATTTTAGTGAAAAGAATTGGGTATAAGATAAACTGATAATCCCCTTAACGATATTTTTCTTTATTCTAATCGCTAGTTTGCTAGATAATGTAATGTAACAGGATATCTTGTCCTGGTAACTCGTTGGAGCTTAAGTTTAACAGCGTGACCTCACAATGGCGGCCAACTTTTCATTTTTGTGACCTACTCATATTTAAAGGTGGCACAGAATTTGTCAGCTTGAAAAATCAACTCTTTATTACCGCACGCACTTAAGCTTAAACTAACAATTCTTGCAGCCTTAGTAATCATATGTAGGATATTCACAGGTTCTTTGACAGTCGAGTGCCAGCATGTAAAAAGGTTTCATAATTAACTACATACAATCGTGAAATACAACAAAACATTACTTCTACAAACACTCAACAAGAGCTAAATCAAAGGCTTAAGTCGTTCCTTAACTACTTAGGCAAGAACTGGGACGTATTGCTGTTAAATGTGTCGAGTCTTTTCAAGATCACACATCATTCAGATTCCTGTCGAGCTTCTCGTAAGCCCATGATGAGCTGCCTTTCCGCATCCTAAGGAAAAGGCGGAAAACAAGATTAGAAACATCTTGCACAAGGCCAAAAAATATCTCGCAAGCTTTCTTTTAAAAAAGATTTAATTGGAAAGTAGTGGAAAGGAAGTTAAACGCCCAAGTGAAAAAACACCCTTGCTTTCTTCTTTGGCTTTTTTTCCCTTATTTTCTTCTTCTTTTTTTTACTTCTTCCGTTAACTTAATAATCAGTTTTTTAAGTTACAAATGGGAGAAGCAGCGCTAGACCCTTTCAGGTGAAAGGTGCCATTTTGACTCTTTCCTGTTTCAATTGTTTTGAACGTCAGCAGAGGGTGCTTGCTTCACATTACTGTCAATATCAATCCAGTTCTTGCCATTTAAAATATTAAAATCATTAGCTGAGACTGATTTATCCTTCACAGACAACCCCCTAAAACTCCTTTAATAGAATGAACGTCGGAAAGGAAAACCTAAGAACTACCAGAGGCTGATCCTACAAAAATCCTTCGCTTAGACCATTTCTACTCATCCTGAAGTTCTACCTGTGTGCCTTAGGCGCTAGTAAAGTTAATAATTACAGTTTACAACAGCAACAGACGTTGCTTCAGAAAAATAATCAGTACTCTCCTAAATTAATTGTGACATGCGCGAGAATTCGGCTGTAAACGGCAAAATATAACGTTCAAATTTTGCGCACGCTAGAACGAAAGCGCGAAGGGCATTGGGGATATCATGTGATAACCAGATTTTTTACCTGATAGATTCAGGTCTGAAAGCTCCGCACAAGCTCTGCTATGATGTAATTTTCTTGTAATGGAATGAATGGTGAATAAGCAGGTGTTTCATTTCAAAACTTCGTATTTAATACAAATGCTGAATACGGCACAACAGTGATTTTCACGTGTGTGTTTTTGCAAAAAGAGAAAAAAGACTGCAGAGATTGAACACGTTAGTGTAAACAAAACATACCTGTTGGAACAAAGCTTCCGACCTCTCTTCCTCAGCTATTCTTTGCCTCTCTCTCTCGTCCAAACTTGCCCCATCAGGTACCACATACCCCTGCGGTCTATCAGCACTGCACATCTCACATCCGGGTCTCGTTGGCTGGTTTATAAAAGTGCACGTAGCACAGGCCCATCCATCACGCGGTCTTTCCTCCGCTGCTGGCTGTGCAGCCAGCAAATTGTTCACAAACGACCCCTGGGGGTCGGGGGAACTGCCGAGATCCCCTTGACCATGCAACAGCTGGACCATGTCGCGTATATCGACAATAGTTGCTCTTTGGAACGGTAAGGTAGTGGGACCACTTGATTGTTCGTGGTTCGAAAATGATGACGGTGGACTGTCTTGCACTGTTGGAAGCCGCTCCGATCTGCCAGACGGTTGACTGACACCGACAAACTCGGGGGTACTTGTCGTACGTCTTAACGGCCCTGGTGAGTCGGGAGCTCTTTCCAGAGGAACCCTGGTTCCAGCACTGCCGCTGGCTGTTGAACTGACTGATGCTGCATGACTTCGTCCCAACTGATCAGTATCAGACCTTCTTAATCCCACCGTTTTGCCGGACAAAAGGTACAGAAACACTGTGTGCCCTGTTTGTCTCACATTCAAGTCAAGTAGCGTTTCCGTGGGCTTGGGTATTTTTTTGCCGATAATCCACTTTTGAACTTGCACAGGAAAACTGAATCTGTCAAAAACCTGAAGAAAACACCTGGACAGTTTCTTTTAGAACTAAGTAATGGTTACTTTGAAAATTTATCTTCTAAAGGCACCATTTTTGCAAACCTCACGCTACTTATCAATGAGTAAAACGGGCTTTAAAAAGGCCTCAAAAGCTCAACGAGCCACAATATTCAAGTTTTTTTACCAAAATCACTCGCCTCTTGTAGAGTGCTTTAGATTATAATTTTTTCATAAGTCGAACATTACCTCTTGCTTCAGTCTCTCTATTGTCGCCGATGGCGAGACCTTCATGGTGAATGCTCCTCCACTAGATTGTTTATCTTCAACCACCACCCGTAAACTGCGAAATTGAAAGAATTTATTTATTAGGAAGACTAGGAAAGCTTCACTTTGTTTCCTCCACATCTTATTCTAACTAATATATATATATATTTCAAGAGGAAAAAAGGACGCAACTACATTTTCCCGACAAGCCTGTTTCGTGAATCGCTTCACTTCTGGGCTTTGTTCAAAGGGTTTAATTGGAAGGATTAGTAAAAATTTGATTTAAGATCAAAGAAGAAAAAAATTCAGCTGAAATCTTTTTGTCTTCATATTTTGATATAAATAAATTTATCCTCAAACAGCTTTTGAACATATATATATATATTTAAAATTTAACCCTGTCTTATTATTTATCGATGTATTTATATATATTTAAGAAGTCTTATTATTTATCGATGTATTTATTAATTTAAGAGCGAAGAGGAAACATAGGTGACCTCGAAGGATACATATCATCATATCATCACGTGTGTATGTTGTTTGTCATCGGTTATTGCTCTCGCCTTAAGAAAAAAAGGCTCTTTTACTCTGGTATGATAGAAAAAGCGTGAATAGAGTCGCTCGGGAGTTTAACGTTTTTCTACATACATGTATTCGATGATACTTATCCAAAGATAGGCCAAAAATTGATCAGTTTCCGGGAACTTTCCAAACGAACAAAAATCCTTCACGAGGTTTATGTCAAGAGTCACTATTCACCTGTATGGTCTTAACTAGTCAATTACAGTACCGCTCAAAAGAAAGTTGACATTCTCGACTCGAAACTCGAATCTATCGAAAATCGAGAATTGGGGCTCGCGTATCAAGTATCGAGAATCCAGGATCGAGACGCTCGAGGAAATTTTCGAGGATCTCGATGACAGTTTCGAGGAAACGATTTCATTCTCGCTAGCGAAACAATAGCCAAAGACATAGCACTTAACAAGTGGCTTCGTACTGTTATGTTAATTAATTTAAAGCCTCGCAGGAGTTATATAAACCTAACAGGAGTTAAGAATTGTCCAGGAATCTATTAACATTCGTTTTCGTTTAAAACTGCGTATGTTGGAGTTTTCTTGTTAGTTACAGTTTAGTCGTTGTGTATTAGAGGTCTTTTTCTTAAAGTGGAGTCGTTTCGCGTTTGAAGAACACAACACGTAACACAGAAGCCGCTTGCATGTACGCAAATATTTTCATTCTAAACAGGTTTGGAGCTCAAATTTATGTAAACCACAAAAACTGTGCCCTTCTTGTGTCTACGAAGTTCCAGGGGAGCAAGGTGGGGAACGTAAATCGTTAAAAGAATTCCATTTCATTTACTTGATCGTATCCCCTCCTGAGTCCATGGTCACCAGAACAGGATTCTTGAGTTTTATGCTGAGAGGAAGTTTTTCATTTGCCAACTTTTTAATGAGCTCGACCGCTTTATCTTGTGCTCCGATCCTGACTGCGTCACTCAGACTCGAGCAAAGAGCATCTGAAATAATTTTCACCACAGTCTTAAAGTAAATGATTTGAACATTGCAGTTGCAACCTATCGCATATAGCAATCTTGTGTGCGAGTGGCTACGACAAGCACTGCCATTAATAATGTGACGTTCAGCGACATGAACAACATGAACAGTACCTACACTGTATATATATCTGGAAGTCGGGAAAAGGATTGATCAGTTACAATTCACAAACACCACTTGAGTCTTACAGCCAACATTTTCAGTAGTAGTAACAAAACTGACCACTACATTTCCACAAATTACACTCGTGAAATTCGATTAATAAACGACTCCCTCGCCCACTGGGGACGACCACACTACCCAGTCACATTCGTCTCAACCACTAAAATACCCTGGAAGTACAGCCAGTGATTTGTAGGTTTTGCTCTCTTCTCCTTTTTATCTTTGCCACATTTGTGAATTTGTTTCGACCCTGTACTTTCACTTCATAGAAGCCCACAATGTCACTGATCAGGAGGGGTCGCTGTTATGACAAATTAGGAGGCAAAACTGGTATTCTTTAAAAGGTCAGAAAAGATTTTGACTCCCCTTCCCCCCCCCCCTCCCAACCGTTCCTCTATGAGAAGGTACAAATACATGTTTTTTTCTGGATCTTAACACAATTCAAAAGTGAAAAATTTCCAGTACCTTTAAAAACTGAAATATTGCAATACAGCATCACTTATATGTGAATATCGTAACAGTAAATATGCAATTATTGATAATTTTTCAAGAGTAGAGACAAATCACCTATTATGCAAAAAATCAAACCAACAAAGCTGCTCAATCTCCTGACAACTCAACGTGGTCCCAATACGAACCTTTACGCCTTATAACTCAGTTCCCTTACTCAAATAATGCTGGTACTATGACTCATATATATTTTTAATGTTTTTCAGAAATTCCTTTCCTGAACAAATCTTTATTCAAGCCTCATTAATTTCTTCCATAGTACTACATAGCTTTATGTAAATAAGGGATGCATCCACCCTCTAAGGGAACCACTATTTCAACAACACATCCATCTGTTTTCCCTTTGTTTTTCCATATAGCAGTGAGTGGGAAATAAAAGCAATCTACATACTAAACACAAAAAAACCCAGGTTGTGGCTTAAAACACAAAACAGTCTGAAGTAAATCATTCAGTAAATAAAAATGTTTCCTACTATTCCTTCAGTATCTTACAAATATTTGGATTTCTCTTGTTGTGTTAACCTAAATAACAAGATACAAGCAGATAATAGTACTTCTGATCTCAACAGGTTCTAATCATGATATTCCCCTCTCAGAACTTTTAACACTTTAACTCCCAAGATCTGATTGTTAATTCTCCCTTCTGGCTGCTACACATTTCCTTATAAATTAGTTATGAGAATTAGAAATGAGATCAAGATAACAACTTTTACACTATCAGTTTGAGTATTCTCATTACCTGCTGGCAGGATAATGTATGGATATTCTAGGGAGAAGTTACATGTTAATCACTTCCAGGAGTTAAGGGTTAAAGAACTTACCTATCCTTGCATCGTTCATTTCTCGAGCCTTAAGAGCACCTAACACTTCTCTGGACGAAGGATCTGAGGATTTTTGTGCTGGAGCTGGAGCAGGAGCAGGAGCAGCAGGTGGTGTATTTTGCAATGGAGGTTGAGGGTTTGAAGGCCCAGTCCAGTTTGCCCGTGTATCCACTGGTAGGCTCTGGGTACCTACTCAAAACAAATTGGTTTGTCAGATCACAAATAAAGTTTGCCATCTTCTTACTGCATCATACATGATTAATCTTCAAGAGAACAATTTCAGTCCCAAGCTAAGAATTTCTAGTTGTCAGTGTAAAGAAGGACACTATAAAATTAAAGACATTTGAAATGAAAATTTGATTGTATTCTTAAACCCTTACTGAATTTTGCTACAGTGTCAAGTCTAATGGGGTCAAACAAATTACTGGTATACCAAATATTTATGTCAAGAACTTACACAAATATTCCTCTTTGCAAATATAATGAAACATAAATAAAGTGATATATCTCTTACCTTGCAGGGACCGTAAAATATTCTGAACTATGATTGAGAAATGGTTTCCATTAGAGTCAGGGCCAAAATGCAAGCCATAAATGATTCCCCCAATAAGACGAATGTGATGCCAGTTAGGTTGCACAACCTGGTATATCATACTCTCACTCAATGGCAAGTTTAGTGTTGGCTGTAATTGAAGATAAAGTTACCTGTCAGTGCTTAGAAATATTATGTGATACATGCAATTTGACTGGTTCTTACCTATGATCTATTGGAGGACAGACATATAATAACGTCACCATTAACAACATTTTGCTTTCTTATCATAAAAGAGCAAAATAATAAAACAAACAAAATCCACATTGTGTGACTCTGCACAGTAACAGGTCACAGAAGACAACAAAATGTAGAAACATCAGTGACACACTTGGCTGTGCCTTGTGTGCCAATTTTTTTGTTCTTAGCACATTTTGATGTCATATGATACCATATTTACTCATGTATAAGTCAACCCCCCATTTTCTAGGTCAAAAAGCAGATTTTTAATCATTTCTAGTTAAAGAAGTAAAATTCAGACCAACAGAAATTTTCCAAAAAGTTAAGCTCATATTTCTGAGAATGTGTTGAAAACACAGTGAATTAAAAAAAAACTGCAGAACAACATGTAACCACATGTAACAAGACCATGCCAGACAACAGCATTTGCTAGGTCACTAAGCTACTGTAACTGTTTGATGAAAACAAAAGTTCAGAACCGTAAACAGCAGCAAAGCTGTAAGAAAAAATGTCAGCTCTACAGATCAAAAGACACAAAAGAAATCTGGTCCAGTAAGTTTGTGTTTAAGCCACTTAAAATCTGTTATTTCTAACTTTTTTGTTGACAAAGAATGTGCTGAAAACTGACAAAACTCAAACACAATTGGAACTGGTGTTGTACACGTGGTTTTCTTAATGGACTCCAGGCAATTGTAAAATTTCTTGCATTTCTTACATTGTGTATGATTAGTTAGGTCAGGTCATTATACTAAGAAATTATAGTTAAATGTTAATAAAATGTTTTAATATGTTTAATTTTTTTGAGGCAGACTGATTTTTGGTCAAAGCTAAAAAAAAAATGGTTGATCAAAAGACATACCAGTAGGTTTGTGTTTAAATTATAGTTAAATGTTAATTGAAATTTTTTAATTTTTTTTGGTCATAAAAGGTTGACCTATACTAAGAAATTGTAGTTAAATTTTAATTAAATGTTTAAATGTGCTTTAGATTTGAGGAGATTTGAGGCAGACTGCATTGAGCAGGTTACAACAATTCTTTTCTTCTTGTATCAACAATGATCTGTTACCAGACAAACTAGCATTCATTTGTTTATCTGAGATTCTGCTTCACAATTTGATCCAGGCTTGGCTGCACACCACAATTAGCATAACTTTTCCTTTGTTAGGAAAGATATTAAACATTAGTTATGAACTGCAGGGCATACAGGCATGCTGAGAAACAGTGTGAGTTCGGCTCAATCCAAGTGGCTGGATACCGTATTAGAAAAATGGACTATTCTTCTCATGATAGTAAGGAAAAAATTAAATTCTTAGCACAACGCAGTAATCTACATCAACAAAATTTTTATGTTCCCATCACATTATTCATAAATGAGGCCTTGATTGGTGGCAGCATTTATTTTAGGTTTACTCAGTCAAGGCCCTGTCTATGAACAGTACAATGGGAACATAAAAAAATTGGATGGTGTAGATTACTGCATTGTACTAAGAACTTCATATTTTCCTCATTATCTTTGGAAAAATAGCCCATTTTTCTGATTGAATACAGAATTTACTTAAAGTGACATTAACTTATAACTTTGCTTCTGTCTGCGGCACACAATTATAAGTGGAGTTCAACAAGAGTGAACATGGTAATGCATCAAGTGAGCCATGGAGAACTCATACACATGTTAACCCATGGTAGAGGTTTTTATGTAACAAGCCCCCTACATATTACAAGAGTCTGCCAATTAGATAACAAAGGGATGAAACATTTAACATAAAATTAAACAATTTCTTTAATTAACTATTTCTCACTTTAAAAAACCTCCAACAACTTAATGCTTAGAACAAAATGAAATGGGTGCATACAAATCCTATCACAACTTTTTGAGTATACTTTTTCCCAACCATTTTTGGCACATGCAGGGCATGAAATTGTGCCTAATACAGGTGCCAATGCGACTAAATTTTTCACTTTGGCGACCAAATCCTGCAAATTAGTTGCCAAATTAGTGACTAGAATGTTTCATCATAACCTTACCTGGAGATATAGTGAATTAAAAAGATTTGCAAAGACAAATCCTCGGTAAACTTCCTCGTTAAGTTTGTTTCCAAAACACAACACATGCATCTCGATCAATAACTAGACGCCATCTAGGATTTAGGTGAGCTTAAACATTGCATATCATCCATCCTAGTGTCCACTTTGTAGCATGTCAAAGATCTTTTCCCTGACTTAGTTTCTAGAACGATGACAGCGTAAAAAAAAGGTTTTGTTTGTCTTTGAAAATGGCGACCAACTTTTTTTGAATTGGCTACCACTTTGAACAATTTAGGAGCCAAGTGGCTATCAGAAAAAAAAAATTAATTTCACGCCCTGACATGTAATGAATTCACACCACAAATTAAACTTGATAGGAGAATGAATACTATAAATACAAATCTAAGACAAAGAATAAAGAAAGATGTTTTTTGTCTTGTCGTGAGCATGGGACAAAGAAAATATTCGAAGTCCCTATGAGGTATTGAACTTCAGACCTCATGGGGACACAGAATTTCTCTTTGTACCACACTTGCGATAGGACAAAAAACATCTTTCTTTATATCTTTACCAAGCTCAAAATTTACCATCCCTCTTATTCTATTTACAAATATGATGCTATTGACATTGCTGATTCTAACAGTATGTAGGACTTGAGTCATTTGAACTTTATAATAGACCTTGCTCTCTGTAGTCTCTGTGGCTCAGTGATAGAACATTGGAACGCAGAATCCGAAGGTCTGAGGTTCAATTCCTCATGGGGACTCAGAATTTTTTCTTTGTTTCATGCTCATGACAAGATGAAAACCTCTCACTATATCTTTACCAAACAAAAACATTTACCATCTCTCTTATTCTATTCACATACCAGGACAAAGAAGTTAAAATCTTAGCTTCATTCCTAGAAACTTGATTGGCAACAATCAACAGGCGCAATGGCATATAGAAATTAACTGCCATAGAAAAGTCGAATCTGGTTTATTGCAAATCAACATTAAAAAATAAGTACCTTTAGTGAATACGTCAAAGACTAGTAAAATCTCAAATTTAGCTAGTACGCTTTCTGTTTGCATTCAAGGCTGAATCATAAACTGAACAGTACATCAATTATATCATGAAAAAACACGGAATCTCCAAAAGTTGTTAATATCCAAGGTCAAAAAGTTCAATTTATCTTCAGAGCTCTTATAGATTTAACAATGAAATAGCATTAAATGTTGGCTCAATTTGTAATTTAAACTGACTTTTAGAATTTGCACGATAGTAGTGTCCTCATTTGATAAATTTTATTGTTAGCTTCCTTCTTACAATAAGGTTTCTAAACAAAGATAACAAGACCAAAAATAGTATCAAACATGTTGATATTCTCATGAATATATCCTACGAGAGGCTTTTCCCACATATGAAATCTCTTGTATGCAAATATTTAACTCATTCAACTGCTAGGACTAAATTGTCACTTTACTAATGACTAACAAATTGAAAAGTCAGTCTAAACATACTGCATATTTGTTTATTGATGTGGAAATATGCACAAAGAATCATTAAATAATTTAGAATGGCAATATGGTACATTGGCTTTAAAGATGTAGAAACTTCATCGCACAAAGACTATGACCATAACAAGACAGTATAGTTTTTAAATTGAGTTGAATACACTGCCAATATACGAAAAACAACTGCTCTGTTAAATGCTTCTCATTCCCACTGCCTAACTTAACTGGAACTATCCTGGCAATTGTGCAAGGGGAAGTTGAAATGCCATCACGTAGTTATTTAATCACATTGCATTCAGTTTACGCTATACTTCCGAATTATCAGGTGAGAAGTTCACCATCACCATCAAAATTTTTCAAGACTGCATTCTCCTGCGGCATCACAAATTCACTTGCAGTCAATGTGAATTTACTGATTCAAATAGCATGTAACTGATACTTGATTGGCAATTTTGTGCCTTGAGCCAAAATTCACAACTGGTGCTGTGTTAGCTGCTTTCAGACAGTCATTTAAAGTTACACTTCACGTAAAGGTGCAGCAGACATCACACTTTGAAGGAGTTTAAATGTTCAAAGTTCATTTTATGACATATCACAATCATGTGCTCACATACAATTCAGGGACAAGTCCCACTCAATTTATTTTATGTAAACTGCATTGATTGGTCAAAAGTTATTTTGAGCAATAGCATCAATGAAATGTGCTTACAAAGCACATTTCCTGTGGAAGTAATTCAAATGGACAAACACTAGGCGTTGAAGTGTCTTCCACGATTGTTGAATGTTGTTTGGCACCTTAGCATGAGCTTACTCAGCACAATGTTTTAACATGAAGTCATATGTCGTATTACCATGCAGCTATTGACCCTACAGTACTAAGTAAGTCCTCAGTTTTTGAAAATTAGAAGCTTATGTTGTTGTTCAACCATCAATACAGTCAAACCTTGGTTCGTGTCGAGCGACTCGATTCATCACCAGGATGCGAGATCTCTACCCGATCCATTCACAATTGACGTATAAGGAACGAGGCAAAAACTCCACTTCCATAACGGAAAGAGTTTCATGAAAAAAAAAGACTTTTATCCATATTAACACAAAGGCGTCTACATCTTTACCTACTGTCGCAGTTCAAGGCTCTTTATAATAAAGAAGAAAAATCCCTCCAGTGCACGTAATGAAAAACATGCCGGACTGAATTACAAAATCTAAATATATTTTTCCTCATATTTATTTTTATTCTTATATTTGTCCTCCATCTTTACATGAAAGTGCTGACTCAGCACAAGAAGTGGAGTTAAAAGCTCTTAGCTAAGCTCTAAGCGCCATTTAGAAGTGGTATGCCTTGGTATGCCTACAAAATGGCGGTTCGAAAGCTTTTTCAGATTCAACCACTGCCGTGGAACGTATACGGAGAACCCGGAACGCGGGTTCTCCATAATCTCACATCACATCCACCGTGCTCTTCGTGGTGTTGAACGAATCATATTTAAGACACGAGTTTTTTCAGCGTCGAGAAACATCCACGTATTAATTCTACCTACTCCAAAGGAACTGCGATAAAATGTTTTGCTCGTATTGCCCTGAAAACCTTCAGAGAGTACTTTACAAGAATGAGACTATTTTTAGCCTCGAATGGAAGTCTATCTGTCATGAAAACTTACCATTCCTGATGACTCCAGTCTTCCAAAAATTCTATACAATCCAGTACTTCCGCCTTGGCGATTGCCGAGCAGTTGTACTCTTGAGTAGACATTCGGGTCTCCGACTTCCAACCAACGATTATGTCCCGCTTGATGGTAGAAGACGAACGCACGACACTCTACGAAGACGGTCTCGTTTGGTAAACCTGCGTGTTTCTGCGCCATGTAATTTTGAAGGCATTGAGGGAACTCGTCTTCTTCAGCTCTTCTTTAAGACGGAAGTATGAAGCATCTGTTATCAGAAAGCGAAAGTGAAGGTTTTTACGGAGGACTGAAAGTAGATCAACGTCCAATAATCACCAAACCGAAAGGGGAAACGAAGTGTATTGTGGGCGCCTATTGATTCGTATCGATCGATGATACTATTCCCCTGTCATTCGATAACCGCTGAACGATGCATGGAATCCCCGGTGAGTCTCCGACTTAAGCAAATATTCAAACGATTCTTTTAATAAGTGACGCTTTTCCGTATTTATAGACCTCGGAAGAGGTCTAGATCCTCCTTGCTACCACTGCACCCTATTGCCTTGGCTGCCCCCCCCCCCCGAATTCTTTTGTGTTGATGTGTGAATATGTTTAGCATGTACTAAATAATAGCTCATTTGCGTGAAAATTAGAAATAGTCTGGCTTTGGTAAGTATAAGCAGAAACGGTCCAGAGTTGGAAAACGTCATACTCACGGGAAAACTCCGCGAATCTTTCCAGAGCGATACCACAAGAAGGTTTGATATTTAAATAACTATGTATTCTAATTAATTTCTACTAACAGCATCAAATGACTTTTCGAGGGCAGCCAATTAACTTTATCTTCTTGATCGAAGAGTGGTGATCTATAGCTACACTGCAACTGCTGTTGGTTCGATCGCGTGACTAGTTTGTGATATATGTGTGGCATGGGACACAAAAAAAATCACATCGAGTATAATGTTTCATCTCTTACTAGTAATGGCAGAGCATTACTGGTAAGAGTGGTAAAGCCTCTGACGGTTGATTGCATATCAGTAGCTGGTTGTTATCAACATCATACTATGTCTCCATTGTAGTTCTTCAAAGAATCTGAAAGATTAGGTGGCTTTATCAATAGCTGACGTTAAGATATTGCAGTTGTTACCCTTGACCCCAGGACTTTTAAAAATGACCGTTTTTAATTAATATAGGCGCACTTTCATTTACTGTAAGAAGAGTCTAACGCTTGTTATATTAGCTAAGGCAAGAGATTATAATCTCTTGGCTAAGGTTGTTTATCTCAATCGACCGGTTTTAGTTGATAATCAATTAAGTGTTTTACTTACCCGCCGACGCAGCTCAGTAGTTGCAAGGACGGCAAAATAAGTTTGTCTAATATTTTATCCAGTCTTACCTAACTGTTATGAAAATCCAGGTTTTAAATTTAGAAACTTATGCCCAAAATAGCGGATGAAAATTCATGATATATAATTCCGCTTCAGACAACGAGCTAGGGACAAACGATAGTCAAATGAGTCAGTCGCTTTCCGTTGAAAAAATGAAGAATCCCCCATATTGTACCCCTACCTCACAGACAGGAACTCGTATCTATTTCAAGATGGTAAGAGGAACAAAGCGAAAAGCAGTGCAGTCTAAAATACCCCTGTTCACTTAATTTACCTACCTCGAATTCCTGGTTGGATATGTCTTTGTGTTTATTTTTATAAAACGCGAGGTTCCTAGAACCATCTGTACCAGCCAAGTGTTTTGTATATGATGAGACATTCTATTATAACTACACTTTTCCGTTGACCATCATCTTTTTCGTTATAGACAAATGCAACCTTTTCACACGTAAATGGCGCTGTTTTTTTCAAATTTCTAGCGGGTTCGATGATTATTTATTGATTGCTACTGTTTGTATTTTCAAATTTCGTAGTAAGGAAGTTGGCAAGATCGTTGTGAAATAAAACCAGATTGATTTGATGCCGGAATTACTTGATGATTCATAACAGAATAATCATTAGTATATCATTTAAAAAAAATTTAAAAAAAAACAGCAAATCACTTAAAGCATTGCGAATTCAATCTACGATATCTACCTTAATTGCTAAATATGGGCCTTGTTAAACGCTGTCCAATGACAGGTAGAAGTGACGTCGCTGGTGAGGTACCTGTAGAGGCGTGAGCAGTGAGCCAGGGATAAACTTGAAAACAGTGACGGATTTTTAACAAAAAAAACATGTTTGAAAGGTAATAGTTCTATGATTGCCCTAAAAAGTATCAGTTTCAAAAGGAAACAAGGTAGTAAGGACAGATAATAAAAGTAGAAAACGATGGTGTGAGTTGAACCAGTTCATTTTGTTTGAAAGGAAGACGAAACTGTACATCTTAGAGAACGCATTACTGTGGAAGGTGCCTTCAGACAAAATTTGTTAAAGAGAGAGGGAGCGATAAACAGCCGCTGACCGGGAATAAGCCCACGATCAGCAACTTAGGAGAGAGCAGCGGGAACAAAGTTTAAAGAGTCAGACACTATGCGGCTGTAACATCTTTATTGGCAAACTTTACACTTCTTTACGTACATGAGATAAGACGTTTCTATCAATAAATAACACAAAATTCTCAAAAATTATAAAGCAAAATAATAAAATATACCTTTCTCACGACCGCGCACGTAACAGCATTTACAGATTACTATTCCCTTCAAAAGAGATATTTGCAAATTCACTCAATGATTATAAATGAAATATATTATTATCACTTGATAAAAATTGAAATTAAAAACGAGGTCACGAAAAGACCAAAATATTCTTTCAGAAAAAATAATTATGAAAAACAAAGATCGAGTTCTCTAGATTTCTAGAGATCAAAAGGTATTTTTTCAGAACATAAGATGCAAAGAGGAAATATTGGAATTTTATACCGCCTGGTCACTATTCAGTTATGAAAAGATTATAATGAATTTAGCACTAGAATTGTCAACAATTTTACTAACTAAAGAATATAATTTTCTCCCTCTACTGGTTTAGAGCCCAAAGTGGAGGAAAGCTACAATATAGCTGGACTGAAGAAGAAATTTAAGTAGCACATGTGAACTTTTTTTCCAAGGATTTTAGGGTCGTTTCGGAGTAAATGCAGTGGAGTAGTTGTCATGTTTCTTGATTTTCCATCTGTGTTGTTAAATCTCGTACTTTTTGTGCCCAATACTCACTGCTTTGCTGTAGTTGGATTGAGAGCTACAAAAGATATCAAGATACTCCAGTTAAAGATCAGTCTGCCATTATCCAATTAAGATATTGTTCCTTGAATTTAAAAGTTTAAATTTCTAGTGGCAAGATGCAGACATAGATTTTTGAACTTAGATCTGAGCGGCAATTATGTGCCTCCACTGATCTCGAAGAGGCGCGAAACCTCTGCATGCTCCGCTTGTCACCACTGCGTCGGATCGATTAGGGTTTGATCACTGGGATGTGAAAATTTATCGGGTTTGAGGGTTTTGCGGGGTTTGATTGAATTTTTTTGCGGCTTGGGATGATTTTTTTCTACGGTTTTGCGGTTTCTCGTAAACCCCAGTGCCCCCCTTCTCTACCTCGCGTGTATGTTAAGTAAAAAAGATATCTATTTGAGAAGCAAGAAACAGAAGTGGAAAAGTGAAAAAAAAAGATGAGTGAGTAATATGAAAATAGGGAATATCCTCTGCCAATAGGTAACGAGCCTAGCGCATTATCAGTCTTAAATCCACAACGCTACAGGTTTGCTGGGATCTATCAACCATTTCGGTTTTCATTTCTAGAATTTATTGATCTCGCTTAAATAGGCTGTCAGTTTTCCTCGCTCGCGGCATACCTCACCGACTCTCTGAATCCAATACGACTTATCCAGTATTTGAGGATCCTTCACACCAGCTTTCTCCATTTCTTTTCTCATTATTGACCTCACCTGTATCGACACAAACAAATATTCTCACAAGTCTGAGGAAGGAATGACTCCTTCATACCAGCATTTTTGAGGGCAGTCGTGCAAGGAACCCCGACTCCAACGTCACCGTATGCATTTACGTGGTAAAAGCCTTGAAAACACCATGTAATATTATAGTGGAGCTCGCAGCGCGAGCAGCGTAGCGCCATAATTATAGGAAATAGTAGTGAATCTATACATCATGTTGTAATTTGCAATCCATGTCAATCTTCTCCATCCAAAAGCATCTTTGTTTCCAACTGGTTTATCCTGTATCTCATTTGATTTTTTCAAGAAGTTGCACGCTACTTTTAATGATTTTATCACAATTAACGACAATTTTCAACAGCAAAAATAACAAAAGATCTGTTATGATAGTCACTACGCATTATGATATCATCAATCATAACGGTTATGACTGATGATCATATTCCATGGATAGTGAATTTGTACAATTTCGTTCGTTAAATGCTAATGAGTTTATCACTAAATGCTAATGAGGAGAACAGTTAAGAACAATCATGAACATTTGTCCAAATACGTCGCCAACGTTGAATTTTCCACGTGAAAATTTCCGATCAAATGGTGACTGTAAAGTCACAAAAATCAGCAAAAAGGCGAGTTTTCATAACATGCCACTAACATTCTCGTGATCTGTTTGGGCACGTACGAGTGATTCACGTTGGAGGTTACCGCACTTGGCCAAGAATGAGCCAAGAACATTCCATAGAACCTGAAGGTCATGAAGGTGTGCACATACCGTAGTGCTTTTGAATAAATATACTTGCCTTTCTGCTGAATTTTTGTGAGTCTACAGTCACCACCAGCCAATGGAAATCATTACCCTTGGTAGCATCGGTTGATTGGGAATTTTCACGGAGAAAATTCAGCGGTGAAAATGTATTTGAAAAAATGTTCGCAATTTTTATCAATTGTTCTCCATCACCATTCAGTGACAAATCATTAGCATATAACGAATGGGTTAAACGAGTTGACTCTAATTAAGTTATTAATGAGAAGACAATTACAAAAATAGACTGAATGGACACAAGACGTAATTGCAACCTTTACCTTGTCTTTCTGAGCCGACTTTTGTCTGTAAAATAAGAAAAAAATAGCCCTAAGCCCAAATACTATGAAAATAATCAGAGGAATCGTATGGATACGAAGACGAAAACTGGACGATGGACACTCGAATCTAATTGCCTGCCTAGAGGAAACGTCGATAGAAGGGGGATTTTACTTACAGTCCTTTGTCGATAGACGAGTAGGCTGAGTCGTTCAAACCGTACGCGTCAATCTGAAGAGAAAAGTTTGTAGAACATTTTAAACTCCGAGTTTTTGAGAGCAGTCTTCTGAAATGATATCCAATCTAAGATTTTCAGACTTAAGTTACGGTCTGTTTATCGTACGGGAAAAAAAATTGGTGGATTATTTGCACGTTTAGGGGTAGTGGCACCTTGTATGTAAGTCAGCGGCACTGTTTGAGCAAAAATCTCCTTTGAACTGTAAGCTTTCTTTCATTTCCGTTATTTGTCCATACTAGTCTGTTGTAAATTGTTGTTGTCGGATAATTATTTAAGCATTTTTACTGCTCTAAATTTCTATTTTGTAAGAAAATGTACTGGCCTTCCGTCACTACGCTGTAGGATAAAATGGCGTATTTAGTACAAAATATTAACGTCGGCGTGAATAGTTTTCGTAGGGGAATCGTTCTTTTTCCATCGTGTGTCATTTAATTCAATCTTGTATGAACCATCTTGTCTTGAAAAACAACGCCTTGTGCTTTGCCTACTTTTGGGCGCTGTCGGGCGTTGGATAGTTTTAGTTGTGTGAGGATGGTAATTTTGTTGAAGCTGGAAGAAATTGTCGATGACTATGACTTGTGTAAAACATTGTTGAAATAAATATTTGTTCACTTTGGGAACTATGGTCAAGATTTTACTCTTCAATGTCGTCAGCTTTACAATGCTCCGTACCGGCTTTGAAGGCGGCTGTTACGAACAGCGGAAGATCGCATGTGCTAGCAAGTTCTCTTGTAAATTGTCGATCGGAGTCAAGGTTTACGCTGTTATACCTTCTGTTTTCGTTAACCGATATTTTTGTTGTCAATTTTAGCAACTACTACAACTATATTATATTCGCAAAGAATATGTAACCATTTGCAAATAAAATACGTTTTATTTTTTTTGAAATTCTCATTGTCATATTTGCAGTCAAACATCTCTAACGGCAGCACTCACTTCTCAATGAGAACTCCTAGTTTACAATACTGATGTCACTTGTTTGCCATTGAGCAAAATGGGTCACACGGCAATGCTGCACTTAAACTAAAGAAGTTTTCTCCATTAAAATCTCTGTTTGAAGTTAACTTGAACCAGATAACCTCATTCGTTTTCCGTTTGACCGGCTCGACGACGACAGCCTCAACCTTTGTAATCTTTGAGGAAAGGAGCAACTTGCGGTGAAACTGCCCGATGACTTCTCAACACAAAATCATCGTGCCTCGTAATGCAGCCGATTCTTTCGTCAAAAGTTAGCTTGTGATTTGCTAAGGGAATCATTCTACGGCAACGAAACTCTAAAGCACCGACCAAGGGGAACCTTCGCCGCACTTAGTGCGAAGGAATAAAATGTTATGTCAACAAAAACGAACACAGCTACCCATTCTTAACATAGATTTCGCCATAGAAAACAAAACAAAAACGCAACAAACTAAACATTCAGTAACGGGAGTTTTTTGTTCTAATCTTGACCTGAACACCGCACGCGACAGACCTAGACAGTCTTCGTCGAAATCATTGTTTGATGCAGGCGGTCGAAATCTTCGTTTGATGCAGGCGGTTCTCCTTCCTAGGTTCTCCTTCGTAGGGCTGAACCGTACTCGCAACTTTTATTTTTTGAAATCTTTCTTCTATCGGAATTGGTTTTTATATATGATAAGCTAAATATTTACGCAAAAAAATTTCGTGTCATAGGCACTTTAAGAGAGAGCAGCGGGAATAAGGCTTAAAGAGTCAGACGCTATGCGGCTATAACATCTTTATTGGCAAACTTTACACTTCTTTACGTACATAAGTTGAGATGATTCTATCAATAAATAAAACAAAGTTCTCAAAATTATAAAGTAAAATAATAAAATATACTTTTCTCACGCTCGCGCACGTAACAGCATTTACAGATTACAATTCCCTTCAAAAGAGATATTTGCAAATTCACTCAATGGTTATAAATGAAATATATTATTATCATTTGATAAAAATTGAAATTAAAAACGAGGTCACGAAAAGACCAAAATATTCTTTCAGAAAAAATAATTATGAAAAACAAAGATCGAGTTCCCTAGATTTCTAGAGATCAAAAGGTATTTTTTCAGAACATAAGATGCAAAGAGGAAATATTGGAATTTTATACCGCCTGATGACTATTCAGTTATGAAAAGATTATAATGAATTTAGCACTAGAATTGTCAACAATTTTTCTAACTAAAGAATATAATTTTCTCCCTCTACTGGTTAAGAGCCCAAAGTGGAGGAAAGCTACAATATAGCTGAACTGAAGAAGAAATTTAAGTAGCACACGTGAACTTTTTTCCAAGGATTTTAGGGTCGTTTCGGAGTAAATGCAGTTGAGTAGTTGTCATGTTTCTTGATTTTCCATCTGTGTTGTTAAATCTCGTACTTTTTGTGCCCAATACTCACTGCTTTGCTGTAGTTGGATTGAGAGCTGCAAAAGATATCAAGATACTCCAGTTAAAGATCAGTACGCCATTATCCAACCGAGATATTGTTCCTTGAATTTAAAAGTTCAAATTTCTAGTGGCAAGATGCAGACATAGACTTTTGAACTTCGATCTGAGCGGCAATTATGCGCCTCCACAGATCTCGAAGAGGTGCGAAACTTCTGTAAGTTCCACTTGTCACCACTGCGTCGGATCGATTAGGGTTTGATCACTGGGATGTGAAAATTTTTATCGTTTGAGGGTTTTTTATTTTCAAAATTTGATTGAATTTTTTATATTTATTTATTTATTAGGGGTTTTTGGGATGATTTTCTTTTTACGGTTTTGCGGTTTTTGCGGTTGCTTGTAGACCCCAATCCCCCCCTTCTCTACCTCGCGTGTAAACTAAATAAAAAGATGTCTATTTGAGAAGCGAGAAACAGAAGTGGAAAAGTGAAAAAAAGATGAGTGAGTAACATGAAAATAGGGAATATCCCCTGCCATTAGGTAACGAGCCTAACGCATTATCAGACTTAAATCCACGACGTTACAGGTTTGCTGGGATCTAGCAACCATTTCGGTTTTTTCATTTCTTGAAATAATTGATCTCTCTTAAATAGGCTGTCAGTTTTCCCTCGCTCGCGGCATACCTCACCGACTCTCTGAATCCAATACGACTTATCCAGTATTTGAGGATCCTTCACACCAGCTTTCTCCATTTCTTTTCTCATTATAGACCTCACCTGTATCGACACAAACAAAAATTCTCACAAGTCTGAGCTAGGAATGACTCCTTCATACCAGCATTTTTGAGAGCGGTCGTGCAAGGAACCCCGACTCCAACGTCACCGAATGCATTTACGTGGTTAAAGCCTTGGAAACACCATGTAATATTGTAGTGGAACTCGCAGCGCGAGCAGCGTAGCCCCATAATTATAGGAAATAGAAGTGAAGCTATATATCATGTTGTAATTTGCAATCCATGTCAATCTTCTCCATTCAAAAGCATCTTTGTTTCCTACTGGTTTATACAGTATCTCATTTGATTCTTTCAAAACGTTGCACGCTACATTTAATGATTTTATCACAATTCACGACAATTTTCAGCAACAAAAATGACAAAAGATCTGTTATGGTAGTCACTACGTATTATGATATCATCAATCATAACAGTTATAATTGATGATCATATTCCATGGATAGTGAATTTGTACAACTTCGTTCGTTAAATGCTGATGAGTTTATCACTAAATGCTAATGAGGAGAACAGTTAAGAACAATCATGAACATTTGTCCAAATACGTCGTCACCGTTGAATTTTCCACGTGAAAATTTCCGATCAACTGGTGACTGTTAAGTCACAAAAATCAGCAAAAAGGCGAGTTTTCATAACATGCCACTAACATTCTCGTGATATGTTTGGGCACGTACGAGTGATTCACGTTGGGGGTTACCGCACTTAGCCAAGAATGAGCCGAGAACATTCCGTAGAGCTTAAAGGTCATGAAGGTATGCACATACCGTAGTGCTTTTGAATAAATATACTTGCCTTTTTGCTGATTTTTGTGATTTTACAGTCACCACCACCCGATGGAATCATTACCCTTAGTAGCATCGGTTGATTGGGAATTTTCACGAAGAAAATTCAGCGGTGGAAATGTATTTGAAAAAATGTTCGCAATTGTTATTAATTGTTCGTGATTAGCATTCAGTGACAAATCATTAGCATATAACGAATGGGTTAGACGAGTTAACTCTAATTAAGTTATTAGTTAGAAGACAATTACAAAAATAGACTGAATGGACACAAGACGTAATTGCAACCTTTACCTTGTCTTTCTGAGCCGACTTTTGTCTGTAAAATAAGAAAAAAATAGCCCTAAGTCCAAATACTATGAAAATAATCAGAGGAATCGTAAGGATACGAAGATGAAAACTGGCCGATGGACATTCGAATTTAATCGTCTGGCTAGAGGAAACGTCGATAGACAAGGGGTTTCACTTACAGTCCTTTGTCGATAGACGAGTAGGCGGAGTCGTTCAAACCATATGCGTCAATCTGAAGGGAAAAGTTTGTTGAAAATTTTAAACTTCCATTTTTTGAGGGCAGTCTTCTGAAATGATATCCAATCTAAGATTTTCAGACTTAAGTTACGGTCTGTTTTTCGTACGGGAAAAAAATTGGTAGATTATTTTGCACGTTTATGGGCAGTGGCACCTTACATGTAAGTATTAACACTACAATCGTCAGAGGAGAAACTCATATCACGTGACTAGGACTTACTATGTGGTCTGTATCTCTGTGCGGTACCTCAGCAAATTTGTACGACTCCACTTGAGCTTTAAGAGCCATTACAGTTTGATCACGTGATTCTAATTGAAGTTGTAGGCTCTATGGAAAAAAAAAACAGAATACACTCACTATTAATCAAAAACGCTAAATAGCTATTGTCAACGTTTGAGGAGGATGAGTACAATGAAATATTGCCTACTGAACCTCTTGGCTTTATTATTGTCACTGAAATGAATGGCAGTGACTGGTAACTGGTGCTATCGTTTTTTCAAATTTTCCTTCCTGAGTACAAATTCAGCATCGCAAAACCAGGCGTAATTATAAAAATCTAACACGTCATACCGAGGTATGTGAGCGAATAACTAGTAAAGAATGAACCAATCATTTATACATTATTCGAAGCTAAAAATTCGATGCAAAGAAATTATGCACATAGCACCCTTTTGGTTTAACAAGGACATACTGACAATCATAATCACCTTCCTGGCTGCAGCTTCTCTATCTATAATATGTCTTTGACGAAGATTTTCTTTGTTTAATGAGTTAAGCTGCAGAGATAACGGGAAAGAGTTCAAGAAAAATTGATAAGTAGAATTCAAAGAAGAAATGCTAAGGAAAAAATGTCCAATCAACGACTTGCTGATTAGAGAAAAACTTACTCGATTGTGACATATTAAGCTCAATGAAATCCTCATTCAGAGGGTACCCTTATGAGTTGAAAACTGTTTTGTCCTCATATTTGCGGTTCCCCTCTTCCCCCCCCACCACACCGACGTACTAAAGGTATTGGAGTATTTTTTCCGCCGAGGCAATGTTTGTGTCGATCGAATTAATGAGTCACTTGAATAGAGGTTTTTACAAGGAGAGTATCCATTGTGGTTAAGTACGGCATGAGAACTGACCTGTTGGTTGAGTTGTTGAATACTTTCCACGTTTGACTTTAATCGACTGTGAAGATCTTCAATGGCGTGAGCCTTGCTCATCGCTTCGGTGTTTTGGTCGTTCCTATGAAGAAAATAGAACATTATCTTAGAGCTAAGCACTACAGACACGGACTATCAAAAGTGTGCAAAAACAAAAAAATCAAAATGATCGTGATATGGTTCTCAGAGTTCTGAAATAAGTTCACAAAATTACAATTGCTATTCTGTTCCCTATAGATCAAGGGTTAAAATCCGCTGTTCCCTGTTCGCTCGATGCCTTCTCGCGGCGTCTCCCGCTTAGCTCGCGCCAAGATTGTAAATTCGGAAACTGATACAAGGGAAGTACACAAGGGTCATTATTTTAAATGTTAAGAACATTTCCTTCAACACAAATCTTATGTGAGGTTAATTGTGTGGATTTCAAACGTAATAGTTTTAAAAATTGAAGAAAACCGAAAAATTTCTTGCGTAAGCAGTCTTAACGCAAGTAAACGTTCCAGACTATTTTTTGTGTGATAATTTAATTTACCTAGCACTCGAGGCGTGAATTTCTTTCACCATAAATTAAGGGGCTTATTCAGGGTAGACGGTAACAGCTGTTCACATATAATTTGGGCTTGAAAATAGACTCGCTACAGAAATGTAAATGACTCTTTTTCTCCTATTTAACATTTCTCTACGAAAGAAACTAATCAAAAAGATTTCAAAAGCGTTGGTGTCTCACCAAATTAATACACGCAATCGGAGTATGAACGGATTAGCTGAAGCTGTACAAAAGCAAACCAATTTCACTAGCGAAAGGATTGCCGTTTTAAAATGCAAGATTCGGATTTACCGCCCGTGATAACTTTTCTTGACTAAATCGCAGACCTACTCATTAGAAAAGAATTCTAATAAAAAAATTCTAGTAAAGGGGCAAGGGCGCTAAATGGAAACATATAGTGTTTGGTGGAATCATTACGATATCTCATTGGCGTCGTGTTATAAAACACGGTATTGACCAGCTGGCAGCATATCGTTGACGCCAGGTGATATGATGCCGTATCTAATAGTTGCCAGTTAATACTCACTCATATTCCTGAAGACGATTGCGGAGTTGATGAAGCAGCACCTGTTGCTGAGCAGAATGCGACTGGAGGGACTGTTGGATAATAATAAAAGAGAAATTGTAATGGAATGTTATATTTTGATTCTTAATATAGTTTTTCCCTGGTTTTCCATTCTTTGTAAACACAAGAATGAAGTTGTCAGAGAATTCCTTGCAATACGAGATATCCTACATTTTTTTTCTTACTTGAAGGTTTTAGTTTAAGGAAGGCAAGCTCTTTCCGGTAACTAACAAAATACAGTTTTGAACAGAAAAAAACAGAGGTATCACTAAAGCTCTGAACATTTAAGGTTGTAAGGCAATCAATAAAAAAAATAAAACTCAACTAAGAATTCAGTTCTCTTGAAGAACTGGTAGAGAATGTCAAGAAGGTATTTTCCGCAATACTGAAATAAAAAGTTCCAGATTTAATGCTCACAAAACTGAATCATTCCCACTCACATGTGAGAAGGCAGGACACAGTCCTTGACAGTTGAGACAGGCAAAACTAAGTTGATGTTCGAATCGAACATAACACGAACAGTTATGAAGCGGATTAGTGCAGCGGCCACGGATCTTTCCAAAGCCGTCCAGATTTGTTAACGAACCAAAGAACGGTTCACCAATGCAGAGAAGAACTGAGCTATCCCCGCTATGGACAGAATCGCTATCACAATCGGCCATCATCAAAGTTGAACTTGCTAAAGGACGCCCTCTGTTTGTCGAACTTATAATGTTAAAATTCTAAAGCGCAGATTTTTCGCTCAAACACGATCTTTTTTTTTCAGCTATTGTCGACTTTCTTTCTGAATTGATAAATCGAGATGCGTTACAAAAAAATCCAAGTAAGCTATTGCCGAAATAGCTGTTCTAAGTCGTCCTTCGAGCTTATTTTGTAGGGCTACACTTTCAAAATTGTGCCTCCACGTTGCAGCTGTCGATCTGTTTCGTATTCAGATTCTACGACAGTTTCGTGTATCATGTTTTAAATATTAAATGTGGCAAAAATCATTAAAACGTATTCTTCGTTAACAATTCACAAACATAGAGAGAGGTGTACAAAAAATTATTTTTTTTTGTACATAACCGTTTAATTAAAGAGAATAACGTGAAAACGGCAGGTGTTTCTAAATTCCTTTTCCTGTAAAGTTTTGCAACTCGAGGCACGTTATAGTTAAAAAAAGATGAAGTTTATACATAACGAGATTTTCTTTGTGATGAAAACTTAAGGAGAAAAACCTCGAACAACTGCGAACTGACCGTGATCTTGACTCAAAACACTCAAAGCCCAAATAATTAAATCGTAAATAGGCACTAAATCATTAATATCTCCACAAATTTAATGTTTTATTTGAAAATAAGATCTTGAATAGCGGCGACATACAGGTATCAAAAACCACAATAATCCTGACGGACATTAATTACCGTTAATGACTTGAATTAGCAGCTAACACATTAAACCACACTAATTATACTCAATTAGGGGATTATTTTAAGCCACAAGATTGCGATGAAAACGAAACAGAACTTCTGGTGGATCACGACATAAAGAAAAACTCTACAATTTTACAAAATGGTGTGAAACAGTTTTAGACACAGCTTATGACATTGTGAATAAACCTTTAACCAAATAGTGGATTGTAAAACTAACCTTTAATCGTTCACTATCCATTCTTCTTTCCTCTGGAAGATGAAGAAATTCATAAAGCAAATCATTTATAATTGAGGATTCGTTAGAAGATGTTAATTTAGAGAGATTCGGAATTTTCATGCTACATATCTAAAAGTGTCATGGTCATTACTACTAAAAATACGAAAATAAAGTGCTACCATTTTCGTGAAAAGTTTTAGTATATATTTGCCCTTTAACATGGTCTGAGCAGGGATAATTCCTTCGCGTTGGTTTAAAGCGGTCTCTTTTATTTTTTTTTCCTAGTATTACCCGCTTTGAGACAACAAGGAAAGAAAAGTTATGATTCCTGACATTTGAATTCACCTAATTCAGCCTTCATCACAGCATTCTCCTTTTTCAGTGATTCTGTTGACTCAGCAAGTTGTCTTGAAAGAGAAAGGGGAAATCTCGTTAATATAACAAAATGAACAAGGGATTGAAAATGATTTCACGCTAACTGGAAAAAAATACTTACTCTTTATCCGACTGTAGAGCAGAAATTCGTCCTTCTTGCTCTCTGCAGAAATAGGAGTTTGCTAATCAATCAATCATTCAATCAGTCAATCAGATAGACAGAGGAAAGGCAGTCAGTCTGTCAGTAAGTTAGTCAGTCGGTCAGGTGGACTGTCAGTCACTCAGCACGGCAGTCTGTCGGAGGGTCTATCAGTCAATCAACTATCAAGTCCGCTAATGGCAACTATTTTCCCTCCGTCACACAATCGGATCAATAGGCTACCTGGGAGTTAGGCTATTGATTGGTCTGTTTGTTGTGCAGCCGTCCTCATCTGTCAATATGTAGGTCGATATATCAGGTAGAATTCTCTCAAACTCTTCCCCTTCAGAGTCAATTATCAAACAAAAACTAATGCAAAAAAATTTACCTCAATCTTCCGGCTAGCCTTTCGTTCCCTTCCCTGAGTAAAAAATAGCAAAAGGTTTTCAACCCAACAACTTGCATTTTGACTTATACCAAATCTATAAAAAACCTAGTAAGAACTTACTTCTGTTCCTTTACCCAGCTGTTGACATTTTCCACAACAAGTTCGCTTTCACGATGTAACCGATCGCCATTTGCTCGAGCATCCTCTAGAGATACGCGAAGGGTTTGGACCTGAAAATAGTTGTAGACAGTAAGGAGAGACCGAACTCGTTTTTCTAGGGTTAGGCAAGAGCACAGACCCTTAGAACGAGGTTACGAAGCAGAGGCCAGGATCGACAGTATGGTGGCTGATGTTTTTTCCACAAGAAACTGATAACTTCCGCAAAAGTGAAAGGGTTCCAAGCCAGAGCAAAGCGTTTTAAATTAATTTAAAATTTTTGGAGATTCCGTTATTTCGAAAGTTTTTACATCAGAACACACAAAACTATAACAAGACTCACCCCATACTTAATGGTGAAGATAATCGTCTTTGAAACCTACCTCTTCCATGCAGCTCTGATGCTGCTGTCGTGATATGTGAAATTCATGCTTGAGTTTGTCATTCTACAGGAAGAAGAGATCTCATCATTGACTTATTTTCTGTACAACGGGAGCTATGTAAACCATTTAGCCAAAAGGAAGCAGAGCTCTAAAAGAGAACCGTCTGTGACCAGTAGCAAGCAATTTGGAGGAACTCTGTGACGTGTAGTACACGTCACAGATGGAATGACTTGAAAGATCAATCCTTCATTCTGCCTTCAATTTGAACAGATGATTACGAACTAGGTTGTAAGCTTCTAATTATCATTGATCTATTATTTTAAGCTAAAAATATCCACCATTATGTTATTTCTTTATTTCGAGAGCTCCACAAAGATGGTGCATTGTAAGTGTTTTTGATGTCAAACATCAAAACTGTCCCCACTGACACCCCTATGGAATTTTTTAACCTCAATTCATTCCATTAAACCAGTACATGTTCTAAGCTTTTCATTGATGTAATTCTTCGAATTATCATTGGCTATTTTCATACTGGGATTTCAAGGGAAGCTTTTTGAAGTACCTCATCTTGTACAAGGCGATGTTTCTCCTGTAGCGTTGCCAACTCAACTTTGAGAACCACTAGCTGCTCATCTCTTCTGGACGCTTCTTGAGATTGCTTGTGAAGTTTGTCTTGAGAAACCCCAAGCTGACTTTTTAATTCGTCTATATTTCTGGCGTACTGTTGGATCTTGAAATAAAAATAATGGTCGATCAGTTTATCGGTCGGCCAGACGTAAGTCTGTCAGTCAGAAAGTGAAACTGTATGTCTCTCTTTCTGTCTGTCTATCTCTCTGTCAGTAAGTTAATCAGTGAGCCACTGTACATCTAGTACAGTAAGTCAAATAGTGATCGACTTAATCGCTCTCTTGTCAAGTCAGACTTTCTGTCAACCTAAGTCAGCCAGTCACTAATAAAGTCCGTCACAAAGTCAATCAGACAGTCACACAATCAATCAGGCAGTTAATAACTCAGTCAAACAGTCAGTTAATCTTTCGGTCGGTCAGCCTACTTCAGTCCAAGCTTCAGTTTACTCACCTCTCCGTCAGCATGTTTGGTTTTGTCCTGATATCTTTTCAGGTCCGTCTTCAATTTCCGAACTTTATCCTCCAGCCCTAAGATCTTTTCAAACAGGAATACAAGATCAGATAAAAGGCTTACCAATAAAGTTAATGGAAAAAGTACTGGTTGGAAGACTAAGTGACCCAATGATCAACGCGCTGGACAACAGACCGAGAGACCTGGCTCGAAGTTTATCAGTGGCCATTGTGTTATGTTCGTGGGTAGGAAACTTTGCTATCACGGTGCTCGTCTACAGCCATTTGTAACAATAGTTTAAATTTTTGTTTGGGTAAATTGAGAAAACGTTTTGTGTGGGGGAGAGGGAAGGGGGGCCTCGAGTGGTCCCGACTTCATTTTACTTTTTTTCAGTAATAATTTGACAGCTAGGCAGCTTGGTGCGTAACAGGACGGTTGTTATTCTGAGTTAGTGTGCATGTAAGGAATCTGTTGCTACGGTCAAATATAGAAAAATAGTTACCTGTTCGTCCATAGCCTGGTTTTTTTGCTTTGTTGTTGCTAACTCCATTTTGACATTTGCTAAGTTTTTAGATCGCTGTGCCAGCTGGAAACATAAACGAGAATCTTGTGTTACACAAATGTCGAAGATGGTAGAATTACAAGCAACCCAACATGTCTGATCTAGGTGAAATTTTTATAAAGACGTATCTTAGGGTTTTTATTTGAGGAATAGGCAGAGAATTACACAAAATTATGGTTCTAGCTTCTTTGAGCTATTAAGCGTGTAAATACAATCAACACAGGTAAAGATTAAAAGCGCAAAAAAAAAAACCCAGCAATCTACCTGATCCATGGCTTCCTTGTGATTGCCGTGTGCACCAGCAAGCTGTACCTTCAAGTTCTGCACATTTTTTTCGAGGTTTCCAATCTTCAAAGCAATGAAAAGAATGAGAACATAAGCTCATGGTTTTAATCTGTTAAAACTCAGAGATAAGGAAGAGACTTAAATGTGTTACCAACCTGCATTGAGGCATTTCTGTGGTTCTCTTGCGCACGCTCTAAGTCTTTCTGAAATTGGTGGAGTGTTTCCTCATAGCGTTTAACCTGAAATATAAGAAAAGACGGAACGATAACAAATTAATAAAATGTCTTCTCTGTTAAAGTAATTTTCAATCAAGTGTCAAAAGTAATCCGAAATTTTATTGGTTTTACTTTACTTCGCTCTGTGAGTGATCCGGAAAACTCGCTCACTCTCTCGACCAATCAAAGCAAAACATAAAACCATTCACAACTTGGTCGCCCGCGTTTTCCCGCACTTTTGGCAGTTTGGTTGTTTATACCATGAGTTCTTACTGGCTCTTCAAAATATTCTCCTTTTGTTATGATTGGCCGTGGAAACAACGTTGGTTTTGGTTTTACAACACTCAATAGAAAATCCCTCTTTTTATAAAGTGAAAGTGACTTTCAAAGTGCAACTCGCTCAGGGAACATTTTCACTGGTGAGAAGCATATTAGAGGATTAAACACTTATCGGGCAGGTCAGGCCCCATTCATCAAGGCAGGTTAAAACGTAAGAAAAAGAAAATTAAAAGGATTGCGTTTCCAAATTTATCTGGCATAGTGTCGGCAAGGCCTTAAGAGCGGCAGCACCCTTAAGGAGTTACAAGCCCCCCTGTTTTCATCAACCGATACTGTCAAAGACACTCCAAGGCTGTTGCTGTGGATTTAAAACCACAAGAATAACATATAACCATAACGTGAAAACTCCGTATTACCTCATTTGAGTGGTTCTTGATTTTCTTCTGCGCCGAGTTCAGGTCAGTTTTTAGAACCCGTATATCAGCATCACGAGCTGCGATCTAATGAATAAACAAGTATTGTAACAAGCAAGCCACACTCAAATATTTTGACTAAAGTCAGCCGATTAATGCAATTCACCATTTTTAGGTATCGATTTGATTTAAAGCAAGGTAGTGTATTGCGTACCTCTTCCATGATGTTTTTGTTTTTCTCTAATACTCCACCGAGCTCTTCCCGCAGCTGACCATTCGCTTTCTCTTTGTCCCGAATCTGAGTGTTACATAAACGAATGAAAATACTCAGTTAATATTCTTCTAAATTTGGACATTTTCAGGCTAAACAACCCACTAGTAGTTGATTTTAATTTCATAGATGAAAGCGATTGGGATATCTGCTAAATATTTTCAAGCAACCCGCTGATAATTAAACGGCGATTTCTCGGCAGGGAACCAGTTTGCGCTATATCGTTACAAAGAACTGTATCGAACACAAACATAGTGATGAGCTGAGTCTATCTGGAGTTTCTTCTTATCAAGGCAATTGAGGACCCTTCTAGTGACGATCAACTAAAATACGGTGTAAGGGTTGCTGATGATAACGTTTTTGTTCATTTGACCCGCTCGGTTTCGTGCGCGCTTTCATTAAAGAAATGAAAAACGCGCCGAGTGTATTGTTGAGGTGTAAGAGCACGCGAGAACTTTAAGATCACGAGAGAAGCGCGGAGAAGCAAGGGTCGAAGGCGGGTGCTTCTCGCACTTCTCGAGTGTTCTTAAAAATTCCTAAGTGCTTATATAACTCAACAATGCTCGAGAAACAATTTTTTTCAATTTCTTTTATAAAATATATCGTGAATGGCGCGCGCTCGTACTGATGACGTAGACTGCGTGCATTACATCTCAACAGTGCAATCTTGTGATGTAAGGCGCGTGCTTTGTGGAAATATAATGAACTCGTTCTGACCAATGACGGCGCGCGCATTTCTCTGAAAATTTTTTAGTGTATAATACTATTAAAAAAGTTTCCTTGTGAGAGGTGTATGGCACGAACAGAGCCGGAAAAAAATGACACGGCCCCGCGAAGAAGCGAGCTGACAAAGAATAAAAAAGGAAGAAAGCAAAAGAGCAACAGTCAATAGCGTTCGGCCAACTGGCAATGCCAAATACTTCCCGGCCGGCCCTCCACCCATTTAATAACTACGAAGTACAACAGTAATTCTGAAATATTCATTCAAGATGTGGTTGCACATCCTCTTAAACTACTCACCATGGATTTCATATCTTCCTGTTGTTCAATATAGGACGAGATTTTGTGTTCTTGATCCTCCATCACGTTTTGACAATGACGAATCTTAAAGGTAGAAAAAAGAAGTTTAACACTTAAATGCCAATGTATGCACAGTGCGTAAGACACGTGGAGATCATATGATACTCACGTGCTTCTGGGCTTCCTGTATTTGTCCTCTTAGTTGTGCTTGTTGGGTTTCCAGTTCCCGCGCACTTTCCAGTTGGTCATTAAACTGCAACGATGTACAATACCAACAATTAAACTCCACTACAACAAACATGATTGATAAACAACTAAGTTTTGAGTTTCTTTTCATCATATTCTTAAAGTTAACCTTAGTTTCGTTACACAGACCTGTTCACTAATGACTTGGTTTTCTTTCTGGGAAGTCTCCAGATCTATCTCCAGTCTTCTTGCCTTGTCCTCGTAAGCAGCCGCCTTGAAATAAGAAAATCATTTACTAACATTGACTAACATGATGACTAACTCCTGTGTTGTGCTATTAACAAATAACAATGTATCAAAATTAAAATCTCTACCTGAACTTGTTTTGACATGTGAATATCAATTTAGTAAGCTTAAACATTAACTAATATTTTAGCATCGTTTCCTGGAGGCAAGGAAAGCAAGAAAACCTACGAGATACCTCGCAAAGTTGTTTATTTTACAGTGGACATTTTATGGCCTGAGAATCCTTGTAAGAGAATTTAGCAAGGAACATAGACAGACAGAACAGTTTCTCCTTTCATAATGGCTTAGAGCACGCTTAGAGAGCTGGTGACTGTGCTATTAAGTTATGCTTAACACAACAGTTGTTTTGCTCACCTCTTCGACGGCTGCCTGGTGTCTCTGTTGAGCCACTTGCAGGTCTGCCTTCAACTGCTCCAAGTATCCTTCTAGCTCTCCGATCTTTAGAGAAGAAAAAAGTGTATAGAAAGATATTAAGTGAGAGTTAAAAGGTTTTCCAAAACTCAAAGGAAGCTTCTCATAAACGTGGCAAAACCAAGACAGTAATGGCTTGCGATGCAGCAAAGCGCTCTAAGATTACGAATCGCAAAATCAGAACCATTGCAGTCACAAAGGCCAACCCGAACAAAATGAGAACTCTAAATAAAAACAAGTTAACCGTCTCTAACGCGGGAAAACACGTATGACCATGACGCGATTGGTTTTACCTTTGGATCTGATTGGTTGAGAGCTTAATGCCAGCTTTCTACATGCACCAATTACAGAGTGCAATGATGGAAAGACACTGCAGTACCGGATTACTTTTGACATTCAGTTGAAATTTGGTTTATGAAGAACGCTAACATATCGTGGGAACAACAGTAGGCCTCAAGATTGCACGGAAAATAGATCTCAGATAGGAATAAATGAAAGAACTCAAAGTTCCTCTGACAGCCTAAAATCATGGGAGAAGAGTTAAATTTTAACCGCCAATTTAAGTCTACACGTAGCTCCAGACACATACATTATATAGACGAACAAAATGACGTTAAAAAAATACCTGTCTGTTTTGTACTTCTTGTTGATCATTGGTGCTCTTCAACTCCAATTGCAATCTACGATTTGATTTCTCTAGTCTGACAACCTATATTAAAAAGACAAATATTAATGCACTATCTTGTCATCAATCTGTTTCAGTTCTGTCCATTCAGGCATCAACATGAACAATTTCGCAATAAGTCAATTGGTAGTTCCTGACCTCTGACACTCGGGCACTCAGCTGGTCCTGGGTAGAAGATAAACTCTGCTCCACCAGACCCAGTCTCTCTTCACAACGAGCAAGCTGAGGGGAAAATAACAGATGACACTAAAGACATACAAAAAAACCCAAAGAATTGCTAAGTTCTTGCTCCTTCTTTATAGACTTGGTTCAGAAAAAGGTAATCAGAAAATATTCGCGAGGAATTTTCTACAGTAGGTAATCTAACGTAAGAACAAAAACAGTAAGGTTGGTATTCCTACGTAACCATCAGTTTGAAACCAAAGCTGTACTAACTTCTTGTGCAGCGTCTCGATGCTTTTGGCGAGTGTTTGATAAGTCTTCTTCCAACTGAATAACTCTAGCACGCTGCTTAGAGCCCTTTGAATAAGATAAAAACAAACATACAATAAGACGAATATTCTAGATCATTCGTTCTATGGGGTCAGGAAAATTTAGGACCTGATATCATTTTGGTACAAACCTCTTCTTCTAAATGGTTACAGTTCGTCTGAATGGTGTTAATGTGGTCGTTCATCTCAGCTGCTGCCTGTTCCAAACTGAATATCTAGCGGGGAAGAAAGGGAAAAAAGAAAAAAATTGAATTGGGGTTTGAAGATAGAAAATATGTAAATAGGGAGAGCGTGTTTTTCGTAGGATGCAAAGAAAACCAAACATGTGTCATCGTTACTCCCAAGTCTGAGGTTCGGTTCCCTATACATATGGGAACTCAATTTTGTTTCTCTGTTCCTCGCTTGTAACGAGACGAAGAAAACATCCTACTTTACATGCAATCAATGTTTGGCTACCTCATTTTCCTTCTCACGTAGTTCCTGGTCACGTGTTGATAACGTGGTCTGAGTGGCCGTTAGCTTGCCGTTCAACTGAGCGACCTAGAGACGAGACAAAGAGAAAGGAATCATTCATTCTTGTCCAAAACTAGCTGAACAAAGTTGATGTTCCAGCCTTCCAACAGGAGTGAAAATCAACACATCTCACCTCCTCAGCATAGCTTTTGACCGTTTCTTGAAGGTTGGATAGGTCTCCCTCTAGTCGCCTTACAATTTCATCCTTTTTCGCCGTCTTCACAGAAAACATAAAACAATTGATTCAGGCTAAGTTGCTTTTTACAGAAAGAGGACTTGCTGATGAGAAGTGTAATGTGGAGAAGCCTCCAGACGCACCGAAACACCAAAGGCTGGTGACTGAGGCTAAAGTGGAATATTTATACTTTCTTTGACTAAGGATCTCGCTAAGACTTGTGAGATGTCTCTACCAAAAATTCGAAGAAAAACTTGACAAGAAAAATAACTTGCTGGTTCAAACTAAAAGCCTTTGGTTGAACCATTGCAAAAGTTGTGTTCGTACCTCGTTTCTGCTCTTTTGTTTCAAGTTGGTGACCTCCTTTTGTAGCTGTTGACTGAGTTGCTCACTGCGCGTTACCTGTAATTAAGAAATAATAAATGAAGCTACGATTCGTTTTTGTCTCACCAGGAGGTTATCTTTTTAACAAAAAAAAATTAAAGGTACTCGTTCCATATAGTTTCTGTCAACTTTGAAACGTTAAAAGTTATCTTTTACGTGCGGCAAATGCTTTAAATTAACGGTCACCTAAAAGTCAAATTTTCAGACGAAACTGCTGCTACCGTAGATTGTCTCAGTTTCTGAAGCGAATCCGACTTTTGCCATAGCAGGTTGTTAGTGGGTGGAAACGGTCAAAAAATTGGGCGCGCGGAAAACGGCAGGAGCCGTTTTCCTGATAACGAGACCGACCGTTTGACACACGGCCTCACTTTCATTTCTCTCTAATACTCGAGAGCTGGGAAAAAGCTAATGTCAGCCCCAGTCCATCACTTTCATTCCTCTCTAATACCTAAGAGCCTGGAAAAAGCTAATATTAGCCCCAGTCCATCGATGATTACCTCGGCGTTCGTCAGGTTTCCTATTGAAGAAGCACTCACGGAGATAAGTAAAATAAACAATTCGTTACCTGTATTGACGCTTGCCTTCTGTCCTCCTTGACTCTGCTTAACTCATCCTCTACTTCCAGCATTTTCTCTTCATAGTATGTAACCTTGAGGGATCAAACGCAAACAGATAGGTAAGAGTTTAATGAACGAAGCAGAAATATGTGACAAACTGTTCACCCCATCAGGGCTCTATTTGTAGAGTCACTGTTTCTTCTGCGTAGCGTTCTCAAAAGACTGAAAAGCACTTATCATAGCAAGTATGGAGGATTTCCATTAGTAAACTCCTTGGAAAATGCGACGCAATTTGTGTCTAAGGGCGTTAAAGGTTCTACCACTTAATGAATCAATTGCAAAGCGCATTCAAGTGCGCAGAACTGGAAAAAGACTTTGTTCTATTTTAACGCAGTAGGAGAGTCGCGTTTATGCCGTTAAGATATGGGAGATGGTGACACTGAAAACTTTGTCAAATCAATCTTGGAAAAGCTATTGAAATGAGTGCACCTTTGGGTCTTTTTTTGATCTAAGGGCAATGCAAATGAGGGGCATTTGAGAACAAACCAATAAGATGTGAGGTGGAGGTTTCTCCTATTTTTCTCCTTCGTTTACATTTGAATAAAGTTCACACCTGTTGAACTCGCTGAGCGTGTTGTTCCTTCTCGGCCAGAATCGCGTTTTGCAGACTTCGAATCTTTTCTTCTTTCTGGGTAATCTGTAACACCAATAAGGAAAATTTGCTTTTACAAAACGAATCTTAAGATCTCAAGGGATCGAAAGAGATCTACACCAATCCCTGACTGACTTTACCTCTTCCAGCGATTTTTCGTACTTTTCTTTTGAAGCATTCAAATCTTCTTGCAGATGCCTCGATCTTTCCTCTTGGATAGAGCCCTGAATAATCAAATAAACATCCATTGTGGTTAATTCAAATTTAGTATTGCATTTTAGGATGTCATCCTCTAATTGATTTGGAATAATGTACACTGACGTAAAGCCTTTGGGAAAGAGCCATGAGGATGATTACGACACTAAAGGAGTTTTGCATCAAGCTTTCGCCGCTCGTCTCCCGTTGTGACATTACGCGACAAAGACAGCCAGCTGAGCGGAATTAATGTGTAAGGGTGGAGGCTTCTTCTCACTGCACACGACCCTCTAAATCGATGAGATTCAGCAAAAATCAGTTTTATGGGTGAATAGTTTTCACCTTTCTTAAATTTAAAATTTTAGCGGGACTTTAAGATATTCGCTTCTGCGAGATGTTCTGCGTGATGTTCTGTTTACCGCGTTGACACAATTAATTGACAATACAAGCGTCTGTTCTAGGTTTTGCGTAAAATAAGTTGAAAACAGCTTTCGAGATGCCAAGATACTTCGAAGAGTATCAAGATACTGCAGGTAGGTCGAAAAACCATTTTTTTCCTTTTTACGCTGTAATTTTTGGGATGCGGTACTAATTCAAAATCATCCTTACCTCTTTCTGTTTGTCGCCGAGTTTTTGCTTCAAATTGTGAATTGTCTCTTCACAATGGGAAACCTGGAGTGCAGAGAATTAAGTGTTAGTTTCCAACAAAAACTTTAAAACAATTACTTAGTATAATTTTCTTTCTGAAGTCCAACAGCTGATTATTACTACTCAACAGAGTAGTTCGAGCCATTACGGACAATCTTCCACCGCATTTTGTCCTTCCTAACTCACCAGAATTTTCTTGTCTTGCAAGCGCAAAAATGAAGGAACCTGCCTGTCTCGATTTATCATGTGCAATTTTTCTCAATATTAAGCGTGAAAAGAAAAGTTTAGTTTTGATATAACTTTTCAATGTCTCTTTCTGTTTGATGAGGAAGCGGAATAACAAAAAAAAATAAAAAGAGTAAACAAAAATCCTCTTTCGTCGATTGATTGAAATCCGTATAAATTAAGCCTATTGTTGCATAGCAGAGTTGTGATGGCTATAGGAGCCTTACAAACGAAAATATTAAGAGCTATTTCATGCTGAATAAACTTAAATTTTCCAGTTCGTGCTTGAACACTCAAAAATACCTGGCTTTTTAATCTGAGGCAGGCGTCTTTTGCCAGATGTAATTCCCTATCAAGCTCTTCCATTGCGTTGTTCTGCTTTTGAGTCTACAAAAAAAATTAAAGAAAAAATTTTTTTTAAATAACCATTAACAAAAGAGACGAAGTATCTCTCTTTATATGCGAGATTTGAGCAGGTTTCTTTTTAAACTACATATAACTACTCTATTACAAAGAAAACAGAGTAATAAACAAAATTTTTTCAATAAAAAGAAAGCAATCCGTAAAATGTTTGTCTAAATTATACCTATCAATTTACTTGAGTTTTTAACGGAGATTTGGCCTCGTGAGGAAAACCGGCAAAGTTTATAAGGATCTCGCTCTTGTATAATAAAACTACACAACACACCGATCAACTTGTACATTTGCTACAAGCAACAGGTGATAAATTAAATTGTCGATAAAATCAAACAAAAACATCACCATGTAAATGTGATCAATTAAACCGAATGAAACAATGGCTTAAAAGCATCTCACTGACAAAGGATTGCTCAAAACAAACCAAACATCTTGATTTCAGAACATTACACATAAATCTTTAATTTCTGTTTGACTCGAGGCGACATTAGGGTTCAAAATTATTTTCTTGTTTGACACGCGGCTTGTAGTTTACAATATCTTTAATCTTTCTATGCAAGGCCGCTCTTCCGGATTAAAGCAAAATCAACTTTATGGCTGAGTTGAAAAAAAAGAAAAATTAAAACAACCAAAAGCGTTCGTAAAAGAAAGGTGAACTGATCGAGGACTCAGTATGCAGGGGAAAAATTAAAATCTCTTCTTTGAAAAAAGTGTTAAATCTTCGCTCGGTTTTCCTTCGTTTATTTCTTTTCATCCCTTTTTGTTTTGGTTTCAAATTCTCTCTGTCTACGAGACGGACATAATGTAAAAAAAAGTTTCTCTACATTATCAGAGCATCCGTAGAATGTCTCGTTTCGGTTACAAAGTCAACTTCAAATGCAAATACTTAATTCAAATGGCTTAACCAGATTTGGTATCCCCTCACCTTTTCCGTTTCACTCGTATAATTCTGTCTCAGCACTGTCAGCTCTTCAGACTGCTGGTTTATTTCTTCTTCGCACTTCACCGCCTTAGGGAAGAAAAAAAAGGTTAAGCAGTAAGTTTGAAAGAGGAGTGTTGCCTGTCCAGTTTGTTGGCTTAAGAAAGGTTTTAGCAAAGCTAAAGCTAAGGAAAATTGCGTTTTAAAAGAAAGTTTTCCCTCCATTAGCATATAGCAAGGTTATTAAACTTATTATATGCAGAACATCATGGGAGCCGTCGATTATGGAAGGATGTATCATCAGACTCTCTAAGTAAACGTCAAAAGATATGGGTGGCAATTAGAAAGTGATAAAGAAAGGAAGGCTTGATGCTTCAAAAAGCAAGTTACAGTATGAAATACAACAATTTACCTGCTCTTGCGCCTCTTTCAAACTTTTCTCTAAGTTCTTGATCATAGCCTCACATCGATTGACCTACAAGCAAATGTAACAGACTGAATCAACCCTTTACTCTAAGGAGTGATCCGCACTTAAAAAATTCTAACAAGATTAACACTCTGTCAGCCATACCAACAACTGAAGGGAGGAAAATTGGTAGCTAAAGAAATTGTTTTAACACCACGTTCTCAGAACCAGATAACGAATATATGTACCGCAATCAGGAGGGCGAATTATCCTTCAGATTTGAGAATTTAAAAAGGGTTTGTTAGGCAGAAAATGGAAGGCAAAAATAATGCATTACCCAAACACACATTAAAGACATTACCTGAGTAACACTTTGATTAAACTGGCTTTTGTAATAGTTGACGTTTTTCTGTAGTTGATGGCTGTGCGATTCCAGTTCCTTGAGCTTTTCTTTCAGATTTGAGGCCTAAAATACGAACACGAAGGTTTAACGGTTTGAAATTACAATAAACATTGGTGATAAACATCTTGGAATATTTATATTGAACTGCTGAGCAGAATCACGGTAATTCATTCACTTGCCTGGTTTCTTGTCTCTGTCATATCTTTTTCTTGACTACGGACAGTTTGCTCTAAACGATTGATCTGCAAGGATAGAATAAATTTTCATGAGGTGAAATGTTCTGAAAATCCAAATAAACGTATGATAAATAATATATAAATGAAATAGTAAGCTAATTAATTTTTGTCGTTCGACGAAAAGATCAAGACAAACCGGCAGTCTAACAAGAAGTCAGACAGACAAACAGACAGACAGGCAGACAGACAGACAGACAGACAGACAGACAGACAGACAGACAAACAGACAGGCAGACAGCTAAGGGTGGACAAGGATGTGAGCATACATATACATACAGTATGTAAAAATGACGGACTCGATTAGTATCCTTGTTTAGTATATACCACACAGGTGAATAGTGCTTTATGAGCGCTGATTGTCTAGTTCGGAAGTGAATAGCAGGTACTATTCACCTCCGAGCAGCCGATGAGACAAAACCGCGCGTCAAGAGTTTTAGTTTTCGACTATTTTTCGGTATATTGAAAGAAATAAATTAATTTTTTGTATCTATGTAGTATATACTAACACAATTATTCACCTCACTGTCGTTGAAAGTGGTAGATATTCACCTCGCCGCCTGAATAATTTTTAAGTAGATTTGCCCAACCGGCCTCTTTAGTATGACTTAGGAACAATTAAACCCTAACTCAAGGAGGAGACTCGTTAGGCCAATCTACATGAGTACAAAAGAATACCAAACGGGCCTGCCATTTATGCACACTGTCTATAGACGCAGATGCGAGTAAACGGGAAAAGGTAGACAAAGAGATAAGCAGATCTATATAAGGATGTACAGACCGGTATAAAGCCATGAGCAAGCTTGCCAGCCAGCGAACCATAAAGACAGACAGACAGACAGAAAGATGAACAGACTGTAAGTCTTGTCTTACCTCTTCAAGAGCTTCCTCGTTCAGTTTTAGGTTGTGTTGCAGCTCACGGGTCAGTTTATTATTTTTCTCGCGTTCTTCTTGGAGCTAAAATAATATCAGTATAACATTAACACGTTATAAAACAATACCATTTTTAATCCATCGCATTACTACTTGCAGAAATGCAATTCCCAATGGTTAATCAGAGAGACTTTTCAGTTCATTTTGAAACTCAATTTTGGTGGCTCTGCGATACTCTGCCGGGCGGTTATATAAAGACATCCCCCCTAAGAATTCAAGACTAATGATTCTTTTGTTTAGGACATGGGCTTTTTCTTGAGATATCCCTCGACTTCATTAACTTCATGGATAATTCGCTGACCTCCATTTCAAAGGGCATTCCTGATGCACTTTCTGAAAGATTCGGCACCTCAAGAACAAAGCGAGCTCATAACTGGTCAACCCATGGTCCGATGCGATCAGTCTGTCTCCAACGTTCAGGTCTCGAGCTAGACCTATCATAAGTATCTTTCTAGTCGAAGTAGTTTGATTGTCGCAGAGACTCACCTGGTTTGCGGTATCATTTTCTTTCTGCATTACTTCGGTAAGGTTAGCTCCCAGCGTTTCAATCTCTGCATTAAGCCGTTTAATCTATAATCAAATAAAATGGATGCTTCAATCACTTTTGCAACCTGAAGCCATTCAAAAACGGAAGTGAGAGAAAAAGGCGTAAATGGGGAACGCAGTGTCTGGCTCGACCTCTCTAAAAGGGACCGACTCCCGGTTCTCGTGAAGCATAAAGGAAGATTACCTCCGATGAATGTCCTGCCTCCGTGTCGGTCATGGTTCCTTCTAAATGCTCAACACTCTGCATAAGTTGTTGGACCTGATAACAAAGTTGATTTGAAAAGAAAAGAAATGTTAATAGAATAAGAAAGATTGTAAGAGAGAGTCCCCATGAGACACGTGTCATATATGAACTTCGTAATAGCCTCGCTCACCATGGAGTCCCTGTGGCTAAGCGGTAGAGCATCCGAGCGCGAAATTTCGATTCCTCATGGGGACTCAGAATTTTTTTCTTTGTCCCGCTCTCGTGACAAGACGAAATACATCTTTCTTTAAGAGAAATGTTACTTCTGATGTTAACCACTGTTCACTATTCTACAAGTATCATCGTAAACAAAACCAGATGACGTCTCCTAAAAAAGTAAAGCTTAATGCGCTAAACTAACCTCGTGCATCAGTCGTACTTTGTCTGTCTTCAATTGTTGTATTTCCTTATCATCACAGGCGATCTGCGAAGCAACAAAATGGTTTTATACGATCGAAACCCCCAAAAGAACAATCTTATCAAGGGATGGCTTTCTCATTCACGCGTAATCGGAGAGGTTCGGTTGGAATCATTGTTGAGGATTTACGCTTGTGACTAGTGTCTACATATTTCCTTTTGTGTCCGCACCTTGTTCTCATCACTTTCACGTTGCGTTTTGAGCGACTCGACCTCTACTTCCAGTTTGTTGAGTTTTCCTCTCAAGTCTTTTACTTCTCGTTCTCTCTCTGACAACTCACTGCTACAAGTCTCGTATTCCTGCTGAGTGGCGTCCAGTTCAGACTGCAGGCTCAGGATTGTCTCATCGCGTTTCGCCACCTACAGGATGAATCCAATTTACAAGTTAGTAGTTGTGTTTATGTCACATTAAAACTGTGATATATGAACGGATTGTATTGCTGTTGAATAAATCCGAGGTTCCATGGGTACAAATATCCATCGCTTGAGACGAAAATGGGAAGGAGCTTATCAGAAATTGTTATAAAAGCAAGCGAACTACTTGAATCGCGGGAAAATACAGGCTATAGTGACCAATGGCGTTTGGTTTTCGTTTTGGACTTGAGTGGATGGAGAGAAGCGAGTTTTCTAAACCAATCACAGAACCAAGAAGAGAAAAACTAATGAAATCTCAGACTGTTTTGCACCCAAAAACATAGAAACTAGAATCGGAGCCTCAAATTAACATACATTTCGCTCACTGAAGCTGTTTGATACATCTATCAATTCAACTGTTTCTTTAGATTATTGAATCACAGAAATTATCCATAAAAGGCTCATTTGCTTATTTTTTTACCTCCTGTGTACATGTGCGGTGTTTTTCCTGTGACATGGCAAGCTCCATTTCCATTTTGCGAATAGTTTCTTCCGATTCTGCCACCTGAGGAGAGAAACAAAACCTTAGTGACTTCCAACAGTTTTGCATATTATGGAGGTGGGAAGGGAAAAAACACCACCTAAAAAGCCTACTTTTCGTGCACCTCACTCCCACAATTCCGCGCGCTGACACCAATTTCTCTTCAGAATTTTTTTACTCGCGAACAGACTTCGCCGATAAGGAGAGACTGCTCAAAGTATACATTCCAGGAGTTCGGGCCCACGGAGCCAACGAGTTATTTGGCTCTCCAGATTCCAGATGTAACCAGCATGTAAGGTTTTGGAGAAAGAAACTTGTCAGGGAAACTATGAGTATATTTTAGCGAGAAAACTTTTCAAGGATGACTTGCGGTGTAAACGCGGCTTATATAAGAGGTTACACCAAATTGTTTGCACTGGATACCTCATCATTCGACCTTGACACATCTACTTGTAGTGACGTTATCTCATCACGTAATTTTGCCATGAGTTCCTCTTGCCGAACAAGCTACAAAAGAGAAATATAAAATCGTTAGTGTTTGAAAGATCAATCTCACTGTAAAAAAGAAGATAGTTTATAAAATATAAAACGAATATTTTCTTTTTCAAAATTTTGAGCAGGACTGCATGGGTTAAAAAGGCTCTGTGTTTGAAAACTACATATTGATACTGAAGACACGCGAGTTGAAAATTCAAAAGAACTATATCTAAAATTACAACAATGTTGCAGTGACTGCAATTACCCTATGCATAATCATCATAATTTTGAATATTGTAACAATCAATATTTTATTAGAAATGAGTCTGCATAGAGTGAATTAAAACGCAAATATAAGTATGTAAAGAGCTCGAGATCAACCGGGCGATATATATAAATATACAACATTTCGAGCGGCGCTTGGAATTCTCATCCACAGTTTCATGCCGTTTGAAACAAGGGAAGACAGCGATTTCGCCAGCTTGTTGTAACACAAGCTAAAGCGACTGAACTCCAAATGTTCGCTATATCGCAGCTTATTATAATAAAAATCTTCTGGAAGAAGAGAATCTTCAACTACAACGGGCTATAAATAGGGTTTCTAAAGAAAACTGAATTGTTTTGATGTATAGTTAATCGTGTTTGATATCTTCCAGCAATAAGTTAACTATAAACAGTTTAGGAGTAAAGAACATAGAAGATACTCAAGGCTGTCAGAGTAGATCTATTTACGGCTCCAATCGTAATTCTCAATTTTCATTCTTGTAGTTACTCTATAAATGCAATTCCGGTTCGCTTCTACTGTTCAAATACTTTTCTGTTATAATTTAAAACGCAAACACGAATAAAACATTATGCAATTTGTTGTCGACAACTGTGCATTGAATGGCTATAAATAGTTCCGGGTTTACAATTTGCTGATATTTTGGCAGCTATTAATGATTTGCATCGAGCATATTTTAACAAAAGGAAATTAAAGACATTTATAAATCATGCTTAGTGTCATGGGCTCTCAAAACGATTTTGAATCAATATTTGCTTATAAAAATTAGCCCTTGATTAGGACATCGAGCCGTTTATCATCTGTGAGCATCGTTTTTATTTTTGTATTTATATACGTTTTAGAGATGCTGCAGCTGTCGATCTATTGATAAATAATAGTAGGAGAGTCTTTCGATTCACGGCGATATATGGTAAACAAATTGTTTAAAGGGAGCAACACAAAAAACATTTCATGTCCGATATACTAATCGCTCAAAAGGGCAATTACTTGAGCTAACGAAGGCAAAAGAATGGTTATGTAACCTTACCAAAGCAAAATGATTTCTTCGAAGCGTGTTCATTGTAGCTATTTGTCGCTTTAACTCTTCGCTTTGTTTCACCGACGATAAGCTTCTGTAGTTCAGTGCTAGCTGATTGTTACGTCACGCTTTACATCATAGCACGTCTAATCCGATTTAGATTCCGCGCGCACTTTGACTGAAACACAAGCGAAATAATTTCCTCTACTGTTTCTCTCAGTTAGTACGTGCGCTATGACTGGTCAATCTGGCCGGCCGAATTTTCACGTTGCGGCCCGCTAAGTTCAAAAGTTTGTTTCAGTTAAAAACTTCCCCCCCTACTTGAACCCAGGGACATCTGAAATATCTCAATAACCTCGTTTTCTCGGTCCACTCTGTAAGTTACGAAACCTCGTTTTTTCCGCTGCGCACTTAGACCACAATATCCGAGAGGAAAAACCGCGGTCCGTAGCTTATAATACGGACCAACAAAACGAGGTTAGTAAGGGGTATGTATAAGTAAAATATGATTAAATAGCAGTGCAAATGTCACACCTCGTCGTAACATTCGGTATACTGTTGCTGTGTTTCGGCGAACTCCTCTTCAAGCTGCTTAATTCTTTTATCTCTTCTGGCCACCTATGAACACAACGATCACGGGAAAACATAGGGTAAGAGTTATTGATTTCGTAAACAACACAAAGGCTTGTAACGAGTTGCGTGAGGAACTAGATTCATTTTCGCTAATTGCACCTTCCCGTAGAGAAAAGAGAAAAAGATTCTATCGGCTCCAAGGTAACAAGAGTAGTTCAGATTGGAAAGTTTTGAAGCAGATTAGAACAATTTATAATTGAGTGCTGAGCGGTAATCTTGGATTTCTATGTTTTTGCTTTGATACCCATATGGTTTTTTCGAGAAAACTCGCGCCTCACAACACAAGAATAAAACTTGAACCATCTCGGTCATTTGTGCTTTTCCTCACTTGTGGTCGCTTAGTTGGATCTAATCGGAGTTGTTATCGGCTCCTTGCCGTGTGAACCTTATGTATGTTTGGTAATTGTGATAACAAAGCAAAGGAGTGCGAGGCAGTTGCCCGCAACTGAGCGGTCACACGTTTGTGTACGTGCGTAAGTTGTAATGGTCAGGGGAGGTCTTTTCAAGCGGTCAAAACCAATACGTCTCCCAGTAGTTCTGAACAGCCAAACAAGTAAGTGAGTCAGGGCGTTTTAAAGTATTTCCACCTTTTTTGATAAAGACTTGCGTTCGAAAAGTCTCCAGCAATTATTTTCTTACACATATTTCGAAGAAAATCCCAATTTTTTAGCAGGTCTTACGTGACGGCAGTTTTTTCTTATCAAGATTCTTTTAAAATTTTGTTCGGGACAATGGCGCGCAGCCGCAAAAAAACTGACCGTATTACGCGTGCCTAACTTTTGACCGCAGTTTTGTTTAGCGTTCGCTTTTGCGTTCGTCCCCTCTGACTGAGAGCTTGGATAAGGCCACAACAAGCGGTTTGTCGCGCAAACTTGTAAAAATGAATTGGTATTTGCGGTATCTCGGCTCCTTATTTGAAAAACCCTGTTGCTTTGGTCTGATCTAAGCAGCTACTGCATCGTTTGTTATAGTCGTATGTCTGGTTAGGTGCGGAGAATCGAGTAATCCATCAAGCTGTGCAGTCAAGGCGAATAAACTGTTCCAGTTACTCTTCCCTTCCGTCATTTCACTAAAGCGCTTCTCAGACGGACTTCACTGATACAAAATAATCATCAAGGATATTGCACTGAAACACTTTCGCTTTCTTTTTTTACCGCCTTAAAAAACTAAAAAGTAGCAGCAGTTTATGACCAAGGCAACATTCAAGACCATATCTTTCAGCAGAAGCTAAAGCAGATCCTCCGAAAATCAGTTCTAACTAAAGCAGAAAAAATGGTCTAAAATGTTGTCAATATTTAAGACAACAGAAAACCAAGAGACCATCTGCTAAAAATATATTTATTAAAAATATTGATAGAAACTATGTCACAATTAGTCATTGATTTTCTTCAAAAAGATAAGTCGAGAATGTATACCAAGATACAAAAATCACAATATATTAATTATACTAAATTTCAATTTTTTTCTCTCTCTAATATCACTGCTTTCATGATTTATAATTTGGATTTCTGGGAGAATAAGGAAAATTAATTGTACAAATCAAATGAAATAATCAAATGAATTATAAAACGTTTGAAGTTTTTTCAAGTAGCAAAAGTTGTGATTCTACGTCTACTGCTTCAGATGAAAGATGGTCTTGAATGTATGAAACTGCTCTATTGTGTTCTTTCTACATATACGTCATGATATGAAAGAACGTGGATTGGGCCTCTATAAATTGAGTACGATTGGTATTTGAAGAAAGCATCAACCATAATTTCAAACCACAAAGCTAAAAATTCAACTTGCACTCAAACCGAGCAGTTGAGCGTTAAAAACCATAAATAATATGAACTGTCCAAAACTTATAGGAATACCGCATGTCTTGAAATGAAAAAAATATATCTTCCAAATAAAACTGTAAAATGTAGAAAAATATAAGCGTGCAAAGAATGCAGAAAAGCTACCATTTAAATTCCTGAAAAAATTTCAACTATAACAAACACGATTTCTTTTAAACTTTCGACGATTACTAGTCCAGATTGGGGCGAAATCAAATCTAATGAGCCAATTTATTCCTGTGGCAAATAAGAATCAGTATTGTTGTTGGTTATGCTGTTATTGTTAAGGAACAGCTCGCCTTCCACACTCACATCATCAGCTGTTTTCTCTTTCAGATTCTCAAGTTCTCGGCTGCTTTCATTCAAGTCTCGTTCCAGTCGACTGATCACATCGAGTTGCTGGGAGATCTGGGAATGAGATATTGAGTTGCTGAGTTTGTGTTTAACTGGTTGACTCGTTAAAGCCGTTTAATTGATTGAAAAGCAGATTAAGCCATAGAAATGAAATGAAAAACAAGAACAGCCTAACTTTAACAAAAAAACACAAAAATGTTCTAAAAGAAAATTCGCACCTCTCGTTCTTTGTCTCTTTGTTGATCTTTCAGATAGGAAGTTTCAGACTTGAGGCGATCTATCATTTCGTCCCTTTTAGACATCTGATAAAGAACGAATAAAAAAAGAAGAGTTACTTCTTCTACTTAACATTCACTGGCAACTGGTGACAGCTCTGTACAAAATGGAAACTCACAATAGAAGAAATCCACAAGAAAAAACAGAGTACAGATTAGCAAACCTTCGACAAAACATCTCTGTGCTGTTCCTGTAACTCATCCATCTCTGAGGCCAAGTGCTGTATTGTGTCCTCCTTCATTTCAGCCTGATCGAAAGCAGACGAAAAAAATGTTTAAAACTGATTCTATCTGATATCTCAATGATTTTCTCCAATACCAGGTTCAGGTGTCTCACTTGAACACGAATGCACAGACTAGTATTCACGTTGTTTAAGGAAAATCGATTTTAATATCCTATCAGAGCGTTTTCCGACTGAGAGACGTAAAAGCAAAACCCAACCAATGACAATGGCCAACAAATAAGAACTAAAAGTAAAAAAAACGAAAACTCCCTAAAGCGCGGGAAAGCGCGGGCGACCAAATCGTAACTGGTTTTAGTTCTGCATTTGATTGGTTGAGAGGGTGGCACAAGGTTTCTCGACCAATCACGGAGCGAGGTATAGCAAAACCAATGCATTAATCTCATTAATTTCGACACTCAATTAAAAACTGCTTCAGTTTGTGGGTTTGTATTAGACAGAGCGTTCACTCCATCAATCGATGCCTGGAAACGATCCTTACTTCGTGTTCCTTCTGGTCTCGATCGCCTTGAAGTGACGTCATTTTCAAGTTGAGTTCCCGGATGGTGTCTTCGTAATGCTCGAGCTGCGAACAAGAGCGGTTGGACAAATTTAAGAACTTAGAATAACTATATTTTTTTAGCATTTTAATACATTAAAGGTCAATCCTTCAACATCCAAGATTTAATCAGTAAGTGTCACCACCGCCTACTTTAAATTTTCTTGTAATTTGGTTATAGAAATTTGATGATAACTTGAGCAAACATCCAACAAAGTCGATTAAAATTACCAGGAATCAAGATTTTCATAACAACAAGAAAAAATCTTGACCTTATCGGTGTATTCTTCAGACTTAGATTTCATGTCGTTCAGTTTGGCCTCCATGTCAACTACTGCTGTATTCCTTTGCTGCATCTGCGGGTAAAAAGTAACGAGATTAAAAAAAAATCGATCAAACGCATGTAATGTAGGTCTGTTTCGATTTCGAAGAGAATTTCACATGAACGAAATGAAACGAAATGTCAAATCAAAACGATGAAATTTTAATAACTTACGACAAAAAACAAAAAAACGTCACGGCGCCAAGTCTGGGAACTCGCTTGAGAAAAGTCTCAAGTCTCTTGGCCAGCTTTGATATGTAACTTAGCCTACGAGGAGGCCCTAACTATAAGTAGCGCAGGAAACGTTTTTTTCCGCCAGCGGGAAGATTTGAGACGAGTCGTGGAGACATTTACCGGGGGGTTTGGAACTAATGACTGCAAGACCCCATGCAGAATTCTCACGACTCGCGTTGCTCAAGCTCCAGACCTTATACTTTCCCGCGGGCGAAGACACACTCGTGCCGCAACGAAATCGCCACACACGCTATTATGCCCAGAAAATGTTATTCTTACATCTTGCAGACAGTCTTCATATTGCTGTCGAAGTCTCTCAACAGCTCGTTCGTGCTCTCGAACCTAAAAAAGACATTCAAAGCAATTGATTGGAAATTCATCGACCATAAATGATGTTAAATAATATGAAATATCGCGGTAAAATGGACAAGAAAACCAGTTAGCCTTTTGAGAGGCCTCCTTGAGAGTGATAACAAACTGTACATATCGGGCGTGCAGATTTTCCGGAAAGGTTAAAGATCACTAAAAGAGTAAAAAAGGAAATCCACTAACAGTTCACTAAAGGTCACAAATAGGACTATATTTCGCTTAAGACACCAAAATATTTCTCTTAGTTTATTTCATGTTTCCGTATCGAGGCCGTCGCACTTACATTATCTTCAGCCTTTTGCTGTTGTTCCTGAAGAGACAACTTTTCGATCTTAAGTTTATGAATAGCTTCTTCTCTCTTGGCGACCTGAAATCATAAAATTAACGTTTTCTATGAACGAAAGGGGAAGGATTGTGATAAATTTTTTTTAACAAACTCCAAGAGTACCCCCTCGTTTCTTGCCAATACATTCCTCGTTTGGCAAAATGAGAAATTATCAACTGAGTGTTGAAAGTGATCCGAGGCTGTTCTAGTTTTTCTTTTCTTCGCTCTATGATTGGCCCAGAAAACCCACTCCACTCTTTCAACCAATCAGATGCAAAACTGAAACCAATCACGACTTGGTCACCCGCGTTTTCCCGCGCTTTGGGAATTTTGGTTGTTTTACTTTGAGGTTTGACTGGCTCTTTAAGCTATTTTCCTTTCTTCCGATTGGTTGTTGTGACAACTGTGGTTTTAGTACTCTCATCATTACAGATTTTTTATTAGCTAGTTTTTTACTCATATTTTAGTGATGTTTTTATAAATTTTATAAATTTTATCAATGTCTTTTATAAATGAATTGTAAAGCGCTATTGAATAGCAATAGAAATAGCGCTATATAAATACTGTATTGTATTGTATTTTAGTTTGGCGAATTTCAATCGAAAAGTACTCTAAAAAATAGCACGCCCCACAATTTCGACTCCTTGCGTGCCTTTTAACCCTTTTCTCCCTAACATTAGTATGCATAATCTCCATACTGTTCTCTGTACATTTCTTGAAATGCTGACAAGGAGAATTTGTTTAAAAATCAAGAGCTTTATAAGTTGGTGATCATTTCCCTGATTCTCGTGACCTTAATGTTTGATTCAGGGGTGATATTGAAGGAGAAATTAAAAGCTGGGCACTCTGCACACTGGGTTAAAGAATTAATACACGTCCCACGAGGCAACAATGGAAACTGAATAAACAATAAGGTTGTCATGACAATATTTAAACGAACCTCTTCTGCCAACACGTCTTGCTCGCTCTGGGTAGAGATCTTGTAAGCTTGAATTTTAGCTTCGAGTCTTCCTTTCTGCAATAGAACACACCATGGACTTTACCGTTTGTTCAAGTTAAACAAGCCCGAGATCCTTGCTAGCTGTATGCTGAGCATTTATGACGGCCTTGATAACAGTTCTAGTTACCTCTTCAATCGCATCCTTCAGCTGTTTCCTGCTGCCCTCCAGATCTCCCTCTAACTGCTGAATGGTTTCGTCACGTCTCGTGATCTATAAAACCCAAAAGGGTTACACTGTACTGAAACGAGTGCATGGGTATTACTACAGGGGTAGAGTGGAATTTCCTGGGACTGCCACCCCCCTCCACCCCTTTTTCGCGGGGTGGATGTGTTGATTCACGATAATACAACAGCCTGCCATACCCCTAACGATGCCGATGATAGTCTACTGAAGGAACCGATTTGGTACATTAATAAATTACTTACGGTCTCCATTCTCGATTAATCAACAGAAAACAAATTTAAGTAAAAATATTCTTACGTCATCGAGTGCTCTTCGATGGTTTTCTTGCGCTGTCAGAAGCTCCAGTTCAAGCTTTTGAATAGCTTTTTCGCGTCGAGACACCTAACAATAAAAATATCGAGAATATATTACGTTACAAGTTACACGCATAATATGACATGCACCGAGCAAGAGTAACTCTCCATTAGAGCAAACGAACTGACAAGAAAGTAAATCCATCCAGGAATTACAACACGTATTAACACTTACCTCGTCTACAAAATCTTTTTGCTGCGCTTGAAGTCTTTGTAAAGCCTCTTCCCTGTGGGAGACCTGCATTGCGCGAAAATGCCAAAATTAGGGGAGGGAAACAATTAACGGGCTTGATTTGCTTTTTATTTGTTTTGTCTTGGTGGAAAAGAAAAGCGAATAGCAATTCACACTTGCAATTGCAACTCTGAGTTGAAACCAGTGACAGCTGAAGGATTTCTCTCATCTAGCTTTGCTCGTCACGATATCAAGTTGATTATTAACTCTTTGCACCTTGACATCATTATTAATGTTCTCCATACCGTTCGCTATACATTTTCTTTGGTGCTGACGAGGAGAATTTGATTAACAATCAACAGCTTCTTTACTTAGTGCACATTTCCTTTATTTTCATGACCTTAATGTTTGATTTAAGGATTATAATGAAAGGAGAAATTAGATGCTGGTCACTTTGAGAGGTCAAAGAGTTAATACCTCGCAGCATCGCATCGATTTGTACCTTGGACTGAGCTTGTTCATACTGATCTTTTAAGTTTGAGAGAGCCATCTTAAGTTCCCGCAATTCTATATCTTTGTCGTCCACCTAAAAGATAAAAAGTACGTTGCATTAAGAAATAGAAACACTCGGTACAAGGTTCAAGAGAGAAGTTTTTAGAAAACATAGGATTAAATTATATATTTAAATGAATCCAGCACCTACCATTTTCCCGAGATGATCAGACTTTTCTAGGCTGCTTTTTTGACTCCTCTCCAACCGATTTTCCAGGTCAGATAACTGCAATATAGGACCACAACATCATTAAGTATTAACGAATAAAGAAGTCTCTCAATTTACCAATCGGGTGTTCAAGAACAAACTTTTACAATGGCCTTATTATAGAACTTTTATTGCCGATTAATTCGTTTACAACAACGAGTTATCATGATTAGGAAATTCGACGGTCATAGCTAAGCCTTTAAGTGATGTGTCTGAAGTTTCTCGAACGGCCAATCACTACATGGTCTTCTTGATAAACTCTTTACACTGACGGTGAGCTTTTTGAAATTTAAAGATCCACGACATAGGAAAAATTTCTTTCGCTTTCTTGCCAAAATTTCGTTTAACAGTACTCCTAAAAAAAACTACCCTTCCCCAGTTTACAAGAACTGACGACTCGATTGTTATCCCAGCGATGCATCAATAGCACAGATTTATTTGGTTACAATCGAGGATAGTTCCAAGTCAATGAGCGACAACCCCACCCTACCCGGCATAGGTAAAAATGTATTTCTTCTCTCCTCAGTCCTCTATCGCTTTAGCTACAAGTATGGATATTCAACATGGCATCCAGCCAGCCTCGATCGTGGAAATCCTGCATTTCCTTCGTCACTTACCCTTTTATTAGCAACATTTAGTTTACTTTCCAGCTCTGCCTGTTTACGACTGTAGTCTTCGATCTACAAAAACACAGTAAATACACTATTGCCAACAGTGCAAAATGACATGTATACATTTTTCCCAAGTACTAGGAAACAGTGTATGCAAATATCTTGCTCAGAAGCAAATATCACATTAATTCTTATTACAAAATCGTTACAGATTCCGTTGTCTTGAAACGGAATTTTTTTAAACGATCAGACAATATCAAGAAAGGTGACAAACACGTAAATGTATGCAGTATTTCTATGAATTACAACCATGTACTTACGAGAAAGCATCGCAACCAGATCGCACAAAAAATTGCAAACACGCAATGAAAAACGCAAGAACTACTTTTATAAAACATTTAACTGAATCAACCATTGCACCTTACTTGAGAGAACTAGGAAAATAAAAGGCGATAAGAACTCACCGAGTCTGTCATCTCTTTGTTTTGAGTTCGGAGCTTTGAAATCACATTATTCCGATGTGAAAGCTGTAGAGACAAAAATGTGTAGTTTTCTAGAGCTGTGCATTACTTAAAGCTTCTCTAGAGAAGCTTAACTAGAAACGCAAAGAAGAAACAAACAGGGCTGGATAACAGCACAAACAACAAAGGCATACTTCAATGCAACATCTGTTTTATAAAGGCCGCGTGGAATTCGTGTTAAATAAAGCTAACAAATATTACAAACGACATGTTAAGAGACGATGAGCAAATACCTTAAGCACTATATTACATTATATGAACACTGAAGACACTGATAAGTTAATTTTTGATCGGGGCTACTCTTAAAATATAAGTTTGTTTACACTTCGATTCGGGCTTCACAAAGTCGCCGGTTGGGCAAAAGTTTTTGAAAACAATCGCAAATTCGCGCCTTAAGCACAGTACCTTTCATACAGTCGGTCAGACACTTCATTAAACCAGGCCAAAACGTCACAAGTTTCAAGTAAGGTCTTACAGAATCTCGAGGCAAAAGGAATCGAAATTCTGCACGAAAGCCCTCGCTGATTGCTCTCCGTAGCAAGGGACGCTAACTTTTCACACAACCGAAACAAATTTATGCAATATGACCAATTTCAATTGATCTCTAACAAAGCAACGCCAACTGAACAATGAAGCTTTTGTTCAAGATCACACACTCATGCAAGCTTTGAAAACATGTTGAGGTTCTATCGAGTACAAGAAAACAAAGCAAATTCATCGCTACAATAAATCTAGCGAAGAAATACAAAAACAATTGCCGCTTGTTAGACAATATGATCTCTACAGAGCATTAACCTCTTTGCTTCCTTTTCCGCGCAAAGTGAAGGAAGTAACATAAAAATTTCTGAAGAAGTCCACGAAAGAAATCGCAAGACATAGAAAAAGAATGTTGACATAGGAAATAAAGAAAAAGAAAGAGAATAAAGTTTTACGCCTTTCCAGAAAATAAACAAGAAAGGTGAAAACAAATTAAGGTGTTAAAATAAACATATATAGCATACTTTTTGTTCACTATTCAAGAATCATCTGCTCCATGAGAGTATATGCCTTTTGGATTTGTTTTTTGCCGAGATACTAAACTCTGAGCCAGAGTTAACAGCTTTAAAAAAATGGCTTGATTCAATGTCATCACGAATGCAAAACTAATTTAAGACTTACCTGAGCGACTGCTTCTCTGTGTTTGTTATCCAAAGCAGAAAGTTCCGTCTTTAACGTTAAAATGGTATCATGGCGCTCGGCCACCTGAAACAAAAACGTGATTGGCTACTCTGACAACCTACATCACCGTCAGTCCCTTGCAATAAATTAAGCCGATATTTTTCAAGCTTGTAATAATTTTGAAATTCCTATTTATCTTCACCATCCTGATATATGCTCCCTCACTTTCCACTTTTCTAATAAACGATTATCTTCAAAAAATTCACTCTATTTAACGGTCACTCTCTCTAACGCATTGGTACTAAAATCTGTCAGACGGAGAATATCGTCTTTGGTAAAAGATGAGCTCAGGGTATTGAGGTATAGTTTCACTACAATCACCCTGCCCACGAAGCAAGCTCAGATTCGAATTATGACAGTAGTCACTAATTATTTCCCTTGACAAGACACTGTTATCTCTCAGAGATCCTCTCACCACCGAGAACTACATAATATTGGTACCAGCAAACTTAAGAAATTACGGAAGGGTCTCCTGTGGGGAACTGCCACCCCGACCAGAATAAGCAGTTATACTCCTTGTCACACACACAATGCACTGAAAACCAGAGTAAACCGGATACAAATGAGTCTCAACCCTTGAAAGACTTACCCTGAGCTTGACTCACTAGTCGTCATTTCCAAACATACCTCATTTGCTAGTGCGTCTCTCTGATCATTTGAAGACACCTGCAATCGTTTTATCTCTCTCTGGGCCGCTCTGGATTCCTCTTCTGAACGTGCGACTTGCTCGCGACACTTCACAACATCTCCTTCCAGTTGCTGAATGTGAAATTTATTCTTCTCCAGCTGAGATAAAATAAATTAGCAAATAACTTTCACTCTCATTTCCAGCTTTCGATTTGGCTTTACATTTTTGTCGCATGCGCTAAGCGAGCCCCGGAAGATATTTTCCATACCTTCCGAGGGACATTCCAACGCCCGCTAAAATTCATCGTACATCAAAATAAAATATTTTACCTCGTAAGTGCAATTGTCAAGCTGCGATTTAAGCTCCCGGATCTCTTTTTCATACTGCTGGATCTGAAAATTAAATGAAAGCACACAAACTTTGCTAGTCGTCATCAACAACGATCGAATGAGAACAAAAAGCCAACGAAGTGATGAAATACTTTCCATCAAATCCTTTGCAAGTATGCAAAAAAAATACAGTCACGAAAACAAGGAGAAACGCGCCATGTAAGACGACACGTTAAAAACACTTGTTGCACTCATAGACAGTCAGTTCACATCAGAGGTCAAACGTCTCAAAGACAAACGGAATCTTCCATCCTTTCCTACTTGCCCGACATGCTTTAACCACTAACCTCCTTAATGGCAGCATTATATCGGTCTTTCATATTGTCAAGCTCGGAATCCCTTGAAGTCAGCTGAAACAAAAGAAACTAGTAAGCGAATAATATAATTTCGCAATTAGATACGTCGTTGGAAGTTTACGCGAAGCAATGCAGAAAACCAAGGGAGCAAATTTTACGCGCACATTGCGTTCAAACTGGCGGATCTCATTACGCGCATTTTATGCGCGCGCAGTGTTGGAACACTGATCCCCGATCGGCCAGTACTGAAAATTCGACTGCGTCGGTGAATTTTTCTTAACTCCTCTCTCACACACAAAATTATTTTGTTCGGGAAATGAGCCTGCGCTCCTTGAGAAAGGAACAAAGATCGAACTCAAGAGAGCAACGAATTTCATACAGCGTTCAACTTCTGTACATGCGCGGACGTTGTAGTGGTTAGTGGCGTAATTCCAGGCTAGCTAAGTTGTCCAACAGGAATTAAATACAACTACGCAAGCCAGTAAGTCACGTTGTATCAACAGCGTATAACTTTTTTTAAAAGCTCAAAAAACAAAATTGTAAATTGACAGGATACCCGTAATCAAACAAGCGTTGCATTCGAACAGTTTCAATTTTCCCTCTTACTTTTGTTTCCTTTTACAGATTTCTACGAACGTTTTCATTTTTTACCCGTATTTTGTGTGACGGCAGTTGTTTCTTACTTTGTTTTTCTAAGAAATTTTGAGCGCACGCGACCGGCCAGAATTGATCCCCTCGCGCATGCCCAACGTTTGACCGCTGTGTTACGAAAATTACAGCTAACCTCGCTGACCAACACTTCTTTATGTCCCTTGGCAGCATGCTGACTTTCGCTCAGTTGACTTTGTAGTTTGACCACTTCCTGTGCAGCTTTACGTCGCTGATCTTCAGCCACTTCCAATTCAGCCTCTAGTCGCTTAACTCGCTGTTCAAACTCCCGGGACAGATCCAATGGAATGCCTCCTTCTGAGTCTTTTAATGCCTGGACTTGTGTTTTAAGTTCACGGTTTTCTTCTTCGAGTCTTGCAACCTGTTCAATGGACACCATAATAAAATATTTCTCTAGTTCCAATACCCTTTGGTTGTCAAGCTTGAATTTGATGAGAAAAATGTCCTTGAGCTTCAATCCAATTCATTCTTATAAAGCCCGAATAGGAATTTATGTAAACATCTAAGAACTAACCCATGACCTCTGCGATACCGGTGCAGCGCTCTACCAACTGAGCTAACAAGCCAACTGGGAGTTGGTCAATGTGTTGGGTCCAAATAAACCATTCAAGTGATGAATGATGATTTTAAATATATGAAATTCATATATATTTGCACTACGGTGAAGAAACGAAATTAAAAGATCCTCGCAGCTAAGAACACTACTGAAACGAGTAGTTTAAAATAGGACCTGAAAAAAATTCAGGCCCCTACGGGATTTGAGCCCATGACCTCTGCGATACCGGTGCAGCGCTCTACCTCACCGCAGTGCAGATATATGAATTTCATATATCTAAAATCATCATTCATCACTTGGATAGTTTATTTGGACCCAACACATTAACCAGCTCCCAGTTGGCTTGTTAGCTCAGTTGGTAGAGCGCTGCACCGGTACGGCAGAGGTCATGGGTTCAAATCCATGTTAGGTCCTATTTTCAACTACTCGTTTCAATAGTGTTCTTGGAAATGAGCAAAAGATAAAAAAAAATCAAAGTGCAGCCGTTTCGCTGACAACCACAACCGCAGTTTGTCGCTCGCCAAGTCTTTGGCATGTCTCCCTGGACTGAGAGCCCGAAACAGGCCATGTTTTTCAATTTAATGAAACCTACCTTTACTTTATTGCCAACCTGCTGCTGTTCCAATACCCTCAAAGACTGATCTTTAGCAGCAACGTCTGAACGTTTTAGAGCCTGTTCATCCTGTAGTTTACCAATGTGTCCCTGTAGGCGCGCTATAGACAGCTCACACTCTCGTAACTCTCTAGTCGTACTTTGCTGCTGTTTTCTTGAGTACTCCAGGTCGTTCTTCAGCTTCCTAATAAGCACGTCTTTCTGAGTCATGCTGCCAGAGCATTCCTCCGTATAAGTATCAAACGACTTCGCATCCCCGGCAAAAGAGCCGACTTTTTCATAACCATGAGCATTAGAGTCCACAAGTTCAAGATTGCTCTGAATAAGGAATGAAATAAATGTTAGTTATCTGGATTTAAGTGGGTACCTCCATCGTAATTTAATTTGTGGGTAAAACAACAGAGTACACGGCCAATTTTGGAGCGAAATTCTTTGAGGTGGCTCAGTGTCTACTAGAAGTAATAAATTTATATAAATAAAGTCCACTGCAGAGACACTAACTAAAGGTCTCTGTTAGTAGGATGGCATCGAAGGTCACCATAGCCATACTTAACAGATTCTTAGAAACGTCCTTGACTATAGCTTCAGGTACCTGTAACTCAAATAACGAGTTCAATGATCCCCATTTTTTTCTGCACACAATTCAGACCCCTTAAATTATCAAAAGAATGTCATTTTAACTCCACAGATTTTCTATTGAGCATAAAAGAAGTATTTTACCTGTTCTTTTCCTTTCAGGTCTTTCTGCAATCTTTGAATCATTTGATCTCTGGCAGCTAACTGCTTCTTCAACTCTTGGATGTGTTCTGTGAGTCTTTTCTCTCCTTCTCTCCTATAAAAATATTGTAAAATTGATCTGACCTGCACTGCTAATCAGAGCAAAGTAAAATATCACAAGGTGTCAATGAGAACTCAAAGTAATTACATGTGATGGGATGGCTTCAAGCATTGATATACCCACATGAACAACTGGCAGATGGTTTAAATTGTTTCTGATTGGTAAGATGGTGGAATCTTGAGGTAAGACCATTGCAATATCTTATTACTTTGGACACCAGCAGTACAAGAACTAGCTTGCAGGCCGAACAGATGGTGGTGAGAGGTTTTATACCTGGTAGACCACCAATAACCTGCTTTTATCAAAACCCCTGGGACACACAATGGGTAACTGATGGTGTGACATCCAGCTGTGCCCAAAGAAGGGAACCCTAAGACAAAATCCAACCACAAGAACCTGGTTGGTAGACCACCAGTAACCAGCTTTCATAGAAACCCCTGGGACACACAACCAGTAACTCCTCAATTTGCCACTACTAGTAGTAACTCCCATCCCTTAATTTAGCCAATCAACACAAGAAATCCATTTCCTACTAAATTTAGCAACCAATGAGCTTTCAAGGGAGACAGTCCTGATCAAAAGTAAAATTCTCTCAATAAAATGATAAATATAAAAAAAATCATATAATTTGATCCTGAAAAGACTGAGATGGTTAAAATCGATACTCACAACTCCTTAGAAGCTGCCGCATGAGCACCCAAAATGGAATCAAGTGATACAGTCCTCAAGTCTAACCCTGCCAACTGAAGAGAAAAAAAGAAATCATGTTAGCTAAACAAGCACACAACTAGTTACACCTAAATTTTTCTGTTACCAAAGGTAGTCTGGAATTATGACTTGATTTTTTTAACATCAATTACTACACTCATCACCACTTCATACCACAACATCAATGTGCATAATTATTCTCTACACTGTTCTCCATACATGTACTGAGATTTTGACAAGGAGATTATGTATAACAATCAACAGCTTCTTCAGTTTGTGATCATTTCTTCTATTCCTCTGACCATAATTGCATGATTCAGGGTCAGTAATGAGAGGAGAAATTAGATGCCAATCACTTTTATGGGTCAAACATATAAGTGACCAAGAGTACTGCAACTCTCTCCGGTTGGGAAGCTGAGCCATACATTTCCTGAGATTTTGACAGGAGAATGTGTATAACAATCAACAGCTTCTTCAGTTGGTGATCATTTTGTATTATTCTTCTGACCATAATGTATGATTCAGGGTTGATACTGCAAGGAGATATTAGATGCCAATCACTCTAAGGGGTCAGACAATTAAGTGACCAGGAGTACTGCTACTCTCTCCAGGTTGGGAAGCCGAGCCATTGCAAGTATATTCCCACACTCAAAGCATTCATCAGTTCCCCTTCCCCCTGACTGTCTACCAGTTTCTATTTGATATTATTGGGTGGAAAAAGATACAGGAAGTACAGGAAGGACAATTTAGACCAGGAACACATGACAATGACCCCTGCATAGACTTGCACTAAAGCCCCAACATTTTAATCTGGAGTCCTGCACACTAGAAATCTAACTCTTTTACCACTGCAATAGAAATGAATGGTAAAAAATAAATAGTTAAAAAAATTGATAACCAAAAAATCCAATCAAATCAGTCACCTCCCATTTCCCTGTGGCTCGTGCTGTACCAATCAGGTTGACCAGATTGTCAATGTCATAATCCAAGTCTTCATGTCGTGTCTCAAGGTGAGCTAATTGTTGAGTTGTTATGTTAAGCTCCTCTTTCAAGGCCTGATAATAATGCGCAACAATATCACTGATTAATTATAAATGTGAATTTACTCTTCCAAATGAGGTTAATGCTAACAAAAACTTAAAGAATAAGAATAAAATTCCAGTTATAGGAGCTCCAACAGCTGTATTTAAAACCCTGTTACAACTTCTACTACACTCCAACTCTGTTGCCTGCGAAAACCAGGCATTAAGGATCGGTAGTCATTCTGTTTACTAACACATTAAGGTTCAAATAATGCAGAATTAAACTTGCAAGTAGTAATGTCACTTTCTCCCTCGTTTCGACTCTCTCAATTATATAAAAATATATATATAAAAATTAAGCCTCCTAGACCTGTGAAAAATTCCTATCACCAAACTTCAAGTCAAAGAGCCCCTAAAGTTTGTCTGCTACTGGATTTTAAGTGTCTTCGACAAAAATATTACATGCTACAAGCACAGCAAGCTCACCTTAATCTCCTCCACATAATCTTTCTTCTCTTTGCTCAGCTTTTCGACCTGGACATCCAGTTCACTTGCCCTTGATGTGAAATCCTTATCAAATTGGTACAAAAACTTAACATTAACTTCTTGTTTCTGGTTTGTATGGAATATTACGCATGTTTTCAATTGAAAATAAAAAAATCAAAATATAGACTTGTATGAAATATCACATTCAACACCTATAATCCCTGGTATGTAAATTCTAAACAGGAGACTTTGTAGCATAAGTGCGAGATGTTTTCTTTGGCTTTTGAAGCTGCACAAGAAAAATCTAGGAGTATAACTTCTCCACCCAGATGGGATGTTCAACTCTGGTGTGAGCTACCTCTCTACATTTTTTCAGGTTCTGCTAAAACATCAGCTGGTATTCATTTAATACACTGTTTGGCAAGAGAAAGCAGTGTAGGTATGAGCAAAGAAAATGATGCTGAGGCCTGCTCCTTAAAATTCCCAGTACTCAATACCAGTCCCCAACACTTATTATATTCAGTTGTGATTACATTCAAGATCAAGACAACAACAGCTCCCCGATTCAAACAAGGAAAAATATCAAGCAATGAGACAGAATATATTAGCTTATGAGCTAAGACCCATGTTTCTATCTCTTACTAGTGAGATTTTAAGACATAGCTTAGGCTTCATAAAGTTACTGGAATATCTGATGAAATAGCTCCCTGATGAAGGTTTAAACCCAGATCCAGAGAACAGTAAAGAGATCACTAGTTTTCACATAAGTTATGCAGGTACATGTAGCACCATGCTCAAAACCTCCCTGTGTGAAATACATGTGCATATACCTTGAGAGACAATGTTGTTCTTTGGAGTTTATTTTCCATCAGTGCCACCCTGTCATTGGCTTCTCTCTCTAGTTCCTCAACAGTTTGTACCAGGATCTCATTTTGATCACTGAGTTCATTCACATAGGACTGCAGGGACTGGAGTTGATGCTGCAAAATTTGTTAACATTAATTTATATCCAATCCAATTGACAGTGTCCTAACATTTACTTTTTTAGCAAGTGAACATTTCTGGATAATTATTTTTTGATGATGCTTTTAACCAAAATTGGATGCTAATTTAATTTGTTTTAGCAGTTTCACTAGATTATTACTCAGCCGATAAAAGTCGATGTTCAGTTTAAGAACTATAATTCCTAAACTGAACACTTAAAGCAAAAATGTGTTGTCAGACCAGTGGACCACCCTTGCAAATCGTAACGCCAAAGTTACAAATCTACATGCAGTAAATAATACCTTGTAGCTTAACATCTTAACAAGAATTAGGAACAAGCCCACAGACAATTATACATGTAAGTCTAGATCTCTGTAAACAGACTAAGCATTTCGTAGATTTGTCAGAAAGAATTAACTTCATGGATAGAAAATAAAAAAAAAAAAGACAACCCTTTGCATTTATAAAACAGTAATAGCATAAAAGTAGATTAAAAGTTACGAGCTAAGCTTTCAAAAAAGTATCAAAGTAATGCCTACATCCGCAGCCATCAATTTTCCTGTCAAAAATTCTCACTGCTCACATGCATGCCTCGGTGACCAAAACGCTACACTTTACTAAGTAAACAAAACAGCCGCTTTTAAGTCATTCGGAGTCCTTACAGCTTGTAGAGATCTAAAGAATTTCTAGGAATGAATAAATATCTTATGGTCCAAAAAAAAAAATTAATCATAGATCAAGAAAATGAAAAATACAAGCACGTTTCCGCTCGTGAATGAAGTTCTAACGAACCGCTGGCCTAAAGCATTTGTGTGTGTGCAAATGGCTAACGGCTTAACAACATTCACCGGATGCAAGATAAAATTAAAAAAAAAAGTCAGAATGAAAAGCTAGTTTAAGCGCCATTGTATCGTTAAGATTCCAATCAGCTGCCCATTTTGAAATAAAGAGATTTTTCTTATTCCTCGAAATTACTTATAAATTAAAACTGACGTGTTCGGTCGATCAACATTTTAAAATCTTGCCGCGAGAGATCGAATATCGATCTCATTGTTTACACGTTACGGGGACGATGTCGTTAAAATCGCAGTGATCTAACCCTGTGAGCCTCTTCTCTTTTCTCCCCTATTTCCTCCATGTCTTTCAACCTGTTCCGATACATTCCTCGCAATTCGTCCGCCAGCAAGCTGTCGCTATCGCTGTCCTCGTCCAATTCCCCGAGAAGATCTCCACCTTGCAGAAAACTCTCTCCAAGATCTTTCGTTTTGGTACTCATCAGATCTGACTTTCGATCGCTGAGTTCTGGAGAGGTAATCAAGCGACACCCAGCTGAGTGTTAGCCCAAATGATCTTTCGTGATTATTTGGTCCTTGTGTACATGTCAAAACTTTCAAAAGGCAGTCGAGCGCTGCAGTAACACAACAAAACAAACCGAACGCGCTTGGGAAAAGGACGCTCGTATCCGGAAGATATGATTGGTCGAATTGTTACAACTCATTATTGATGTTTTTCCAAATAAGGTGATGCTACTGTTTGAGGTCAATTAGAGACCAGAATGGCGCGAACAATAGCAACGCTTTCTTGAAATTGTCCTTTGTAGGACAATACAAAGGCATTTAAAATTTCATTAGCCCGTTCGTCAAAAGACCATTTTGTTTTCGGGATTATCTGTTCTATAGTCTGTAACTAATCGGAAATTGTTTAAAAATGCACGTGTTCTTCATATTGTGGGTATTGATTGCACTTGAAGCTCGTGCTTGCTTTAGAGATCTTTACTGACAAAATCGTCATGACTACCAGTAAATCTGGTGTTAAATCAACTATCAAACAATAAAGCCCTCTCTAACATGACAGTTTAAAATGAAATTATTAAATCTTCCGGTTGTCAAACTACGGTTAAAACACAAATAAGTCTTGGGTGGTTATTTTGTAGTTAAGTTTTATTGAGCGTCGTGTTGTATCAAACGAGAAAACGTGAAGCTCCGTTCAGACGGTCATGATAGTTGATGCGCGTTTGAGTACGAATGTTCAAGCACTGTCATCAACTATCATCGATTATCATTAACCATCATGCAGTTTGGGCATGTTCAAATTCGACTTAATATCTAAATAATAGTTGATGACAGTTTTTGCAGTTTGAACGAGCGGATGATAGTTTTTCGGTCAGTGGTTTTGCCAAAACCCGTTCAGAGGTAAAATGGCTAAAACTGCCGTCAAAATTTCGTAGAATGTCTTGTTATTCATTCTCATTAATTCCTTGTAGGCTTCCGTATCTTCCGTTCGCAATTCCTCCACTCATCAGCTCTCCTTCGCATCCACTCCTACGTCCTTCCTCGTTTGTGGCAATCAAGCAACTCTTCAGAAAATTAATCCTGCATCAAATTTTGTGAAACTATATGTGCCACAAACTACTCTTTTCGGCCGATACAGAGCCATTTTTGTCACAAATTTTAAAACGCCACCATAAGTGCTGACCTTAACGCCACAATTTGTGTACAAAATACCATGTACCGGTTAGCAGCATGATTTCATTGCGTTATTTAATTTCGGGAACCATCAACAACTTTCATGAACCTTATGAACGCAAACATGATAGTCAATGACAGTGAACAGGAGCCCATGAAAAAAAGTTGAAACGAAATACTCGTCCAGCAAAGCCAAAGAGAGCTCATATCAGGTTATCTGAAAAATTGGTCCACAACGCCTGGCGGAAAAAGTGGCTCTCGAAAGCAAATACAGTTTCGAAGAAAAATTCCCCCTCATACATCTCTCTTCCACCCCCTTCCCTCACCCTTACCCCACCCCACCCAAGGCACAAGCGTCCAGGCTCTCCGCAGTCTGCGCTCAGTTTCCCGGTTTCTTTGTAGTCTATGAGTAACCTGAAGAACTGAGGAAACAGGAACAAGGAAGAAGGTGAAAACAGCGTGGTCTCAGTGATAAGCTGTTCTAGCCCGTGTCAAATTCATAATTGTGTAATTATATATTAAGTGCTGCCAAACGACGCGAAAAGTCTTTCCTTACCTATCCTGTGTCATTTGATCTGGTTTTTTTTCTCGCCTTGTCAATCAATCATTCGTTCGTTACTTCGTTCATTCGTTCCCTTGTTCTTTCATTTGAGTTTTTTCCACCGCTGATTTATCCATTTATTTATTTATTTTATATATTCATATTCACTGAGTTAAACAGTTTCCTTCTATCAAAAAAGTTATTTATCTCCCTTTTCCTTCCATTTGTTTCCGTTGGTCTGTGGTCAGACAATAACATCCAATACTGAGAAGCAAAGTGGTTATTTATTTTGCCGACTACGCTGTGAAGTTGTTTCACTGTCTCCTTAAAGCATCCTTAAGGGAACGGATACGTCGCGCTGAGCGCATTGTAAGGATTTTAGATTAATTGTCGCCGGCGATACATATGAATCTTCTCCTTTATGAACCGTCCTCGTTCTTATTGGCGTCGAGGATACTTTCTATTTTATTCCATTTAATTGATAATTTTCATGTGGCTAAAAAAATAACCAAATTATCCGTGTTAAGTCTGTACATCCGCCCTTTCTATACTCTATTTGTTACAGTGCAAACATGTCACGGTATTATCAAAACGCGTGGTCAATATAACTGACTCGGCCCTGTCGGCGTGTTAGACATAAAACATGTTTTTAAGTGAGGCTAAGCTAAGGAGTCTTTGATATTGAGACGATCTGTTATTTATCATATAAATAAAACTGATTTTCATCAAAATAGTTATGTATACTTTGCCTGATGTTTAACGTAAGGTTGTTTGGAACTCCCCGGGAAATGGCCTATTGGTACGATCGTCAAAAGAAGAATAAGACTGAAGAATGTTGGAAAACAGTTGAGGAGCTGGCATGCTGAGTTTAAGGAAATGTGCTTACATGTTTTTTCGTCTCATTTCAATTCATTCTGAATTTAAACTGAACACAATTGCTTCTGAGATTTTAATCATGAATTCCGCTAATGCTGACTGTCCATTCAATATCACAGACGAATTCTATACGTCTTCGCAGCTTTCAAAAGGATTCTATCTTCTATCGATCTTAAACTTGGTCATCGACAGCTGTTTGCCTGTAATTTCTGTTGGAGGCAGCACCTTATTGATCTTGGCCATCTTCAAGTTCCCTCATCTTCGTGAAGTACCCAGCAATCTTCTCCTCACATCACAAGCAGTTTGTGATTTACTAATTGGACTTTTTGCTCAGCCGTTGATCGCCGTAAGACTAGCAAGTCGACTTTTCGGCTTTGCTGACTGCTTATTGCAACAAAACTTTCTGAACGCGCTCGGAATGTACGTGACTCACTTCTTGTTGTATTCGTCTTGTCTGAATCTCTGTTTGATAACTGTAGATAGATACGTTTGTATCACGCACCCTTTAGGATATCAAAGCCTAGTTACGGTCAAAACAGCCTTGAAGGCCATAATTGCTTGTTGGTCGCTTTCGGTAGCATTTGCCGCGGTGCCCGTCTTCCTCACACACAAAGCTGATACGTTATCCCTTGTAATAACTTCAAGAGCAGTCGCTTGTATTCCTCCCTTGCTGTTAGTGTTCACAACTTTTTTCTGCTATTTCAAAATGACAAGAATTGCAAGACGACACTGGATGCTCATACGAGCGCTGGTCAGTGATACCAACAATCCGACAAAGCAAGATGTTAAAAGCACCAGAACCACTCTTATTATGGTTGGTGTTGTTTTCCTCTGCTATGTTCCTACAACAAGTGCAGTTTTAGGCTTGTACATCACCAAGAACCTGGCGCTTCTTGAAGTCGTTCTGCCGTTTCTGAGCACTCTGACCTTCCTCAACTCGAGCATAAATCCTTTGGTGTATTACGTGCGATGCAGAAGAATTCGCCGCTACGTCTGGAAGGTTATAAAGCGTAAATAAAATTGAACAATTCATGTATAATCTTTTCCGATTATTTCGTTCAAGACTATTCATGCAGAGATCGGTTGGGGCCAACATTGAATAACTGGATTCATAAAACTGAGAGTGGCGAATGGAACATTAAAGAATCACGGGTTACTGTAAATTTTGATCCAATGTTAAAATCTGGACAGCCTTTCCGTTAAATCTCTGAGTCTCACATTTCTCCCAAAGTATTTAAGGTCTATATCATAGATTTGAACTTATAGGCAAGGGTCTCGAGCGTAAGCCAGCAAGAGTGACTTAGAATTGTTACGAGCGACAACGATTATCTACCGATTGCGTGAAGTTGGATTACCCCTGAATCACCAGATGTTTCTATATGTAAAAGTGACGCTAACTTTAAACTAAGATATAGAACCAGCTTCACTAATTTTGAAACACCACCTCGCACATGGATCAATATTCCCACAGTGTTTTGCATGTTTTCTTGAAAAAATTAACAAGGAAAAGAAATGTTTTAAGATGACTCCTCAACATGTTGCGATCATTTTTCAGAAATACAAGGTTACAATAACAACGCTCAAGCCTCTTGGACAAGCTCGGTGAACACCGTTTCTCAAAAGCGCATTTTGATCAAGTGTCGTGAAATTAAGCCAAACTTATCACAACAGCCAATCAGATTAACGGTAAACACCACAAGGAACCAATGAGAAGTTAAATTTTCAATAAGCTAACTCCCTTGAAGCGCGGGAAAACACGGGTTACCGAGTTACGTATGGTTTCAGTTCTGAATCTGATTGGCTGAGAAAGAGGCACGAGTTTCAAGGACCAATGTCAGAGTTCAAAGACCAAACTGTCAGTTGAAAATTGCATTTTTATAAATTGTAAACCAAAAGTTTTTTCAAATTTAGTACTGATCCACCCGTCAACGATCAAGGCTACAATACCAAAAGAATACTGATCTTAATTTGAAAATTTATTAACATATCATTTTTATATAAATTGTAAATGGCGACTAATTTAATTAAAAAGCGAGATCAACCAACGATTAAAGCTTACCACAGAACACTAATTTAACTAAAAATCAATCTTTTGAATTTGAAATTGGATGAATTTTGTTCTCAGGCAGAGTGAACTTTACTTGAAGTTGGTCGGTTCTACTGTAACGGTCTCAGCAAACGTAAAAGTGTATTTTGGACAAAGAGTCCCTTGCAGAGTGTAAATCTCGTGTCGTCATAAGCCTTACCCTGGATTACGACCACAGGCAGTGGTACGAAAAAGGCAGAAAAAGCAGCAAGTGTACCCTCCTGAAAAAGATCTTTGAAGGTGTCGGGGTTTGAACGCAGAAAATGCGGGAAAATACATACCCACGCTTAAAGATCAAAATCTACTAAAACGCATAGTCGGTAGATCATAGTAACTGCTGTAAAAAGTATTATTCACATGCAATTAACACAGTTTATTCTACAAAGTTTCAGTTCAGCAAGCACCAAAATGGGATATTGGGGAACTCTGCAACGAGCATTACACCATGTTGTATCGTTAAAAAGTTCACACAAAAGAGCCATCCTCTTGAAAAGACGAGCTACTGCTCGCCACTGACTCTGGCGCTGAGGGATCTCTGGAACCCGCCCGTGATGACTGGCCAGCGTCACTTCCTTCCCAGACTAGGTTCTCTCCGACTTGTAAAGCTGGACCGAGCTTATTGGCTACGTCCACAAGCTGTTGGTTACAATAAAGGAAAGAATGTAACAGCAAGCATGAAGAAATTGAAAATCAAGTAAATACAAAGTAGGAAAGCTATGACGAAAAAAAGCAGTCTATTTCCATAGAGAGGGCAGAATTGCTAGGACGTGCTGCGACTGTAATAATATCTTTTTATAGTGGCTTTTGATTGTTAAACAATTTCTCCTTGGCAACACCTTGGGAAATGTATAGAGAACAGTATGGAGAATACAAACGGGTTAAACGATATGAGATGGCAAATTCACCTCTGCGTCAATCTCGACACCTTTGGCTAATCGATAGGATTCCATTTTTCTCTCGTAAATGTTAAACTGTTTCGCAGCGTCTTTCTTCTCGCCTGTATTATACAGGAAAATCGAGAAGTTCAAGTTTATAGAAGGATCGGAGCTGAAATAAAAATAAAAAAATTCAACAGTCAAAGGATTATCATCAAGTGTCACCAAAATTAAAAACCAATTATCATTCTTCATCGATAAACGTATACGCAAGTGAATCCCGCTGTACCAACTAATAGAATTAGTTCTTTGTTACTCAAGCTAGCTGTTTACGAATTTTTTCGTCATCCCATCCAGAGGGGGGTAGTGATACTCCTTGTCAATTCAAGCTAAAGAAACCGGGATAATCTACGGCTGGGTGGGCTCCTTGGCTGCAGTAGAGACTTAACCTTTTCTTCTGATTTCGATCAGTAACCTGGGCCGAATGGAGGAAACACAGCTTGTTATTGATATTTTTTGTAAAATTTGAGTATAATTCTATTGATATTCTCACTTGTCTAAGTTTGCTGCCTGTTCGTATGCATGTCTAGCATTCTCGTGATCCTCCAGGTGTGTCAGGGCAACTGAAATAAGATACATATGACGGACAACATTGATAAACATATCAAACAAATAGAACAGAAAGTTTTATGAAACTCACGTGTGATAAGAACAGCGACACTCACTTGCAAGTAACATAAAGAGGTGACCGTGCTTCGGTTTGAGGGTAATTGCTGCACTAAGGAAGTGAAAGGCAGACGCGTATCTGATGGACATTAAGGAAATAACTCTAGTACGCTTGCGTTAGTGATTACTTCGTCGACGCAAAAGAATCCGCGCGCAAAATTCCAGCCCGCGGCAACTGCGAAAAGTTACCGCTTACTCCCATGAGTGACCAAGACATAATTTCTCCTCACAATATCCATACAATCTAAAGCAAACAAATTATGTAAATAAATAAAAATGCCAATTACGGTATTATTAGAACATCCCATACCACATTCTCTGAACTAATATCATAAAAAATGTATCGCAGACAGTAAGGAGAATTAATTATGAGATTTTGAGAGTGAAAGAGTTAAAATGGAAGAATTAAATGAAATAAATCGGAACTGCAAAGAACTGTCGATCACAATGATTTAAGCAAACCCTTTAGGAGAGTAAGCGAATACTTCCTCGTTTAGCGATCTTGTCAGTGAAGTGTAAAGGATACTGTTGCATTGTAAGGTGAATGATTCCCAAGTTATAAAGGATTTTCCAATCAAACGGTGCCATGTATGTAGCTCTTTTGAGACAGCTGATGGCCTGAGGAAACCAAGATGAGTAAGAGGCCTGGAAGTAGCAGTTTTAAATATTTCTTCGTATCTTTGAGAGCTTTTCGATTGAATGTCGAAAGCTAAACCAATTAATCACCGCACTTAATTTGAACAACAGCCAACATCAAGGGAACCGGGGGAATTGGGGGTAAAAAGGCGGGAAAAAGACAAGCAACCAAGTTGTGACCGGTACTAGCCTTGCATCTGATTGGGTAGGAGTGTGGCAAGTGTGTGCGACCATTTGCGTAGTACAGTGAAGTATGATCGCTCAACTGCAAATCCTCCAAACCTATTACTTACTATTGAATGACACTGAGCGCATTTCGATTGACTTTCATAAAACTAATACCAAATTGTTTACAACAACCAGCCAGAAGAAGGGAAATTATCGCAATGAACTAGTTGGAATTCAGAGAGCAAACAAGCAGACTTCCTGTAGCGCTGAAAAACCCGATCAACCAGGTCGCCTTCGGTTTTAGACTTAAATCTTATTAATTGGAAAGAAAGCTCGCCTTTTCAGGACCAATCACGGAGCAAAACAAAAAAAAACAAACAAAGCAAACCCATGTTACTTCGGGTACTCAATATTGAAAATTTGCTAGCATCAACGTAACCAAAAAGACAAAACAAAACAAAAACGAATATGTCATATGTTCAGGAAACTCTTACAAATATTTAATACGCTTTGAAAATCTTCAAACCCAATTCTGGTCGATTAGACGCCTAAACTATAAAATTTGCTTGTTAATCAACTTACTGCGACATATTTCTTTTTTCCAAAGAAGCACATGCCGATGTTGTTCCACAAGTGAGGTGATTCAGGCGTAGCTGCGGCTGCTATTCTGTATTTGGTCAGTGCCACATCATAGTCACCGTGTGACTGAATCATAGAACCAGCTGCCAAGATAGCCTGGCAATAAAACACGAAAGCACAGTTAAATAATTACAGGAGAAGTGTGCATTAGAAACCACATGAGTTAAAACTTGTCCATTACAAATGAATAAAGGGGTTAGTTTCTAAAGAAACTGTATGCTGCGTCGGTGGGAGAGTGTAACAGGGTAATTAAGTATAACCAGCGAGTCGATAACGTATATAAACCACCGTAAAGAGTTTCAAAGATGACTTTTCGAGCGTTAGCCTTTCATTGGAGCGAAGGACAAAGTACGAAAGGGCGAAATTTGCTCTAACAAAGGGCTAACGCTCGAAACGTCAGCTTTGAAACTCTACGGTGGCCGACTTACGTTATCAACTCGATCGTTAATAATACTAACTTACTATGTTACCTTCTCCATTAAAACGCACACATATAACATTTTGCTATCGTTGATTCTTGTGGTATATTTAATTTAAAGGATTGTGCCAATAGAAAAAAATTAATTCCACGTACATGGTACATAAGGAAGGAAGAGAGTGCCAAAATCTCACCTTTACATTGCTTGGATCATACGTTAATGCATTGCCAAGATGCTCAAAAGCTTTTGACGTCTGACCAAGCTGCAAGATAAAGTGTGATAGAAGAGAAATGTGGATGCGCTTTACGCAACAAGGAAAAAGAAGGATAATTGATTTAACCTTCAAAAAAGGTCCACTGATTTTACACAAGAAATTTTTGCTGAACCCTTAAGCTCTCAGTGGTGATTAAATTGTAACTTTTCCCTACAGCATATATTATCCAGCGAACAAGTAATAAGAATACTCATACTTGTAGGGTAAAAGTTTTCATCTTGATCTAACATCAAAATCTTGTAACTAATTTACAAGGAAATTTGTAGCAGCTAGAGGAGAGAATTAACAATCAGATCTTGGGAGTTAAGGGGTCATTTTACCTCTAGGTAGAGCAGTCCAAGTGTTGTCATGAGATCTGGATTTTCAGGTGAGAATCTGAGAAAAAGAATAAACAAGAGAATTTACTACAGTCACAGCAGCAAAGCAAATCAAGGAAACAAACTATTTCAACTGCTGACACCTCAACATCAGTATACACATTATCCCTACAGTGCTCTATGAACTCCTGAGGTGCTGACAAGGAGAATTTGTTTAGCAATCAAGAGCTTCTTAAATTGGTGATCTCTTCCTTTATTCTCATGACCCTTAGATTTAATTTGAGGGTGATCCTGTAAGGAGAAAGTAGGGCTAGCCTCAGACAGTCTTAGGGCATCTACCAACCTATTTTAAAAGTTTACTTAAGCTTACTAGCGACACTCATTCACGGCAGACTAGGTATGTCAATTTCAATATTGCTCGCCCAGTTATCAAACGTATAACTGAAGGGGGAAGAACATTTACTGTGACTGCCTGTCAAGCCTGTAAACAGCTTACCGCTATCTATGTGGAAAATAGTGTCACTTAATTCTTTTAGGAACTCTCTTTGGAAAAAAATTTTTGAAGAACAGCAGCTTTTAAATAGTTTTATTCTGTGATTTAGTTATACTTTTGTACTTTTAATTGATTTTATCTCTTATCTCTTGTATTTTTATTCGTTATATTATCTCATTGTTCTGCCATAGTTTTTAACATCCGTATTGTACATAATTTTAGAGGGCCACTGGTGTTTTAGTATTCTTATACTATTTTAGTGCTACCCTCTTTAAATAGTCTTTACTTACTTACTAACTAGGGGAGTAAAGGGTTAAATGATTCATCACAAATATGTTAAAAATAAAAATGAAAACACTGGGAGCAAACCAGAGGTCTATTGACAAGACTGTGGATGTTACTGAACAATTTCAATACAACATCAATGCAATGTCAAGCATACAAGCGATGACAGTAAAAGAAAATATAAACAAGGGGATTATCACTTGATCAATTCCAAATTCTAAGAGATAGCAAATCCTAAGAATGTTTGGTAGTCAGTACTATTACTAATGAGATCTTGTGAGAAAAGAGTTACTCTTTGTTAAGAAGTACTCACTCTATTGCTTTCTTGAAAATATCAATGGCAGATTCTGTTTCTCCCTCTAAGAGTAAAACTTTTCCTAGCTGTATGAAAGATGCATCATGACGGTGATACTGCAAGGCATGCGTCAGACAATCTTTTGCCTAGGATTACATTCACAATATCCATGATATACATTGTGATAAGCTGTTAACTACACGATGCATGGAAACTGAATTAAAAAAAAAAAAAAGAATTAATTGTTTTTTGGCTTTTTCTATGAGTAGATATGATTTCAGTCATAATCAAATTCTAATTGTAAATATTTTGCCAATAAAATACTATTTTATTTGAACTAACCTTTTCAAAATCTTTCATGTAGACATAGCAAACACCTGAAAGTGGGAAAGTGTTTCCCTGAACATTCAGCTCATTCTAATTACATGAAATTGATTGGTGTAATGCATGCACTGGTTACTGAATGTTGTACAGGCACACTCTGTTTGAATTTAGATAACGCAATAGTTATTGGAATGCTTGTCACATAAAATGTATAATTTAAAGTCTCATAACATAGTTAAAAGTTTCAGTTGTGCAGAAACAACCATGCTAACCAGTTATTGTAATTACTAACCAGTTATTTGCCAAAATGTACGTCAATAATAAGGCAGTCAAGAAGTACTGGTAAGTTTTCAGTTTGTTTTGAACACTTGTAAGGCTGAGTGCCATCATAGTTTCTTTATATTTTAAATTAAATACTGTTCATCTTCTGTGTTGGTATCTTTGGTCGTTTGGTGGACAGAACAGAAAGTATAGTGGCTCTAATGAAAAAAATACCTGAACAGGAGTTTACTAGTGGACTTGGACTCACCTTGGTTATGATAAATTTCCTGTATGTAAGAGAAATTTTAAAAATTACTTTAAGTTTTCTCTTGCCAAGATTTTTATCTCTCTATTAAAAAATTGGGTCACAAGAAAAAAGTTTCTCAGCCTACCCAGTCCTTGGTGCTAAGTTTTGCAGCTTCATTGAACACTTCAAGAGCAGCCTTGTGGCGAGCAAGAAGAAAACTGAAAAAAATTGAAATTACCAAAACATCTTTTTTACAACAAATTTAAGGGCCAGTGGTTTATCTACAAATTAGGCTTCAGTCCCCTCATGTCCGTAGACACATATTGAAATTTTCACGCAAAAAGAACAGTAATGTTACACAGTTTGTCGTGTTAAGATCGTTTCTTAGCTGCATCTCGTGTACCCCTTCTATCCAAACCGTCAGGTACGTTTTGCATTGTCTTTTGTTGTTTGGTGTTTTGCTTTGTGATTTTAATTATTGTTGTTGGTAGTTGGCTGTAGTGTAATTTAATTTAATCATGTTTCAGAAACTACTGGTTATGAATAAATTGTATTGTTCATGTAACTGTTTTGAAATTTGCCAGTGTGTTTGCTACAGTGGTGACATCTGTAAAAGTAGCTATGCTAAGCAGATCTTTCTACAAAGGTAACACATGCAGTAATGAAGCTGATCTACTCTTCAGCCAAGTAAAAAATAAACTCTCACAGAGATCTTGCAACTTGTTTGAGGTTGTCAGCACTCTGAGGATTGATTTGAACAGTCCTCTGAAAGAGATCCAATGATTCCTGGATTTGACCCTCTTGACGAAGAATTAATGCTGAAAAAGAGGCAAAAAATTTGTCCACGGCACAAGATTCTCCCATTATGTCTTTCCTCTTAAGTTTATAAAAATATCAAGTTCAGTAAATGAGATTCTGACAGTCTGAGCAGCATTTTTTACACTGTATCATATTCATAACCTTGAATCAGCCAATGGAAAAAAGGGAATCCTGTTCAACTTTACATCATTTGTCCCATAAATTTCCATTTTAACTTGGTGCACAACCTTAAAATTAAATTTAAATTTGACCTAGAAACACTGGATAAAAAGAGGCACCTTGTAGAATGTCCAATGCTAAATTCCCATGATTTTTATCACTTAATCCTATTTTATGGCGATCAGACTACATGTTACCTAGTCAATGTTGAAATTTTAGCTACCTTTAGCTAGCCTACCACATGGATATCAGATGCCTAAAGAATGATGTTAATTTAAAATTTTATCTCAACGTAGTGTTTAATATCGTGGGTTAGGCTAAAGTTAACTCAAATTCAGCAAGCAAATGATCATATAGCTGACTCACAATCACAACATTAAATAACTGAAAGCTCTAAAAAACTGACTGATACAGGAAAAAGGCAGATTAAGTGTGATAAGAAATACAAGAAAACACTTAAACCAGCAGCTAGTTTCTCCTTGCAGTAATGCTGCTGAATCATTCATTGAGATCACGAGAATAACAGAGATGATCTCCATCCCATGAATGTCTGATTTTTAAACAAATTCTCCTTGTCAGTACAGTCGAACCTCAATTATCCGGACTCGGTGGGACTAGGGTAAATAGTCCGGATAATCGAGAGTCCAGATAATCAAAAATATGAATATTAATGAGACAATGTAAACAAAAGAAATAAAGACAACACATTTTTAATTCTAAAAGTTTGCTTCAACAGATTGCTTTCGCTTTGTAGACATGTTTTCGTTTTGAGTTATGATCATCTCGTGTGTTTACATAACCCACGCTCATCGAACTGATCAAGCATGACATTCCCATAGCAACAAAACAATACTGAACCAATCAAAATTCAGCTGAACGCATTAGAATGCTTCTTGTCTCTTATTGTCTCCGAGCGCTTGATCTTTCAAAAGCAGAGCGTGTAATGCGCTGTTTTAAATGCAATTTTCCTGACTTTTAACAACATTTCTGAATTTCTTTACCTCCTAAAGTTTTTAACATCTAAGGTCATTAATATTCATGAAAAAAACAGGACCAGAGAAAAAGTCCGGATAATCGAAAAGTCCGGATAATTGAGGTTCGACTGTACAAAAAGAAATTTATAGAGAAAGGTATGAAGAGTATGGATACTTATGTTAGGCTGTTAAAGGTTAAAGAATCACACTGATTATGCAATTAACTCTCTGTGTACTAGTGATACAAAACACCATTTGACAGTTACATGTACAATCTTGCTAAAAGCAAATTAAGTGAAAAAATAGACTCCCAAATATATGGCTTGTTGGCAGGAGTTTACTCAGATAATTTAATCTGTGTCAAAAAAACATGAGTATTACCTTTCACATACAAAGCATATTCACACATTCCTTGAGTTTCAGCAAGCTGTTCTTTTATCAGAGCCTACAACAAAACAGAATGAGACTTGAAACAAAAAATGAATTTTCTTTTAGTTCAAATTAATCAAAATGTACAACTCATGAAAGAATGTTTCCCACCTTGCAGGCTTCAAATTCCTTTCTGATGTAATGTAGATGAATGAGCCAATTTCTTCTTTCGTAAACAGGCAACTCTGGAGCTGAGCAAGGTAGATGAAAATAATGAATTAGTGACTATTATATTTTAACATTATCATGAGAGAAACAGTGAAAAAGTCTGCCATCATGGTTAATAATGGTGATTGAACTGAGTGGAGAGTAATTTTGTCTGAAATCATACATGTGATTTCAAAATCACAAGCATGATTTCAGATTAAAAAATTGTGCAACTAACTCAAAGCTCAATCAGTACTTTATTACATCCATTTTGAAATTGCAAAATTCTGTCTCTTAACCCTTTAATCCCTGAGGGTGACTAGCATCTAATTTCTCCCTGGAAAATCATCCCTAAATGAAACATTTAGGTCATGAGAATAAAAGAAATTATCACCAACTAAAGAAGCTCTTGATTTTTAAACAATTTGTCCTTGTCAGCACCTTTGGAAATGTATAGAGAATGTGCATATTGATGCTAGGGTGTTAAGGTTTGTTACAAGTTTTTAAGTCTGTACTTGTATTTTATTGATCCAGTATACTGAGCTGGTTTGTAAAAAGTTACAAAGTTGTCTCTCATTTTCCTGCAATTTGATTGATTTCTTTAAAAAAGCCTTAAAATTTGATCAGTTGTTTTTTTTTAGTAAAGCTGTCTCATTGGCTGGGAAAAAGATGCCATTTAGAGCATAAAATGCTGCAATTTGCGAATAAAACCCTCGGGTGAGAGCCAATCAGATGACAAGGATCACAAGTGATCTCAAAATGGATATAATAAGGCATGTAAACCATGAAAAATTTCAAGCAAGTATACATGGAGATGGGGAAGCCAAAGTGGGTGAGATGTATAGAACATATGCATAGCCAGTAAGGAGAATATGCATATTGATGTTAGGGTGTAAATGGCTAAGATTTGTTGTTAACTGGACATCACCCATCAAAACTATACAATGAAACCACCAAATGCTGATGTGGACTATGCAGAACTTCAAGGTACTTCTCGAAATTCAAAATGTTAACATGGGATGAATGACCTGAATCTTATGTACTCCCTTATTAAGATTAAGCTTATGACTGTAAAATATGAGAATTTTGCCATTTAGTGGTCATCTGATGCATGACAACCGTTGAAATCAGATCAACCTGATAAAACCAAATGGTTTCTGTGTAAGACAACGAACTTATGTTAAAGAAGAATGCAAATGAATCTTCTTGAAAGTGGAAATAAGAAAAAATATTAAAATTTCAAAAGCTTATTCTAAACAAAAGTAGCTCAGATCAAACAAACTTGTAAGTACGGTATCTACCTTTGCCACGTCGTTTAGGCGGCTGGGATTTTGGTTGAGGAACAGGAGCTGGTGTAGAAGCGGGAATACTCTCTGGTGTCGCAGACACACTAGGTGTCCTACCCACAGAACTCTCAGAGCTAACTGTCCCTGCAACTGAAGCAGTCTCCGACATTGAAACCTGACTACCGCTTTGGGGAGACTCCATCGTATTACCCTTCTCCAATCTTCTTTCGTTTAAATTTCGACCCAAATATTGTTTTTCGCGAAGAAAATTTTGGGATGAAATTTTTTCTTCTATAAATCAAGATAAAGAAACGACGTGATTTTTATCTCAGAACAGACGAAAACCGACAAACTTCAAGCGATGTTTAGAACATTCACCCGCCATGACAACGCAGGTGATTGATGGACATGTGATGTTGATTACACAACCAAGAGACTGGACTAAAAGTTCAGCTGACTATAATGATTACAGGCGTAAATGCGCATTCGCAAAATCTCTCTCTCATCCTGCCGAAATGAATAAATAAGTGACGAAAAGTGTAGCTTTATATAAATACGTACATTACTACAATCAACAGGCCAACAATTAAGCCAACAGCTGGAGTTCATGATAATTTCATGAAGTTTTTCTTGGATGTTAGAGTACAAGCACCATTTTTTTCTTTATTTTCCTTGTGATCTTTGAATCTCTTGGCGAAGAAAAGATTATATGGCTTTCTGTACGAGGAAACGCTTTTTTATGTAAAGGGCTAAATGAAAGTTTAGAAGTATTGTAGGAAAACAAGAGGTGAAAATGCAAATAAAATTATATCAAGGAAGCTCATTATTTATTCATATTACTCAAAACCATTTTGGTCCATCAAAAGCCAATGACTAAATACCTGAAAGGTGTTCTAAGTGAAAATACCTGAATTATCAACAACAAAGCCGAGTTTATTCAACAGCTGTTATTCGCTCTGTTTGTCTAGCCCCTACCCTGCAATCAATGTTGACATATCACCGCGTTCTGCGTTGTCGTGGTTGGAATACGCCTTAGTAAGGTAAGATTTCTGTTTTCATCAATTATAAGGCGAGCAAGTCCGTCAAAACAAACTTTTGACATTTCTTCCCGAAATAATAGGAGCTGGCTGCAACTGATTACTAGGATAAATTTTGGTTACAGGAGGGAGCCGGCCTCTGAATTTTTTTCAGCAACTAACAATCTTGTTTTCGCTTCAAAAACAAAGACAAAATAAACAAATAACATATTATTTCCTTGGCCAATTAATATGCGGGACAGTATCCGAATAAGTTAAACCAAAGTGAGATCACTGACAAAATCCTACAGTAAACCAAGTGTACAGTTCCCGTTTTTCGGCATAATGTCTCTGTTTAACCGAATTAATTTTCTCAACGAACTGAATCAATGAAGTTCACAAGCCTACTAAAAGTTTGTCATGTTTCATGTCTAAATTAAATAGTGTTCACTAATATTACTACATCAACGCTTTCGAGAAAGAATGGCTACATTTTTCAGCGAGTCAAAACAAGAAGAAAGTTTTATTCCATAATGAACAGCTGCTTTTATTTATTCGTGAATATTTTATATATTTTCTTGCTCTTTCGACTTTAACGTTGGCTCTCTTCTGTTTCTCAGGTAAATACCTGAGCTCTCTTGTTGCACTCAGTTTGTAACACGGCGTCTCCAATCAGAAGGAGATCAATGGCTCCAGATGAACATTCCAAAGCTTTCGTTACCAGCCATTTATTTAGCAGAATCTTATCTTCGGAAACCAGACGAGAACTTAAGCAGTTGATAAGCCTATCATGGCTGCCAATTCTCACAAATGTCTTGCATAATACCTTACTTACCATCAGCCTTCTCTTTGCGGGGAGATTAGGCGAACAAGAACTAGCAGCGACAGTTTTATCCACTTCGTTTATTGGAGTTACTGGAACATTTCTCGGCTCTGGCTTGATCACTGCTTTAGAAGTTTTATGCACGAAGGCTTTTCGGAACAGAAGCTATCGACTTGTGGGGATAACGTTTCAGAGAGGAGTTTGGCTTCTAGGGATTTCTGTGCTGTTTGTTTGGGCCATTTGGACTAATGCAGAACTGCTGCTGCTGATAATCAAACAAAAAAGAGAGATCGTCAGGTTCTTAAGCTGATTCTCATCTTTGTATCTGTTAAGTGTTGTAAATTCAAACACTTGCGTGCTTGTACGCAGACATGCACAGCTAGCCAGTCGCAGTTTGAGGGCTTTTCGGCCAATAAGAATAAAGGAAAATATCCTCAAGAGCCAATGAAAAACAACCAAACTGCCTAAAGCGCTGGAATATTTTGTTTTAGTTTTACATCTGATTGGCTGAGAAAGTGGCGCGAGTATCCTGAACCAATCACGGAGCGAAGTGAAAAAAAAATGCAACTCCGGATTGCTTTCGACACTTATTTCAAAATTGCTCTATAAGCAATTACAGATTAATTATTGGCAAGTTAACCCGTATTTTCAGCGATACATCGCGGCCGTTATTCTGCTGATAAATTGGGAACAGACAAGCCAAATTAAACGATACTGAACTATCTATCCTTCTGTTGCAGACTCTCGCAACTGTTTATTTTCCTTTGGTTTCCAGCTCTGGTAGTGAGTATCACTTTTCTAATAATCTACACTCTTCTTCAACGCTGCCTTTATTGTTGGCAATGATCATTATTGGAAGCTAGTTGTAGTATATTTCTATCCCCGAGTTTTGATTGGCCCTCAGGCCATGGTTTATGAGTTCACATACTATGGACTACTAAAAAGCGTGTCTCTTTTTGGAAAAGATTTTGAGACAATGCTATTCGCACTCGTTAAATAAAACTGCTCAGAGCGCCTTAATGGTTTTCAACAAGTCAAAACCAACGTGCGCTCATAGATTAATGAGTAATGAAGATAATTTTTTAATTTTTTAACGGCACCAAATCCTGAAGCTCTTGGCCGCTTCACAATGACATTAAACGATCTCTTCTCAAAGTGAAAAACTGAAAAATTAGAAAAATTGAAAGGAGAATGGAAAAGAAGAAAATGGGATAAAAACGAACACCGCGAATTAATTTGTAAAAAGTGATGAGATATATTACTTGAATGTAGGATTTTAAAAAAATAATTTTTTACTCACTTTCAGGCAGATTTTGCGTTTGTTTTAATTCAAAGATATCTCCAGATACAGGTGAGCTAAAATGATTAGAACCAAAACTTTTTGAAACGAAAATTTTCCATTAGAGAGCGCTACCTTCCTGTAATACCAGCGTTTTTTCCTTTCGTTAATTTTTGCAGGGTGTTTTCAAGCCTGTCATTTACACCGTTGCTACCGCAAGCATTATGCATGTTGGGATCAATGTTGTATTAATTCATGGATTACAGATTGATTTCCTGTAAGCCTTAATTTGTATGAATAATGGTCTAAATCACCCTTCTCCTAATATAAATTGCTGTGCTCTCAATTCAGTGATGGTCATATTCTTTATGCAGCAGTTCCTAAATAGCCTATGTTACATTCTTTTCTAGGGGCGTGGCCCTAGCGTCATGCCTTACACACTGTCTGTTCCTCGGCCTCTCCTCGTTTCTCTACCTCTTTTTCTCTAAGCTTTACCACAGAACCTGGCCTTCAGAAGGTAAGAAGGCGACTTTCTTAGTAGTATATCATTTGTTATGAAATTGTCCGAGTCCTTAACATTATTTTCAAGGAACAACTTGTTATCAAGGTCATTACTAGAGAAAGAGGAGGACCTGCAGAATAAGAACATGCCCGTCGATATGTAAGACCCAATATTATGTGTCTGTGGGCGAAAAGTTTTTTTTTTTTTCTTATTCTGTTTGAATTTCAACGTGCTTTATAACCTCCAACTATTGATTACAAGGCTGGACGATAGAAAGCCTGCAACATTGGAATCAGTTCACCATGTTGGCTGCACCAGGCACGCTTATGCTATGTGTTGAATGGTGGAGCTTTGTTGTGGGAATTTTTCTAATGGGTAAGTATGTATCCTCATTGTACGAAAGGAGGAAAAACAGAGATTATTCCATGGAAAGAGCGCACGAACGATTTTTCATTTACAAGTTGCAAACCATAAAAAACAAACGAACGAGTGAGCGCAGTGAACGAGGGTGTCAGTATGTATTTTATATCAGTCAGTATGTATTTGAGTTCATATATAGATAATGAGTATTTCATTCAGTACTGAGCACTCCGTACATACTAAGTATCTTACTGATGCTCAGTCAGTACGTATTTTATTTCATACATACTGTGATTTCTTCACATCTCAATTCAAAGTTTGGAAGCAAACGACTGTGAAAATACATCGTTCGTCTAATCACAGACACGAACGATAGTACTTCACACTGTGAATCTCAGTATGTATGAAATAATCATTATTCTTCGATATCAAAAATTTTTTAATCTGATTGGTTCTCAATATCTCATGGGTGAGGCTTTAACGAGAAATTAAATGTCAGTCGGTTTTAGGGGCTAACAGATTAAATTGTTTCATGCAGTATAGTGCTAAAAACAGCATGAAGTGGTCAAATTATACAGTTCAAAAGGTCACGAGATTCTAGTAACAATGCAACACTACTCGATTAAGAAAATATGTATATCTCGAGTGTTTCTTAATTTAACCTCAAAGGCGAAAATGAACTGAATCGGAACTGGTAAGCAAAGCGTATGGTTTCATCCCTAAGAAAACAATATCCAGTTTCTAAAATTTGTAATAAAATAAATGTAGCCCTAAACAGAAAATCTCAGAATTTTTTCATTTCATCTATATTCCATAGGTAAGTTTCTTGCAATAGATTGACCTTATGCAAAAGTCCACTACCATTGCCCTCAGATTGTACCAATGTCTACGCATTATTCGTGTCTTGCAGGAACGCTTGGACAAAAGCAACTGGCGGTCCATGGTATATTGATGCAGTTTTCAAGCTTTGTATATATGGTGAGTGAGTTATATAGCCATAATCGCGGGAAAAACGCTGCCGTTTAATAATTTTATTTCAGTCTTAAAAAAACCGGTATTTGAACGCCAGAAGGAAAGACAAATATCTCTTGAGAACAGCATCCTTTGATAAAGCAACCCACAATCGAAATTTCAACCAGTGGAAAGATCGCGACTTTCCATGACAATGCGTTTCTCCATGTAATAGGTCTTTTCGAAGGTCTGTTAATGTCAATGTCTCCTTTGGTCTTACTTGATTCTCTAACACAAGGGAAATCGTTTATTTCAGATTTCTATAGGTTTTTCTCATGCTGTTACTGTTAGAGTCACGAATGAATTGCGAAGAGGCGACCACACCAGAGCGAAAAATGTTGTAAACATTTCTTTGGTGGCAGTTTGTAAGTATCCTTAAATTTTTCTGGTAAATCAGATGGATAGGCACGTCGATTAGCATTTTCAATACGATAATTTCTTCGTCCCGTTGACGGATTCGGCTGACGTATATATTTGAATTTTAGTTGCCGCCTAGGTTACAACTGTTCTATTCGCACATCCTAACATGCACTCAGATGCGTGTGGTAAGATAAATTCAGTGCACAAACGTACCACCTCCCTATTTATTATTATCTGATTGAAATTGGTGCAAAAAGAATGCAAACGTGTCCATTTCTCTTGAGATAGGGGGGAGGTACTTTGGTCTCTTGGTACCCATTCCTCGTGAATGTGATGCGGTCTCAGCCCTTTACATCCTAACCCTATTATGCATATTCTCCATACTGTTCTCTATACATTTCCTAAGAAGCTGACAATGAGAATTTGTTTACTAATCAAGAGCTTCATTAGTTGGTGATCATTTTCTTTCTTCTTGTGACCTTAATGCGTCAATCGGGGGTGATATTGTAAGGAGAAATTAGATGTTTGTCACTCTTAAGGTTCAAAAGGTTAAGAGATCTTGGAACGTGATAAATTTAATAGCAAATTATTTTACCTTTTTTTTTTTTGTTGCTCTGTTAATTTTCCGCATAAGTCAAATACGCGAGGCGGAAATTTCCATCAGCTACAGTAACATTACCACCCTCAACTTGGTTCCTAGGTGAATTTGTTAGAGCGAAAGTCCGGGTATTAGGGAATTTTTACATCGTCATCTCTTTCCAGGTTGCTTTTCCATTGTAATGTCGGTGTTTCTTAACGGTCTAAACGAACATCTTGGGAAAGCCTTCACAGGCGACAGGTTTGTATTTTGATATTAAGTTACTGCATGGATTTGTCTACCATACAATTGTAGTCGAGTCGAATCGTCACTCTGTGACCGAAAACTGGAATTACTTCTCCATGGAAATCAATTGTGTCTAAGTTGACTTCAACTGGTCAGGGAGCTAAGTTTTCTGAGAAAACCCTTTGATTATAACAAAGCATATGCTCTTTATTTGGTTTTTAGGGCGATCGCAAGTTTTGTCAGAAAAGTCACTCCAGCGATGACGGGATTTTCATTTTTCCAAAGTCTCCAAGTAAGGGAAACGAAGCGGTATTTCTGCATACTGAGTGGAATTTGGAGTCAATTTTATAAACTCTACAAATTAATTTCTCTGTAGAATTTTTTTGTGCCGATCGGTCAATTAGTCAGGCTGTTAGATAGTTTAAAGGGGTAAGTTTCTAAAGAAACTGTGGTGCTGCGTCGGTGGGAGAGTATAGCAGGTAATTTAGTGTTAACAACTGGGTTGAAAACGTAAATTAGCCATCGTAAAGAATAAAAAAGCTGACGTTTCGAGCGTTAGCCCTTCGTCAGAGCGATTGATTACTCTTTAAGGTGGCTAATTTACGTTTTCAACCCAGTTGTTAACACTAAATTACCTGTTAGATAGTTTGCCGATTTGTGTCTGATCTGTCGGTCTGCTAGTCCATCAGTTTGTTTGCCGTCTGTCTGTGTCTGTTTGTCTGTCTGCTAGTCTTTCCGTCTGTCTATCTGCCAGCCTGTCCCTATGTCTGTCTGTCTGTCCGTCTGTCTGTCTGTCCGTCCATGTGGTCTGTCTGTTTGTCTATAAGCCATTCAGTCTACAGGTCTGAGAGTCGATGGTTGGTCAGCTCTATGGTCAGTCGGGTAATAAGTCGGGATTCGAGTGATATCAATTGCGTATGTAACACCGCCACGAAACTAATCACCCAGTTGAGTTCGTCAGTGTGACAGTGGGATCGTATATCTTAGAAAGACTTTGGTTTGATTTTTTTTTTTAGGTCATATGTTGCAGCGTCATTCGAGGTGTTGGTCGAGCAAAGCTCACTCTTTTTCTCAACTTCTTTTTCCACTTCTTTGTTTCCGTGCCTCTGGGATCATGTTTCGCCTTCTACGTCTTTGAAAGAAGAAGTTGAAGGTAAGTTTGACCTGGCCTACTCAATCAAGAGTATATAATAGTTCCACAGTCTAATTTTTTCTCCAAATTTTGTCGTAATATTGTTTTATTCTTGATCCTGTAGGTTTCTGGTGGGGTCTTACGACTGGACTCAGTCTGCAGGTAAACTTACACTGTAAATTCGGCATATTACAAAGTCAGCCCAGATGAAATTAACGATAAACAGTATTCACAGCTGCGTAGAAAAGAAAGATTCACCAAAAGCTCTCATTTATATATGTGTAGAATGCTGCCAACGTGTCATCTTTAAATGTCCCATTCCACATCAAGGGAATGTTCACTGATTTGACATAAACTAAACCACAAGAGATGTTGTCGCCATTTGACAATTTTTATCATAATAATGATTTTCTTTTCCACCAGTGTCTCTTATTCATTGCCTTAATCAGGAGGATAGATTGGGAACTATATGTTAGGAAGGTGAGAAGAAACAAAAATTATTTATCATTTGTACTTGTATGCAATTCTAAAGGCTAACTTCGTTCCCAGGTCTTTTATCTTGAAAATCAAGAGTGGCCCTAGGAACGAGGTTGCTCAAAGGCGCATTTTGTATTGTCTTTCTCAGGCCCGTCGTAGGTTGACTCGACAACGACTTAGGCCACCTCTCGAATGGAGCACTGGAACTGGACAAGAATACGAAGAGAGCAAGCTTGTTCCTTCAGAGCCAGGTGCAATTTGTATCATTCTTCGCCATCCTTTAACCTTTAACCCCTAAGAGTCACCAGAATCTATATAATGCCTGCTCTCAGTATTCCCGCTGAATCTAATGTTAAGGCTTTGAGAATGAAGGAAATGATCACCAACAACAGGACAAGCACTTGATTGTTAAACACATTCTCCCTATCGATACCATAGGAAATGTACAGAGAGCAATGTGGAGAATATGCATTTCAATATCAGGTGTAAAGGCTGTTATTAAAATCATCCTCGCTCTCTTCTGTTATATCCCAACTCTTTGTCGCTTTGCTTTCTATTAAGAGGCAATATCCCGTGTTTCTTAAGTTGATTGTTTGATTGAAAACCATATTCTCAGAGCTAAAATCATAGGAGATGTGAAGCAAACAATTGGGAGAATTGACTTCTAGATCATAGGTGGAAGTAAAATGAAAGAGTTTAAGGGTTCGCAGAGCTAAGAGATTGATTATTTTTTTCATGCTGATATTTTCCAAATTTCATTCTCAGATCTCATCGTTACCTGGCTTTCCAGAACCTCATCGTTATTTTCAGTAAACACGAACAGCTTACGAGAATTTAGAAATCCAACAAACCCTGTCATGTCCTGGATCTACCGCTCGTCGTCTCTTCTTAGCCTCAATAACATTCCGCTTAGGGCCATGAACACGGACCAAGAGCAAGTCCTTCTCGAGGATGGGCCTTTGCGACAAGATTGCTCAACCGTATCTAAGCAACATATTAGTGTCCATGGGAACAAGCTAACCTTAAAGGAGAAGCGCAAGTTGATACTGCGCAGACTCGTATGGTTGATGTTTGCGGTATTTTTGTTGCTTACCGCCATAGTTGTGCGAGTTAAATTCCCAGCACCAGAAGAACAAGAACAGGAAGTGTTAAGGGATGCCAGTGTGACGGAGCTATCGATAAATTCAACGAGGAACTAAGTCGAAGCGACAAAGCATGGCAATTTTCCGTCAAATACCAGAAGCATGGAGAGAAATTCAATAAATTATCCAGTCAGATACGTGTTGCACTTTTTTTTAATTAGGCTCATCGATCTTAGTTTTGAAGTCATTAAGTTAAGCAGAAACCTGCTCATTCGAATTACTTGTTACTTTTTCAAGCAAAAATAACCTCCCGTAAGATTGACTAGACCCTAACTTCTTTGTCTGAGTTTCTTGATGATTGTGCCGGTTCCAGTTGTTCTCAGCCGTCGCTGCAGGCCCACAGGGACCACTGGTAAATAATTTTTTTTCCTTTGATTCCGTCTTAAGAGTGCCCTCTCGGTTTTTCCGGGCCCTAAAGTGCTCTTATTTTGTCTTAAAAGTGTCCCGTGGACTAGTAACGAATTGGCGGATAATGACGTAGAAAAATGTGAAAAATCTTCGTTGACTCCTACAAAATCTCCCACATCCCTTTGAATTTTGTATCAGTCAGCGTTGAAATACTCTTGAAGTAATGTCCGATAGCGATGTATACCTACCTTCAGCAAGTTCTACCGAGAGTTGTTATACATCGTACTCAAGTAGTAGAGAAGAAATGGAAGTTGTGAGTACGGTTCAGCCCTAAGAAGGAGAACCCCGTGCATCAAACGAAGATTTCGACGAAGACTGATAAAGACAGTTTCTCCCTTACGGTGTACGGTGTTCTCCCCTACGGTGTTCAGTTCAGTTCCCGTCACTGAATATTTAGTTTATTGCGTTTGTGTTTTGTTTTCTTTGGCAAAATCTATGTTAGGAATGGGTAGCGGTGTTCGTTTCTTTTGCCATAACATTTTATTCCTTCGCACTATGTGAGGCGAAGGTTCCTCGGTCAGCGCTGTAGAGTTTCGTTGTTGTGAAATTTCCTTGGTAAACCAAAAACTAACTTTTAAAGAAAGAATCATCTGTATCACGAGGCACGATGATTTTTCAACTAGAAGTCATCGGGAAGTTTCACTGCAAGTTGCTCCTTTTCTCAGAGATTGCAAAGGCAAAAGCTATCGTCGCGGTTGTTGGGCCGGCCAAACCGAACGGGAAACGAGTGAGTTTATAGTCATCTGATTCAAGTTCATCTCAAATAGGGATTTTAATAGAGAAAAAATTCTTTAGTTTTAAGTGCAGCATTGCCATAAGACCCATTCCGCTCAAAGATGATAACTGACATCAGTATTTTAAATGATTATTTCATTTGCATCGACTTTCACACGTCACTTGGATTCGCTACTATATTTGTGTTTCGTTATTTATCTCGTTGCAGTGCTGTGATCACAATGAAATTGCTACTGTTGCTACTTTTAGTTTCTTGAGGGCAGGGGGAGTTGATGACTCGTGGGATGGATTTTCGGAATTCTATATTAGGAGAATACATTGCCCTTTCGAGCTTGTGTTTATGCCAGTATCCGCCGGAGGTTTCGCACTGCCGTTCACGCAACGGGATATTAGCCAGGAAAGCTCAGGAAAGGGCTCGAACTTCATCGCAAATGATGCATTTCTGTTATTATAATATCATGGAAACTACCATTGGTAGGATTTTCTTACAATGAGAAAAGTGCAAATACAGTCATGTGGAAAGACGAGGAGTGTGAGTACATCTCAAACTGCGCGTGAAATAAGCAACAATAAGAAGCTCACAATTCTTCACTTGCGAAATGTCAGCCGAAAAAAGTTTTGAACAATCGTGTGCGGTGTGGGAACGGGCCTTAATCAGCATTCTTTTTAGCTGAATTATTTGGTTATCTTCCCCTGAATTGACTAGTGGTATGTGTTCGTAACAGGCGTCTTCGAAGCCGGTACGGAGCATAAGGCTGACGACATTGAAGAGTAAAGTCTCCTCGATGTCGACAATCGAGACGCGTCTATTTTGGCCATACAGCTACGTCCTTTGGAAAGTGGTAAATAGGAATACCCGTTATACGAATATTATTCTTGTAGCTAACATCATTTGGCGCTCCGGCCACGCAATACGTTCGTCTTTTCTTCTAGATTTCTCCTTTCTCCACCATAGTTGACGTAGAAAACTGCGAAGACACGTCGGCACAGCAATGTAACATGGTCGTTTTGGCCGCGCGCTTATGGGGACGCTTTTTGGCCGCCAAATCGTACTTTCGATGCTCAAAAAAGTGAACATGTAGAACTCGCTAGGCGCCAAGGACGGTTATTTCTACTTTTAAATTCATCTATCAACCAGAAAATACAAAAAAAAAATTCGTGTCACAGGTACTTGAATACAAAAATAGATAACGCTGACCTCATATTATGTGCCTTTTCATATGAGGAAGAGGTGACAGTCGCCTGCAGTTTCTTTCCTATTTTTTTTGGAAAGAAAGAAAGCTGGGGGCTGTATTATGGCATTCTGAGTCATTTTTGGCGGCGCCGAAAATTATCTCCTATTTGATACAAATGAAATAATTAAGTTTGGTAGAATTGAAGAAGAAAAACAAAAAAGCGAAGAGGCCAATGCAAACCAAGAGGGAAGAAACAAGGATGATTTGGAATGGAACAGAGGGCTCCATTTTTCGAGATACAAAAAAAAACGTCTGCTACCGGAAATTACATATTTATTTGCACTTATATTTATTGCTACATTTTCAGGGCGGGACACAAAAATATCCAAAGGTAACTCTCAAGATCCCGTTTACGTTTCACGTAATCACAACAGACACTCAGAATAGACGTTAACATCATCAATAGCCAATGAGCACTTAAAGCGCTTACAGGCAAACTACTTGAAGCGCGGGAAAACGCGGGTGACCCAGTCGCGACTGGTTTTCATCTTACATCTGATTGGTTGAAAAGGAGGCAATAGCAGATTACTTTTGCCGCTCAATGTTGAAATTTTTTCTAATCAAAGCACGACACAATAACCCCGGCCATGGCTGATAACAAATTGAGACTCGATCTGTGGTCAGGGTAGCACACAGGCAACTCTCAAAAAAAAAAAGCCAAAATTTAATTAAAAAGTTCTCCTTCAAATTTTAAAATGTGATAACTTTCATTGCGCGTTTTTGTTTCTCACCCTTCAATTCATAAAATGGTGTCCAATTCAAACATTTTCCCATTTTAGGATAATTCACAATGTTGCAGATGTTTTCATGGCACCCCAGGAAACCCAGGGACTTCAGGAAATCCAGGAATACTAGGCCAGCACGGCGCCCCAGGACAGCAGGGAGCTCGAGGGGAGCCTGGTGCGATTGGAGCACCTGGTCTGCCCGGCAGTTCAGCGGCATCAAACTGGAAACAATGCGCATGGAAGAACGACAATAGCGAAGTAGACGACAGCAAAATATCTGTAAGTATGTTTTTTTGGTATGTCATTTGTATTCCGGCTTCGTGCGCTATTAGAAACTCTGAAATGATCATTGAGTGAAGAAGACTAGCGGTTTGATTGTTGAAATGTTGCGATCTTCACGTGATAGCTGGTTTTCAACTGATGGTAACTTTACATTGTGAGGGAAACTATTAAACATTACTCATCATCACATGCGTAATAAACAATTTTTTGAGAACATGATGCGACTTACGTGTCTATCTCCTCTCTCTGATTTTTCAGGAGTGCTCAATTATAAATAAATAGGAAAAACACATCTCAAAGTCTATTACCAAGGAAATATGAAAGTCATGAGCGCTCGAACCTGCAACCGCTGGTTCTTCACTGTTAACGGTGTAGAATGCTCCATGCCAATCGACACAGCAGTTTACTATGGAGGCGCGTGGAACATTATCCGCGCGGCTACCATTGGGCTACTGCTCAGGGGTCCCAAAGGGCCATGTAATAGTAGGGCTAAACGTGGGTTCCTGAGCTGGATACAAACAAGCGGACGCCTTCACTGGCTGGAACTCCGTGAGTAGGATCATCGTGGAAGAAGTGGAGACGCCCTTCTAAGGACCATTAGAATCCTTACGAGTGTCTTAATTCAAAAGCTTTCAGTAGTATTTTACATTGTAAGCTTTTCATTTAGCGAGTAAGAAATAAATTGCGGTATGTTAAAGAATAAAAGTAGAGCATTGCGAGTCTGCTAGGGCAATGGTGATCTCGTTCCCAGATCTCTCACTTACGAAGTATTCAAGAAGAGAACTAGGTATACTTCCCAGTAAAAGCCTAACAGAACCAATTTTGTACCAACGAGCACAATACTTTCCAATGGTCGCATTCTCTGTCAGAAAGCGGAACAGAACTGGATAGAGACAAATGCTGTTGTTATGATAGTCTAACTATAATCACACGCCACAGACGCGCTCTTGTTTTACCTGTCATTTCCCACCTCACTTAGCCACTCACTCCTTTTTATTTGGATCAAGCAACGCTCTAGCATCAAGTAACGACGTACCTACTAACGCAAACACGTTAATTGCGCAATACTGGGATATGAAAGTCGAACGCCTTGCTCGGGGTATACACTCATTACCGTCTCTCAGGTTTGAATTACATAGGGACAGCCAACCTCTTTTCTTTACTGAATAGTTTTTTCCTTTACGAACTTTCTGGCGAAAGCAAATTCCCACCCCTATCCCACCCCCAACCGACAACCTACAAGCCATCCTGTGAGTTGTCGTATCCCAGTTGACAAGAAACGGAAATCACCCGACTTTTAAAAAAACATTTTTTACAATTATATCATCTTATTAAACGTTCAACGACAGTTTCCTTTACAAATCTTCACCACTCCCTTTGAGGGAAAGTATCATAATATGGACGAGTGAAAACAGTTTATGGAAAACGGGCTGAGTAAAATAACGGAAATCACCCGACTTTTAAAAAAACATTTTTTACAATTATATCATCTTATTAAACGTTCAACGACAGTTTCCTTTACAAATCTTTACCATTCCCTTTGAGGGAAAGTATCATAATATGGACGAGTGAAAACAGTTTATGGAAAACGGGCTGAGTAAAATATGTAAAGCACACAGAAATGAATAGGGTAGTTTTGTTATTTGTGTTTATGTTTTCTAGTTGGGATTTTTTTGTTTTCGGTTCATAATTCTAGTACGTCGAAAAAGCCGCGCAACTGTCTCCCTTCTATGATGACAGCTTTCAACTATTTCCGGTTCTCCGGTTGGTTTGTATTCAGTCCATGGCACACAAAACCTCTTCATAATAATCCCTAAACTTGGGAGGCAGGAGGTCAAAGTCTTCGCTCACGTACATCCCAGTTTTCGTCACACATCTACTATCCTCAGCTAAATCAAAACCATAAAAGACACAAAATTAGTTGAGAGCCAAAAGTCAGTTTCAGCTTGTACGAAAAAAAAAGATGCTGAAAGCCGAAATGACAAAAGAAACGTTTGAAGGATGTGCAAGGTAAAATACAAAACATCAGGGCGGGAAACGACAGGAGTTGTCTTTCGCGTAACACATTTTTGGCGGGAAAACAACGGGAGCTATCTTTCGCGTCGCACATGTTGGCGGGAAAACAACGGAAACTACCTTTCGCGTAACACATTTTGGGCGGGAAAACAACGGGAACTATCTTTCGCGTAACACAATTTTGGTGGGAAAACAACGGGAACTATCTTTCGCGTCGCACATTTTGGCGGTAAAACAACGGGGAGGTTTCAAATAACTAATAGCTACAAATCCGTTTAATGAATGTTGCACGTTTACAGTCAGGGGTCTCAAGGATTTATGACACGTACAATCAATCATGGCTTGAAATTAACAAGAGCAACATCTACGACGGGCGTAGCACATCATATATCAAACTGGGAACACTAAGACAAAAACGGAAAATGAGACATTACATGTATGTGAGTATGCTACAACTGACAAGGTCCTCAGGTTTAGGCGGCTCATTGTTGCAGTTAAAAATACTATTAGTAAAGATGGTGTTCTCCTCACTTTTATGTTCCCTCCATAAGCTTTCTGATGCGAAGATCGTCTCAATTTCTCGTTTATGCCGGTTCAGTATCTGTGTCTGAAATAAAGAAAGAAAACACTACTGGCAAAGGAGAAAATAACGACCTTGTGGAGTTTATTTTCAACAAAAACGTAATGAAACTCAACGGAATAGAAAGCACAGTAGCTTTTATAGGCCTCAACAGAACGCAGTCCTACCTTAAGCCTGCTGAACTTGTTCAAAATCTTGTCCACCTCTAGCTTAATGGATATATTCGGCTCCTTTTCTACACTAAGCTGTAATGAATTGATCAAAGTTGTTGTTTTTTTAATTCTTGTTCTTGAAAAATACTGTGTATTTAACAGGAGTAGCTAATATTAAATTTTAAACTCCGAATATTGCATTTCTAGTGTTCTGATTGGTTCACTCCACGCCGGTTACCAGCTCATATTCCGAGTCACCTTATAAGGAAATGCACTGTGCAAACTGTTGCGGGGCTGGAAAAGGCTTTAAATACCCAAACGTCCAGAATTTAAAGAAATTTATAAAACAATTTTTTTCATTCGCGCCTGTTGGATACGAGATAGGTTACAACCAACTCGGCGACTGTTTATCATCTAATCAGGGAAAAATCTTTATTTATTCAAGAGAAACCGAAGCCAAAACCGAAGCTGTGTAGATTGAAGCAGTTTTCCCCTACAAAACCCACCACTCAACGAGTTTTCGACGGGTGCATTTAAAAATGGCGACGCGGTGCAATTTTTCCAACATAAATTATACTAACCAACGCGTTTACCTGTACAGGTACAGTGGGCTAGGCTGTCTATAATTCTTCTCTTGCACTCCCATAAATTTTGTATGAAAGAAAGTAAACAGTGCATAAACAGTACCTTTATTCCAGGAGCTCGCATCTGTGATGAGATCACCGTACAGGCACTGAACGGTATTTGATATCCAGCTGATTTACGAGCAACGCCTCCATACAGCCGGACCAACTCTTGCTCTAAAGTCATGCGTAGCTTGACCTAATAAACAGAAGAACCAAAACAAGTACACTTAACAAATTCAGTTGTGCCAATCAGTGCAAAGGAACAAAGCAAGCAAAGATGATAAAGAGTTTAAACATTATCAGTCATCGCACTGGACAGTTTGTGTCAGTGGCCAAGCAAAAGCAGTTCTTTTGTAACCCTTGCAATGAAAAAATGGAAAAGACAAAGTCTAGCGGTCAACTTACCTTTTCCGTGTCATGTTGAGACATAAGCCTTGCCAAACGGTTTCCCTCTGTTGAATCATCCATGATCTGCATGGACAAAATAAAAAATGGAATGATGCTGATGACAATTATTATAATGATTATGATTACGAGTACCTTCACTGGGGAATATACCTGCACTGGGACCCTTACTACTAATGGGGATAACTTGTGCTGAACTACCATTCAAACCAGTCGGATCCAATCCTTCTTGCTTCATGCAGTAGAGGCCAGGATAAGTTCTGTCATGTATATACAAATAACATATACCACAAAAGTGAATAGTGCATTTTGCAGATTCTGGTTGGCTAGTTTGGAAGTGAATAACAAGTACTATTCACCTCTGAGCAACCAGTGAGACAAACTTTCCGACCATTTTTTGGTATATTAAAAGATATCAACCAATTTTTGGGTATCTGTAGAGTATATACTAAAACAATTATTCACTTCATTGCTGGTGCAAGTGGTAGATATTTATCTTGCCTCTTTGCAACTTGGTAAACATCCACCATTATTTACCTCCACTTTAGTAAATAATTGTTAGCTACTAAGTCTTATGTGCAGACTGAAAGATGTGTAGCAAAATGTGACCTACCCTATCTGAAAAAGATTTTGATCCATTGCCTTTGCTGTTTATAAGGAAATCATCAAAACCTGGGACACTCAAATGTAAGGTGGACATGTTGTATCGGTATTTAGGTAGGTCTGACCTCCAGGAGGAATTTTGAATGTGGCTTGTACATTCCTCTTTGGTCTGACTGCAGTGGCTGTTGGTTACATCCAAGGACCTTGATACCTTCTTCTTTCTGATAGACCGTGTTCCTTTCTCTGCCGTGGCTCCATCCTTCTTCCTCTCACTTCTTGTCTTCATTTTTGTGAAATTGGCATTTGGTTGCTGATCAACAACATCCCTCTCAGTTTCTTCAGCACTTACTTCTTGACGAGGTAAAACTTGCTCATCTTCTTTAGGCTCAGGTGTTTTTTCTTCTTTGTGGTAATTGTTACTGTAAAGCTTTGAGGCAAGATCTACAGAGGCAAGTTTCTGTGGAGAGTCCACATCAGAAAATCCGTTTAACAACCCCTTACTGTTCAAAGATTTATCTGTTTTTGATTCATGTCCTCCATTTGTTTTTGACTCTCTTTCATCAAATGGTACTTCAACATCTAACTTTTGGCTGGTTTCTAGGTATGAAGAGATCTCAGTCATTGCCTTATCAAGACACTCATTCAATTTCTCTGGTATAACTGTGTCCTCCTCATATTCTGATGTCACAGGCAGACCAAGTTTTTTGGTTGTCAACTGTTTAATATTCATCAGGCCAGGATCAACAGCAATGGGTGGCTCCATCTCTTGAGGACAAGCCTCTTCATTTATGCCTAAATGAGGATTTAGAGTTTCAAAATCACAACACTGATTAATTTTGTCAGCATCTACACCTTGGACAATTTTTCTGACTTGCACCTCTTGTGCAACAACAGCGTGGCAAAGAGGCCTCTGAAAATGCCAACCTGCATAATCACTTTCAACTGGCAAATTTTCATTCCTTCCTGCACCTTCTTTTGATGGCAATCTCCTACAAGCTGCTTCTCTTTCATCGATGCAATGGTAAGTATTTCCAGGAAAGTCATAATATGCTGGAAATTGCTGAGTATAGAAATTTTGTTTATCACCACAGTTTCCCCTATTGACTCCAAAGGTGTCTTGTGGAGTTATGTACAGCTCCATTTCCACATCTTTTGGATTCGGAACTGAAGCACTTTGGGACAACAGCACTTTAGAGTCTTGCATTTCCATCTCATCAACTAATACATCCTCTCCATTGTTTCTTTGAGTGTAAGGATTATTCAATCCATTGATTTTGATTTCTGGTATACTGAAGTTAGGATCCCTGTGTTGTGCATAGGCAATATTTTCTTGGAACTCCACAGAGTATACATCTCTGTTTCTTTCTTCTGGATTCAGCAAGTAGCGAACTTCTTCAGATCTTGCTAAGGTGAATGTATTGTAATTTTGAGATGTTTGGAGCATAGGATCTGCCCCATTCTCCAAAAGATACTTAACCACCTGTAAAACAAAGCAAATTAAAATAAAAAATAAGTTCATTCTCATACATAATTAAACTCACTGTCTCCACATTTTTGCCACAACTTGCCAGAGCACAATCAGAAGCCTATTTACATGTACATGAATGCTGCTCTGTCAGGTGGATGATAAACAACAAAGCGTTAGCCATTCTCAATCCAAGGTCATTTGTGGAAAATTTCTTGGTTAATGGCTGCTAAAATTACTGAAAATGTTATATCGTTTACAGACATTGACGTTCAAAATTTCTTCAAAGCAGAAGAAAACCAAAATACAAAAAGAAAAATTGCAAGTTACTCGACTTTGGGAATGGAAGTTTTCATCACTGAGAAGAAAGTCAACAACTGGAAGATTTGCCAAATGTCAATTTTGGCTGTGTACCTGAGGAGAGGTTTCTACTGTTGGTACCTAAAAATTCAATAATGGAGAATTCTGTGAATTGAAAGTCATGCCCATTGTTTGTTCTTGTTGTAATTCGACGTATTTTTTCATCTTGAGCCATATCGCCAAAGCACTTTATGATTTTTTTTTTGATGGTGGACCCTTCCTTTTTTTCATTCATTAATAAAGTTGACTTTTAATGTCAGTAAGGGCTTATAGTGTTTATATGATAAACAAAATAATACATGGTTGTTTGTAGATATGGAATTTCTCTTCAAGTGTTTGCCCCCATAATTCACAAGTAAGATATGGAAGCAAACACTCAAAGAGAAATTCCATATCTACCTGCGTCCATGTATTATTCTTTATTTCTCAGAGTACAAACCTCCACATGGTCGTTAATTACAGCATCGTGCAATGGTGTAATAGCTGTGTAACCTGGACTGTTCACTTCTGCACCGCTCTGGACTAATTCCTGGACAATACTTAGGTTACCACAGTTACAAGCTTCATGGAGGGGTGTCCACCCTTAAAAAACAATAACAATGCTTAACTTTGTGCATGTACCAAACCATAATCAGACCACAGTCCCCTCATTCCTGTAGCAGTCCTCCTGGTCAGATATGGAAATCAAATAGCCAATTTCCAAGTCGCCAAACAAGTTTTTCTCTATGTAGATAGAACAGGTAAGCTGAAACTCACAATCTGTCTTATTCTGTTTATTCTGTTTAATGTCCAAAGTCTTAGGTCAGTGAATAGAACAAGAAAAGTTGGAAATTTGCACTTTTTCATGGAATAACAATACTATCTATTTTGGCAAAACTTTTTCCATTTGACAACTGAGCGTGAAGCTTTTGAACTCAATTCACCAGCTCAGCTGTTAAAATCTCACCAGCATTATCCTTGGCATTTACCAATGCTCCAGCTTTTATCAAGGCAACAACATCCTCCAAGTCTCCTCTTATTGCTGCAACATGCAATGCTGTTTCTCCACGCACATTCCTCTTTCGTATCCGTATCTCAATTTGATTTTCCTTGCTCACATCTTTCTTAGCATTTGTCCTGTTGTAAAGAATTGGCAGCTCATCACTGCTGTTGCTACCAGTTTCAAAATCTTGTTTTGCTTCTCTGGCTGTTACTTCGAGGAGATATTGCAACTGTTGACGTTCTGTCAATGGAAAATTAGGTCTAGAGCTGTCTGTAGGAAGTGAGATTATAGGAGAAGTCTTTGGAGTCTTTGTTGTAGCCTGTCTTCTTGCTGTTAACAAAAATAGTTCAAAAAAGCTGAGTCAAATGCTTTCCAAACTTCAATAATAAGCACCCTCAAAGAAGCACCCACCCCCAAGGCCATAATGGCAAACAAGTGCCTGCCCTCGAATAAGCACCCCCTTCCTCCCTCATTTTCTTATACATACATACATTTTATTACTCAGTATTTGCAATTTTTTGTGCATCCACAGTTAGCTTGAGTGCTATTCTAGGTGAGTTGCATGTTAGACGTAAAACCGTTATACAAGTGTCCATAAATTACTTATGATCTAATAATTTTGTCTATAGGACAAATTCACTATTACAGAATATATAAATTTACAATATCATATCAGGATTAGAAGTACAAATTTACCTAAGGACTAACTAAGGATATAACATGTTGGCAGCTAAAAAACATGCTACAATTAGTTAAAACATTTCAGAAAAGCTTGACCTTTTGACTGATTTGTCAAGTGTCAATATATGAGTCTTCTAAAATGAGAATGTCAAAGAGTTTTATTGCCTTTTTGAACTCATTTCAAATCAGTACAAGAGAATAGCTTTTTTTCCCTTCTTGTTTTGTCTATCTCCATATGCTTGCAGAGGTCCTTAACATATATCATCAGTTCTCTTTTATTTTTATCCTAACTTAAAAAGCACCCCCCCTCCTTTTTAGTGCCCAAGAGCTATTTGAGGAAATACAATAACTTAGTTTTTTTTGCAATTTTTTTTTCACAAAAAAATTGTTTGGTGAAAAAATGGCACTCCATTAATTAGTTACACTGGCAGTATTAGAAAATCAATTAACTAGCATAATGTACCTTTGTTCACAGGAGAATTTTGGCCACTTTGCATAAAAAGTTTTCGTTTTGAAACAAGTTTTCCTGATTTCTTTTTGTAGGAGTTTATGGGATCCTGAAAATAGAAATACACCAAATAATTCATTTTACTACAAGTCAAATAATACAATCAATAAGACTGCATGGAATATGCCAAAGACCTGGAGAGAAAAGGTGCCACACATCAGTGTTTTCCAACAGAGAGAGCTTATTGCTTGCCACAAGAAAACAGAACAATCCTTATACCAAGAGAAAATTCATAGAAACAATTCATTTAAGAAAAATAAAACAAGTCATCATTGTAAATTTCCAAAGTCACAATTTTTTTTATCAATAGAGCGATAAACCTTGTTCTTCTATACTTTATATACTTATACTATACTCAATTTTCACTTGTTTCCTAGGAAATGAAAGTAAATTTAAAATATATTGTTCCTTTTAATAAAGAAATGTTTACCCCCAAAGATTTGGAACATGATTTTTCATGTAAAACAATGAGTAATTTATTTTGAAAAATAAACAAAAGAAAGCTTTACATGGAACCAGCTGTTGCATATAAACGTTTCAAAAATTTCATTGTTTGGGGCTTTTTTTCTACTTCCGTGACAAAATGCAAAACACTGTTCATTGCCTTCGAAATTTAGGCTTCTTAAATGAACACGAAATTATCTAATAATTTAATTTTATTAAGGGAATCTTCCTAAAAGGTAGATTACAAAATAACCTAAATGACTTTGGGAATAGTTTTAAGGCCATGACCGCCAATTGAGCATGTTAAAATTTATCATCTTAGCACTTATAGGTTAATATACCGCGTAAACACACATAAGCTTACTTTGAACGGAGTGTTTGGTTCTAGCTCTGAGTCAATCGCGTCCTGAGGCGTGATGTGCAAAGGTCCTGATTCTGTCAAAATCGTGTTACTGGGTGTACTCGGAGAAGTTGGGATTCCTATTAAACATTTGGAAAATTGATTCCTCTGAGCGGCCATGTTATAGCGCTGAAAGGAAATAATCAATTGGATAAATTGCGAGCACATATAAAACTGTTCATCCCAGATAACAGCTGTGAACTAACAAAAAGCATAGTATAAGTTTCTTTTTCACTATAAGTTTGGAAGACATTAAACGTGAGCCATTTCTTCAATTAATGAAGCGAGGGCATTACAGAGCTGTATCTTTGAATCGAAATACTGAATCTTTGAAGATTAAGTTGCTTAGGGTTAGGGTTTAAAGTTCAACAGCAATCGCTAGTACAGAAGCGTAAGCGTACACTCGACAGCGCGGAACTAAATAAATAAGCTTACAGAACGGTTTTGCCATTTGACAAATGTCTGGCAAAACATCATGAGACTTTCTGTTCACCACCCGTTCGCAATCGAAAATTATGCAAGACTGCTGTAAACAAGACGCGCTATTGAAACTGAACCTATTCGCTATCAACCAAAGATGCGTTCAGACATGAATCACTCCACGTAACGAATAAAAATACTCTCCGAAATATAATCATTACCTGATGGATTGTGCATGAATCCGTCTTCCTTTTAATTTCGCGTCTCCTGGCAGCTTCACAGCTAAAAATGTATAATAAGTTGATGATTGACTAAGAAACTCGCTTTCGCTCTGTTGTTCTTTGTTCCTTTCAAGATTATGATTCCCGCCAAAAGGACACATACGGGAATGTTATTCGATGTTTCTGCTGACCAGTGTGAAGCCGGTTCATTGTTAATCGTAAGTCCGCACTGGACATAAAGAAGTGGTTGACGGACAACAAAAGAGCCTCGAATCAATATCCCACAAAACTGCTAAAGTCGAGTACTCGTAGAATTTTTTTGTCGAAATCCTCAAGCACATTTCTACAAATTGTATAAAAATTATTGATATCTCGAGAATATCTCTTGTTTCTGACAAAATTTTAAATAACAAATAGATAAATAAACAGGACCCCTTTTTTTTTCTTCAGGGAGTTGGAACAGTATGTAACAGATCGTCTATGAATTAAGACGTAAAAAGAACTGTCATAACAACATAGAGTAGTTACTTCTGATGGTTTATCGGCTGGCATCTTCGCGATAATTCTGACAAAGAAATGAGTAACTCAGGAAGAATCTGTCTTAGAAGACAGCGCTGAGCAGGAAATTAGCTAAAAATGGTAGACACGTCTCTAAATATTCATTAATTTTCTAGACAACTTAGCACTCTCTAATTTTTAATAGAAAACTCTCAAATAACCTTCAAAATATCCGGATGTTTGTGAAGAGGCTTGAAAACAAATATTTTGGACGTGGTCATTAGGTGACAGAAAAATATCATTAATTCCTAATCGTGATCGCGTGTTCTCGTTGACTTCAGCAACAGACTCCCAATATACAACGGGGATAATTAAAAAACCCAACTTGGAAAAGCTGCGAATGACTTTTTCGGAGCTGTGCGGATTGGAAGCTCCTGGAAGCACCTTTTCTATATATATTGACTAATAGAAACTTGTCAAAATCGTTAGAATGTTGAAATTTTTACGTCGTGAAGATTGCCGGAAATGTGTTCCACGTTTACGCAAAATGAAGGCGGTACACATCCACTCACTGACCGCAGGAAATATCAATTTTTCCTGGGAGGTGGAAGTGACTGTTTAACAGCCCAAGAAAATCAAAGCTTGTCCAAATATGTAAAATTCTAGTTTCCAGAAAATTTCAGTCATTATCATGAAATATTTTAAAGGTAATGAATCGCAAATTAAAAGCAATTAGAAAGCCTCTGTCACGCATGCCGCTGGAAAATAAATATTTAAAAATCATCGTGTTATTTGCGTCACGCAACATAAGATTGAAATTTTAGCCACGTGCTAAAATTCTTTCGGATGAATTGGAGTTTTCTTTGGCTAATTTTTATGCTAAGTTCACTGTTATCAAGTTGCTGAATATTTGTGGCTTTATCAGGAACGGTCCCGAATTGTTTGATAATTTCATGCGTGTTAATTTTGGATTGTATGACCAACAATTAACATATTATCAAGTGACGTCACTCCATTGTGATACTTAATCGGAGGTGTTGGTTCGGTTCGCATCAGTCAGTAATCGCACGTGAATCTTCGTGGTACCGTAATTTTTTCCCTATTATCACTTTGATACGCACCATGGCGGCCATCGATAAAGATGCGATCTCTAAGTCTTACCTCGATGTTCGGGACGATAAATCTGAAACAAACTGGTGAGTTGAAATGAATTCAAACGTTTTGTTTCTAGAAACCAAACCAGCCGGTAAAACAAATATCTTGTTGCAAGGCTACGGTAGTTTATTCTATTCATTATTAGACAGATCGGCAATGCGGCTAGGTGCTTCAAAGTGATAAGAAAAAAACGATTATTTCCTCTCGCACTTTGCCATTTTACTTCTAATGTTTGAATGGGCGATATTTTTCAAAAAGGGAATAGTGAGAGTGACATCTGAGAGCATCTTTGTCTGGGCAGGTCTTACATTACTTATGTCGAAATTTCCGCTTAAAAGATTAACACATCGACTTCGTGATTACGGAAATAACTCATCGATATTCGCTATAGAGTTGACAGATGAATATCTTATGATCAGTGGATTAATATCGCTTTTGTGAGCAAATTGTTGAAGCACGCTCGAAATTTTTTTGTAGAAATATTTAACTTCCAAAGTGCATTATAAACTTCAAAATTATTTATTTAGAGGCAGCCGTGTTTGTCTTTCACACTTCCTGGGAGGGAGTATCTATATCAGGCTATTTAAGGAGATTTTGAAGCTAGGCGTTATCCGGGATTGCTAAAAATTTCGAGAACGTAAACTTAAAGGTTATATTACCCGAGCCGATTTTTAACGGCAAGACGCGGTTGCCGACTCTTGAAGAAAGTTGCAACGAAAGTTGAATTTTAATTAAACTCGTTCAACACGAGCTAAAACCGGCTTCCCTAATCGCCTCGTGTAGCGCGTGGCTGGATTGGTAAAGAAAAATCCAGGGGACGCCCCCTTTATACAGAGGAGTGTCAAGGAAACACAGTCAGACGCCCTCCAATTTTATACACAGAAATAAATGTAATGGAGAAAAAACATTCCAGGAAACGCATTTGAAGCAACAAAGAAAGCAAAAGGAAGATGAACTTTGTTCATTTGACCGTTACTAGAGTGGATTTCAAGATCGATAGTGACAAATTTAAGAATTTGTGGGACATTTTCCTCGAACACTTCGATCAAGCCGGATCGTCCGTCACATAGTAGAACAAATCCATTAACGTATGAAATATATGAACATAATGCATCCTCGAAACTTCGGTGGAAAATGATAAAAATCGAATAATCACAAAAATGAAAAAATTACGCAACGTGAAGAGAGCGAGAGGTTACGTAAACACATGTTCGAGAGGAATAAAGACAGATCCCGTCGTCTCATGATTCTAAATTTTTTTAAGACTTGGTTTGAAAAATTGAGGCCTGAGAAAAATAAATCGCTTCAGATGAGTTCATGATTTTCCAATCCTTCTAACATTTCCTGTCTCCAAATAAATGTGGCGTCATTAGGATTACTAAACTCCTTCGCGACCATATGTCACGCAACGCTTGATTTGAGGGCCGGGAAGCGTAACGAGCGACCAGGCGTCATTTTTAATCAGCGGGAGCGCAAGAGAGTCTAACGGTACTTCGCACTCTCTCCGTCGGAAAAAAAACCGTCTAGTCACTGTTTTTGCGCTTCTACCCCTCCCATCAAGGTAGCGTTGTGCGGCCTCTCAAAGAACGTCAACGAGGTAGCCATAGAACGTAACGGGCAGATTTAGTCTACGTGTAGTCGTACCCTCCCCTTGCGGGGGAAGGGTAAGACTACACACAGGCTAAGGTAGATTTCTCTAGAGTGGTGTTATATTATTCAAGATAGCTCCTTTCGGATGTTAAATTTCTATACCGTATCAACTCAATGGGTTACATTTTAATAGACCCTCTGGTGGCGTCCCACGACGCGGGACTAGTCAATATTTTGTTACTTGCTTGTTACTTCTGTTCACTTGTTTTAATATGAAATCATCAAGTGAACAAATCCCGTCGACAACCTAACCATTTTTCAAGTTCCGTCACTATGTTACCAGCTACTGCTGTTACAGGGAAGAGTCAGTACTATCAATGCAAACTAGAACCACTACTTGGAACTTACCGGGGCCCAGTGGGACACGGGATTGCATAAATATAGTTAATCTCTCGCACCGCTCCCCCCTCTTCTGTGGAGGCTAATACTGACGTAATTCACAATCAGAGACAAAAAACTCTTAAAGTCGCTTCAGTGTTATTATTCCTCCATATTTTAAGTACCAAATCGTGGCTCGAATGCTACTTTAGCCTGTTAAATTTGCGAATGTGAAACCGTCTGCATTTTATGACCGGTGCCAGCCTTCGGCTGGGCCCCGGTAAATATATGGTTGAAAAAGCATCTCTTGACCCCAAACGTTTGCAATGAACTCTGTGCCAAACAGCTATCTGGAGAATTGATCTAACGGGAAAAGATAGGCTCATAGTAGATCGAGTTCGCCTTTCCTCACTTGCTCTTTGTCGTGGCAAGATTTCCTCCTAAACAAAAGAGGTTGCGACATGGTACGAACTGAAAAAAGAGGCAAGGTTTCCATCTCGTCCCCACTATCTCGCCGACAAAATATTCTAATACGAAGGAACTGTTATTATTTTCCATCATTTAGTTATTGTCTTGTCTAATTATAAACAAAAATAAGGAGGATGCGGGGTTTTTGCGGGTGTAAATTTCGTTGTTTTATTTATGATTTCAGGGCTGTTTACAAATATAGTGACAAGACTATCGTACACGCCGCATCAGGAACTGACTACCAAGAATTCCGTTCACACTTTACCGGTGAGTTATATATTCTTACAGTGGTAGGTTCCAGCTTTCAACGGGGGGATGTTGTCTTATTTGGCACTTAAAAAGACATAACAGAGAGTAAGGAGAATTATTATACAGATCTTGAGATTTTTAGGATTTGGGGAGTCTAATAGAGAAACGAACTCACAGGGTGCGAGCGAGAGACTCGTTTGCACGCGAGGTCGCTTAGTGGCGAACGACGAGAAGAAGTTCGACGTAGCCACTTATTTTCGGCACGAAATTGTGAGGTACAGGGGAAGGGCATTAGTCATGGCTTCATGGCTCACTCGTATCCGGCGTAGCAGGCAATTTGTTGAGCTCACGCTTTTTCCGTCTCACACCCCTCTCGTCTTCGCCGCTTAAAGCCTCAAAGCGCACACGAAACTGCCGGCAACGAAGACTGACTCTCTCGTGGCTTAAACCTTTTTCGTTTTTCTTCCTTCAACGACGTAGAGCGTATATCTCGCGGTACATCATACACAAGTGCCTTACTAGCACTCGGAGACATGCCAGTTCCTTTTTTTTTTTCCTTTGTGATGATATATCATCTTTCTTTTTCGCAGAGAAACATTGAGGTCCCATGCACCTTAAGACTTCTCCCTTGTCTCGTACCCGGACCTTTCCCGGCTAAGCGGTTACAGTTACACGGTAGGATCTGGGTACGAGATTAACTTCCCCCCTCCTCAAAATAGATGACAACTTTGCTTCGTCTGAAAACATATAATTTGTCTTAACAGAGGGTGAACGCGTCTATGGGTATGTCCGCATCGAGACTGGCGACGAACTCAGCAAACGAGCCAAATTTGCTTTCATAACATGGATCGGTGAGGGCGTTGGAGCACTACAAAAGGCCAAAGTCAGTACTGATAAGGCTTCAGTTAAACAGGTTGTTCAGGTGAGATTTAAGCTAGAAAAATCTCATTTCTTCAAGGATCACCTATTTTCTATCGCCTTGGGGAGAGGGGCTGAGTATATTTGGGGGATCAGTACTTTCAGGGGGAACGAAGGGGGAACAGTCGTCGCCGATGAGTATAAAGGAGGGACTGTAAAAAAAAAAATTGACTGCCAGTGAGGGAGGGGGGTGGGGTGGGTGGGGTTGATCATAAGAATATTAAAGAGCCTTATGGGGGAATCACGTAAATTTTATTGTGACACAACAAAAATATTCTGATTCCCATATTTTGCTTTTGTTGCAGAGTTTTGCCGTGGAAATCTTGGCAAACGATCCAGAGGAACTCGATTTTGATCATGTAAAATCAGTTCTCGTCAAGGCTGGTGGAGCGAACTATGGTACTGGAAAGTAACTCTAGGCCAAAGTCCACAAGCAGAGAATTTTATATGGTTATCTTCCTTCGTTAGAATTGGTCATATTTCATTGACAGTAGCTAAATACCTCAAAATTTCATGTAACTACTTCTTATGTACCTCGATTTCCTGTGCTGTCTGGATCAGATGGATAAATGGAACTCTCTTTTGATTTAATTACTGGATTAACAGATCTTAATTGAAGTCTAGCCAGTTCGGCGAAATTTGATTGGTCTTAATGTACAGAAATGCCTTCGTTTCGAAGAAGAATAAAATCTCAGGTACTATTTGTTTAGAAGTATTGGTGTAACTCTTACTCGAGGGACTTTCACTTGAGTATCGAGATAAATCGCTCTGTGATTGGTTTAGGAAACTTGTGCAGCCACCCTCTTGACCAATCAAAGCGCTTCAAGTTGGTTGCGTATAACAGCTTGTGCCAGGCTCCCTGTTGATGAAGACAGACGAGAAAATGGGCGCACGAAAATGGCACCACGTGAACGCGGAGGTTGTGGTTACTTCTCGTTTTGCAATTTTCACGGCTCCTCGCTCTTATTTTAAATCCAATCTACCTTAGTTGAAGCCCATACTTACGCGACAGTGTTCCTTCTTTATGTTGGAAATTCGGTGAATGGGAATTTTTTTCGCATTGTAATCGCTACTAAACGAAGTTGACCGCAAAGATTTATTTGCTGGGTGATCACGAGCGGAATTTAAATTAAGAGTTACAGCATTTGGTCCGCCCAGTAGGTTAAGAAGATCTTAAATTCACGATCTATCGATATCTGTTTCATTCGAATGCAACAACGGTGTATCCTCGTTTCCTGGGAGGGACCTCTTGGATCGACCCATCCGTGTCTGCATAATGAGGAAATGAAGAAACACGTGGATTAGGAATCCAAGGTACATAGGTTCTCCTGCGTCGTGCAGCAACCTCAAACTCGTTCCTGTAATCTCACATCTGCAAATAATCAGATAAAATAATTTAAGGTTGAGTTCGTTTCATCAATCACAAGGGCACTTCTCTATTGAGTATCATAAGATTGCAAACCATGACACTAAAAACTGAAGAACAAGTCTGGAACGACACAATTTGTTTTTTACTGCAGAGAAGTTTTATCGAAAATAATGCATGAATTAACACATAAAACCGATCACATAGGTTTGACATAAGAAATGACATACCTTATTCTTTTATCAAGAGGACCAAAATATTGATCAACCAAACACGCTGCACAATTAGCCATGACTCCAAGCATCAGAGCAGGCACGAGAAAGTGGTTGATCTTCACATCTGGATTGTTTAAAGGTAAGGCGCGAGCATTCACGTGAAGAAACATGGCCATCAAGAAAGTAGCCGTGAGGCCGCGAACCGACAGTTCTGCGCATGCCCAATGGTAGCTGCGTAAATAATGTTGGCTGCTCGCCCAGAACTGAGCGAGAGCAGCATTGATCATCAAACTCGCAAAACCAACAGAACCCAGACAGCAAGCCTGGTAAACAGACAAGAAGACCAGTGCAAGAAATGATGAGTGAAAAAAAGTAATCACGTACATCCTCTCATACACCGTTTACTAACACTAGAATCTACTCCTCAAATGCATCATTGAAATGCACCAATACACTCTAGCACAATGTTAAAATGCATTTATAATTCTCCTCAATCTCCCTCCCTATTTTATCGCCATTAAATATGAGCGGTAATCTTAGCGATTCATTAATCATTAACTTACATTAATGTCATCACTCCTTTCAAAGATTTTTTCTCGGACCTGTGAGACACTGGTTATTTTTTTCGAAAACATCGCGAGAGATTAACGAAGAAACAGAGAAAAAATTAATCGAATGTCGAAAGTGATCTGGATTGCTTTATCGTGATTGGTCGAAGAAACTAGGGCCACCTTCTCAACCAATCAGATTCGAAACGAACACCAATCCCTGCTTGGTCACTCGAACTTCAAGCGATATGCCCTATTTCTTCTCTCATTAGCTCGTCGAGATGTTTTCGTTCATTCTGATTGGATGTTGTGATTACTTTGGTTTTGACTTTAAGGTCTTACAAGACTCAGTCTAAGAGGACTCTGCTCTCCAACGCCTGCATGAATGATTTGTATTCTCCAGGCTTCAGTGAAGTTCCAATTCCTTAGAATTCTTAAACCGGTGGCAAAATGGTGGTACTGTGTTTTTTCCGTGACCAAAATCTTTTCCTTCTCACTATTCTATCAACGGATTATCCTAATTCACATTATCAGTGCAGTACTCACCATGATTTTAACGCTCATTGACTCCTTGTCCTTCCTTTCGAAATCAAGCTTGTTCTTTAGCAAAAGAATCATCCCACATACAAAAATACAGAGGGCATTTAAGAAATTCGTTGCAACACGTATGTAGACAGGCAACTCAAGGTTGTGCACGTAATAAACAGCGCAGCTGAATGGAGCGAGAAAGCAGAAAAATCCCAGTAGATACCCAAGGTTTCTGTACCGGCGATCTGAATAGGTCATATTGTAGATTCTGAAGGCTGTTTCATTTTCTCTGCCGGCGTTAGCTGTCTCAGCACCACCTGTTTCGTTTTGAATTTGCATCGAATGCTCAAGGAATATGAAAGAACACAGGAGACGATAGTCGATGGTGAGCGCTTTGTACATTAATTCCAACACGACGAACCACTCGCCGTACGTAATCCTTGCTCTGATCAAAACCAAGTCACTTTCCACATTCACTAGGCAGTCTATCCATTGAACAAAGTTGAAAAATGCCAAGATCTTGAAATAAAACTGGGCATTTTCTCTGTAAGTTTCACGAATTCTTAAATTTCTTAACGAGATGTAAACTGCCGCCTGGATGGACTTTTGCACAATGAAAATTGCTTCGTAAGTCACAAGAAGGGGCCACAACTTACGTTGTTTTGAAGGCATCTCTTTCTCCGAAGCTTGGGCGCCTGACAGAAACATAAGCTCTGTCATAGTAAGGGGAAGGGTAATTATAATTACCAGAAGCCCTTTGGATGGTTCGTGTTCCCCCAAGGTGCGATGCGTTGAAGTCTCCGTCCCAGTTGGCTTCTGAAAGAAGCAAATCGCGCCTAGCAAGAAGAAAACAATCCCGACCGAAGAGGCGGACACAATGCGATGGTACAACATGATTGTCTTGTTATCGGACGTGTTGAACACATTCAAGGAGACCATAATAGCGCCGATGAGAAAGAGAATGATGGTAGCGTGGGAACTGAAAACTTTCCTTGCAGACTTAAAGCACACGCCTAACCCACTTATCAACAGAACGCAAAAATAGAAGCCGAATGAAAACGACGCTGTAATCACCTGAGAAGCGAAAGCGGTGGCGTTGAAATCATGCCTCGTATAATTGCCACAGTCGTGGTAGTTGAAATAGCAGTTTATGTGGCTCCAAGGAAGTTTATGTAGCTCCATCGCCACGTTACCGGATATGCAAACAGCAACAACAGCGAGTACGAATATGTTTCATGTGTATTAATGTCACCGTTTAAACCAAACGTAAATGAATCAGTTAATGTTTAAGAGTTGCTTTAAGACTTCCAGTTAATTAAAATAATGAAAAAACACATAGCTCGGATATCGCAATAAATGCCTTCATTTAGGACAGAAAAATAAAAAACAATTAGAATAAAGATATTTAATATCTACTTCGTACAACATATACTCCTACAGTCATTAAAACCTATGTACACGACTACTCTTTGTCGATAAATCGTCACTTTAACTCCCAGATCAAATTTGTCAATCTCCTTACTGTCAACAATACAATTATTATAATGTAAGTTCAGAGAATTTATTATTAGATGAACTAATTATCCCCAAATTGATATTTTTCTTTATTCTCATCGCTTATCTGGTTGATGTTGTATTGATATCGCAAGGAGAAATTCTGTCTTGGTTACTCATGGGAGTTAAAGGGTTAAAGCGCATACGACGTCATCGATAATTTAGAACAATTTATCTTTTTGAAATAAAAAACACGATTACTTAAGAGCAAACAAACAACTGAAAGAAAACAAACCAACAAAAAACAAAATTTACATGCAATAAAAGCGTGTATGATCTTTTTCCAAGATTTTTGATCCAAGGTTGTTTAAATTAGAATTATAATAATAATAATAATAATAATAATAATTATAATAATTATTATTATTATTATTATTACAAATATAATCTTTACGTAATTGGTATATTTTATTATCAAGCCGCAGAGAATAATAAAGTGGTCCCAGTCACCAATATCAAAAAATGCCTGACTTTTGCAAACTGACCTGGAAAAACATGAATGAAATAAAAACTGCTATGAAATATTTGCTCTGATTAAAAATATTTATTAAAAATATGTAAATACATCTCAAATTTGAAGCCATGTTGTATCATTGTTGTATTAAAACCTAATATAAAAAATATCAACCATATTCAAAAGAACACCATCGGGTTGAGTATTACAGAATATTTCGATAGAGGAAATTTGCCTCTGCTTGGGTACAATTGTGATGAGAAGCCTAATCTCGATTCTCTTACTTGCACCCGTTTGGGTTTCCGTAACCTAAAACACAAGTCAAATGAACACTCTCCATACATGGACATTCTTCATAATTGGCCAACCCGATGGCTATTCCTTATATTCTTCCTAGCTTCGATAACAAGTTTTAAAACAATTGAATTTTTACCGGAAAGCGAGGCCAGGAAAGCAGAATTTTATGAACATAAAAGAGCGATGATGAAGCCCGCCATTGTGAACGATGAGTACTCATGCAATCTAAAACTTAATTTCAACAATCTGTCATCCTTGTCACCGATACAGTAACATACGATCAGGCCTTTATTTTGAGCGCGGCAGGAAGCACCCGCAGCCGCAGCCGCGGAAGGTTAAAGACGAATTGGGGAGAGGTTTGTTGAGAGCTATGGTACTAATAATGATCAGTGCGAGATCCGATTCAGTCCTTTCGCCGGCTGGCGTTGCCTCTATACTTTTCGGCGGGCAAAGCAACGCCCGCGCTGAATCGCTTCTAATGAAAGCTTGCTCCCAGGCTTTGGATGTGGATGAAGGCGGGAAATAGACTTTCTAGTACACTTCCCAACTCTTTGGTTCTTTTGCTTTTTTCTTGGGTTTGAAAGTGAGGTCGTGCTGTTTGACTCGTTCTCGTGCCCGCTCTAGTTCAGCAATAGACAGAGGGTTTTCCAGTATGGTTCTTAGAAGCTTAGCAAAGAATGGTATGTACGACATAAAACCGATAAAGTCAATAAATCCTGCAAATACAAGGAAATCGAGTGTTATAACTTTCATAAGCAAAAAAATTTGTTGAAACTTGTTTTGGTTGTTTCCCTTAAAAAAAACGAGCGTAGGAAAGAAATTCTTTTGAAGCATTAACTTGAAGTAAGACACTTAACGTAAATATCTGCACATTAATTGAGGGACTAGTCTTTATTTTTCGCCTGAGGTGAGGGGGGGAGGATTTTAGGGGAGAATCACAATCACATGGTTTTCACGAACAGAGTATGTAGGGGGAATACCGAAAACCGAATGCCAATTAACTGCCAATGAGGGGAGGGGGGGAAGGTCACGAGAATATTACATAGCCATATAGGGGGGAGGGGGGAGGGGGGGAGGGAGGTCACAAGACTATTAAATAGCCTTATAGGGGGGATCAACTAAATTTTAACGTGACGCAACCAAATCCTCTAAACCTCATACCTCCCCCGCGATAAATACTGACCGCCCCTAACCACCAGAAATGTCCATAGCTCAAAAAAAAAACAAACAAACAAACAAAAAAACAAACAAACAAATAATGAAAAAAGATAACTGGATTCTTAAAGGGGATTATTAATAAGGCTTTTTTTGCAGTTCAAAATTGAAGGGGACCACAGTGCGAGAGGCTCCTTTTAAGAATTTTACATTTTACAAGAGATAATCCAGTCTAGGAGATGAACTTTGTTCGTTTGTCTCACGATAGAGTCACTTTTGATGTAGATCGCGACGTTTCGACTGCAATACTGCTGGTCTTCATCAGGCGATGAGGTCGATTGTTTACGTCTCACTATTTGTAGCACGTTGGTATGCTGTTATTAGTGCATTTCGATCCTCATTATTATTCCGGTTATTACATGGTGTTCCCTCATCGGTCCTCATAAATCGGCTGTTGTGTTGTTTGATCGTGGATACCCATAAATCGGCTGTTGTGTTGTATAATCAAACAACACAATCCCACGATGAACAGTAAGCATATATTTTATTACATAATCCAGTCTCTAACCCTAACCCTAGCCTTGCATGTATCAAGTTCTTTGCGCGGACTTACCAAACTCGTCACGTGCTCCTTCAAGCACCTCTTTGGCTGTCTGAAGGTCCGCCCCTATTTCTGTTTCCATGGCGGCAGAGACCATGACCAGAAGTTCGCCAGCATCCACCCTGTTATCGTCATCTTCATCGATGGTTTTGAACATTTCCTTCAGAAAAAAACAAATGATTACTTATAGAAACGAGTTAAAGTCGCTCGATTGATAGAGCCATGATAACAACAAGAAAAAAATTTAAGGCTTCAGACTTCAATCCCTGACATGTCAAATCGTAAAATTATAAAAAAGAAACTCTGTACTATTTCTTTCAAATGCACGCCAATCGAAGAAACACTAGTTTCGACCTTTTTCAACCGCTAAAAATGAGCATTTCTTGAATAAAGAGAAAACACAGAAACATTTTACAGGGATTCACTAGTCATAATCTGAAAATGTGCTGTTTTAGCCTTTTCACTTCTTTTAATTTTAAGGTACATGTATGGCCCTCGGAGAACCTCAGGGTGACTTTGCAAACCCCTGAAAAGACATCACTTTATTTACCTTGAATATAACAATATGTTGAGCCAAATTTTCCAGGTCCAAGGCCAAAGATGCGTCTTCTGATTCAGTCCTGCAAAAAAGAAAAAAAAGGGAAAAGTTTTGTCTGATGAGGAAACGATAAATAGAACATTTTCTTCAGTTGAGTGATAAATCAATACACGCCGCTTTGTATAGTTTTACTTTACTTTGCTCTGTGATTGGTCTAGAAAACTCGAGCCACCATCGAGCTCTTAACCAATCGGATGACAAACTCAAACAATTCGCGACTTCGTCACTCGCGTTTTCCCGCGCTACAAGCTCTGAGTTCCCATTGGCTATCGAGACGTTTACCTTTGTTTTAATTGGTCACTGTAAAAAACGTTACTTTTCAGTGGTTTTTCGACACCGGATTGAATATTGCTCCAAAGGTTTGAAGTTATGAAGTAAGCAATAAAACAGAGTAAAAAACAAACAATTTACCTGACTCCATTTATGCGGTCGTTCAAGGCGCAGATGGCTGTAAATTCTCTTTTATCTACAGTCTCGTCTTTGTTTAAGTCAAACACCTTGCAGGTAAATCAAGTAAAACAAGTGGATTAAAATCGGAATTGGTGTAATTCGTAACTTACGTTCTATAGACTCTCGTTTTTTATTTTCAATCCTTCCTTCAGAGTAAACTGCTTAAAAAATCTACCTTGATGACAAGTGAGCAGAACAAAACAAAAATGGGAAAGATGAAAAATTCGAAAGCTAATCGACCGCATAAAATCAAACTTTATAATTATACGTGCCCGTGCGCAGATAAATCCATTGTCGACTGATATTTAATAGTACGTTTACAGTACGTGTACCTTTACAAAGTGTTTGATATCATGTTTTGTGACAGCTGGCTGCATACGCAGCTTAAGTTCTTGGAGCGTGACGCTTCCATTTTTGTCTTTGTCGACTTCGTCAAACAGTGTTCCAAACACATGCTTTTGTTTATCGTTGATTATTCCATAACGGACATCCTAACAAATATAAACAAATATGAACGTGTAAATAATTTTATCAATCAGTCATTTAATTTCTGTCTCTCCGTCTATCTGTCTTTATGTCTTTCTGTCTGTCTGTTTTTCTGTCTGTATTTCTTTCTGTCTGTATGTCTGTCCCTCTCTCTGTCTGTCTGACTTTCTGTCTGTTTGACTGCCAGAGGGTCTGTGTCTCTATCTGTCTGTATGTCTTTCTTTCTGTCTGTCTGTATGTCTTTCTTTCTGTCTGTCTGTCTGTATGTCTTTCTTTCTGTCTGTCTGTCTGTCTGTCCATTTTCCTGTCCGTATGTCTTTCTGTTTGTCTGTTTGTCTGCCTGTCTGTCAGTCTTTCGGACTGTCTGTCTGTCTGACTTTGCGTTTGTTTGTTTGTCTACCTGCCTGCCTGTCTGTGTGTCTGACTTTCTGTCTGTCTTTCTGACTGTGTCTTTCTGTCTGCGTGTCTGTCTCTCTGTCTGTCTGACTTTCTGTCTGTTTGTCAGCCTATGGGTTTGTCTCTTTGTCTGTCTATTTGTTTGTCTGTCTGTCTGTCTGTCTTTCTGTCTGTTTGTCAGTCTTTCTGACTGTCTGTCTGACTTCCTGTTTGTTTATCTGCCTGTCTGTCTGTCTGACTCTGTTTGTTTATCTGCCTGTCTGTCTATCTGTCTTTCTATCTGTTTATCTGCCGTTCTGTTTGTCTTTCTGATTGTCTCTCTGTCTGTCTGTCCGTCTGATTGTCTGTCTTTCTATGAGTCCTTCCGCATGTCTGTCGAAATATCAATGCGAATGCAAAAGGTCATCTACGAGAATAGTAGCTTGCGTAGAAAGTTCAAATCACTGTTTACAGGAGCTAAACAGAATTAAGCGGGAACACAAAACAAAAGGAGATAATAGCTCAATTTCAAAATCTAAAAACCAAAACCTCGCAGAGATGTCTGCTGATTGACGCTGAATAATCGAAATTGTGAAACTCTTGAACGATGGTTGTTAAGATGAATCAAGATGACCCTGTTTTTTTAGACATAGACCAGAACTACAAAGTAAATATCACTTACGGGTGTAAGAAATGCATCGTCTTCAGCTGCCTCTGACTCTGTGATTTCGGTCAAAAATGTCCTGCAATGTAAACGCAACAGCAATCCAGTCTTCGAGAAAAGATGATCACTCAGACAAATCTTGGTATTAATTTGGAATTACCACGGTTCCTATGCAAGGAACATTGGAGATTACAGAGCAACTAACAAAACGCGCCCACATTTTTCAAGTAGAAAGAGAACTTCCTTAAAGGTATTGATAACTTACGAAGAGAATTTTCCACTGGCCTTTTTAGTTCCCCCAGTCTTGGATGACATAAAAATCCTGGTGAGAAAGAAAACAGTTTTTGGAAAGTAACCCTTTAACTCTCGGACGTGACTAACATGTACCAAAGATTATTAACAATCAGATATATCAATAAAAACGAATAACAAATAATTCTTTTCTCTCCTCTCTGAGAGTTCGATTCGATCGATCGAGTTCTAACTAATCATTATCAAACGGACATTAATGGAACATATAAGTTATATTGCCAATCTTACTCAGGCACGGTGCCCGAATTCTGGCGTGGAAAAAAAGGTGTGTTCACATTGTTTTGTAAACTTTGTCCTGTTTACTAGGGATAGAATTCTAACGAACGAGACTCAATCAAACTGTTTTATTCCACTCTCGTATTCGCTTATTTACACTGGATGTGTAAAAAGCTACTCTGCAAAATTTGTAAGAAATCACTCTCTTATACGATATTCTCTACATTGTGATTGGTTGTTGCCAAGTACTGATTTAAAAGGTCATTTAAGGTTGCGTTGATTATGTAAACTGATCAATGTCCATAATGTTCACACTCATCATCTGACATGTGTCACGCACGAATCAAAGTCTCCGACAATTGTTGCCCATCAAGAATCGCATCTATGTCATTGCTGGATCTGACGGCAATTCTTGCCTAAGGAATGTGGAGTGCTACAATCCAGCGATTGATCAATGGGTATCAGCTCCAGACATGTTGAATGCAAGGAGACTTGCTGCTGCAGCCGTCATAACAGGAAGGAAAATACTTGTCGTAGGAGGATTCAGTGATATGAACTATGACACTATTGAAACAAGCTGCGAAATATTTGACAGAAGCTTGAATCAGTGGAGCCTAGTTTCTAGTCCTACTGTACCCCGTGCTGCATGCGGCATAGTCAGTGTGGGAAATTGTGTATATCTGTTTGGAGGAGATGATGGCAGCAAACAGAATAAACTAAACTCTGTAGAGAGCTATGATGTCCAAGAGGATAAATGGTGCCATGTTAGCACTATGCCCTATGAAGTGTCCTTCCTTCAAGCATCACTATTACAATTGCCGGTGGAATATCTCAAGAATAAATAGAATGCTTGGGAAGAAATTTCGTTTTCCTGTGGATACTGTATGGCTTATGTGGTATAAAGTTCTACAAATGACATGTAAAAGGATTAAAAGGAAACTCTGTGCAACACTTTGGCTCCTTAGCCAAGCTTGTAAATACAGCTAACTGCTTTGCATGCAATTCAGATTTTTACCCTTGTTTCCTCTGAATAATTTGTTTCATTCATTGGTACGGCCTACTAATTTTACATACCGTATTTATTCGACTATAAGCCGAGCGATTTTTTACACAAATTAAAACTGAAGTGAATTAAAATTTGGGCTCTAGAGGGGATCTCGACTTATAGCCGAAAGTTTTTGAAAAAAATTTTTCCAGCACATGGAAACTCTACTAAATCGGGATGTATTTACTTATAAGCCGAGCTAAAGTAAAGAAACACAATATGCAATCATTGGTTATAAACTTTTAATTCGAATTCGAGAGTGCGACTGGAACCGCATCGGTGTCTCGTCCATGTTAAAGATTCTTGATAGGGAATAACTGTGACGCTGACGGGATGTGATTAAAAGTCGATGGTGGCCTGTTCTTGTTAAGGGGTCTTCGACTCTTCTATGGACCATTCCTACGACCTTTCTATTTTGTTTTTTTACCACAATCGGCAGTAATGTCTCAATCTGATTGGCCGATTTGCCGTTGTCAATAAGAGTACAGACCACGCCTAACCACTTTCGATTTGTTAATTAGGTTACTGAATTGTCTAAAATAAACAAATAACGCCAATGGTAAAACAAATAATTTAAAATTGTCGTTGTGTTTTCTTGCTTTTGGTTTATGTGATGTTTTGTTTTGTTTTGTTTTTTTTTTTTGGGGGGGGGGTATTTGGTGTTTTCATGTTTTTCATCTTCATAATGGTGTCCATACTAACCTGTTTGGTGGAGGTTTTCCAGGCTGGTAACGAGTATCCTCTACTTCCTTCTTTATCCCAAGCCATTCATCTAAATATTTATTCCTCTTTTCCTCTTTCGCTTCAACACCATCGCCAGTTGCTTCTTCTTTCTTCTCCGCTCCATTACCATCTTCCTGTCCTTTCTTTTCAATTTTCTTTCTTTCGCGATCCTTACTCGCTTTTTGATTACTAGCCGTTCTTTCATCCTCCTTAAATCTTATTTTTCCCTTTTTGGCGGTCTTTGCAGAAGAACTTGCCTTTGTCTTTGCAGAAGGTGTCTTTTTACTCTCTATTCCGTCGCTACTCTTTGTTAGTCTTTCTCCCACTGAATCCAGTTTCTCTTGCGCTTTTCTGCCTTCGATAGCGAGAGCTTTACGTGCTTCAAATTCTTCTCGTCTGCCTCCTTTGTTGGATATACTGTCAAATTCATCCACGGAACTCTCATCTGATTCCTCTTCAGCCCATTTTCCATCATGGTCTGGGTTCTCGATATCGCTGGCAGACGATAGGGCCTTGACACACAAGATGAAGAAGAGAAATTGTTTATTGTCAAACTATGTTTACAATTTATTATCAGCATGCATTTCAGTGCAAGAGTGCACTTGTCAAGTAAAAAACATTTTCGTTGTATACCCTAAGAAAAACCTGCGAAACAAGCTTTTTTCCTCATGTAGATATCACCCTTAGGATACAAGCACATAGTTAATTTTCATCTTTTTTCACACAAGGTGGAAAGTAACACTGCAGTAAGGCAATTAGGCTTGTCTTCAGATCCGCGCTTGTTGGCCAAAACGAAAATCCTATTTTAGCGATAATTTACTTATTGACTTTCTACCATGGCCATATTTAAACAGTTCACAAGAAACAAACTTAAAAACGTTTTGGTTAATTCAGAGCAATCCGCCTTGATTCTATTTCAAGAGGAACGTAGGTTATTCAAAGCTTACCACAGAGGTGGGATCCCTGACTCCACTACCTGGTACAGGAGTACTCAACTGGCCACTAGGACTGTCTCGAGGACTGCTGTTCGGAAAACTGTTTTTGAATAAATATAGGAAAAAGTCGCAATATCCATTGGGTATTTTGTTCTATTCTGTCACGTTATCTCCATTTGTCAAAACATTTAGTATATGTGCTACAACAGAGGAGTGTTCTGGGTCAGAAAGTAGCTTTGGTGAAACTTCCCTTTCATGGGGCTAGTAAAATTCCTTGCTCTCAAGTTTCAGATTGCTTTTGACAGCCTTATCAACACAAAGATCACAATAAGTTTTAGTTTATACATACTAATACTTTACTAACTGCAATTTATTTGGTATTAAAGCATGTAGCACATTACTCTTATTACTCTATCACTAACTTTGCATCTTTGGCAGCATTGTAGTCTGTAAGTTGTTTCTGCTGTGCAAGAAGCCTCAACCTTAACAGATCAGTGTTGTCTACGTCATACCTGGAGCAAATCAATAATGGTACTTCACTCAAATTAAACATTTTGTCTCCCTGTCATGAGAGTGACCAGCATCTAATTTCTCCCTAGAATATCACCGCTGAATCACACATAAAGGTCACAAGAATGGAGAAAATTATCACTAACTTAAGAAACTCTTGATTGTTAAACAAATTCTTCTTGTGAGAACCTTAGGAAATGTATCGAGAGCAGTGTGGAGAAAATTCATATTGATGCTAGGGTGTAAAGGGCTAAGGGATCTGTTTAAAAGCAGCAGCTATATTTTTAGATTTCAGTAACTAATGATAGTTAAAGCCACATTTTTAAGAAACTGATTCCTTCAAAGCAATTCTTTCAGTTGACAATATGACTATTTACAAATTTGTCACCTTTGAAAATAAATCACATATTCCAAACATTTGGAGCTAAATAACTTCAGGAAACTTTAAAATTATCTACCAGCTTTGGTTTCCAAATGAAACTGTACAATATGATTGCAGTGACATATAACAGGCAAAAGTATCAGACAGGCAATTTTCACCAATAATGGGTAGGGAAGTCTCCTTCACAGCTGTTGTTTGGTCTCATCATGCAACCTGCTTTTTTCCACCAATGTGCTGCATGACAAGAACAAACAACAGGTGCAAAGAAAACTATGGGTTGAGGAGATCTTCTCACCTTCCTTGCAATGGGATTTTGGTTCCAGCCATGTAATACTGTTTATCAACTCTATGGTGCCGAATCTACAAAAAGAGTTCATTACAAATGCTCAAAATTTACTTGAAAATAATACACTATTGATGTTCTATTTTAGTTGACTATGTTTTCCAGGTTTTTTTGTTGTGAAAAGTAATGTCAAATAATAAGAGTATGCACTCCACAGCTATCTCTAAATGACAATGAAAGTAAATACTGAAATTTAATTATTTAGGCTGAATTCTGCATTGTAGTCTGAGAATTCCCTCATGTCCGATGAATACAGAGCCCCTGTCTTTTAATGTAATCAAAAAGAAAATACCTGAAAACACCACTTTGAAAGCATATTTATTATCACCCAGGAGTTTTCAAAATTTTTTTTGCAGTACCAAATTTCTCTCAAATAGAAAAAAAACTTGAGACATCAAAACACAGTAAATGGTGATAGCATTTTGCCTCTCTCCAAATCAAAAACTGCTTTTTGAATGTTACCTCTGATGTTCGTTTCAATCTGCGGCAGTGCTCTCTGGCTTGTTCCTCTACCTTTAATCTGTCTCTTTGTCTGCTGTATAATATTCTTGGACTGTTAATCAAATGGAAATATTCTTAAAACTTGCTTGTCTCACATGAATTACCCGTTAACTAAAGACAATGTGACTATACTAACACCAACTTTTTTCATTCAATGAAGAAAAGATAATGAAAACAATCAAGAAGTTGTGATCAATTAGTTAAAAGTAAAGAAATTAAAAAGCATCAAATAATGTCAGCTTGACATACTTTTCATTGGCCCAATATCTTGATGGGACAGAACCCTGAGTGAGAATCAAGAAAAATTAAATTAAATTTTCATGAAATAATACATTTTTTCATCTTTTAAAAATTATTGACATTAGTTGATTTTTGTCACTTAATTTATTTTACAGCTGAGATCTGATTTGCTCTTCTCCCTAGATTCTACTGCACTTTTCCTCCTATAAATTTGGTTTATGTATAATTATATTAAGATAATTCAATTGAGGTGACAACTCTTTGACAGACAATCATGACTGCAATATCTGACATACCATATGATTGCTGTAGGAGATAGGAACTGATTTTGTGGTTCCACTGGGAGAGGGTGAGTATTTGCGACTCAGTGGCATACCAGGAAGAGAGGTAGTCTTAAACTTCACAGTTGGCCTGGGAGTGAAAAAGATTCCAGAAAATAATGTTAAACTTTAAGACAAATCTTGAGTGTTTGAACCACTCTTTTTTCCCAAGTGCTACCACACCACTAAAGACATTTTGGTAGGAAGTTGTAATAACAGAAAACAAAGGTTGATTCAAACAAAGGATACCTCAAAAGAAAACTGTCTCTAATAGAACAAATCAATGTTTCTTGAGAAGTTTATCAGTAAGCCTCAACTTGATCTGCATGTAAGTTCTCGACCCAGTTTCAAGACTCACGTAAAACATTAAATATTAGCTATAATAATTGATAATATTAAAAACCATAAATGAGTTTTGAAATAGTGAAAAATGATAATATGTTAGGATAAAGTTAAGATAACTGGGGAAGCAAATTTATTACTTTATTAACTTACTGAAACTGATATCCTGCATGTTCACTCCTTGTTGAAGACTTTTCAGTTTCAGTGGAATTATTATCATGCGAAGGCTGCAGAATAAAATTAAAGGTATCACTGAAAGCCTACTTGAATTGTATAACTCATGCACCACCCTAGCCCCTGAAAATTCACTTGGAAAAAATACATAGGGGCATCAAATTTTTGAGCAGCAACACACAGAAACAACAGAAACTACATGATATCATTGTAAGGTATTTCTGAATTCACAGTAAAACTACACACATGTAATATCCATAGAACTTTTTTAACAGGCCAGCTCTTATAAAGGGTTAAGGAGCTAACACTTCTACTTTAAAGACAGAGGAGCAGAGAGCAGATGCAAGTGAGCAGATGAAATCTTGCCCAGTGTGAATCAAGCACCTTACTAACTATGCAAATTAGGAGGTATTGAACACAGAGTGTCAAATTAGCAACTTTCAGAGCACATTTAGTCACTAATATTTTTTCTACTCCCCATGGTGAGCAAAACATTTGCTGCTTGAGCACTGAATCATCCCATTTTCTTAATTAAGAAGGGGGTACACCCACACACCCTACATTAGTTTATTGCTCTCTTATGCCCCATTCACACCAAAGCTTAAACATGTTTAAAAGTTGTTTTGTTAAACACAGTTTAATTTTTTTTTTCTTCATAGAAACTATTTAACCGAATATTTTTGACTTGAATGTAGCACATTGGAAATGCAAGTTAGCAAGTACTTGAATCCAATGGAAAATCAAGTTTTTCAGTTCTCTGTTTATAATTTTCATTCAATGAAAACCAGTTTAACAAAACATGTTTTGCTGGTGTGAATGGGGTATTAGTTACAATCCCACAATTTTATCTTTACTCTACTGCATAGTGTACCTGAAGTGCAAGATCTGAGGCTTCTAGGAGTCCAGGAGCCGACGCCACACTGTGCACAGGACTTGCCATCTTAAGCCTGCTGACTGGTGTCTGGCTTTTGTAGTTTGTATGTCGATAATGGGTCTGTTTTTGCCACTCTTCATTGTGTACCTTAATTGAGGGTGAGATGATCCGTCTGTAGAGCTGTGCTACACCATGGTTATCTGAATATATAGAGAAAAATAATTCAGAATGTAAAATAGACCATTTTAGAAACTTAACTGATTAGCAAGCAGTAAGCATATTCAAAACTCTTGCCAAGGGTTTAGAGGGAAAACTTCACAGTATCATTGGGCCAAATGGTCCCAGATTATTTTCGCATTCCCCCTCTTAGAAGGGCTGTTGTGTTGTGTTTTCATTCTCTAGGTCTCCAGCCTGAAAGTCTTTTGAAATATGTATCAATATTGGATTGACCAGCAACAAGCAATTTTGGATCTGCAGATTTCAACTAAAAATAAATTTGAACCCTGCTTAAGAAAACCATTACATTTTCTTGCAAGTTCACATATTCAGCTGGTACAATAGTATTTCAACTCTGTTAGTTTTTTTTCATGTGTTGTAAGACTTCAGAAAACATAATTTTATTTCATTTTATTCTCACTTGGAAGAATCTAAGGCAGATCCTAATACCCTTGAAGAAGGGAAGACTCCTGATGAGATCACGGGGGGAGGGGTGGGGGATGGGGTTGTAGGGGTTTCTCTAAGAAGCAGCAGGTTGCAGAAACCAAGATTGGCTCTATAGGTGTGGAATAGTTAGCACCAGTAGCACACTATTTAATCCTATAACACTCAACAACTGAGATGTAATTCTCCAATTTATCTGTAACATAAAGTAATCTCCTCATTCATTTGACAGGAGAATTTGCTAGTCAGTTAGTTGTTACGAAGCAGATGAGAAGTCCTGCACTCTTATCACTTGTGATGATGATATATTGAAATTATGAGGAGAAACAACATACATCAATAGTAGCTTAAGTCATTGTGTAAGGTTCTTATCCATGCAAACTTTTTAAGATTTTGACATCATTGCAATAACCATAAACTGTAAATTTCTGAGCTTTCAATCCTGCTAGAGTCTTTGCTTGGTCTCTAGCAGAGTTGAAAGCTGAGAAATTCACTGTCTACATTGTAGCCTCAAAAATTATAAAGTTATAAATGCATGTCCATCTCATTTGGGGATTTAGGACCTTTCCTCGTTGGGGAATTAAACTAGAATTGTCCCAACAAAATCAGAGGACAAATTTTTGTTTCGTCTGTTGCATGCCCATTAAAAATTTCAAAGGTGTCAAATTCCATCAGCACCTGATCTGTTCATAAGAACGGCCAACATAGTTGCCAAAGGATTCCACCTCCAACTTCCAGGATTTATCCTAAGTCATTTTAAAATTCTAGAATCCTTGAGTTTTGCAGCAAAAGACAATTTTTGCCTTCCAAGTAAACTGATTTCAGTTCAATTACACACTTGTTATAGCTTATACAACAAGTGATTGACAAGTTTATCATGGTTTTGGTTACCGGTATTTATTCTATTTCGCCAAATTTTTACCTGGGACAAATTTTGTCCACGGTGCATTTGAAGATTTGTCTGCTTTGACCAAAATTCGTTAAGTCACGACAAACCATTTGTGCTTGTATAATTTTGGTGATGACTGAAACTCTTCCTAAGTAAACAACTTTGTCGCTTGTGCGGAAAGGCCCATAAGGTCAAACTTAATTAAGGTACATCTCCATGACAACTGCACTCTAGTCAGTACTAGAATAGTTCGATTGCTCTTGGACTCATTGCAATACGTTCGAATGAGAAAGTAAATTATATTTATCACCTGCAGCATAATAAAGAACCCATTGAACTAAGTTTGGGCTTCACAACAAATGGTTCCAAAAGATATGTCTTTCGAATTCGAACGTGTAAGGGTCGTGTTTAGAAGTTTAATTAATGACTCCTGCATAGACGTTATAAATATTGACTTCAAACTCAACAGAGTGTGATGTTTTGACGATTAAATCAAAGCATGGTAGAAATGTTGTGACTTCAAAGGAATCTCATGCCGATAACAATATCTTTTGTGTCAAAACAACAATTTCACAATTTCAATTGGTAAAGAATAAAGTCCAACTAAAGCAAAGCGAAGTTGCTCTGATTCAATCTCATCTTAGCTTTGTACCTCAAAGGAACATAGCTAAATCAAGATCAACTCACCCATAACTTGTTTGGCTTCTTTCCATTCCCACAGAGACAATTTCAACTTCTTTCGTCCAACATTCCGCAGCTACTCTACAAAGTAAAGTCCATTGAGCGCAGATTCCTTGGCGCGTGCGGAAGTCAGATCTTAGCGACTTCGAATAAACAAGGAATTTGAAAATTGCCAATAAACAGGTGAAAACGATCGAAAGATTAAAACCTTATACAATATAAATAATTAAAATCAAGTTAAACAAAACTAATAATTGATTGTCTTGGAGATGGCTCATCAAAGTTCGTTTATATGATAAAATATTCCAACGCGCGTCTAGGCAACCAAAATTTCCTTCGCATAATTGCCAGGTTACCTAGTACAGATTGCAAGATGGCGAACACTAAGAGAAAGGTAGATTTGAATTTCTCTTTGAGTACTACCATCACGTCTGATCCTCTTCTTTAATCCGAAAAAAATGTAAACGAATTTGATTTTCCTTCCCTGTAGATCGGTGGAGAGGACACGAACATTACGTTTGAAGATCAACAGCAGATTAACACATTTGCACGGAAAAGTGCCAGAATCCAAGAACTTAAAGATGAAATTGAACAAAAAAAGGTTTGAAATAAGGCAGGAATTCTCGAATACTAAGCTTGTATAATCTACAGCTTTCTCTCTGACAATTACTTATCAATACCTATCCCAGGAGTCATGATCCCAAACCAATATATAATCATGTAGTAGGTACATGTGTGTAAGCGTTGAAAGCCTATCTAGGGGAGTTGGATGTAAGCTTATTTCCAATTCAGTTATCAAAACTCAGCATCCAGTTGTTAATCGGTGAAATTTCCGTATAACTTTATAATTCGTTTTGCATACAGTTAAGAAAACAGTTCATAACTCTGGCAAAAACAAAAGATTTCATTTTGGACAAAATTTTGGTTTAGAATATTATTGGGGGTAAAATCTGTTTACCCAATGGCAATGTATGGTTTTTTCATTGTTTTCTCTATCCAAGAACTGAATGCATAATGTAGTATGGGGCTGTGCAGAAATATTACCGTATTGGGCCTTGCAGAAATCTTTTTCTAATCCATTTTTCTCAGGGAGAGTAAGCTAACCTTGTGTTCTGATAGGGGGCTTCTTAAGGTAGCAAGGTTGTGTACATTTCCTTACCAACTTGCCTGCAACTTGTCCTTCTCAAGGAAGAAAATCGTGGTAGTTGTTGCTGTCATGGAATTAAATGGCAACCCTGTGTTGCTGACCTTTTGTAGTGGGTTGGAACGTTTTGATGTCACACTTGCTCCATAATCCACATAATACATCGAGAATTTTTTCTTTCCTTCAGAAAGAGCTTCAGAATCTTGAAGATGCAGGTGATGAACTGATGATGTTAGATGATGATACAACACCAATTCCATATCCTTTCTCTAATTTCTATCATATTTATTTACTTTTGCAATTTAAGTGACTGTTTTTTTCTGGAGGAAGAGTTGTATATGTTTATTTGAGCCAGTTTTTTGTGCTGGTACCCACAGTTCCACAGTCAGTCTTACTGGAGGCTAAAGAGAAAGATTAACAAGAAGCTTTCGTACCTAAAAAAAAAAAAGAAATAAGTTTGACTGTCACTTTGCTGTTAAGTAATTTTTATTCTTGCAATTGAGACTCCATTTCTGTTACTTTCTTTTCTTAAATCACCAAACCTTTGTTTTCCCACCTTTGTTGGAAACAAGTGAAATCTTTCTTCAAGACTGAGTTTTCTCATTTGCCTGTATTAGAGAGAAAGCAGCATTTCAAAGTTTTAAGGGTCCTTAACAATTGTTATTTATAGAATAGGGGAAATATTTATCCATTTGTCATCAGAGGAAACTCAAGAATATCTGGAGAATGCAAAATCCAAGATACAGGATGAAATAAAATCCTTGGAATCCAACACTGCAGAAGTTAAACAGCTCCTGGCTGATCTTAAAGTGAAACTTTATGCCAAATTTGGCAATAATATCAATTTGGAGGCAGAGGAGGAGTGAATAGTGAAACTTTAAGTTTAGCCTTGATGTTTTCTAACTTAATCTTGTTATGTGTAATTAAATATGCATTGGTGCATTTTTAGACAGTGGACTAGAGTGTTTGGAGTTAAGAGCCGCACCAAATGTAACTTTGTCTGCAAAGGTAGCTCAAGTCAAGAACGCATTGAATAAAATATATAAAAGAAACCCTCATTGTGGATTGATGATTTGATCTTTCTGGATTGAAAGGAAAATAAGAGATGTAAGAGAAAATGTTGATTGAGGGGGTCTAAGCTTGTGAAAGCCTTGATGGCGAATTCTTGGTTACACGTTCATGGAGGTACACGGACTTATTCGTGGTTCAGCCTTGTCCCGTCCCTTTGAAGAAGAAGAGAGACCCTGGGAACGAATCCTAGTAGAAATGTTTCTCTCGTCCCAGTTTTTTCTCTCCCACGTGAGAAACACGATAACTTTCCAGCATGAGTAGAGCGAGTATCTGCTTTCGTGCAATAGAACAGTGTAGATCTTGCAGGTTTCGCTTCACTCACCGGCTAACTTTACGAGGGAAGGTAGGTTTAAACAAATTACGCAAAGCCTTAAGGGTTTTCTTGATATTTCCTTCGCTAATTTGCCTCAAACTTCATGATCAGCCACAATTCGATCTTGTCAGCTCAGGATGCTTATGATGTCGGCAGCTTTTCAATTATTTTCATAGGAAAGGAGAACTGAGACAGGAGAGATTGAGCACTTGTTTTATTATTTACCCTAATCAGAAAAGTGAAAAATGAATATCGAATTAGTTCTGGATTTGGAAAATGTGATATACTGCAGAACGATCTGGATTTAATTTGACCACTGGAAACGAGATAAATAATTTCAGAAATGGTTATTGGAATTCTCTTCGATGGTCCTCGACTCAATAATCAGAAACGAATGCTCACGTTAATAAGAAATGACATTGTTTATTTGCATAACATTATTCAGTTAGTCGGAAATTTAGCGTGAACTGAAATGAGGAATTAAAACAAAAAAATTCCACTGAATTTTAATTTTGGCAGTAATTGCCCTCCATATATAAATGCCCAGGAGAGTGTGGTTCATTATATTAAATTTACCGTTCTGCCAATTATCTACAGGTGCTATGTTCTAATTTGAGTACAAACCAGGAGGGACCTTTTCATGAAGAAAAAGAGTGGAGTTCAACTGAAGAGAAGCATGGCTACGGTTCTAACGGTGGTTTTGAGAAACGCAACAAGGAGGCTGCTGGTCTATTTTATCTTAACACTCTGAAGCTACCTGAAAAGCTACAGCAGAACTTAGACAGCTACCTCAAGAGTAAGGAAATTGTTTCTCATGTGACATGAAAAAGGAAGTGTGCACTTGAGCTAATTGGCTAATTCAGCTAGAACTTATCTTGGCTTTTTCAGCATAAGGTGACTCTGGGTATTGTTACATATACTCTCCCTAAATGAGATGCAAGTCAATTGCAGGTTCACCTGACCCCAACCTCTCCTGGCCCCTGCTACCCCCTCCAAGTATTTTGTAAGACTCCTTGACAGTTTGTTGGTACTCATTTCCATTCCTGGGTGGAGATGGGTCCCTTGAAGAGTTAACCCTTTCACTCCCAAGATCTAATTAGTAATTCTCCTTACTATCTGCCATAAAATTCTTATGATGTTAGTTCAGAAAATTTGGTATTGGATCAACTAATAATCCCATGATTGACATTCTTCTCTATTCTCATCACCTACCTGCTTGATATTGTATCGATATTGTAAGGAGAAATTCTGTCTTGGTCACTTGTAGGAGTGAAAAGGTTAATTCCCATGAGTGACCAGACAGAATTTCTGCCTACAATATCCATACAATTCCAATCAGACAAGTGATGAGAATGCAGAGAAATATCAATTAGGGGATTATAAGTTGATCCAGTAACAAATTATCAGAACTAAAATCATAAGAATTGTACAACAGTCAGTAAGGAGAATTACTAATGAGATCTTGTGAGTGAAATGGTTTAGTGTCTTGCTCAAGAACACAACACAATGACCTGGTCAGGTCTCAAATGGGACCCCTTGGCTTGGAGTCCATCACACTAAATGTTAGCTCACTGTTTCTCTCACCTTCTTGGTTATATAGAGTCTCTATTTGTTTTTTTATTATGAAATTTCAACTGCCTCACTGCCGGTCTTTACTGACTAGTAGTATAGTTGTTAATTGTCTTCCAGTGTTGTTTGAATCTGACTTTGTGGCATGATTTGACATCATAGAATTCCCAAGGAAGGTGTTGGAAAATGATGGTAAAAAACTTGCAAGGCACATCAGAAATAGAGGTCGTCCAACAGAACAGACCTGGCAGAAATATAAGGAATCTAGACGGCAAAGAGAGGAATTAGCAGGTATGGTCTTGAATACAGTATCAGAAATTAAAATGGAAAGAGAGGAATTTGATTAGCCACATCCATAGTTATTTTCATTTTTTTAACAAATGATTGCATTTACTGCACCTTTTTTCTTGTCAAAGCGACAGTAATCTAAAATGCTGTTGTGTGTTAGATCCGAGGCATGTTCAGTTGGTTGTTCTTTGCTTGTTGAGGGACATTATTCTGAGTGTTCTTTGCCTGTTAGCCCTTTAACTCACGGAAGTGATTAACAAGTAACTTCTCCTTATAATAACTTAAGATTATCCAGCAGACAGGTCATGAAAATATTAAAACTTATCAGATCAAAGTTGTTATCTTGGTCTGACACAAAATTCTCGTAACTTATTTACAAGGAAATGTGTAGCAGTCTGAGGGGAGAATTAACAAGTTAAAGGTTAAAGCCATAAATTTTTAGCAGTACTGAGTCAAAATATGTGCACTTTTAAGGTCACAATAACTCGACCACAGAGTCTTGATCACATGCATCAAGATGATTTATGACTTTTTGTATTTCTTGTCTAATTGTATATAGTAAACCAAGCTAATCCTGCTGACATTTTGAAGCTACATAATCAGCAAGAAGATACAATTCTTGATGATGTAGACAGTACAAGTGAAGATGAAGATGATGAATTTGATGGAGAATTTGTTTCCCAAGAAACAAGATCTGACCCACTTGAGACTGGTGACAGTGACAGTGACATTGATGATAAAGAAAACAATAACCACACAAATAGCGAAACAATGGACACAAGTGATAGCAAACCTGCTATTATTAAAAAGCAAAAAGTTATCAAAAGGCCAAGAGGAAGTGAATACAAACTGATAAGGTATTTTGTTTTATTTGATTTAACTAACCTGGAGCTTGTTTCTGGAAAGTCTCAGTAAGTTAATCAGCTGGAAGCCATATTTTGATGATGAAATTTTGAAAGAGTAGTGGAGCAGGCTATGGCACCCTAACCAGTTCATTTTCTTTCTTTAGCTGATAGTTTTTTAGTATAATTTTCAAAACTTTTGAGACATCCAGCTTAAATGACAACAGAACATGTGGATGTGTTAAGTTACCAGAACCTTCGAGAAAGGGCCCATGGTTTTTAAGTATTTGCATCTATCAAATTTAGTGCCATCCCAGTCCACAATACAGATAACATCCAAAAGGGAGAGAATCAAGACAGCTTCAAATTCAAATCATTTAAATTAGAGAGTACAAGGAATGCTTTTTTTAATGTCTTTAAAAAAAATTGAAATGATTTGCAATTTTCCCACCAAAAATTGTTAGTAATGGGTCCCTGAGGGTTGCTCTGATTTACTTTGGTGACAGGTATAACAAAAGAGAAGCTGCTGCTTATGCTGCAAGCCGTTTACCTGCAAGCTATGGTGCAACACTTAGAGTGTTCCATGAAGTAAGTGAAAAGTGACATGAGACAATTCTGCCAGACTTTGTTTTGCAATTCTTTTACCAGTACGGATGATGCTAAGCTATTTTTGATGAAAGCATATGTTGAAATAATGTTATGTCTCATTTTTGATTGAGAATCCTTTCACTGCCATTATGTACATGATAATTAAGGTCCTCAGGTCTCTAGAAAAGCCATTTTAGACTTGCCCTTGCTTTTTAATTAAGTTTTAACAATCTTTTGTTTATCCTCCATAGTTAAGGAGGCGTGAGCCCAACTTTAAACCAGAGAATCTGCTGGATTTTGGATCTGGCTCTGGAACAGCAACATGGTAAAAAATATTTGTCAATGAAATCTCTTTGATCTAGTGACAATTAATTTGCATTTATTCCCCCCCCCCCAATTTTATTTTTTTTCAAAAAACAAACAAGCTAATCAAATGATGAATTATTATTAAAACTTGGCTTTTGCAAAATGAGATATGTTTTTTTTAATCAGTGTCTTGTCGATCAGTAATTCAACCTTTATAAATTTTTGCTCAACTTTGCTAGGGCAGCCCATGAGACATGGGGAGACTCGCTCAGAGAATATCAGTGTGTGGATGTATCTCAGGACATGAATAGTCTGGCTGAATATCTCATAAGAGGTTTGTACTTCATGATTATGAATGAATTAGTAATACTGAATTCAGTTTGTCACAGTAGACAGGGAACTAGTAGCCTCTTTTAAGATCAAGGACTGGCCAGTGTAGTTGTCCTAAGGAAGGATAATGCTTTCCAAGGGATAGATCACTATCCTACAGATGAATTTTAACAAAACATACTGTGCAATTTATTGGATAAAGATTTATCTGTTGGATAGCATTGTTCACCCCTTGAATTAGCAGCACTGGGGTGCTACATGTAAAGATTGTAAACTTAAGGACTTCTTGAAAAGCAAGTCTTCTTTCTATGGGCTTGTTCATGGCTTGTGTCCCATAATTTTTTCAATGTAATTTGTCTTTTTTTTAGTTGGATAGGGTAGTGTACCAATACCTCTTTTTTTCTCCGATTTCCCCTTGTTGTATCTTCAGTTGATAAGCTGAATCATGCTGCTTTTTAATATGGTCCATACCTGTGGTCTGTAAAGAACAGATTTTCTTCTTTATAAGGCAATTTTTTGTTTCTCTTTTTCTGTGTTTTCAGTTAATGCCAAGCATAAATATTTAATCCATTTTGTTATGTACTGTTTTTGTTGTCCTTATTCTTAATACAGGTGGAGAGGGTCTGAAGCATTCTCTTCATATTCCGGGAGTTTATTTCAAGAGATTTTTACCTGTATCCAACTTGGTAAGCTTAGATTTCTCCAGGAAATGTTGGGTTACTTTAGTAGGTAGACTGTGAATTTGAATTAATTTTCCCACTTTGTGCACCTATATCTTCACAACTTTCTGCTTTAACCCTTAAACTCCCATTAGTGACCAAGACAGAATTTCTCCCTACAATATCCATACAATTTCAAGCAGACAAGTGATGAGAATATAGAGAAATATCAATTAGGGGATTATCGGTTGATCCAGTAACAAATTCTCAGTACCTAAATCATAAGAATTGTACGGCAGTTGGTAAGGAGAATTACTAATGAGATCATGGGAGTGAAAAGGTTAAACCCTTTCCCCTCTCCTTGAAGCACAAGAACCAATGAGTTAGAAATAAGGAGAAGCCAATAGTCTGCATTTGTTAAAAGAAGTTTACTTTGATGGAATTGAGTCTTTATTTGATACTGTTGTTTGTCAAATAGATAACTTATGATGTTGTGGTGGCCTCCTATGCTCTCAGTGAAATACCTAGAGCCTCCTTGAGGAAAATGGCAGTGAAAAGCTTGTGGGGGAAAACAAGTGACTTATTGGTAAGCCATTGTTATCTGAAAATTCATTAACCTTTTTCTTCTAACAGTGATAAGCATCTTATCTATCCTAGCAGTATCAGCCCTGAATCAAATATTAACCCTTTACACTATAACATCATTGTGGTTATTCTCCATACAATTCCCTATACATTTCCTAAGTTGCTGAAAAGGAGAATTTGTTTAACAATCAAGAGGTTCTTAAGTTGGTGATCATTTTCTTTACTCTCATGACCCTAATGTTTGATTCAGGGGTGATGTTGTAGAGAGAAATTAGATGCTAATCACTCTCAGGGATCAAAGGGTTAAGGCCATGAGACTAAACAAAATTATTGTGACTCAAGAAGCTTATGATTGTTAGAACATATTTCCCTTTGTAATGACCGTAGAAAATGTATATACAGAATAGAATAGAGAGCTATCTTGCATACTGATGCAAGGGTGTTAAGGGGTTAATATGTAATTTGAACTGACTGAATGATGTAAAACACCATTTTGGCTCTCAAAAGTGCATTTCATTTTTTTTTTATCCTAGGTTATCATAGAGCATGGCAATACTGAAGGGTTTGAAATAACAGCTGAAGCTAGGAACCTAGTGTTAAAGGTAAATGAAAGATTGCTTACCATGTTTTATTGAAGAAGCACCTGGGTGCTTATTGGAAGGAGGATGCTCAATAAAGGGGAGTGCTTATTAAGAAATTATTGACCTGTACTGATTCCATTGTAGTTGAAGCTTTAAAAGTTTTAAATAGGGTGGCAATAGAAACATGTTTTCCTTGTAACCCTACTATTCAAGAAAGGGAGGGAAGATTGGGGGGGGAGGGAGCTTTTTTGAGGGGGGTGTATGTATGAAATTATGACCAAGGGGGTGGGCACTATTCAGGGGAGTGTGTTTATTAAAGTGTGCCTGCTTATTCAAGGAAATTCAGCAAATGTATTCTATATGATAATGAACCTTGAAAATATGGTTAATATGTTAACTTAATTTTTTATTCTTTTAGTATTTAATTTAAAAGTTATAATTATATTATTTAGTGTGATTGTGTTTTCTTCAGTAAAGGAGTGATATGTCCAAACATTTGCTTTTGGAGCATAAGTACAGTAAACCCTTTAACTCCCATGAGTAACCAAGTCAGAGTTTCTCCTTACGTTATCAATACAATATCAAGCAGAAAACAATGAGAATAAAGAACAATGTCAATAAGGGGATTATTACTTGATCTATTACCAAATTCTCTGAACTAACATCACAAGAATTATATCACAGATAGTAAGGAGAATTACTAATGGGATCTTGGGAGTAAAAGATCTACATGTTATAATGATAAACATCCCTTACAGCCCTTCCTTGATATCACCTCATCTTCTATGTTATTGTACCAAAAGTATACAAGTATTTCCTTTCCATATTCCTCAGGGCAATTGACAATACACCTGAGAAATCTTGGGCTTTAATGGAACCATGTTGCTGACAATTATTATTTTCCTTGTTAGAAATCACCTAATTTAATTGTTAGCTGCTGCTAACTAGTTCTTGTGGCTTTAAATTTGACATAGAATTAGACTTTTTTGTATATGTAAAAAGAACTTGAAATAATATTTATAACTTTTTACTGATGTTTTGTATCTTGTTTTTCATAACAGAAAGGAGATGGTGAGCCTGTTGATGATGGATCAGCTGAGGGTGGGTACAGCTTAAAGCAATGAAACTTCAGAAAATGAGAAAGGGCCAAAATGTTGTTTAGAACAATTTTAATCAGGGAGTGTGGAAAGTTATGCAAGATTACTTTGGTTTTGCTTTATTTTGCTCTGTGATTGATATTGAGAACCTTCTTAACCATTTGGAGTCATTTTGACACTGCCATCTTTACCTCCTGCTTCAAGCAGTTTTTTTTCCTTTGAGTTCTCAACAGCCCCTGGTATTTTCCTCTGCTTTTGTTGGTTGTTATGATTATTTTAGTTTTGGTTTTACTGCACTCAATCAATCAGCATTGAATTTAATTTTTTTAAAATTATGTCCTCTCTAGGTAACCAGTATCAGTACCTTGACCCGACTGCTGAAGAAATGGACAATGGCTTTGTTTTTTCTCCAGTAAGTTTGATTTCCTCTTTCTCCACCATTTTCGCGAAGCCTTTCTTTGGTTCACATAACAGGTGGAGTATAATTATTTAACCAACAATTTTCCTATTTTTTCTTAAATGACAGATTACAGATGGCATAAAAGTGTGGTGAGAGTGAAACCAAAATAGTGGGATGTCAGCCCGAAGAGATTGTGCGTCTGTGATGCTCTTACCACATTTTGAGGTCTTCTGTTATCTGGTGCTAAGCCTCCTCTCCTCCTTGGTCAAAAATTAATTCATCAACTTTATTTGTTTGATTTTTCATCTGTTACAGTGTCCACATGATGTTAAGTGTGCAAGATCTGATGCTGAAACAAGAGACCATCCCTGTAACTTTGAGCAGAGAGTTCAGTTGGCCTTATGTCAGGTTTGTTATGAAAGAGATAAAAAAGTAATTTGTCTCTTATTGAGATTTGGTTTTATCAATTGAATTGACAAAGCAAATTGGCCACCGTGAAGCAATTATAAAGCTAGCATTTTGAGCATTTGTCCCTTTCGTCATTGTGAATTGGATTCACTCTGTCAAAGGGCTAACTATTGAAAAGTCAGCTGTACAATATCTTCATATTTATGTTATCAAGCCAGTTATAAATTAAACCAATACATCTTTTAAATAGCCCCTGCCAATACAGCACCACAGTTTCTTTAGAAATTTATCCTCTTTATTCATCTTCCCTCAAGGTCTTTGTGTAAAAAGGCAAATATCACTGGAGGCATTAAAAATTTCAGTTTGTAGAGTTCTGAAAGTGGGGACAAATGCTGTCTAGAGCTACCATCTTGGACTCAACACTAAGATACTCAAGCAAACACTTGTGCAAAGTGCCATATATTATTTTGCACCCTCTTTCCTCCGGTTGCTGTCAGCATTACAAAGGGGAAAGGGTGTGGGCCTAATCAGAGCTGAAGCAAGTATACTGTGGTCATCTGTAATAGCCATAAGAAGACATTTGAAGTACGGTGTGAGACTTTTGGCCCATGTTTTTCAAGGTCTCTCAAGGAAAGGACCTTTGGCGTAGATGATACCTGCCCCTTTCAGTGTAAATTTATAATGCTAATTTTTTAGAAATGTGTATTTTTTTGTTTCAGAGGAACACAAAATTGAAGAAGAGGGGATTTCATACAGAAAGGTTTTCATACATTGTGCTCAAGAAAGGAGCAAGAGATTTAGGAGGTCAGCAATGGGAAAAATATTTGTTAAGGGGAGGGAAAGGTCTCAAGATTGTGACCCCTAGGAAAATGTAGATTTAATAATTCAAAATGAACTAATATTTGATTTTGACTTATGTTATTTATTTTAGTATTTGATGAGTAAGAGCAAATTTATTTGGAAAATGCACTTTGTTATCTCATTCTGCAGAGAAGCCATGGCCTCGCGTTCTTGAGCCTGTGCGGTACAGAAAGCGACATGTTATTTGTAGACTCTGCTGCAGCTCAGGTTAGTCAGTTGAGAACACTCACCCACCCCACCCTTTATACAGGACATAGTAAGCCTAGTAGGGCCTTGTTAGCCAGCAAAAAGTGGTTGTGGTGTGCTGGTATCATGTCCTACTGCAACCACTTTTAAAATTGATTGACAAGGTCAGGTCATCAGGTTACTAAGCAAGGTGATGTCATAGCAAGAAGGAGAATATTCTTTTGTTTGGAAACAATTTTTGTAAACCATTTTAAAATGGTCAATAGTTAAGAATGCTCATCCTTGTTGTCTGTTGTTATCAATGATTTCCTTCCTTGATTGAATTCTGACTTTTTCCCCTTTTTCTGGCATAGATGAGTAATTTAACTAAGGCAAGAAACAACTTCATTGTGTTTATGAATCATATCAAATATTTATCTAAGATTGGTTAAACAAAAAAAAAATGCACTTATAAGCCTCCTCTTTGTGTTTGCTAGGTGACCTAAAACAGAAGACTTTTACCAAAAGGAAGGACAGGTATGTATAGTTTACATTGCTATACACTGGTTGGTCAAACAAATTTTGCTGTTTTTATAGTGAAACAGCATTCAACCAAAAGTGTTATCTGAACATAGATTTGTTTGGAAGCCTGGGTGAAGCTGTACCCTCCCCACCAAGGAGAAATGATTAGAGATTTAATATCTGGACAAACACTTTTAACATCTAAGTGGAATCTTGTCATAAATCTTTTTGTTGCAGTGATATCTACAAGTGTGCTCGACACTTGACAAAATGGGGTGACCTGCTGCCTGACCCAGAGGACAGGGTTAGGATGAACAGAAAGGCTGTGAAGTCTTGATCCCAAACAGAATAGAAAATGGTGTAGAATATGCTGAATTGTGTGAGAATAAAACATCATTGATTGTGATTGTAAAAACTCACACTGTTAATAAAGATTGTAAAAATCTTTTCTGAGTTTTGTTTGTTTTTTTTGTTAAAAGGGGAAACAGATGATCCTGAAATTACTGCCAAATTATCAGTTAACAGTGGTTAAGAAAGAGCTGTTTTTAATGTGCAATTACAAGTAACATTGAAGAGTTGTTGATATGTTTGGAGCACTATGTGTAAAGGGCATCTCGGGGTTTGCTGGTTGTGGTTTTTTCTTGACCTTCAGCCTAGAGAAATATAGCTCACCAATAGAGAAGTTTTCAACTGAGTGTTGGAAAACCAAAATGAGAGTTATCCCTGCTGTCACAACAAGTTTAAATTATCATTAACTCATGGGAACTTAAAATGAAAGCAAGCAAACTGCTCGAAGCACATGAAAATTCTATTATTTTTGGTTTCCTTCCAATTTGTTCAGAATAGCAAGAGTTCTCTAGACTTATTATAGAGTAAAGCTAAGAAAAACTAATCTCCTAAACTAAATTTATTGCATGATACCAGAATTGAATGAGCAAATTGTAAAGTTTACTCCAAAACAAACGAATGTACAAGTAAAATTGAGTGATTTTATGCAAGTAACAGGGATAAGAATTAAAATGTTGGTCACTTTTGGAAATATTACAGACCAAATTAAATTTTACTAATTTTTTACAAACTAACTATTTGACATTAATTGTACTGCTGCTTTCTGCGATATGACTTATGACATTTTTTTAACAAAGCCTTTCTCAAGCACAATCAATTCATTCTGCAATCACAACCTGCCACACACTCTTACTGAGTCATAATTTCATAAAATACCTGTATCAAAAAACAATTGCTAACAATTTCTATGTTGAAAACATGCTGTTCTAAATCAATCATACTCGCATTTTTCTTCTCTTCTTTGAATGCCATTGGGGCGATTGTGCATTTGTAAGCTCTTTCTCACTCTGTTTGATCTCTACTGGACGATATTTGCGTATGGGATTTGGTTTATGTACTAGTTGTTTGCGCAGGTTCTTCAAGTAAATCTTCTCCTCCTCTTCATGTTCTTTTTCTATCTGTTTCCTTAACTCCTCCTCTTCTTGGTCTCTCTCTGCCTTATGCATCTCATACACTTCTCTTTCCTTAGCGCGTTTATCCGAATTCATAGAGAATTCTTCAATTTTTGTATTTGGTTTGACCATGGACTTGTCAGGTATGAATGGAGCATTGTACAAAACATTGGTGGATCGAGCTTTAAACACTCTCTTCATTCTTTCCTCCTGAATCTCTTGCTGCAGCTAAAGTGGAACAAGAAAGGATATTCAGTCAAATGATTACTTCCCTGTCAGAGAGAGAATGTTTCTCAAAAAAAAGACTTTTCTCAAATTTCTGTTAAGTAAGAAAGTTCAAGCCTTAAAAATTGAGTTAACTTCAGTGTTACACTCTTTTATGTGAACTTAAACATTCTTAACTGGTGTAGTGTTGGCCATGTAACTGACAATTTTTCTGTTCCAGGTAATGAGATCACAATGTAACTTATTTAAGACAAATCAGAATGGACACCATTTATCAGAGGACAGTGCTTCAGTTTAAAGATGTCTGTCTCAGCTCTCACAACATGCTTCTTACCTGCTGTCCCCATTTCTCAGCCTTGACAGCTCCACGGTTTTCAGTTGACAAATCAAAAGGCACAGGTTCTGTGATGAGTTTTGATGATGAAGGAAGAGGAGGAGGAGTGAAACTTGGCAATGGTTGTGCATGGAAGTTCTCATGTGCCTGTCATTAGTGGAAAATATATTTAATACAACCTTCATGTTGTGCTTCAATCAATTTTGAGCAACATCCCACCACCTCTTGCCCTGCAAGGCAAAAGTTGTGTGCAAATGCCCCACCAATTTTCCACCCCTCCCCTGGCATTTGAACTGTTGAAGATTGGTTTGATCAAGTTCCTGCCCTGCAAGGCAAACATGATAAAATTCCCCACCAATTTTTTTTTTCCTTTTAATGCAAAAGGTTAATTCAGCAACCGTGACTTTCAACACATTAACCACACTTTAAAACTAACATCTTGTAGATCTTTCATCCTGAAGCATTTGCTTGCAAATTTAACTGTTTACCTCACACACCCCCATCTTTAAAGATATAACCATTCTATTCCTCTGGAAAGACTTTACATTTCTAGGTCAAATTTCTCACCCAGCCAGACAAGTTTCAAATTTTCCAATCCCCTTAGCACAAACAACGGTCAAATGCCTGTGGAAATGTTGAAGTTTCTTTGAGATGAGTAGCATTTAATTTACCTTCTTTTCTTCCTCTAAGATAGCTGTAATTTTCTCCTCTTTCTTAAGCTTCGTTTCCTTGTCTCTCTGCTCAAATGAAAATGGCTGTATCTGGGTTCCTTTATGTGGCAGTTCAGGCTTAAACACATTGGTGAAGTCAGGACAAGGATTAGCCTTTATTTCTCCTGGTTCAGCAGCCTACATATAAATAAAAGTGTTAGAAGTTTTGTGTACCTTTTCCTATGGGAAGTAAACAAATTGTTTTTGGAAGAATTTTGCAAACATCGCCCAAGACAATTCTAATGCATTTGCATTTAGGTATGACATGACAAAATATGTTATTAATTAGATGCAGGGTATTGAGTTAACACAAATAAACTTACAAATTATAGGGTTGACAACTAACTTGTTAAGTAACACAAACCTCAATGACAGCCTGTGGTTCTTTTGTTTTGTGCACCTCTGCACGCTGTTCAGTATTGAAGTTAAAAGGTTCAACTGCAGTAAGAGGCTTTTTTGGTTCCATGTACACTCCTAATGTTCCATTGCAGTCAAATATTTTATGGTTAAGCTCAGTAGCTTTGAACTTGTAACTGTGTAAAAAGGCAAATTTTATTATGAGTTAGAGGAAAATATTTTCAAATGTGGTTCCTGGAGAAGAATTCTCTATTAAACCTTGAGCCCAGGGTATCTGATGATCCAGGCAACAAATAGTGAACTTCTATGTGGCCAAATTGTCCTTAAGTAATGCTTACTAACCATAAGGATTGCACAGAACACCACCATTTCATTTCTAGTGTGTGTCCCTGAGAATATTTCCTTAATACTTTGATGCTCAAAACCAGCTGTTCACATGTTTTTTTCTATCCATAGTTTTCATATTAATAGTATTCTAACACAAGAAAAATTTTTTCCATTTATTTCATCAAAGTTACCTCTTCATCTCAGCTTCCTGAATCTTCTCTTGTTCTTCTTTACTCATGCAGTCTACAGAAAGTGGCCTTTTCCTATCTCTTGACCTTAAATTTGGCGTCTTTGGAGCTGTTAGCTTCAAGGAAGCCTTCTCTATATTATCTGGTGGCCCCTGGTTCTGTTCACTGACAGGTTTCACATGGAAACGCTCAGGAGTCTTCTTCTGCCATTGATAAACCCTTTGTGCCATTGATTGGTACTCCCCACATGGAGTGTCATTTTCAGGTTCTTTTCTTTTCCTGGATTCATTCATCTTGAATGGCACTGGAACAGTTGGTTTCCTGTTCTTGAAAGTCTACCCAGAACAGAACAGAAAGCCACTTTAAATGATTTGAACTACAATGTATGTTGGCACTTTATCATAACAGACAGATTCTTAATTTCATATAGAATCAAGTCTCACAATTAATTTAGATTGCATATTCTGTCAGTAAGAATTAGAAATCAACTGTTTGCCATGACCAGACTATATATTAGATACATTTTTATTACTTAATTACCATGTTTGTGTAAATAATATTAATTTCAGAAATCCCCTTGGAACAGCTGAAGGAAAAGTCACCTTCCATTTAATACAGACAAACATGGTAACATTCTTGCATAAGTAGACTATTGCATGTAGCTATTTGCCAATCACATGATTTATAAGATCTTGCCCAATTAAACAAAGTGCATTCAAGATACAAATACAATCTTAAGGAGTCTGTTACTTTTGATGACACTTTCACCAGTAAAACCATTTTTTAAAATTTTTTTTACAATTATTGACTAGAAATTGAATTACAACCATTTTAATTGCATTAGAAGTACTATGGGCACTTACTGGTGAAGGAGGATGCTGCCTTAAAGAGCCAACAAAATCCTTTCCTTTGCCCTCATTGTTTGCATGGTGAGAACTTGGACCAAGCCTATCATCTGTTGCAAAGTGAAATTCTTTAGCCCGAGTAAGATTGTCAACAGCTGATCTACAAGGCATGTATGACTGCCCTGCAAGAGCCTTCTTCATGGAAACTTTATTCTGTTTGAGTTTTTCCATCATTTCCTTTTGTTTCTGTGCTATGACCTGTAGCTCCTGTTCTTCCCTTGTTTTCTGTGCTTGGGTTTTATCACCTTTGGATTGAGCAACCCTCCTAAAAAAATTTGGCAAAAAATAAGAGGCGAAACGCACTTCTGAGCTGATTATGCTAGGTGTTTGTGGTGCTTTTCTTCATTGTATTCATGTTGTTAGCTAGAATTGTAAGCATAAGTATAATTACAAAACAAGAGTGGTTAGGATAATCCCAAACGATAAATTAAAGCATTGAAAAGCAGATAGCTGTAAACAAAGGCCTGGATGATCTCCCTGAGAGGTTCATAATTAAACCTTCAACTTTCCAGATCCAGTTGTAAATTATTTGCCTCAAGCTGCTACACATTTCTTTCTTTGTAACTAAGTTTCAAAGAATGGAGAAGAAAGTGCTAGCTCAAGATAACAACTTCTTCCTGATTTGTTGGAGTATTCTTATAACCTGTTTGCTGGATAATGTATGGTTATTACAGGGAGAAGTTACATGACGATCATCTGAGTGAAAGGCTTAAAACTGGCTTTCGGCTGACTTCTAATGATCATGCAAACAAAATGGCCATTGAAATTAGCTGTTTATGTTACCTCATAAAATTTGGCGTATCTGGAACAGTTAATGTCAATGGTGCTTTAATCTTCGGGACTTTCTTTGCTGGCCCACCATCAGAGGAACAACTGGAAACGGTGGATGATGTTGATGCAATAGAACACGTTGACAACGTTCTCAGACGAGCTGATCTTCTTTCAGGTACCTTTTTCTCTCGTTTCCTAGAACGAGAAAGCGTATTGGTGAAACTTACCTTGTACAGATTTCAGATTTTCCTCCAATCGTGCATCTACACGTAAAGCTTGATCGCATTTTGGGATTTATAATGTAGTGCCAACAACTAATATAAAAGCACAAAGATGTACACGTAGATTTGCTGTATGTTTGAATTCGTATACGTAGAGTAGCGTTATATTATAAACCCCATCCAAAAATTAACAGAAACAATAAGTTAGAATGTCACGCTTACTTTCTGACTTGAGATTGACGAGGGGCACTTTCCGTCTTGACTTGTTCGTTCGTTGTTGTTTGGGTTTTTGTTACCCACTCTGACCACGAAGTCACACAGTTTTTAGGAGCTGATTTCTTAGGAGGAGCTTCCGCTAAAGGTTCAGTATCAGCTTTCTGTTCCACTCGTGGTTCTTCGTTCTGCGAAGACGAGCTCTCTTTCACCACTTCTTCTAGAATTTTTGATGCTTCGCAGTTAGGTTCATTAGATCGTTGTTCACAAGAATCTTCTTCGATTACCCAGCCACCTTCGTCGGCTGCTTTTCCATCTTGAAAAGAATAAAAGTTTTAGAATAACATCGATCGTCTTTCTAGAGGGGAAAGATTTCGCCAATCAAGACATTAAAACTTACCAAACCACTTATCCGCTTCAGGGTCTAAATCTCCTGTGTCTTTCGAGAAGTCGACAAACATCGGCGCATCGTACTCGTAACTTGGATCAACAAATTCATCCATCCTTTAAAATACAGACTTCAGAAACTCTCAGAGACACTACGCTTTGTGAACCTCTGTGACAAAACAAAATCCAAACGTATAAATCGAGAAAGTAAGTCAGCTTGGGTTACAAACTCTCACCGCTGTTCGATCGTTAAATTTCAAACTAACCGCACGAAACTGACGCTACCTACCACGCATTCCCATTGGTCAATTTCTCTGTCATCCATATTAAGTAATCATGGCCATATTTGTGCAGGATAATAAAATTCAACATGGCGCGCATTTTGGATCGGAAGTGATCCAGGAATAATTAAAACAAAGATTTTTCCGCTAAAAGATATGTCTAAGATGTGTTTGAGATATAAAAAAGGTAGGTTGAAACTGATTGGATATTCAGCTTTGGCTCCTCAATGTTTTTAGAAAGTCCGTCTCACGCATTTATATTACCTTGAAAAATACCCTCGTCTGAAATAACTGAAACTCGGATTTGTTTAACTCTGACTCTCTGAGATAAAGTTAGGGGGATAAAATGAAATTTTGGGTTGAGGTGCACATCTACCATGGTTACTTTTAATTCGATCAAAAAGGCTCACTTTGTATCGTCCCTGATAAAAAAACCGCTCTTCATAACCTAAATAAGCAAAGGCCCAAAGAGTTTCCGATGCAAAAAATGCTGGAGGCTTTATTTAACAAATTTATATATTTGCCAAGTGAAGGAAAATTGTGGTGGGTATTTACCGAGCTTCAAGTTAATTTGTCACCTCATTTATTTACTAATTTTAACTGGTTATTTTATTCTAACTAGTTAGAACAATAGTTACAATTTTATCACTGGCGATTTTTTTTTTCGGGGGTGGGGGTGGGGTAATAAATATGATTTACAAAATAGTTTTTAGAACAAGTTAAATTCTCTCCTGAGTTAAAGATTCAAGACTTGGTATTTCATTAAGTGAAAACACAATCTTGTTGTTGTAAAATTGCTTGGGTCAGAAAAAAAGGCCTCTGTATGCAGATTGAAATGTTTGCATTATTGTCAATGTAAGGATGTTTCCTTTTTTACCTTACTATCTAACAAGTTTGATATTTTTCTTTCAGAGGACAATTATGAATGATCCTTTGAAACTACTGCCAGTTGATGTCACCAAAATTCGAGCTCAAGATGTGGTTGTGGTGGCAGCAGTGCTTGTGGCCTTGTTTCTTTTCAGAGCTCCAAATGTGTGGGAGTTAAAGCCCTCTTGGCAACTGGACGATATCTTGCACAGTGATCACCACACAACAAGAAACAAGTTGTATGTTTGGTTATCAGATTTTTTCATGAAGCTGCTCTGACAAGCTCACTGTCATTTGAATAATTCAGTAAAAATTCAAGTTCATTCATTTAAATTTATTACCTATTTAACCCTTTACACCCTAAAATCAGTGTACATATTCTCCATACTGTTCTCTATACATTTACCCAAGGTGCTGACAAGGAGAATTTGTATACCAATCAAAAGATTCTTTTCCTGTTGATCATTTCCTTTATTCTCATGACCTTAACATGTGATTCAGGGGTGATATTATAGGGAGGAATTTGATGCTAGTGAAGGGTTAGCATTAGAGATGTCTTTTTTTGTCCTCCCTTCTTCTTCCTTTTCCTTTGCTAGTGGCAAGGAGAATTTGTGTAATAGTCAAAGTGCATTTGGTGGAAAGTATAACTGTAAAGAAAAATTTGACTGTGGTTACTTTGGGTTTAAAGAGTTTTAATGATCCATTGTGTTTCTTAAAACCACATGTTCTAATTTGCCAGAATATGACCAAAATGTAGATGAATCAAAGCAACAAAGGATACACCCAAAAGTGTTCTTTGAATTCTGGAGACCTTGATGAGAAGAAATTTTATCATATACACTAGGCAAACTTTTTTCAGAGAGCTGAATGAAATTACCAATTTTCCAAGCAAGACTGGGTGAAAAGGGTTCCAGTTTGCAATTAAGTGAATTTAATTCTTAGACAGAGTTAATTTTATTTAGTTACTTATGATTACATGATGTCACTCTCTTTAGACCTCTTCCTATTATCTCAGACCTGGATAGTGATGGAATTAATGGTAATCATTCATAAGATACTGGTACATGACCTTTAATTATAGATTAAGTATGGAGATTTACAAACTAAACTTGAAGGCCTGGTAGAAAGTATGGAGTTTAAAAGTAAGACTTACAAAATGGGGAGGAAGTCTGTAGTGTGCATGTCTGTTAAGTTTTGTTTAGTTTAGTTTGTTTATGAGTATTGGTGTTGTTGTTGTTACAAGTTGTTCCAAGCTTGCTACTGGTGTCTATTAAACTACTGAGATTTATGAGCAACTTAAAAGTACCCTAAAATTTGTCAAAATGATTTATTAGTGCAATCAGTAAAATGTCCAGTCATGGGGCAAATCCTAAGAACTTCAAGAGGGATAACATGGTTGCTATTGGGCTATCACATTTCTCTTGGTTACTTACTAGGAAATATGTGATCATTTTACAATGACTGAGATACTGCAAGCACCCTAATTGCCCACTAACAATGTTTTTAATCACTCACCTCTGGCTCATGACTTACAAAAATTTTTCATGTTCTTCTAACATCCCACGCGCCCATAAATCGATAGAACTTGCAGTTTATTGATGAGTAATTAAGTTTTCTCTGGTATTCATAACAGAACTTATTATTGTAACTGATGATTCAAGACTTAAAGTTATGATGCTGCCTCCACAAGAGGAGCATGATCTATCATCCACCCTTCCTCATCTTCATATGAAGGTAACAGAATGTCTGGGAAGAGAAATTGATTCCATGTAACCATGTTGCTGTTCATTTTATTCACTTCAAAATGATGTATTTGGGTTTGTGTTTTCTTTGTTTCAGATCTAAAATAATTTACTGTATTTCCATGATCCCTAACAGAGAAACTAATTTATCCATTTTGGCCTAAAACCAATTATTGCAATTGAAAATTAAATATTTGGAATAGTGACACCTTTTGTATGTTTAACAAATTGTGGTTGAATGATTTTTGCCTTTGAGTCAATTACTGAATTTTTTTGGCCAGGCAGAAGTGGTCCTTGAAACTACCAGTAATTCATCCAAGCCTGGATTTCCTGTAGCACTTGGAACAGGATGTGAAGGAAAAAGCATTTCTTTGCTCAATGTCTGTCGCCAGGTGAAGTGCCATTCTATGTATCTTTTTTATTATTTAACCCTTTAACCCCTAAGAGTGACTCACATCTTATTTCTCCCTACAATATCACTCCTGAGTCACACTTTAAGGTCATGAGAATAAAGGAAATGATCAACAGCTAAAGAAGCTCTTGATTGTTAAACGAATTCTCCTTTTCAGCAACTTAGAAAACATGTAGAGAACAGTATGGAGAATATGCTTGCTGATGTTAAAGTGTAAAGGGTTAAGCTTCTTTTATTAATTAAAATGAATAACCAAGAAATGAATGGAAAAACAAGTAAACACAAAATAAATGAATAAATTTATCTACAGATGAATAGAAAAGGTCATTTCAGTTGACCACTCCTCCATCAGAGTGAAAGATTAAGGGCTACGGATTGAAATTTCAGCTTTAGGAACTCTCTATGGTGGCTAATTTGTGTTGATAAAACCAAATCAGATGTATCTTATAATTTCCCCCCCTCCTGCTCTCCACATACCCAGTGCCACAGTTTCTTTAGAAACTTACTCCCTTAACTCATTTGGGAAAAACAAGATTACTTGGTTTTATCAACTGAGTTGATAATGTAATTATTGGCCACTGTAAATAATTTCTAAACTGAAGTTTTGAACTTCAGAAAAAGTGGAAAAAATAGCCTGTCCAAAGATCAGTCAGAGGAAATGAAAGGGATGGCTGGCAGCAAATGGTGGTTGTGGTTGTCAGGGCAATGATCTACAATATCCTAACCTCTCAGAGGTGTTGAATTGGCTAGATTGAATAGTCTAATGTGAAGTGAATTTTCTTGTTTGTATCTATTTGCAGGTGATAGTTGTAGTAACAGATGATGGAGAGGTGCATTGTTACACAGATCAGCTGGAGCTAATGTGGAGGACTCGGGTTTTCACAGATCATGAAACATCAGGCTCACTAAATTTTAAGTGAGTTGGCTATTTTGTTGTAATTTTGTTCTATTTGTGACTAAATCGGAATTCTTTTGTAGATGTTGGAAAGGACGAGTGGTAAATTTTTTTCTGTCATTTCTTTTCTTTATTTAAAAAGTGTTTTACTTGGATTCTTTTTGAAGTTGGCAATGATTCTGCTTTTCCATCAAAAGTCATCCCTTGAAATTAATTTTTGTTTGTTGCTTTGACTTATAGTTCTTTTTAAAGCACTTTATTTTTATGGCCTTTTTTTAATTGCAGGGAAATTGCTGTACTTGTTACACCTCAGTCTGGCTTAGTTTTGATCGGAGGGATGACTGCTAAAGAAGAACAAATGCAACACAATTTAAAGTAATGATTTCCCCTTTGATTCTGTTCCATCTCTTACATTTCTGACTAATGCAGTGTTAGATCGAGGGGGGAGGCCCTAGGTCCAACTTTTACCTCTCCCTAATATCATCAGTTATTGAATCGTTATTGCTCCGCCCCTACCCCCCTTCCCCACCACTCTTTAGGAACAGACCTAACCAGTCATTCTTGAAACTGTGGGTTCCTAAATTTAGAGGAAGCGATTTTGATAAGAAATAGAGCGAAGTAGAAAGATGACCAGATACTTTTCCTTTATCGTAAGCGTCTTTAGTTTTTAAAGTACTATAACGGGCTCCGTTCACGTGTGGTTTCTAAGTTTGTATGTGCTGGCTGTAATGCCTGTTACGTCGGTGAAACCTGCCAGCATTTTTCCAGACGTGTTAGAGAGCACTTAGTCATTGACAGGGCCTCTCACATTTTCAAGCATCTGAAAGATTCTGCACACTGTAGCGCTTTGTGTTCAGAAGATAACTTCCATGTTTTAGATCACGCCTCTACCGGTTTTCAACTCAAGATAAAAGAGGCTATTCATATTCAAAGAGAACAACCATCTTTGAATCAACAATTACACCATGTAAATCTAAAACTATCCTTTTAATTCTCACACTTTCATGCTTTACCTCTTTTCTTGTTGTCACTATTTATCATAATTAGCATTGTTCTACTTACTATATAATTCAACTTCCAACGCTTTGTACATTAATTAACTGAAGATAACAGAAGTTTCTGTCGAAACATGTTTTACAGACTTAAAAGTTTTATCTTTCTTTAAATACTATTTCTTTTGCATTAAAGAAATGAAAAATGAAATATTTTACACTGCATTTTCAGACATGACCATCAACATAACTTTTCCGCCAGTTTTAGTGCTGAGGAGATAGCAAAGCAACCTCCAAGACGCTCGCGCAATACTAAGAAGGTACTTTCTTCCATACTACATCAGATTTAATTTGAAACTGCGGTCGTTTTTCCTTTGGAATATTCCTCATTCCGTGTAAACTGTCCACCTTCAACGGAGGTTTTCGAAAACGCTACACCTTTGCAAGAGCCATTTGTTAGTGTTTCATTTACAATGAAAGATAGCAGCGTAAGATAGTTAACTTTCGACAATAGTGCGAGTTCATTTCATGTGTCCTTCTATTGTCAGGCAACCGAAGAAAAGGAACATTTTTCGACATACGCTCTGAACGCGAAAACAGGAAGGACCCACTGGAAACATGAACCAGGCGACTATGAAGCCAAGAAAATGGACAGAGAGGTATCGTTGTTATTTATATCAGTATACTACACTTCATCAAACTCAGCGTTCTGCGTTTAGTTGTGCATGGTGTAGAAGCTTTTAGGAACGAAATAGCGACCTTTTCGAGCGACTGTCGTTGAACCAAGCCAAATAGAATGATTTTCTATGTCAAGCTTTATTGGGCAAGATCAAAAATGAAAATATACAAACATAAAGAATCAAAGCCCAAAAGGGATGAGCACGAACGGGACACTCAGACCCATGCGGGGTGCCTACCCAAGGGAAATATAAGTGTATATTATATTTTCAATTCTGTGGTAAAAGTAGTTCATGTTCATACAGATCCAAAACTGACACCAACCGCACCTGGTTCATGTTTCGTGTTTTCTCATGATTCAGGCACTTTGCTCGTTTTTACTTGATCGAGTTTTCATCGGATCTTAGCGGTTTTTCTTAGTGTATGAGTATGTAAGTAGGAGACTTTATTTTTAAAGGCTTACGTGTAATACTGACAATTGCTGCCAAACCTGCGGCGCTTGTGGTTAGCTTTTCTAATTGCTTTTAGTTTTTATTTACGACACTCGATCGAAAAGCGCTTTCATCACACACCTTGTCTTAACAAAACAAACAATCTATCCATTAGGAGTCGATCTAACGCGTCCACCTTGCCTGAAATTCCCTGATATCTTTTTTTCTCTGAAGGATATTCTGTCGGCTTACCATTTCAAGCTGGCTCTTCATTCCAGTCAGTACCACGCGGGTGAAATTCACTGGAGTCAATACACCGAGTCACTGATCTCTTCACTACCATACAGATGGCAACATCCCGCTGATACCAGCTTACAAACAGCTCACTTCGTGAAAAGGCAACCCTCGACACTCGCAACTCAAGGGAAAGAACTTAAAACAGGACCTGTGGTAGAATCGAAAGCAATGAAGCCAAACGCAGTTGTTATAAAACGACAAAAGGCCATTGAGGTGTTAAACATGGAGTCTGGTCAACCTTTGTGTTCTTACGCTTTACCTATGAGAACCACAAGTGTTGGTGATTTGAACGGCGACAATGTCATAGATCACGTGACGACGTACTTTGCCTCGGAGCGGATAGACCAATCAGGAATGATCAATCCTTGCTCGGGTGTTGCAGTTTCCGGGTCGAAATCTTTATTCAGTAGGTCTATCTGCCGTACCCCTTCAACGTTCGGTAGTTTCTTTGGCTCGTTCTCCGAGGAAGATTTACGCGAGGAGAACGTGCTGGTTTCTCCGTTGCTTGTGCCAAGTCCACCTTACCAAAGAGGGATTTTCAGCCATCTATCAGGAGAGGCTTTCAAGCGAGATAGCATCAGGAGCTTGGACAGTATTTTTGTTATTTCTTCTGGAAGACTAACAAGTTTGGGACCGTTTGGTGAATTGAATTGGCAGGTAGATTGAAAGCTGGTATTTATAAAAGGAGCGTGATTAATATCAGAGATCACCTTTACAGCGAGGGCAGCACGGACCTGTGGCTGCCATGCCGTCCGTGTCTGAATTTTAAAAGCATCATCAAAAGTACAACGCCAACAACGTAATGACCAAATTGAGACTTCCAATTCATGCTGTTGTTCGGGAAAGCTAACAGGACTCGTGGTTTGATCTGTTTGAAAGAGTAGATGTAGTGAAGTAAATTGCCGATCACTTTAAGGAAAACTTGAGACGCGTTTTAATAACTTTAGACTCTCATTACAATTTCAGTTTCAGATTGTGCTTGTTATTTCGCTAAGGCCCGCGGAGAATAGATGGAAATATAGCGTATGCAGTTTGTTTCATAGGCACTTGTCACTGTCGAAGAATTATCTATCAGCGCGTGAAGCCTCCACAGCGCATCACACGTGCACCCCACCTGCTCTGAACACAGCATTTTTCTTGTCCTTGACAGGTAGACACGGTAACCTCATGGACGAACTACAATCCGCCTAATGACAAAAGTGCAGACGCAGTTCTTGTACCTAACATTCAAGCTGTTTCTACTGCGGTAGGGGCACAAAAGGTATGCTCATTATACTTATTTTTGGCCATTTAATCGTGGTCACGGATCTCGTATATCAGACACAAAATCGGACGTTTAGTGGCAGGTGCGGTGACTGTATGGATAGCGCGCTTATTTTCGAGTCGAGAGATCCAGATTTTAGCCCCAACTGGGTCAATGTGTACAGTCGTGTTCTTAGGCACGCTACTTTACTCTCACAGTGCCTATCTCCAACCAGGAGTATAAATGGGTGGCGGCGAATAGTGAAGGAAGCCTGACAAAATCCTAAGGAGGGATAAGGTCACCTGCGGTGGAGTAGCATTCCATTTTGCAAGAATAGAAATCCTCCTGATTACTTTTTGGCATAAACACAGGAGTTATTTCGTTTGTTTGTTTGTCCTTTGCAGGACGCTGTCCTGGTAACAGGCTTGAGAGACTTCGCACTAGTGTCTCTCAAAGATGGCTCGCTGATGGCCTCTCACTCGATACCCTGCGAACCGGTGTCTCCTGTTGTGCACGGAGATTTTACAAATGACGGTCTAATGGACTTTATTGTATGCTGTAAAACTAGGTGAGCTGTCGGCGCGGCGTCGGGCAGTGTTTGTAAATCCTTAATTCCCTGCAGTGATAAGTGTATAATTTCGTTTGACACTTTTTTCGATATAAGACCTCTAACCGCTGTCCGTTTAGCCCGCGAGTAGGCTCTTGTGTTCGGTTTCCTCCTATAGCCCCTTTACCGAGCACAGCCTGGGGCACAGCCGCCTATTACACCATCGGTGGCCACTTATGGGAAAAACTTTCTAGACCCCTGCAAGTGACAATGTCTTCTCATAGCCCCAAATTCTCCGGATTAAGCTTCAAATAACTGAGTGATCGTAACTTGGGAGAGCTAGCCTATTATCTATTATATGAAGAGATAAGTCACTACAATGAGATTGTATCTAATATATTCTCGTCAACCCTTTGACTGCTAAGAGTGATTAGCAGTTCATCTCCCCTTACAGTATCACCCCTTAATCACAAATTAAGGTCACGAGAATAAACGAAATGGTTACAAACTAAATAAGTTTTCGATTGTTAATCAAATTCTCCTCGTCAGCACCTTAGGAAATGTCTAGAGAACAGTATGGAGAATATGCATACTGATATTAGGGTGTACAGCGTTGATTGATAGGGGGAGTCGCTTTTTGATGAGGGAGTCAGTTCCCAGGCCTGTCTCGCTGAATTCCCAGTCTTCAGGTCTCAAAGCTTCATTCATCCTTTCCAGCAGCCACCTCCTTGAGTATAGAGGGAGTTATTAGCGATTACGGGCGAGTATTACTCACCCATCTCGTGGTGTCAGCTATAGCTTGAGACAAAATTCAAAAGGCCCGTTTACAGTTTACTTCATGTGCAACTAACACTGAAACTTCTTTTCAGCTTTATCGGCTTTTCACTGGACAGTAGACCAGGGTACTGGTGGACGGTAGTCTGGATCGCGTGTGGTCTGGGGGCTATTGGAATGGCAGTAATTATACTTCGCTTCATAGAGGAAGTGATAGTGTGACAGTAGTAGGAGCCCACAGTATCAGCTGCTTGCGGAGTGTCAGAAAGAAGCCGAGTCCTCGTCTTCTTCCCTAGGCCGGATATTTGCGGGAGCATAGATTGTGCAAGTATGTTTCCTTCGCAGCCGTACGTTTGGACTCTGGAAGCAGAGTCGAGAATGTGTTCCGTAAAAAGTAAAGGTAGAACGTAATTGTTAATTACAATCTTTCGATGGCTCCTCAAAGACAGCGTCTTCAGAAACACTAAGTATTTTCAAAATGGACAGCTTTGGATCGTAAATTCGTCATGACATAGAATCTAACCGAATGAAAGAGGAATGAAAATTGAACAGACGAACGAACAAACAAACAAAAAGCGAACGGACGAATAAACGAACTCGTGAGTGAACCCACAAACGGAATTACGATGGGCCGAGAAAGTGAACCGACGAATTACGAAGGGTGGAGAAAGTAAACCGACGAACGTACGAACAGACGATAAATCACGATTAGAGTACACTCTCGAAGTCGTGTTTAGAATATCTCGTCTTTAAAGTAGTTTCATTGTATTCTTATTTCGTCGAATTGCGGCCATGAAAGTGGTCGATGCCGCTACTGTTAAGAGATATTTCATTTCTTAAGTACACAATTTTTGACGCTTAACAATTGTTATGCCGCCGAGAATTAGACTGAAATCATAATTAAGATTGAATGAGAAAGCAAACGCCGGAAAAGCAGAATTAAAGTTTTCTTGTCATTAATAATTGTACAACTGTGTAAACAAAATAAAGCTTTCTGCTGACATCGTCTAAAATGGTTGCGGTCCTATGCAAACACGTCAAAAGCTTTACTTTTGAAAAATAATGGCCTTCCTCGTTAAAAGCTTGTTGCAATAGAAAATACACTGGTGTTCAATGAGGAGTTTGTTCTCAATTCAAAGTTTGATTTTACTTTTCAGAATCTAAGAAAACTAAAGATCAGGCATTCGAGAGGTTTTCTCCTGGAAAGAATCATGTTGATTTCTTAACTTCGGATATATTTCAAGATTTGGCGGAAAAGTTCGTTCAGAATTTCAGTTATCCACTTCTTAAGTGTAATCGAAAATGTATTTTCTTGAACTTTTCGGTGCAGTCTGTGTTTTTCTTCGTTTTATCGCTAGTTGGCTTGTGGACGAGAACAAAAGATTCGACAACAGCTTTCAACAAAGACCTGAAAAGACGCCGTGAATGTACCGACATGAAACTCCATATGTGTGTTTATTTAGGCTTTCTTTACAGAAAAATAATCTTTCCGATCGGAATATTTGTCATTTGCTAGATTAAGCTCGTAATAAAGCCATTTGCTGCTGTGCTAAGTCCTCTAACAAAAACTAGTGAAAGGCGAGTTTGTCCAGAGGTGAATGAATCAGGAAATTTCGATGTCACTCGCTAACATTAGCATCGATGTCCATAAATTGTGCGAAAGTACGTTTCTATGCCTTTCGTTCCAATATTGAGTATGAGTGATACAGTGTTTTTGTATTATTTTGTGCCGCGGGAAAGTTGCGGCAAATTTTTGACAAAAAGCAAATTTTGCTCGCGAAATTAAAAATTTCTCGTTTGGTTTTTAATTGTCGGTCCATCACCTTTTCCCGCCGACTAAAGTAAACATTGTGGGAGATTCCTGAAAACATAATTGTAATTGCAATTTTAATGCGAAGTTATACTGGCTTATACACATTTTGACGCAATGTAGAGGTTTTTTTTGTTGATATCTTTGGTAGTTTTACCTCAGTCGTCTAATACTGCTGAGTTACAATTGAGATAGTAAAGTACATGGTTATTTCAAAAAATATAGTTTCCTTAATATTTTGATAAATACTTGGTCTGGAAATTCCAGATAAACTGTTTATTGTAAACTGCAGTTGAATTCAATTATTTCAAAGCCATCGCATTTTCAATGAAGCGTTTGATTTCAATGTCTTTGGCCATATCTACTGGCAACAAGCCGTTATCTGTCTCAGAAAATAAATCCGCGCCGTGTTCGATCAATATAGAAGCCGTCACAACATTTCCTTCTCTAACAGCCTCGTGGATAGGACTGCTTCCGTTCAAAGATTGCCTGTTTACTTCGGCGCCATGTTCCAGAAGTAATTTTACTCCTTCCGTATCACCTTTCGCTGCGGCTTCGTGGAGGAGTGAGACGCCATAACTATTCAACTCGTTCACGTTTGTAACTTGGTGGCTGATCGCACTCGCAATCGTAAAACCCGCTTTCGATTCTCTGTAAAACGTGTTATATCGATCACTGTGCAAGTACGTGGCAGGGGATGAATTACGCCGTGATTGAAACTGTGCATTAGTTGGAAACTCGCGGTTAGGAGGATTTCCGGGATCTAAGCAAACGTTAACAGACGACGCACGTTTACGATCTTGAGTAAAGTTCTCCACTCTTGTATCGTTGTTTTGCCTGGGTGAAGATATTATTCCCCTCTCGAAAGAGTACACATTCGCGGCAGAATTTGTCGATGTCGAACTGTACGCGGAATCGGATGAACTCGATGAGTCAGATGAGTTAGAACACAAAGATGATGTCGATTGTCGTTTGAAGACTTCCCGTCGGCGCTTTCCGCATTTAAGGCAAACCGTGTCCTTACAACCGACGTCCCAACTCAGTCGGTTTTTGGTATGTGTATCTTGATCTTGTGAGGGTAACTCAACCCCGCTGGGCCCACTGAAGCTTGAAACATCCATTAACCTTTCCTGATCTTTATCTCGCATCTTGACATTTGCGGTCGGAACTTTTGGCTGTAAGGAACTGCGCCTTTTTTGCGATTCAACCGACGAAATATTTTTAGGTAAAATGATTTCGCTTGTCGCTCTCTTGCGCGGCTCTTTTATCAAACTGGTTAGATCACTTTGCTGCGCCTTTTCCTCTATTAGCTCTCTTATATCGGGTCTCCTTTTCAAGAACTGCTCGACTTCTCTAGTTTTCCCTCTCCTTCGCATAGCTTCGGCGAGAATTAGAACCGATTGCAGATCTTGCGCCAGATCGATCGCCAGTTCCCCTTGGTCGTTCTCTAACTCCACTGGAGCGCCCATGGTTATGAGATATCGGATGATGGAATGATTTCGTGCTACTGAAGCAGCATGCAGAACGCTCCAACCCTCTTTATCCTGTATGTTAAGATCAGCGCCATGACTCACAAGCAGTTGCACTAATTTTAAGTTTCCCGTAAATGAACACCTTTGCAGAGCGGTAATGCCATCTTCGTCGATATCATCGACGTGAAATTGTGACTCGCTCTGTTCAAGGAGAAACTGCACCCTGAAAATGTCCTTGACACCAACCGCTTCGTGAAATAACTCGACCGGTTTCCTCTTGACTGCAAACTTCAACATGGCGGATCACTCTCCGGAGTAATACAAAACTGCGGTGTGAAATCTGTTTGTCACAAGGTGTAGAAAACACACGACTGTGTCGCGTCAAGACTTGTCGGTTATGACATCCAGCCAGCTCGTGAATACAAAGGAGATTAGCGCCTTGCGCGAAACAACAATGCACCGCGAGACGTGTACACAAACTCAGTAAAGAAACAGTTATATCAACACGTCTACTGGTTTTGTTCCAATTGATTGCTTGCAGTGACAGCTAATCGACAGTGGTATTATTCAACCTTATTGCGCTGTCTCCTGTTGAGATAATTAAATCTTATTTTGTGGTTCTCGTGGTTTCTTGGGGGGTCATCCTTGTTGACTTTCTGTGCGAGTGAAGTGCGAGTGAAGTGCGGTTCGTTTGCGGTTCGCAGCGAGGTAAACATGTATTTTTCCTGCCTCCCTGCTCTTCCCTTATCCCTAAAAATACTTGACGCGATTTCATTTGTTTTACATTGTTTGCCAAGCTATCACACTTCTTCTTTGTTCTCTTTAAGACACTCATCAAGGTTTTTAATTAATGCTTCTTATCTTTGAAAATCGATTATGACAACCATCGCGCCTGAGTAAACGGTAAATAAAAAGCTTCTAAGTCTTCGTGGCATTTTCTCTATAAAAGAAGAAGAATAATATAATTCCAGTTTGGCAGATGGCGTAGGAGTTATTGTCCGAACTGTTGATAGTAATTTCAACACTGATTTGACGCGTGGTTGCCTCGAAAATTGATATAGGACTTATGTAGGATTATATTCAGGACCAGACATAGATAAACAATTAAATAACGACATTAAAACAGCTTTTCGTTTCAGTTTTACCAGTTGTTATTCTCCGGTGAAAAAATTATATGTCAAGTCATCGACATTTATGTTTTGATGGTCGCTCGTCACTTAATATTACAGTGAAGTAGCGCGCGCAATATCGTGGTTTTAGTTTTGTGGTTATAACCACGACAACTTAGCTATCAGATGTGTCGGGCGTGATATAATAAAATCTGAAATGACAAAAACAGAAATGATCATTCAACCTATTTTTAGCTCTGATGATTAGTTCGCCCGACTTCCTTGCACACGTCTGCAAGAGATCCCAGTAAACCCTTTCCCGCTAGCAGTTTGGTAGTGGAAGTAGTTGGAACCCGACGGTTTGCCAAGGATTGAAAGCAATGGGAAAGGATCATTCCTTTGCAATAATGTCAAGTCCAGAGGCGCATCGAGTATGCTCTAGTAGGAGTTGGAAAAATCGCATACCGCTCCATAGACCGGCTACATATAGAAATTTTCCTGAAGGGACATCTGTTTATCTGTTTACAATATCAAAAGAACATGATGTGCCTGCTTCACGGGTCAGTGAATTCGAGTAAATCCACTTCGTATGTTGTAAATGCTGCATTCATTCTTAAATATTGGAAAACAGTAGCGAACAAAAACCCTCTGTTCGCTCCGGATATGAGTTCAAAACACCCCAGGAAATGATCTTGAGAGCCATCTTGATTGTGTCAGAGAGCCCATTGTGCCAATGTCACGAGACACATTCCATTGGAGAAAATTACGCTCGAAGACAATGATGATAACTTTGAACTCTCTGACTTTTGGAATGAAAGCCTCGCTTGTTTAACTTGAACTTGAAGCACGATCGTGCACGTGCGAAGATTGTGTTATGTAACCGTCATGATGCAAGAATTTGAATAATCGCTTGGTTATTATTTGTATGTCGCGGAAAATCCATTCAAATCTGATGTTATCTTTGCAATTTCTCGTTACGTTTTGGCCTGTTCCTTCCGTTTGAAGACTATGGGGTATTTTGCCTAGAAATTAAAATTAAGTCGAAATATCGAGGTTTCCTCTTAAACGTCTCCTGTGAAGATTTTCAGCTCGATATGGATTTGTTTATTTACCTTATATCATTTTCGTAGTAACTTGAAGAAGTAAATCTATAAGACAAAGACATTCTCTTTAACAATCTGAAGTTATCAACATGTGACTTCTCTCCACAAGTTTAACACATCCATGAACTACCTTATAAGAATTAGATAATCTCTAATTTAAAAGATAAAAGTATTGTAGCTAGAATAGAGAATAACACTTCAAGATTTAACGAGTTCAAGAGTTAAACTTTTAAGTTGAGACCTCTTTGTTTCATGATCCAATATTTTGCGGTTTGGTTCCTGTGAAAGCAGTTCGCAAGCCACTAAAAATAGCGCTCAATTTGACCATCCGCAATACTATGAATAAACTATTTAAAGTTGTAGTTTCTCTTTAAAATCTCTCATGAAAGTTCTGTTGCCAGTCTTATTTTGTAATAATGATCTCCTCTTGTTTGCGAGGAGTCAATCATGCTTTCCAAAGGGATACAACTGGGGAACCAAATCACATTCCTAAAGCATTAGAGAACACTGAGGGATTAACACGAAGGATAAAGTTTTGTCTCCTCGCACATGAGTCCTTGTATTAAGAGTGTTACGTAAGACAAGAACGTGCGTTGTTAGCCTAACTTCTGTATGTAAATTAGTATCTTTGAACTGTCAGGCTTGCATTTGCGAATAACTCACGTGCGGTATTCTTTTTTTTTTTTTGTTTTGTTTAATATATCTTTACGGGAAGGAAGCCATGTTTGTAAAGCAAAGGGGAGAAAGCTGTGGAATTGAAAATTCCTTAAGCTTTAATAACCAAAAATTGGCAGAGAAAGTTACTGGAAATCAGGAAGATGTAATCAAGAAAAACATTCAGACTCATCATATAAAATTTTATGGCCAGACTGTTGCGTAAGACAACATGCATGAACTTTGAGACAGATGCGTGAGAGCGGAGCGTTCTTCTGGAAGAAATAATGTTAACTGTCGTCTTGGATTAAGATAAATTGCCTAAAGCTGTCTGAATTTTCTAGGCTGATAACTTTTAGTGTGTAAGGGTTATTCATTCGAGAGAAGGGTTGCTTTCTAGTTTGTTCTCTTTTCTTCAGGAGTAGTCAGGCGTAAAGATGAAAATTGAGATAAAGCATTTTGTAGGAATTCGAGACCTTTTATCTTTTTTTTAAGAAAAAAAAACACTCCTTTTGAATTCAGCTAAGTTAATTAAAGGACTTGAAACAGCCATCAATACTATGCAGCAATTGTCTGTTTAAAATAAGACGTACAAAGTCCGAACAAAATTCGCCGGGTACTTCGACAATCTACTAGCAGTGTTAATCTCATGAAGGTGGCCCGAGACAGAATCCTGGTGCTAAATACTCGGTTTAGTGATCCTCTTAGCTGAGTTATTTAAGGCGTCTTAGAAAGACTTACAAGTTATTAATCCTTGTCATGTCGAAATTTTGGCCGGTGTCTACTGACCATGCATTCATCGGGTTAGTGTCACGCGAAAACCAGAGAACTGAAAACTAGCTTCTGATGAAATGTTTCGGCCCAGGCTTCAGTAATAACTTAATTCACTTCAACAATTACATCAAGCAATGACCCCTACTTGTTTTTTCGTAAGGCCACTAGGAGCTATGAAGGTGTGCCATGGCGCAAAACTAGTATGAAAGCGATAAAGAAGCTGTGTTTCACAATCCGGTTGTCATGCACGTAACGTTTGGGCTAGATTTCCTGTCGCTGTTTGGAAAATGATCCCTCACTCCTCTCCCACCGAAGTGACTTCTCAGGAAGTATAAACACTGGATCCGATTAAACGGCGGTAATCGGACTTGAACAATCCACAACTGAGTAATTTTGTTGGTGGGAGTTATCTCTTCATTAGAACCTTCTTTTACCCCTATTTGGACACATCTGCAATAAATCAAAATACCATTTTAAGTTTATCTTTTGTGAACATAATATGCGTCGAACGCTCGATTATTCTGAATTTTATCAACCCCTCTAACCTCCTCTGTTTGGTAAATCTTTTTTTCCTCCTTTTTTAATACTCTTGTTTCTGTTTAACCGAACCGATGACTATTTTTTTATTTCCTTCACGATATAATTTTGCGCAGGTCATTACAGAAACGCGACTTAGAATATTACGAAGTAGTCGTCCTTTAATGAGAGTCTCAATGGCTGTGATGGCTTTTACGGCTAACGGTTAAGATTTTGGACATTTTGGATGGTTGATTTCTTTCTGTTGCTATAAAAAGAAAGGTTTTTACCGTTAAATTTTTTTACGACCAACGGTTAATATTCGTCAATTTTTCTGCCGTTTAAGACCAACCGTTAACACCACAGAGACCTTCGAATGGATGAACGTTCTCCGCGGTTTTAAGTGCTTCTGGAATTTAGGAATTTTCCATGTAAACTGTCATAATCAGTCGCCATTTGACAAATCACAGTGGAACAGGCCCACACGTGTTTGAATTCCGGCCTGAGAGATGGAAATATATCGTTATAAATATAAATATAAATATAACGTGTCCAGGCTTATCAGTCACTCTGAATACTGAGTGGACAACCCGAAAAGGAAACGGGATATTTCTTCGTAATCGCTGTAAAGAGCAGATTCATTGTGTCCTCTCGTCAGATTAGGAACCTCGATTTATCATAAACCATTTATCATAGCGTACTGGGCCGGTCCCAAAAGTACAAGTACATGGATAAAACATTGATGTTTAATGTTATTATATATTTAGTTTCAAAGGACCTAGATTTTCATAAGCAAGCTGCTTTCAGCAAATTAGTTGAAAGAAGAGAGCTTTGAATCTAAACAGAACACAGACCAAAAGGCGCATTGGTGTCTTCCTTACATATAAGTCATGTAAGCAGTTTGTTTATTTTAGAAGAAAGTGCCGCTATAGTAGTCCTTTTGACGCTGCCCTTAGTACCAAATATTCGCTCTGAGATTACCGTGAAATAGGTGCAATCCGAGGACGATAAGAAAATAAAGGGAAAGCTGCAGGAAAAAAAAACAACTCCTACTTTAACATCGTTATTGCATTCATACCAAAGCATAGACAGAAGGCATCTTTAATAACGAAGAAAAGTACTGAGAATCTTTAACAAAACTAGCTGCTCCCATTTTTTTCTCGCCCTTTGAAAAAAAAATTTCTAATGTAAAAACAGAACAATCAGTATGAATAACACTACCAAAAATCTTGCTAGAGATTTTTCGAAAACACTTTAACCCTTTCCTAGAGGACTTGAGGAAAAGAGGCCCTGGGAAATAGTTTGTTAATCTAAGGCTTTCCTTCCCTGACTTTCCATTACGATCACTGCCGACTGATGCGAGTTTAGAAGTAAAATTTAAAATTTTGAATTCTACTTGATGTATTAACTGAATGCACGTATCAACGACTCATCAACGTGTTTTAGAATAAGGCAGACAGAGGATAAATGAATAAGGGGGTAAGTTTCTAAAGGAATTGTGGTGCTGCGTCGGTGGGAGAGTATAGCAGGTTATTCAGTGTTAACAACTGAGTTGAAAACATAAATTGGCCACCGTAAAGGGTAAAAATGCTGACCTTTCGAGCGTTAGCCCTTCGTCAGAGCGATTGGAGGAATTGTGGGTTATGAGTGGGTTTATATGCAGAAAGTGGAGCTACGCTATTGGTGGGAATATGGTGACGAGAAAACAGGAATAAATTAGTTGAATGAAAAACGCTCGTTGATTCCGTGGGGATTAAGGGTGCCGATTTGGAAGATTTTTGTTCTAGTGTCTTGCGGCTTTCCGAGCTGCCTAGATGTAGGGAAAGACTGAAAACTGCCATATGCTGTTTTGAATGATAAGGGAGATTAAAGTGTCTAGCGACTGGTTTGGATGCGTCCTTGTCATTTCTTTCCGCGTCGCGACACGGACACCAAATTTATTTCATACAGTTTTCCCTGACGAATTTATCCCCTTCCCTGACTCCCGATGATCGAAAAAATAACTGAGAAAAAGGAAATACCGGTTATTAAACAGGGAGTGAGACCTGTCGCAGAAAAACTGTTTTCGAATAGAAGGAAACTTCCTGATAAAAATGAAAAGAAGACTTTCCATAACTAGTTATAAAGATTTCAAAAGACATTCTGCTCGACATATGTCTTTCACAAACTTCTATTCTTCACTTTTTCATCCAAAGATGCATTTGTCAATCGAAGGAAAAGTTGCTTTTTTAAGAACCGCTTAGAATTCGTCAGTTTTGCTGTTCAAGCGAGATTTCAAAGTAGATATCCTATTAAGCTATTTCAGACCCTTAGTGACAGACAGCCAGACTATTACATGCCCAGGTCAGTCTAATCCTAAAATTCTGCATCATAGATACTCCTTATGTGTTTTGAGTTCTTGTTCGGCGCTGTTAGCCAGTTGTTAGCGATCCATTTCTCTCCTTTGATGACGTCACACCCGCCATGCAGTGAATAACGATCCACAGGTCCTAACATACCGCTCTCCGGGTCAATAAAATTGTTGTACCACATGATGGCGGTACCTTTCTTGGGAGGGATAACAAGATTGGCCATGTGACAGTTGACACTTAAGTTGAATTCGTCCGTGGTAGCGTTGTCACCGCTACCGCTGTTTCCCCTCCTTCCTCCACATCATTAAGGTAATAGAGAATGGTGATGAATCTGTGTGACAAAATATAAGAAATACTGAAGACGAGGGCCATGGTTGCATGGTCTCTTATTAGTTACTGGGGGGGCAGGACTCCGGTTAGTGGGGTCCGTGTTCGAGCCCTGACTTGGTCAGGCGGTTGGTTGTGCTTTCAGGTAAGATAAGATAATTGCAAAGTACCTGTTTCCACCCTGCAATATAACTAGGCATCAAAAACTGTCAGGAAACCCAAGCACATGTTACAATTGGAGACAACCCTACGATGAACTATCGTCTGCTTCAGGGGCAATAGCAGTACCGTAGTCGCTTCATACTATACTGAAACTGGTATAAGCTCTGGTTAGATTGATGATCCTCTTGGCGTATAAGTCGGTTTAACTCAGATTTGCTTGAGCGTTTGCATTTCAGGCATTTGAGATGATCTGAACTGCATTTACTGTCCTTTTGTCAGGAATAATTTTTACGGTTTTCCCCGAGTATTGGATGAAACAGTACCAAAACTCGATTAAATTATCATTGCTTGTTGGCAATTTTGTTGTTTGTTTTTTAGGTGTTATTGTTGTTGTGGTTGTTATTGTTTAGGTTTTCGTTTTTAGTCTGGGTATGAGTTGGTTAGCCCACCTCAGCCGCGCATGCATTGCTTGCTGATCGACATTTAGCAATACCTGCATATTCGGCAATCGTGATATCCAAAGTGATTCTGATGACAGCAAGGAATTGAAAAGTCTTGAGAGGGGTTGGAATCCAGGTGACCATGATAATGACCAAACGGATCATACTGAACAACCTGCAGGACACGTGAAGAGACGTATTTCTACTATGCTCTGTCGTTAAGATAATCATGCAAAATAATCAACCAAAGCAATCAGTACAATATTACAAGATATTAGTAACCTTGACCGAGTTACGATTAAAAACTTGATTGATTGAGAGAAAATGGCACGCAAGTTTTCTAGAACAGGACAGTGAAGCAAAACAATGCATCTCTTTTCCTTTTTGTTTCCTTTTTGTTTCAATCGTCAGTTATTGAGAAGTATCTCAAAAATTAAACCGTGCACAGTAAGAGGTGTAGTGAATAAAGGGGGTAAGTTTCTAAATAAACTATGGTGACAATAGGCCATTTCCGAATTACCTTTGGCCTCTTTTTCAAAACGAGGCTTGGTGCTCAATCATTCGTATGAAAATGAGATTAATTTGCATGTGAATGAAAACTCATAGGTATATGGAAGGATTGTATTGTATTGTGATTGTATTGAAGAACAGGTTGACTTTTGACTCAGCTTCGTATGATGAAGTGCAAATATCTGCTACGTCATCTGAATAACTCTCAAGTAAATGTTTTGATACCTGCATCCACTCGCCTGCTTGAATCACTTTTCGAGGCAACTGAGTTAACTTCTGAATTCTGTAGAAAAAGCGATGATCATGAATAGATAATATTCCAATAACATTTTTATTTATCATCAGACGATAGTTTAAATTCATTTTAATAAGAATCAGTTTATTCCCAAATAACAAGAGTCTCAGTCAGTCTCTGTAGAGCAGATTGATAACAGATCGTACTTAAGAGTGACTATCTGGTCCATATGGGAACACTCGCAATGAAAGGCAAACGCTATCATTTTTGATATTCTTAATATAAACGTCTTTAAGCTCAATAACGGGCTTTAGGGTATCTCCTTAACTCCATACACGAGCTCCTATGCATTTGTATACTTAAAGACTTTAGCGCTAATAAAATGTATATCAGTGCAATTGTAAAAACAATGATATGTATAAAAAAAGCAAAATGGGAAAATCGTGTTTTACGTCGCATGCGCGGGGAAATAGGAGCATAACTCTCAAATTAAATGTGCTCAGCTGAGTAATCTTGATGCGAATGGGCCTTTTATCAGGATTAAAAAGCCAATTAAAACAAACCAAACCAATTCCTTGGTAATTTTGATACTTGATCGAGAAATGCTCTTCTGTGATCGTGATCGTTTCCAGTCTACTAATCTCACCTTGCAAGCAGGCGCCTGAGGATTGGATCGGCGTTCCTGTCTTGTCGTAGCCAGGCCTGCTGGCTGTATCGAGGTCTATGGCGAGGACTTTTTTCTTTCAAGAAATCCATGTACCATAAGAGTTTCTTTATGTTCGTTTTTGCAAACGCTGCACGACTCATTTTACCTTGATTGATTGTGAAAAGAAAACAACGAACTTTAAGAGTCGATTTTTGAAGGTAAATACAACAGTTATGCAGTTATGATATATAGCTACAACACTCGGCACATTCACTTCCCGCCCTAGTTGCTTCCTGTCTCAGTCGCCAGGCCCAGCAAATAATTGCGCAACAGTAATTGTTAACTTGCACTGGATAAAATAAGTGCAAGGGTCAGAAATATCCCCAGACCTCCATTAACGTTTTGAGGGAAGGTAGATGATGAGTCATTGTTAGATTTGACCAGTGATTGATGTTCATATTCCGTCTGTAAGGTTATCATGTTCATATTTTCAAGCTTATCAAAAGCTTTTCGCACGCATTCGATATTACATTAGCAACCTGGTTAAAAGATATTTCTTACCATCTTTTAGACTCTCTGACAATCCTATGCGTTTAAACCTACAACCAAAGAAAATGAGGTAAGTCTTTCTTTCATCTATAGAACCTGAGGAGATAAGGTAGTTCTTCGGATTTATAGTACAGGTGAGGATAATGGAGTGAGTTATGGCGGTTTTTACGACAAAATTTTAGATTTTAATTATAATAAATAATTACTTTTCTTCTTTTGGGATTCAGCAAGGTACCTATCAGTCAACACGCCTTAAAGCAAATATAGCATAGAAGAGTAAATTTCAACAAACAAACAAAAGGATATATCACAAAGTAAACATTCTGAGGAAAATTCAACTCGGTCGTCGGCAAGGTACTTACATTGTTGGAACTTCATCCTCTCTCATAAACAGAAGTTTTCGTTTTTGGGCGAAATGCCTCACCTGTGGCATGAAAGGACAACCAAGCATCAAAAATAAATAACAACAACAAAAAGAAAGATGGACTTCAAGGAAAAGCCTTTAAGAGATTAACATCAATACGTTTCAATGGATGATGTATTACTTTCCGTTATTTCATCTTGTTATTGTCCAATATTGTGTTATGTTATACTAAATCTTGTTGATGTGTTGTCGTAATACGTCTAGGTTTTTCATTCTGCACTGTGTGTTTCACTTTTTACTTCGCACATACCTCATTTGCGTCGATGAATCCATCATTATTGACATCCCATAAATTGAATGCTTTGGCAAATCGTTCATCATGATCAAGTGTCCAGTTTGCATCTGTTGAAAAGTTTGCGTGTAGCTTCTAAATACAGTGTACAATTAATTACCTTAAACTTCATTAAAATGTTGTTTGATTAAATTTTTGTCTTGGCCTGTTCTAAAACCACAACAATGCAAATCATACTATTTGGGACATTTAGCAAGTTTCCAAGTCTAGCTAAGACACCCACGAGTCAAACTTCTAAGTCGTTCACGACTCAAACTTTTAAATCACTCGTGAGTCAGTCCTCTAAGTCGTTCATCGGTCAAACTTTTAAATCATTCATGCGTCAATCCTCTAAGTCGTTCATGAGTCAAACTCCTAAGTCTTTCACAAGTCAAACTTCTTAGGCGTCCACTAGTCAAGCTTCTACGTCGTTCACGAGTCAATCCTCAAAGTCCTTCACGAGTCAAACTTCTAAGTCACTCACAAGTCAAACCTCTAAGTCGATCACGAGTCAAACTTCTAAGTCGTTCAAAAGTCAAACTTCTTAGTTATTCACAAGTCAAGCTTCTAAGTCATTCACGAGTCAATCCTCAAAGTCCTTCACAAGTCAAAATTCTAAGTTTTTCACGAGTCAAGCATCTAAGTCGTTCACGAGTCAATCCTCAAAGGCGTTCACGAGTCAAACTTCTAAGTTGTTCACGAGTCAAGCTTCTTGGTCGTTCACGAGTCAAGCTACTAAGTTGTTTACGAGTTACGAGACTTTATCACCAGTTTATTTGTTTTTGCCTTCTCAACTATTTACTTCTTTAATTCGCTCATGGAAAACTTGGTTACCAATAGAAAAAAAAGGAAGTTTTACCGGCTTCTCTCATATCTTCATCTAAGTCACCCTCGTAAGCAGCAACATCAAAGCCAGCTATACTCATGACAAGACCGCTTTCCTTTGCCAGTGAAATGATATGCTCACATTCTTCATCCGACAAGAAACGGGGAATCTCTGTTAAAGAATTAAAATCATAACATAATCCTTTTTCTCTTTTTTTTTTTTGTAAGGGTGAAAAATGATCCTGGGAATGAACTTTTGATAGGAACAACTTGAGGCAGAACTCACCAAAAAGCAAGGGCTTCATGGCTCTTGTGATCATTTTGTATTTGATCCCTTCCGTTAATTCCACCCATCTCTCATGACCTGTCTAAAAAAAAGAAATACGAACTGACCTGTAAGTTGCCAGGTGCAATGAGCAGGATTTCGATAACTTTTTCCTCAATGAGCTACCGATTGTGTTTTTGGCAGTAATGTCGCAATCTGCTTGGCCAATTTGCCTTTGTCGATAAGAATACAGACAATGCTGCTCGCGTCAACGTTTCATGCAGTGGTCACGCACTGAAAGAATTGCTTTATGTTACGTCCATAATTTGGTAGAAGGCAAACTGACAGTGTTTTAGCTTGGTCTGTGACCTTATCGACCACGATATTCGTCGCCACAATGTTCAAAATATATTGTGGACTCATGAGGCGCAGGCGAGTGGGTGGACAACATTTTGACCACTGTGATGCGAGTATCGTTGTTGGTAAGAGTATAGACCACGCTTAACTACTATCAATTTGTTAAATAAGCGGCTTAGCCCTGAGGCGAAATCATACACGAGAGTCTGTTAATAAGTGGTGTCTGTGAGGTCTTAAACGCGGTGTTAGATGGTCGGTATCTAACTTTTATTGAAAACCCTTACAATAGGATTATAAAATTTGGCTGCTAAATGTGACGAGCGTAGGAGATGGAAGGAAGAGTGAAAAGTGTCAGTTTGACATTGAAATAATGAAAAGCTGAAACGACCAGGACTGGTACCTGAGTATCACATCGAGAAGTCTGCTGTAATGAATTAGCATAAAACATACAAATTGCGCAACAGTGCGACCCAAAAGTCATGTATAGCAGTTGTCTTCTGTGTATGTGTGCCAAAAATTCAGATAAAGTCAAATTTGTGCTTCAATTTTCTACATGAAATTGTCTCTTGAAGAAATGATCCGCACATCCTTTACATATGGCTTTGATAAAATTAATAAATTGAAAATATTCATCGCTTCTAAATACAGCGGCCATTTGTGGAATATCTTTAATTATCAAAACGCACTAACTTAATAATCTTCAAGTATGATGAGTAGAGTTGAATCTCTAGTCCGACATAAACCCGATGAAAACGACACCTTGAAGACGAAGGCTCAACAGACGGTTTGTATCTCATCAGTGATTGTACATTGAAATATATGGATTCAGACTCTAGGAAAACAATCTCCTAATAAAGAAACAATTTTTTTATTCCTTTAGAAATTTAAGTTTTTTTTACTTTATTTGACACAGCCTTCAATTATAGCTCAGCTTTATTTTGGTCACTAGCGGGAATGAACGGATTTTGACGACCTATCAAAGAGAAAGACTACTTATCTGTTGCAAGGTGTGTCAATGTTTAAACATTGAGACATGCAATGTTATATTTCACATACTTTTATCAATTGTTTACGAATCTAGTTATAAACATAAGTCCCACTGCGGGAATTTGCTGCGTTGGCGATTGTCAGTTGAATTCAGCTATGCTGTTCATCCTTTGAATGCGCTATGGAAACTTTAAAACTTAAATATTAAAAACTTCAAGACAACATTTAATAAGAGTCAGTACCTTCACTCCGTCCAAACGCAGCAATTCGATTTCGTCTGCACGTTCCTCGTGACAAGATTCTGTGGGATCCGTACACAAGTGAAGAAATTGTTCTTCAGCGAAGCACGGTTCTTTGAACTTGATCTTTCTACGTTTTGAATCTTTTGACCCACTCCCACAGAAGAAGAACCAGTATAGAACGAAAAGGAGACCTTGAACCTTCATAACTACCATCCAAAGGATTCAAAGTTATGTTTTTTCTTCAATTTACCTACATGGCTTAGGATAAAGAGTTAAATTATTAATTTTGTCGATTTAAGACAAGGAGAAAAGTTTTGTCTACCATGCAACATGTGGTTCTATTGTTGGCGATAACCGCTGGACGATGGGTCAACATCCCTCCTCGGGCAATCCTCAGGCATTTTACTGTCGTCCTTGGGTGAGGGTGGGAAATTTTAACCTCACCTGACTTTGGTGGGGATTTGAACCGAAAGTTTCGAGTCTCTCCAGATAAATTTCAAGTGTTTTAAGATATGGAGATGTTTAAGATGAAAAGTTCACTTTCGTGAATGGATGGCTCTGAAGAAAAGTTCTACAAGATCTAGGTTTTAAAGCTCGGTCAATGTGTAGAAATTCACGGTCGCTGATTTTGCCTTTTTCTTTTTTCTTTTTTATTTTACAATACTTTAAAAAGAGGCTTCCTTTTCAGGCCTTTAACTACAGTGCGGTTTTTGAAAATCACGATCATATTGTGCGGTGTGCAAATTTAGGTTTAACATCGTCTCTTCCCACGTGGTCTAGAGGTTAGGATTCGGCGCTCTCACCGCCGCGGCCCGGGTTCGATTCCCGGCGTGGGAATGGTTTTGCAACTTTCTCTCCTCGTTCCTTTTTTACTTTTGGTAAACTTACTTCTATAACCATATTGGTCTCAGTAAATCGACTAATGCATGAACTGGAGCCTTAGCATTTGCAAATTAAACGGCCATGAATTACTGACATAAACAAACGTTGTATAAGGTTTACAGAGTCTACCCTACTTAAACTAGGGTAATGAGATTAATTTGCAAAATTTTAAGAACGCTCCTCTTAACCTTTGTTATTAATAGCATTTTCTGTGATGCATGGTCTATAGTGACTCAGAGATCGCAAGATTTTACCATCAATCGTCAGTATCTGTTTATTTATATATATTTTTTCAACACTGTCACTCTCAAGGCCACGGTCAACCAGTGTACTTTGCGCGCCGTCCGCCGTCATCGTTATCATCCAGAATTCAAACAACAACTGTACACTGTACCACGATACAATTACTATTCAAGGCTGAAATATTAGACTCAGAAATTATATTCTTGGACACGGAAGTGTAAAAAAGCGAGAATCGAGAGGGAATCGATCCTTGACGTCCACACGCATTACAAAGAGACGGAGACCTTCGAATACTTAAACTTTTATTCGAGTCATTCACCAGACACACAAAAAAAGGATTCGCAAGAGGAGAAGGGTTGCGCCTCTTATAAATGAATTCTTCAAGTTCCACGTTTACTAAAATCATGCAGAGTTTCAAAATACACTTAAAGAATGGAGGATATCAAGAGGAAGTTTTGGAGAAATGTATCTCTAAATTTTGAACTTGTTGATTTCACCGGGAGAGAAAGATCACTCAAACTCACATGGACTTAAGATTCTGATCGATTGTAAACGTTTCCCCGTCTTAAACGTTTCTGTTTGACTTTCCTCCGAAATGTTGCATGGCAGGGCCTCTGCGAACTCGCTGCTGACGTTTTTGCCAAATCCTAAAGCTGTCTTTCGCTCATTCCATGCTTTTAAAATTGATCTAGTGATATCCATATGATTTGACGGCTTTCCATCCCTGAAGGACGACCTCTTATCGATGGCTTCATTATTGCGAACGCGGAATGAAACGACGGAAATACGTAGCAAATAGACGATAGACACTAGGGGAAACTAAATGAAGGTAAAAAGGCCGGTTCTCGATCAAGATTAAAAAGAGTTAGTCGAATAATATTACACACACGGTAGGCTTTTCTTTTATGTGTTACAGAAAATGCTGAGAATGGCCACCACCCCCGGTAATGCATCCTGGTTGAGCGTGGCCCTTCAAGCGGCAGTATAAACCATCACATAATTACCGTAGTTGTAGTATTAATATAATCGATTTTTATGTGTCAGTACTTTGAAAAGCTGTTTTCCTTTTGAGACCTTTGACTACAGTATGTTTTTTGACGTCATAATCATATAGCGAGGTGCACAGCTTTTAATGCGACCTTTATAACATTGCCTGAAATGGTATGAGTTCCCACGTGGTCTAGTGGCTAGGATTCGGCGCTCTCACCGCCGCGGCCCGGGCTCCATGCCCGGCGTGGGAATGATTTTGTAGATTTCTCTTTTCCATACTTTTTAAATTTTAAATAACTGGCCAGAAAACTCACGAGGCGAACTAGACTATATCAGCTATTGTCTTTTCCAAATAACAATCATGGCGATGACACTTCTCAATGATGTATTCAATGAAAACATTGCGCTAACTTTCCGACATACAATACGCGACTAAAGCGCCATCAGGAGGGGTCATCGGCTTCTGGCGCCGAATATAGACAAAGTCCGGTATTCTGGTGTTATCCTTACATACGATTATAAGTTTTCATTAACATTAACTCATTTTCATACGAGTGGCTTAGCACCAGGCCTCGTTTTGAAAAGGAGGCCAAAGGTAATTCGGGAATAGCCTATTACCTGTCGTTGCATATAGCATGCTGATTAGGTACTAGCGTGTTTTTTAGTGGGTAGCCATGGCTGTATTTCGATTCTCATCAACGTTCCTCGATGAACGGAAAATATATCCATCAAACGTTGTTCATGAACGAATATAATAGCACTTGCCTTTCTGACTACCCCTAAAGCTCTATGCAGATTAGGCTGTATATTAACCTGATATTATATTGACATAAAAGCTGTAGCTGAAGTTGCTCATTTTCTAGTTTGCCTTAAGTTTACACCGTGCACACGTTTTCAACTTGGTTATAATTAATTTATATGATGTGTTTGCCTTTGATATTGTTGACTGTGTGTTACCACGTCTTCATTCATTTCCAAACGTCTCTCACTAATCGTCATAATGGTTGCGATACTCCAAATATTTTCATTTTTGATAGTCAATCGCTTACTTTCGAAATTAAAAAAATGACGTTGACTTATCAAAAGCATGCAAATGAATTTTAATAGCTTTAATAACTTTCTTAAATTTGTCTTTTTCGGCAGGTGTTAATTGATAGGAATAAGTTTCCTTGAAGCAGCATCTGTGCCTTTGATATCGCCCACTCAAAATGATATTTCTGAACGTTAAGAACAAGTCTCTATAAGAATCAAACATCTTGGGAAATGAAAATTTTCCACCCCCCCTTTAAATTTTGCATGCAGTTAGGAACTCAGCGGGGATGCACAAAAATGCCCTTTTTGAAGGTGGCAGCACTCTTGTTGGGTTTTACATGTAGTACTGCCGCTGACAAGTTGCGATTTCTGCTCTCAGATTCTCAGTGTTTATAATTACGAGCGTTCAATCGAAGTTTTCCTCTTTTTTTTTGGTTGTTTTTACTTCAGAAAGCGGAAACCTGCTGACATATATGAAAAATATCCATTTCTCGTCTTCTTTGGAGCGACCGATGGAAACTTCACGGAGAAATACAGCGTCACGCCATCGTGATAACGTACATGTTTATGACAAATGACCGGTGTGAGCATAGTTTCGTGTAGATCAGCCGACTTCAACATGTTTCCAATGACATACAAGTATAACAGGGTATCTTCAGAGGATTTCGGATCGCTCAAATTCCTATGAAAGAAGGTGCAGCACTCGGAATCTGGATGATGTGCACACGATTTGAGGTATATGTTTGTAGTTACGTCGAGTTGTCCACCATGAAGGTTAACCAATCTTTTTAAAAGATGACAGCCAGAGGCGAGATTTCTCCTCGGGATATTGCTCATAAGATAACATTCTTTCAAAGCCTCGCACGTTTCATTTGTCTGAAACGTTTGTTGTTGAGAACATTAGATGTAAACATCGCCAAATCATGCAATATCTGATTTTGAGCTTTTTTCGCGAATTGCCCCTATAAAAAGTAGAGTCAGGCCCGCAGTGATTTCTACATATTTAAAAACTAGAATATTATAACCAGCTAGGTGGGTAGTTTCAGTTCCAGAATAGGTGTACTTTTGGAGAAATTCAGATAAACGTTTTCCCTGTTTTACCCGACAACAAAAATGACCGAAACTGTACCGAGGTGAATAATCTATTGGTGTGTTCACATTCACTCCCAGGGAAAATTAAATGTGTCAAAGTGAAGACGAATGATGTTACAATGTATGGTAGAAGTGCCAATTTGTAATGTTGTATTTAGCTTGAGATAGAGAAATAAACATTTCACTCTTTTTTTTTTGCGACGTTTTTGTATGAAAATGAGGCCCCAGAACTCGAACAAGCAGCCGTTGTTACCATGGCAACAAGAGTGCTGCCACCTTCAAAAAGGGCATTTTTGTGCACCCCCCCTGAGTTCCTAACTGCATGCAAAATTTGAAGGGGTGTTGAAAATTTTCATTTCCCAAGATGTTTGATTCTTACAGAGACTTGTTCTTAATCGTTCCTTTAAAAAGCGAAAAAAAATGGCGTTTACTCATCAAGGAAAACAATGAATTCTGATAGCTCAGAGAACGAGTTAGTTTTTTCAATTTTAACTTCGGGAAATCAGTACTAATTGAATTGAGTAAGTATTTTTGAGACACCATCTGTGCTGTATAAATCGCCCGCTCAAAACGGTAATTTTTTTTCAGTGTTTTTGTCCTTTTAATATAGTTTAAATCAAAACATAATATGTTCTTTTGAAAGTAAAATTTCTCCCTGTGGGCCATATTTATTCATGAGTCATGATAGAGAACCATTCCGTTTCTGTTTGCTCGAATTTATCCATCATGAATTCATCAGGCGCAGTAACATGCTTTTTTTTTTTTCACACACAAGCTAGTCATGAGGCTCAGATAGCGAGTGTTGTATCGTGCGCAGTTAGCCTTCTGTTTGCTTTAACTGCATTACTTGGAAATTTCATCGTCATGCTTGTTATTTGGAAAACGCGGGAGCTTCATACGCCATCTTTCGCTTTGTTATTTTGCTTGGCAGTCTCTGACTTCCTCGTTGGACTGGTTGGCCAGCCCTCGTTTGTTGCATACAAGGTAGCGGAGCTTTTAGAAAATTTCAACGGATATTGTAAGGCACGAATAATTCAGTTCTTCATTGGTTGGATAACTTCTGGAGTATCTTTTTTAACTCTGAGTGGAGTTTGTGTCGACCGACTTCTCGCTTTAACTCTTCATTTGCAATACAGAAACACGATCACCGTGCAACGGGTTGTAATAGCAATGATAATAGTTTGGCTGTTTTGCTTCATTGTTGTCATTGTCAGGTTTTGGTTTCCAAACTGGCTCATTTTGCCTGTTACTATATCTGTGTTGGCCAGTGGAGTGACTGCACTTTGCACTATTAGGATATTTCAAATTGCAAATAGACATCAACGCCAAATAAGAGAACAAAATCGATCCATGGTTAACTTACAAAACGAACGAGGTAATGCATTCAAATGTAAAAAGTCAGCTATCACGGTTCTTTACGTGTATGGCTTAATGTTAGTGCTCTATCTCCCATTCATTGCAGTTAGTGCAGCGGAAGCATTTCACGGCTATACAACTTCATTGAAGATCGGTTGGGATTACGCTACCACGATTTGTTTGATAAGTTCGTCGGTGAATCCTGTCATTTATTCTTGGAGAACTAAACAAGTACGTCGTGCAGTAATAGAATATTTAAGAAAAATTACTCATGGGAACAATTCAGCAGCAGCTGCAGAATCTTTTCAATAACCTTAGTGGACAGTACGGTTTCTGACTCACCAACATCTTTCTTCTGATGCATTTTGTAATAAACTTGGTATGAATGGTTGAAAGCGATAAAACCCACGAAAAGCTATTTTCTTCACGATGACAATAATAATAGTGGCAATACGGACATGTTTCGCCATCAGAAGGTGTTCGACGCCTGTGATCTGTGTTTACATTTACACAATTTAGTGTCTTGAACCTTTAATGCGGTTGTTGATGTGGGTAGAGCACGGTCTAAATACTGGGTACACTTCAGTTTCAAGTGCTGCGACTTTCAAGTCTTTTTCATCGGAGAGATTGCCAATTGCCAGTGGGCAGAATTAATTCCCCTCTTGGAAAAACATCTCGAATTGGGTGTAGTCAGTCATAATAAATTTCCGCCATTTTCAAATTACCTGTTGAAAAGTATCGTTAAACTTACCACTTTCTAACTGTTGGCGTGAACTTAAAGGCGAGATCTTGCTTCTGGCTGAGACTATATGGCCTACTACAAAACTTTTTTACGCAGTTTGATTATTACATAATGTACATTTATAACCGATGCAAAATGCAAAATATCAGGAAATTACTTCTACAATTATCTCGCCACCTGCATAAGACAATTATCATTTCACACATCCATGTTCTAGAAGTTTCAGGTTGACACTTACCCAACCGAACTCATGTTATTCAACTCAGATCAAAAATATAAACGATATTTCGGTGAACTTGAGAACATTCGTTCAACTCATTCAACTTTCCTATGTTTCTATGTTTCCTGGCCTAGTTTTTACATATATTGAGCTCGCCGTGAATAGCTATTGTTGAATATTCTTTTTTAGGGACTCACATTCAGAAGTCAGATTTCAATTGCTCTTGGTAAATACAAACTTTTATGTGATTTTGTTATATACGTAGACTTTCACTCAACAAAACAAGCACTGTGATTGGTTGATTCTTGGTCACGTGCCCCTAATCAAACTCAAATGTATCACTACCGGGATAAAATTGCGCAGTTGTTGCCCGCGCGCCGAATACAACGATACGTTTGTTTGTTTTGCCATATGATTGTTTAAGGGAAAGTCTTTATATATAACAAAGCAATGTATGTATTTTACCGAGGGAAACAGTTAGTTTTGTTTTCCCTTATGTTTCCTACGACTTCGTTTCGGGAAACATCAGGACTCTCAAGAAAACAAAACAAACTGTTTCCCTCGGGACCATACATTAAGCGTATAATAGGGCCCAAACGGGTATTAACTTGTTTCGATTCGTAATAACCAAGAAATGCAATTAGCATGCATGGTTCTCATCAAGAGAAACTATTTACTCTTGTTCTCATACATTGTTTTTGGAACGTAAATTGCCCTCAATGTAAATAGTTCGGGCTAAATCTAAGCTATTTTCATTGAGAGAGAACTACATATTAGATATTATTATGTAGGTCTTCGCAAACACTGGTGGACTAACAACTATTACAATATTGACGAGTCAATGTTTATACAGAACAATTCAGTTTTTAGTTAAGTTCTGAGAGTTTTTCCAATCGCGGCTGATTAACATGATGAAACCTGCTTATGGCAGAGACTTGCAAAATGGTTTTCTCAGCGTTCCTTTTACAATATCGATGTAAATTTTCTTTCCTCTCTCCTCAAGCGTAATGTAAGAGTAAATTGCGTGAAGACTTCAGAGTAATTTTGATTTAGTAACGTCGCTTTTTAAGAGCGAAAGTGACACGTTAACAAAGCTGAGCCTGATAGATGCTGCTGCTGGATCCTTGACAAGGGCATCGGTACAAACCGAATGCATGGAATCAAAAGAAATACAGCTTAAACAATACCTGATTATTCAGTACAAGCTATAGTCCAGGAGAAGCAAACTAAAATCCTGTAAGATTTGATTAGAATTTCGGATACGGCTTTATTTTCTTGAAAATCGGACATCCCAGAGGATAATACTACATGCTTTCCCTCATTCCATGAAACACGATGAGAAAAAACTGGCCATCTTATCTTATCGACGAAAGAGCAATTCATCTAACGATTTTGGAATACGGCTGGCATAAGAATGATTACCTGTCAACTCGAGCTCACACTTTTTTTATTTGCATGATCCGCGCGAAAGTGAAACTTATATGGATAGCCGCGCGAACTGGGGCTAAGAGGGGATTACTTTCTACGAGAACACTTTGCTCCTATAAACTCAACTACTTTATCAAACAAGTTATAATATTCTACCTAAGGAGCAATTCCGAGACGCAGTACAGTAGTTATCCTCAATCAGGAAAAAGATATGTTGGGACGATACAATGAATGCTATTTTCTGTCAGATGAGGATTTTCAAAGCGAGTCCTGATGCTCATCGTATCATTTCATATGATTATAAGAAAATTAAAGAGATCAAAAGAATCCTAAGCAATAATTATTGTAGCTGTTTTATTTGTGGCAATGCTTTGAGAAGCTGTTTTCCTTTGTAAATATTTGAGTACAACTTATGCATTGAAATGGTGAGTTCCCACGTGGTCTAGTGGCTAGGATTCGGCGCTCTCACCGCCGCGGCCCGGGTTCGATTCCCGGCGTGGGAATGATTTTGTAGATTTCTCTTTTCCATACTTTTTAAATTTTAAATAACTAGCCAGAAAACTCACGAGGCGAACTAGACTATATCAGCTATTGTCTTTTCCAAATAACAATCATGGCGATGACACTTCTCGATAATGTATTCAATGAAAACATTGCGCTGCCTTTCCGACATGCAATACGAGAGTAAAGCGCCATCAGGAGGGATCATCGGCTTCTGGCGCCGAATATAGACTGAGTCCGGTATTCTGGTGTTATCCTTTTATACGATTGTCAGTTTTCATTAACATGCAAATCAAACTTATTTTCATACGAGTGGCTTAGCACCAGGTCTCGTTTTGAAAAGGAGGCCAAAGGTAATTCGGGAATGGCCTATTACTTGTCGTTGCATATAGCATGCTGATTAGGTACTAGCGTGTTTTTTGGTGGGTAGCCATGGCTGTATTTCGATTCGCATCAACGTTCCTCAATGAACGGAAAACATATCTATCAAACGTTGTTCATGTGCCTTTCTGATTAAACCTAAAGCTCTATGCAAATTAGGCTGTATATTAAACTGATATTATATTGACATAAAAGCTGTAGCTGAAGTTGCTTATTTTCTAGTTTGCCTTAATTTCACACCGTGCACACGTTTTCAACTTGGTTATAATTAATTGATATGATGTGTTTGCCTTGTTGACTGGTTGTTTCCACGTCTCCATTCACTTCCAAACGTCTCTTACTAATCGTCATAATGGTTGTGATACTCCAAATATTTTCATTTCTAATAGTCAAACCGTTACTTTCGAAATTAAAAAATTGACGTTGACTTATCAAAAGCATGCAAATGAACTTTGATAGCTTTGATAATTTTCTTAAATTTGTCTTTTTCGGCAGGTGTTAACTGATTGGAGTAAGTTTCCTTGAAGCGGCATCTGTGCCTCTGATACCGCCCGCTCAAAATGGTATTTCTGAACGTTGATCGTTCCTTCAAAAAGCGAAAAAATTGGTGTTAACTCATCAAGAAAAACAGTGAATTCTAATAGCTCAGAGAAAGAGTTAAAATTTTTCAATTTTCACCTCAGGAAATTAGTGCTAATTGTTTGCAGTAAGTATTTTTGAGATACCACCTGTGCCGTATAAATCACCCGCTCAAAATGGTAATTTTTTTCGGTGTTTTTGTCTTTTTAATATAGTTTATATCAAAACAAGACATGGTCTTTCGAAAGTGAATTTTTTTATCTATGGACCATATTTATTCATGAGTCATGATAGAGAAACATTCCGTTTCTGTTTGCTCGAATTTATCCATCATGAATTCATCAGACGCGGTGACATGCTTTTTCTTTGAGGGACATCACACGCTGACTAGTCATGAGGCTATAGCAAGTGTTGTATGTGTGTGCGCAGTTAGCTTTCTCTTTGCTCTGACTGCATTACTTGGAAATTTCATCGTCATGCTAGTAATCTGGAAAACGCAGGAGCTTCATACTCCATCTTTCGCTTTGTTATTTTGTTTGGCAGTCTCTGACTTCCTCGTTGGACTGGTTGGCCAGCCCTCGTTTGTTGCATACAAGGTAGCGGAGCTTTTGGAAAATTTCAACGAATATTGTAATGTGCGAATGACTCAGTACTTTACTGGTTGGATAACTTCGGGAGTATCTTTTTTGACTCTAAGTGGAGTTTGTGTCGACCGACTTCTCGCTTTAACTCTTCATTTGCAATACAGAAACACGATCACCCTGCGACGGGTTGTAATAGCAATGATAACAGTTTGGCTGTTTTGCTTCATTGTTGCCATCGTCAGGTTTTGGTTTCGAAACTGGCTCATTTTGCCTATTACTACATCTGTGTTGGCCACTGGAGTGACTGCACTCTGCACTATTAGGATATTTCAAATTGCAAATAGACATCAACGCCAAATAAGAGAACAAAATCGATCCATGGTTAACTTACAAAACGAACGAGGTGATGCATTCAAATGTAAAAAGTCAGCTATCACGGTTCTTTACGTGTATGGCTTAATGTTAGTGCTCTATCTCCCACTCATTGCAGTTAGTGCAGCGGAAGCATTTCACGGCTATACAACTTCATTAAAGATCGGTTGGGATTACGCTACAACGATTGGTTTCATAAGTTCGTCGGTGAATCCTGTCATTTATTCTTGGAGAACTAAACAAGTACGTCGTGCGATAATAGAATATTTAAGAAAACTTACTCAGGGGAACAATTCAGCAGCAGCTGCAGAATCTGTTCAATAACCTTAGTGGACAGCACGGTTTCTGACTCATCGACATCTTTGTTCTGACACATTTTGTAATAAAATTGGTATGAATGGTTAAAAGCGATGAAACCCACGAAAAACTATTTTCTTCACGATGACAATAATAATAGTGGCAATACGGACATGTTTCACCATCAGAAAGTGTTCGACGCCTGTGATCTGTGTTTTCATTTACAAAATTTAGTGTCTTGAATATTTAATGCGGTTATTGATGTGGGTAGAGCACGGTTTAAATACTGGGTACACAATAGTTTCAAGTGCTGCGACTTTCAAGTCTTTTTCATCGGAGAGATTGCCAATTGCCAGTGGGCAGAATTAATTCCCCTCTTGATTCTCGTGAGAAAAGAAAAAACAAGATGAGGCGCAAAAGTTGCATTTTGCACTTTGATGTTTCAGTGCCAGGATATGATACTGACTCATTATGTCCTTTTAGGTCTGTAAGAGAGAAAACAGGAAACAAATTGGTTTTTCAAGAGAAAACAAAAGGCACCCTCACGCTGAGAATCGAACCGGCTAAGGCCGCGCCGGTGAGAATAATTTTAACTTTGGGAGAAAAAAAAACATCTTGAATTGGGTGTAGTCAGTCATAATAAATTTCCGCCATTTTCAAATCACCTGTTGAAGGGTATCGTTAAACTTACCACTTTCTAGCTGTTGGCGTGAACTTAAAGGCAAGATCTTGCTTCTGGCTGAGACTATATGACCTACTACAAAACTTTTTTACGCAGTTTGATTATTACATGATGTACATTTATAACCGATGCAAAATGCAAAATATCAGGAAATTACTTTTACAATTATCTCGCCACCTGCATGAGACAATTACCATTGCACACATGTTCTAGAAGTTTCAGGTTTCAGGTTGACACTTACCCAACCGAGCTCATGTTATTCAACTCAGATCAAAAATATAAACGATATTTCGGTGAACTTGAGAACATTCGTTCAACTCATTCAACTTCCCTATATTTCTATGTTTCCTGGCCTAGTTTTTACATATATTGAGCTCGCCGTGAATAGCTATTGTTGAATATTCTTTTTTAGGGACTCACATTCAGAAGTCAGATTTTAATCGCTCTTGGTAAATATAAACTTTTATGTGATTTTGTTATATACTTAGACTTTCACTCAACAAAACAAGCACTGTGATTGGTTGATTCTTGGTCACGTGCCCCTAATCAAACTCAAATGTATCTCGACCGGGATAAAATTGCGCAGTTGTTGCCCGCGCGCCGAATACAACGGTACGTTTGTTTGTTTTGCCATATGATTGTTTAAGGGAAAGTCTTTATATATAACAAAGCACTTAATGTATGATCCCGAGGGAAACAGTTAGTTTTGTTTTCCCTTATGTTTCCTACGACTTCGTTTCGGGAAACATCAGGACTCTCAAGAAAACAAAACAAACTGTTTCCCTCGGGACCGTACATGAAGCGTATAATAGGGCCCAAACGGGTATTAACTTGTTTCGATTCGTAATAACCAAGAAATGCAATTAGCATGCATGGTTCTCATCAAGAGAAACTATTTACTCTTGTTCTCATACATTGTTTTGGAACGTAAATTGCCCTCAATGTAAATAGTTCTGGCTAAATCTAAGCTATTTTCATTGAGAGAGAACTACATATTAGATATTATTATGTAGGTCTTCGCAAACACTGGTGGACTAACAACTATTACAATATTGACGAGTCAATGTTTATACAGAACAATTCAGTTTTTAGTTAAGTTCTGAGAGTTTTTCCAATCGCGGCTGATTAACATGATGAAACCTGCTTATGGCAGAAACTTGCAAAATGTTTTTCTCGGCGTTCCTTTTATAATATCGATGTAAATGCTCTTTCCTGTCTCCTCAAGCGTAATGTAAGAGTAAATTGCGTGAAGACTTCAGAGTAATTTTGATTTAGTAACGTCGCTTTTTAAGAGCGATAGTGACACGTTTACAAAGCTAAGCCTGATAGATGCTGCTGCTGGATCCTAGTCAAGGGCATCGGTACAAACCGAATGCATGGAATCAAAAGAAATACAGCTTAAACAATACCTGAGTATTCAGTACAAGCTATACTCCAGGAGAAGCAAACTAAAATCCTGTAAGATTTTATTACAATTTGGGATACGGCTTTATTTTCTTGAAAATCGGACATCCCAGAGGATAATACTACATGCTTTCCCTCATTCCATGAAACACGATGAGAAAAAACTGACCATCTTATCTTATCGACGAAAGAGCAATTCATCTAATGATTTTGGAATACGGCTGGCATAAGAGTGATTAGCTGTCAACTCGAGCTCACACTTTTTTTATTTGCATGATCCGCGCGAAAGTCAAAGTTATAGTGATAGCCGCGCGGACTGGGGCTAAGAGGGGATTGCTTTCTACGAGAACACTTTACTCCTATAAACTCAACTACTTTATTAAACAAGTTATAATATTCTACCTAAGGAGCAATTCCTAGACGCAGTACAGTAGTTATCCTCAATCAAGAAATAGATATTTTGGGACGATACAATGAATGCTATTTTCTGTCAGATGAGGATTTTCAAAGCGAGTCCTGATGCTCATCGTATCAATTCATATGATTATAAGAAAATTAAAGAGATCAAATGAATCCTAAGAAATAATTACCGTAGCTGTAGCATTAATTTAATCAACTTTTATTTGTGGCAATGCTTTGAGAAGCTATTTTCCTTTGTAGATATTTGAGTACAACTTATATATTGAGATGGTGAGTTCCCACGTGGTCTAGTGGCTAGGATTCGGCGCTCTCACTGCCGCGGCCCGGGTTCGATTCCCGGCGTGGGAATGATTTTGTAGATTGCTCTTTTCCATACTTTTTAAATTTTAAATAACTGGCCAGAAAACTCACGAGGCGAACTAGACTATATCAGCTATTGTCTTTTCCAAATAACAATCATGGCGATGACACTTCTCGATAATGTATTCAATGAAAACATTGCGCTACCTTTCCGACATGCAATACGAGAGTAAAGCGCCTTCAGGAGGGGTCATCGGCTTCTGGCGCCGAATATAGACTTATAGACTGAGTCCGGTATTCTGGTGTTATCCTTTTATACGATTGTGAGTTTTCATTAACATGCAAATTAAACTCATTTTCATACGAGTGGCTTAGCACCAGGTCTCGTTTTGAAAAGGAGGCCAAAGGTAATTCGGGAATGGCCTATTACTTTTCGTTGCATATAGCATGCTGGTTAGGTACTAGCGTGTTTTTTGGTGGGTAGCCATGGCTGTATTTCGATTGTCATCAACGTTCCTCAATGAACGGAAAACATATCTATCAAACGTTGTTCATGTGCCTTTCTGACTAAACCTAAAGCTCTATGCAAATTAGGCTGTATATTAAATTGATATTATATTGACATAAAAGCTGTAGCTGAAGTTGCTTATTTTCTAGTTTGCTTTAATTTCGCACCGTGCACACGTTTTCAACTTGGTTATAATTAATTGATATGATGTGTTTGCCTTTGATATTGTTGACTGGTTGTTTCCGCGTCTCCATTCACTTCCAAACGTCTCTCACTAATCGTCATAATGGTTGCGATACTCCAAATATTTTCATATCTGATAGTCAAACCGTTACTTTCGAAATTAAAAAATTGACGTTGACTTATCAAAAGCATGCAAATGAACTTTGATAGCTTTGATAACTTTCTTAAATTTGTCTTTTCGGCAGGTGTTAACTGATTGGAGTAAGTTTCCTTGAAGCGGCATCTGTGCCTCTGATATCGCCCGCTCAAAATGGTATTTCTGAACGTTGATCGTTCCTTCAAAAAGCGAAAAAATTGGTGTTAACTCATCAAGGAAAACAATGAATTCTAATAGCTCAGAGAACGAGTTAGTTTTTTCAATTTTCACCTCGGGAAATCAGTGCTAATTGTTTGGAGTAAGTATTTTTGAGATACCACCTGTGCCGTATAAATCGCCCGCTCAAAATGGTAATTTTTTTTCGGTGTTTTTGTCCTTTAAATATAGTTTAAATCAAAACAAGACATGGTCTTTCGAAAGTGAATTTTTTTATCTATGGACCATATTTATTCATGAGTCATGATAGAGAAACATTCCGTTTCTGTTTGCTCGAATTTATCCATCATGAATTCATCAGACGCGGTGACATGCTTTTTCTTTGAGGGACCTCACACGCTGACTAGTCATGAGGCTACAGCAAGTGTTGTATGTGTGTGCGCAGTTAGCTCTCTCTTTGCTCTGACTGCATTACTTGGAAATTTCATCGTCATGCTAGTAATCTGGAAAACACGGGAGCTTCATACACCATCTTTCGCTTTGATATTTTGTTTGGCAGTCTCTGACTTCCTCGTTGGACTGGTTGGCCAGCCCTCGTTTGTTGCATACAAGGTAGCGGAGCTTTTGGAAAATTTCAACGAATATTGTAATGTGCGAATGATTCAGTACTTTACTGGTTGGATAACTTCGGGAGTGTCTTTTTTGACTCTAAGTGGAGTTTGTGTCGACCGACTTCTCGCTTTAACTCTTCATTTGCAATACAGAAACACGATCACCCTGCGACGGGTTGTAATAGCAATGATAACAGTTTGGCTGTTTTGCTTCATTGTTGCCATCGTCAGGTTTTGGTTTCCAAACTGGCTCATTTTGCCTGTTACAACATCTGTGTTGGCCATTGGAGTGACTGCACTCTGCACTATAAGGATATTTCAAATTGCAAATAGACATCAACGCCAAATAAGAGAACAAAATCGATACATGGTTAACTTACAAAACGAACGAGGTGATGCATTCAAATGTAAAAAGTCAGCTATCACGGTTCTTTACGTGTACGGCTTAATGTTAGTGCTCTATCTCCCACTCATTGCAGTTAGTGCAGCGGAAGCATTTCACGGCTATACAACTTCATTAAAGATCGGTTGGGATTACGCTACAACGATTGGTTTCATAAGTTCGTCGGTGAATCCTGTCATTTATTCTTGGAGAACTAAACAAGTACGTCGTGCAATAATAGAATATTTAAGAAAAACTACTCATGGGAACAATTCAGCAGCAGCTGCAGAATCTGTTCAAAAACCTTAGTGGACAGTACGGTTTCTGACCCACCAACATCTTTGTTCTGACGCGTTTTGTAATAAACTTGGTATGAATAGTTGACAGCGATAAAACCCACGAAAATCTATTTTCTTCACGATGACAATAATTATAGTGGCAATACGGACATGTTTCGCCATCAGAAGGTGTTCGAAGCCTGTGATCTGTGTTTATATTTACACAATAATTTGGTGTCTTGAACATTTAATGCGGTTGTTAATGTGGGTAAAGCACGGTCTAAATACAGGGTACACCATAGTTTCAAGTGCTGCGACTTTCAAGTTATCGGAGAGATTGGGCAGAATTAATTCCCCATTTGACTCTCATGAAAAAGAAAAAACAAGATGAGGCGCAAAAGTTGCATTTTGCACTTTGATGTTTCAGTGCCAGGATATGATACTGACTCATTATGTCCTTTTAGGTCTGTAAGAGATAAAACATAAAACAAATTGGTCTTTCAAGAGAAAATAAAAGGCGCCCTCACGCTGGGAATCGAACCGGCTAAGGCCGCGCCGTATCACTTTCTAACAGTTGGCGTGAACTTAGAGGCGAGATCTTGCTTCTAGCTGAGACTATATGGCCTACTACAAAACATTTTAGGCAGTTTGATTATTGCATAATGTACATTTATATCCGATGCAAAATGCAAAATATCAGGAAATTACTTCTACAATTATCTCGCCGCCTCCACGAGACAATTACCATTGTATACATCCATATTCTAGAAGTTTCAGGTTGACACTTACCCAACCGAGCTCATGTTATCAACTAAGATCAAAAATTTAAATTTTTAAAATTATTTTAAATTTTTAAATTTATAATATTTGGGTGAACTTGAAAACATTCGTTTAACTCATTCAACTTCCCTATGTTTATTGACAACCTAAGGTAAAATTTTTTAGTCGGCCTAGACTGCTCTAAGAAGGATCACCTTGCTTATATTGTCATCAGCGTTGCTCAACCTTCGTCGACGAAATGAATTTTAGTGACGCCTCTATCAGTAACTAAATTCTGCCAGAATATAGAAGCGGCTATTTAGACTCGACGTATTCAGTGAGTAAATTTAGCCGCTCTAATCAAGTGTTTACACACAAACTGCTTGCCCTCACAGGATGTTTACTTTCGTTGTGAGTTTCAGTTTTTCCGCAATGTATCCATGACAACTCGACGAATCTCTCTAAATCTCCAGCAGTTTACAAATGAATTCAGGAAGGATTTGACTAAACAAACAGTGTGTGCGAAGTCTTATGCAACTGTAATATCTATCGTGTATCCATGTAATTGATGCGCAATCATTGTCACAAGCATTGGAATATAAAAAACCAGAAATAAACCTTGCGATAAAAGTATCGTTAGAGCAAGATTTTCTTTGCTTAAGCAAGTTTATTGTGTTGATTTAGACACTTGTTTGTTGCTCATGTATATGATGCTGGTGTCGTCGAACAATTTCAACAATCTTTAATGCGCTTCAGTGAGAGTATTACAATAGATGTTGTTTCGAGAATCGCCCATAGCACGAAATGCCACCTTCTTACCCAAAACCTTGGTATGACAGTGATTATGGCTAAAAACCCAAAGAAGGAAAATTGTAAGTATTACTCTGTGAATTGTTGCAATCATGTTGTATCACATATGAAGAGTCAAAGCCAGGAGTCGATCGATACAAATTACACCTAGGGTGAGGGAAGACGCAGGCAACGGCAGTAGTCCAAACACGGGGGGAGTAAATTAATTATTTTTACAGTTTACTTGACTGTTCACTGTTATCAGCTCTGTCGCATGATTTGCTATGAAAAATGGTAAAAAAATGGCAAATCACTCCCACGAGGAAATCTTAAAGGCTGAGGCAAAATAAAAGGATGAAAGACGGCAAATGGAATTTTCGTGTTTTCCGTATTACATGTGGAAGAACTTCGTTGCTCATGCACGTAACTAGAGAGAAGATGGCATTAAGGGTGCACTTCACAACAATGGAGATAAATGTTACTCGGGTTTTCTCTTGAATTACTTCCATAAAAAAGCACTTTTGAAGTCTTAAACTAGAGTTGTACATGTTGAAGACTAATGACCAAGTGTCTTGTGCCTTTAGCTGAGAGTCGATCAGTGAATCGTTTACATCTTCACCGAGAATTGCACCTGGCCTGGTTTTCAAATATATTGAGCTCACCGTGAATAGCTATTGTTGAATATTCTTTTATAGGGACTCACATTCAGATGTCAGATTTCAATTGCTCTTGGTAAATACAAACTTTTATGTGATTTTGTTATATACCTCGACTTTCACTCAACAAAACAAGCACTGTGATTGGTTGATTCTTGGTCACGTACCACTGATCAAACTCAAATGGATCCCGACCGGGATAAAATTGCGCAGTTGTTGCCCGCGCGCCGAATACAATGGTACGCTTGTTTGTTTTTGCCATATGATTTTTTAAGGGAAAGTTTAAATACATAACAAAGCACTTAATGTATGATCCCGAGGGAAACAGTTGGTTTTGTTTTCCCTCAAGTCCTGATGTTTCCCACGACTTCGTTTCGGGAAACATTGGGACTCTCGGGAAAACAAAACTTACTGTTTTCCTCGGGACCATACATTAAGTGTATAATAAATCCCAAACGGGTATTAACTTGTTTCGATTCGTGATAACCAAGAAATGCAATTAGCATGCATGGTTCTCCTCAAGAGAAACTATTTACTCTTGTTCTCATACATTATTTTTGGAACGTAAATTGTCCTCAATGTGAATAGTTCTGGCTAGATCTAAGCTATTTTCATTGAGAGAGAGCTACATATTAAATATTATTATGTAGGTCTTCGCAAACACTGGCGGACCAGCAACTAAAAGTATTACAATATTGACGAGTCAATGTTTATACAGAACAAATTTTTAGTTAAGTTCTGAGAGTTTTTCCAATCGCAGCTAATTAACATGATGAAACCTGCTTATGGCAGAGACTTGCAAAATGGTTTTCTCAGCGTTCCTTTTACAATATCGATGTAAATGTTCTTTCCTCTCTCCTCAAGCGTAATGTAAGAGTAAATTGCGTAAAGACTTCAAAGTAATTTTGATTTAGTAACGTCGCTTTTCAAGAGCGAAAGTGACACGTTTACAAAGCTAAGCCTGATAGATACTGCTGCTGGATCCTAGTCAAGGGCATCGGTACAAACCGAATGCATGGAATCAAAAGAAATACGGGTTGAACAGTACCTGATTATTCATTACAAGCTATACTCCGGGAGAAGCAATCTAAAATCCTGTAAGATTTGATTAGAATTTCAGATACGGCTTTATTTTCTAGAAAATTTGACATCCCAGCGGATGATACAACATGCTTTCCCTCATTCCATGAAACACGATGAAAAAAACTGACCATCTTAGCTGGTCCGTTTCCTGACGTCTTTAGAGCCAAAATCTAAATATGTGAGCTAAATCAATACCTTCCACGGCTCACAGTGTTCCCATTCGCTAATAAAACGGTCGGGAACCGCTGACTCAAACAAATGTTATCTAAAGTTTAACTGATGAAACCTGGGTGATGAAATTAATTTTGCAAATTTTAAGAACGCTTTGTTTAACTTTTGATATCAATGGCACTTGCTATGATACATGGCCTTCGGTGACTCTTAAGAGATTGCAAGACTTAACCATCGATCGCTAGTATCTGATTACTTATTAATTTTTTTTTTACACTTGGAGTAAACCGTCTTCAGTGTTGGGCATCCAATGGGGTGGAGAGTACTATCTGTCACTTAAAGCGGCATGCAGTTTAAACCATCATACGTTTACACTGGTTGTAGTATCACTTTGGTTGATTTCATGTGTAATACTTTGAAAAGATGTTTTCCTTATTCATCCTTTATCCTTTAACTACTGTGGGTCTTTTGAAATCGTAATCACATAGCTGGGTGCACAATTTTTTACTCCAAAGTCTTATGATAACTCTTCCCACCTGGTCTAGTGTTTAGGATTCGGCGCTCTCACCGACGCGGCCCGGGTTCGATTCCCGGCGTGGGAACAATTTTGTAGCTTGCTCTCTTCTATCCTCTATGAAGTTTAAATAGGAGCCACGAAAAATCACGAAGCAAATTATGTTGACTCAGTTATCGTCTTTTACAAATAACAAGGTGACAATGAAATCTCTCAATAATGTAGGCGATGGAAACATTAAGCCAACACCCTGAAAAAATTAGGGAGTTTAAGGTTAGACGACGGCGACGCCATGGACAACGTCGGTAAAAAAAATGAACTTACATTTTGCCAACGAATCTTGCAATACTCTAAAGTCGTTTATTTTGTTTCTCGCTGTCAAAAATATCTCGGAACTGAATATGGAACACAGCTAGCGTTAAATTAGAAATAGAAATTTAAAAAATCAGCCGTCGTCGTTCACGTTTTCCAGACAACGCAAAGTTTGGTCATTTCACGATGTTGTTTTGCTGAGGGCGCAAAGAAATTTATAAAGATTTATAACCCACGTGAAGAGCCATTGTCCTGCTCATTGAACCTTTTGTTTGGTGACGTTGCCGTTGCCATCGTGGTTTTCTTAAACTTTCTAATACGAGACTTAAAGCGCCGTCAGATGGGAAAACTGGCTCCTGGCGTCGTATATAAACTGTGTCCGGTATTCTCTCAAGATTAGACTGGTAGCTACGCCTGTTGAAATCTAACTACGAGACGAGTGACTCAGAAAGGAGGAAACATGATGAAATTTTTTTTTAAGGAGGCGATCAGTTTAACAACTCAAACGCTATTTCAAGCGTTTTTTTTTTAATACTACAACCCAGTGATGAATCTTTTTTAAGCTTAAAAACTTAAAAAAGGCCAAGTCACCACTTAAAGCTCAAAAGGGAGGAGCTGTTGTTATTGAATTCCTCTAAGAACATCTGTTCGTGTTATTTGTTACAGTATAATTTAACCAACAGAAAGAATTGTAACCAAAGCACCAGCAATAAATTTAAGAGGGGTTTAATTTCCTGACAACTCCACCGAACTCTTCTTATTTACACGCCATTGCCAGTAGTTTCTAAGTGAAGTATTGCGAACGTGATGCATCAAGAACGGAACGACTAATTACAAGATTGGAAATAATACAGGAAATACAAATAACACGAAATATGTATAACATAGGCAATACTGACAACATGGGGAACAACGGACACTCGACGAAAGAGCAATTTATCCGACGATTTTGAATACGGCCGGCATAAGAACGATTACCTTTTAACTCGAGCTCAAACCTTTTTTATTTGCATGATCCGCGCAAAAGTCAAATCTATATGGATAGCCGCGCGGACTGGGGCTAAGAGGTGATTGCTTTCTACGAGAACACTTTACTCCTATAAACTCAATTACTTTATTAAACAACTTATAACATTCTACCTAGGGAGCGATTCCTAGACGCAGTACAGTAGTTATCCTCAATCAGGAAAAAGATATTTTGGGACGATACAATGAATGCTATTTTCTGTCAGATGAAGATTTTCAAAGCGAGTCCTGGTGCTCATCGTATCATTTCATATGATTATAAGAAAATTAAAGAGATCAAAAGAATCCCAAGAAATAAAAACCGTTGCACAGCAAGAATTAGTTTTTCAAATGTACAAAGTGCCAGAAAAAAATTCCATAGTCAACAAACATACCTTGCAAGCACCATGCAATTACCGTTAACTAGATGAAGGTTACCTGTGTAGAACCATTACGGCCTGGAAGAAAACTTTCCTGATCAAATTTTTTTTACAAAATTGAAATAATTCTTTATTTAATTTTAATATATTTAGCAGTTGCCCAAAATACATTTAATAACTCCCAGGAGATCGGAGGATCTCACGATCGCCAGTAATTGTTTTTTTTTCTTTAACCGTGATCTAACCATCAGCGTAGTTTTAACATCCCTTTGGTTGATTTTTATGTTACAATACTTTAAAGAGAGGTTTCCTTTTCAGGCCTTTAACTACAGAACGGTTTTTGGAAATCGCGACCATATTGCGGGGTGTGCAATTTTCAGTTTAACATCGCCACTTAAAGCAATACTTCCCACGGTTAGCTGCACTAGTGGTTAGGATTCGGCGCTTTCACCGCCGCGGCCCGGGTTCGACTCCCGGCGTAGGAATGGTTTTCTAACTTTCTCTCTCCGTTCTCTTTCGACTTTTAGTAACCTTATTTCTATAACCAGATTGGTCTCAGTAAATCGACGCCAAATATAGACAGTGTCTGGTATTCTGGTACTCATCTTTTCGTACGATTATAAGTTTACATTAAAATGCAAGTTAAACTCATTTTCATACGATTAAAACACGACATGTGTTCGAAAATAAAAATTCTATCTATAGGCCATATTTATTCATGAGTCAAGATAGAGAACTATTCCGTTTCTATTTGCTCGAACTTATCCATCATGAATTCATCAGGCGCGGTAACATGCTTTTTTTTTGAGGTACATCACACGCAAGCTAGTCATGAGGCTACAGCGAGTGTCGTATGTGTCGTATGTGTCGTCGAGTGTCTTCATAAACTACTTCCAAGCAAATACCAACCTGGCTACTATCTGAGAGAACAAAGAACATTTATTCGTCCGAGGTGTAAAACTGAAAGATGCAAGAATAGCTTCCTCTTAAGTTACGTTTATCGTAGGTGATAATTAGATATTAACTTGTCCCTTTTTTTACATAGGAATTCGACGCATGCTTGTAATTTTGTCATTCTGTAACAGTTTTTAATTAGGAAATTAATTAATTTTCCCTCTTTGGGCACTATTGCGCAAAGGGATTAATTGCCTCACGCCACGCGACACAGTTAGTGCAGCGGAAGCATTTCACGGCTATACAACTTCATTGAAGATCGGTTGGGATTACGCTACCACGATTGGTTTCATAAGTTCGTCGGTGAATCCTGTCATTTATTCTTGGAGAACTAAACAAGTACGTCGTGCAATAATAGAATATTTAAGAAAAATTACTTATGGGAACAATTCAGCAGCAGCTGCAGAATCTGTTCAATAACCTTAGACGACAGTATGGTTTCTGAATCACCAACATCTTTGTTCTGACGCATTTTGTAATAAACTTGGTATGAATGGTTGCAAGCGATAAAACCCACGAAAAACTATTTTCTTCACGATGACAATAATAATAGTGGCAATACGGACATGATTAGCCATCAGAAGGTGTTCGACGCTTGTGATCTGTTTATATTTACACAATTTAGTGTCTTGAACCTTTAATGCGGTTATTTATGTGGGTAGAGCACGGTCTGAATACAGGGTACACTATAGTTTCAAGTGCTGCGACTTTCAAGTCTTTTCATCGGAGAGATTGGGCAGAATTAATTCCCCACTTAACTCCCATGAAAAAGAAAAAAACAACTGAGGCACAAAAATTACATTTTGCACTTTGATGTTTGAATGCCAGGATATGATACTGACACATCATGTGCTCTTAGGTCTGTACGAGAGAAAACAGAAAACAAGTTGGTTTTTCAAGAGGAAATAAAGGGCACTCTCACGCTGTGAATCGAACCGGCTAGCGCCGCGCCGGTGAGAATGAATTTAACTACGGGAGAGAACAAAAACATCCTAAATTGGATGTAGTCAAAATAAATAGCTGCCACCTTCAAATCACCTGTTGAGGGTTATCGTTAAATTGCCCACTTTCTAACAGTTGGCGTGTACTTAAAGGCAAGATCTTGCTTTTAGCTGAGACTATATGGCCTACTACAAAACTTTTTTTCTCAGTTTGATTATTGCATTATGTGCATTTATAACCGATGTAAAATGCAAAATATCAGGAAATTACTTCTACAATTATCTCGCCGCCTCCATGAGACAATTACCATTGTATACATCCATATTCTAGAAGTTTCAGGTTGACACTTACCCAACCGAGCTCATGTTATCAACTAAGATCAAAAATTTAAACCATGTTTGAGTTAAATTGAAAACATTCGTTTAACTCATTCAACTTCCCTATGTTTATTGACAACCTAAGGTAAAATTTTTTAGTCGGCCTAGACTGCTCTAAGAAGGATTACCTTGCTTATATTGTCATCAGCGTTGCTCAACCTTCGTCGACGAAATGAATTTTAGTCACGCCTCTATCAGTAACTAAATTCTGCCAGAATATAGAAGCGGCTATTTAGACTCGACGTATTCAGTGAGTAAATTTAGCCGCTCTAATCAAGTGTTTACATACAAACTGCTTGCCCTCACAGGATGTTTACTTTCGTTGTGAGTTTCAGTTTTCCGCAATGTATTCATGACAACTCGACGAATCTCTCTAAATCTCCAGCAGTTTACAAATGAATTCAGGAAGGATTTGACTAAACAAACAGTGTGTGAGAAGTCTTATGCAACTGTAATATCTATCGTGTATCCATGTAATTGATGTGCAATCATTGTCACAAGCATTGGAATATAAAAAATCAGAAATAAGCCTTGCGATAAAAGTATCGTTAGAGCATATTTTCTTTGCTTAAGCACGTTTATTGTGTTGATTTAGACACTTGTTTGTTGCTCATGTATATGATGCTGGTGTCGTCGAACAATTTCAACAATCTTTGATGCGCTTCAGTGAGAGTATTACAATAGATGTTGGTTCGAGAATCGCCTATAACACGAAATGCCACCTTCTTACCCAAAACCTTGGTATGACACTGATTATGGCTAGAATTCAAACAAGGAAATATTGTAAGTAATACTCTATGAATTGTTGCAATCGTGTTGTATCGCATATGAAGAGTCAAAGTCAAGAGTCGATCGATACAAATTACACCTAGGGTGAGGAAAGACGCAGGCAACGGCAGTAGTCCAAGCACAGGGGGAGTAAATTAATTATTTTTACAGTGTACTTGACTGCTCACTGTTATCAGCTCTGTCGCATGATTTGCTGTGAAAAATGGTTGGCAAATCACTCCCACGAGGAAATCCGAAAGGCTGAGGCAAAATAAAAGGATGAAAGACGGCGAAGTCTTAAACTAGAGTTGTACATGTTGAAGACTAACGACCGAGTGTCTTGTGCCTTAAGCTAAGAGTCGACCAGTGAATCGTTTACATCTTCACCGAGAATTGCACCTGACCTGGTTTTCACATATTGAACTCGCTGTGAATAGCTATTGTTGAATGATATCATTTTATAAGGACTTACATTCAGAAGTCGGATTTCAATTGCTCTTTGTAAATACAAACTTATATGTGATTATATGGCCCTAACGGTATATGTGATTATATGCCATGGCCCAAATGCGGCACTATTTCGGGATTAAATAGAATTTAAAAAGTATTTTAAATACAGAGCATACATGTCGGGAACCTCTTGCAGTTGCACTTTATATTTACGACCTATTTTTCTTTTCTCTCTCTCCCTTTTTTTGCAACTATGATCGCTAACTCGCTGCTACCGCAGTTTTCATTTTTATTTCGTGTCAACGCCACATCACACCAAAGCTTAAACATGTTTTAAGACTGTTTCAGTTGAACACTGTTTAAATTTTTTTCTTCATAAGAGCTGCTTAAACATTGTTTATAAACGTCAAATGTAGCCTATTGAAACTAATCGTCGTCAAGGAGAGTTACCAATGAGAAGTTGGACGTTAAAGGGTTAATGACGGTTTATCTAAACATGTGTTGCTGGTGTCAATTGAGTATCATATACTTGGATAAAGATTGCCTCTGATCCACGTCATGACTGAATTTTGTAAAGTCTTAATTTCTTTATCGGAATACAATGTCTTTTAATATATATTTGGTACAAACCATCAGCTGTTGCTGAAGATTTAAATTGCAAAAGAGCACTACTTTATGAATAATTATGAACATTAATATTTCCATGAAGAATTGTTTACTTATTTGCCGAAATTAAAGAATTGAGACTTCCTTTCAGTTTATATTTGTCACCCTTCAGTTTCTACAGCACAGGAAACAGTCAAAATCTGATTGGTTTTTTTTTTTTTAACAAACAAGTTAAACCTATTTTAACTGTCGATCAGTTTCTTTTTGAACTTTGACAGTGTACTAATATTTAAAAAGCGTGTTAAATCAATTTTCTGAGAACTGTTGAAAGTCTCATACCATGAACGAAACACTAACTTGCTTCTTTTTGGACATCGATTTGGATCAGACGATAGAAACGCAAACGGCCAACTTCGCTACATGTGTCCTAAATTCTATGTTTTCCTTGATTACAATCACGGGAAATTTCATTATTCTAAATGCAATTTGGAAAAACCGAGAACTGCATTCGCCATCGTTCGTCCTTTTGTTTTTTCTCGCTTTATCGGATCTTCTTGTTGGACTCATTTGCCAGCCATCTTTCGTCGCGTTTAAGATCGCTGAACTTAGAAGAGACTTCAGCTGCTACTGCATCTCGAGAATGATTCAGAGTATATCTGGATGGACAACCTCTGGTGTGTCTCTGCTAACTCTAAGTGCAGTTTCATTGGATCGATTATTGTCTTTGACTCTTCATTTACGATACAACACAATCGTAACAGTTCCTCGTGCGTTTGTTGCTTGCGTCTTTCTCTGGTTCTTTGCCGTCACAGGTATGATGTTGAGGTTCACTATGACCAACTGGATAATTCTCCCCTTGATCATATTACTGACAACATTTCTCGTCACAGCGCTGAGTAGCTTAAAAATATTCATGATTGTGCGCAGACATCTTTGCCAGATCAAGCAACTTCAACGAAATCTAAACACTTCTCGAACGGAAACAGCCCAAGTACTTAAGTGTCGAAAATCTGTAGTGACTGTGCTTTACGTTTACGGTCTGTTTTGGATTTTTTATGTTCCTTTTTGTGTAACAATGCTTATGGATTCAGCCGAGGGATACACGCTGACAGTAAAAATCGTATATGACTATGTGGGGACCATAGTTTTTCTCAATTCGTTTTTTAATCCAATTGTGTATTGTTGGCGCATCAGGGAGATACGAAATGCCGTAAAGAACTTACTTCGAAAACGCGTCCTCTTAGAAAATAACACTCGAGGCAAGTGACTTTGGTGACTTTACAAGGGAAGTTTTCCCTCAGCTTTGTTACATCAAACTAATGCATTATTAGTACGAAACGCGACGCGGACATGTGAATTTTGTTTAAATTTTAAACATTTCTGAAAGATGAAAGCCCCCGCTGAAACATCTCCATGTTTTATTGACAGCTGGACGATAATTTCACACATCCGGTAATTAACTTGACTGGTCTTGTCGCCATAACACAATTTAAGGCTCGTGTCGTCAAAAGTTCTAATGACCAATATTGATCTATATGTAAATGTCGTTGTTGCACGCAAATAGCATTTGTAACTTTACATGATACAGATGGTATTTATGATGGGGAAACATTGACCTTTTCATTTTTTAAAAATAATTGTTTGATTTGAGATAGGTTTCTGCGCTCTAAATGTTTATCTCATTGATTTGTTCTGCCATACGGTTTTGGCTTTTTCGATACCTGAAATAGGCCGTTTTCTCTTTTCCTTGCCCAGTTTATAAGACTCAACATCTCACCCCTATTTGGATAATTTTCTCGGGGTTGTCTCTTTTAAGAGATGTTTATTAATTACAACCAGTTTTTTCGTTTTTAATAATCATTTTGGCCGCTTTTCGGTTCAGTTTCTGATGGCTTACTTTGTTTGTTCCTTCCTCATTTCTTAGAAATTAAGAATTGATCACAATGTCCATTTTTCAACCTTGTGCCCTTCACCAACAGAAACACAAATTTAAGTCAGTCCGCAAGCAACCATTACCTTTTTTTAAGTAAATTATTCTTCCAAAGAATTACGTAATCATTTCAATTCTCAGTTGGTTTTTTTAAAGTATATTTTCCATGCTAAAGGGAAATATTATTGTTAGAGTTTTAATTTGTTTGCTGTAAAATCCTTTTAACTTGAAAGTGAATGATATCGTCATTAAAATTTTCTTCTGTCTTGAAAGTGAAAGATACCATCATTATTGGTTTTCACGACAAGAGGCAGACTCGAGCGAAAGAAGCCGCTCAAACTGCTTTTTTTTTACAGACAGTAGTAATATCCGACAGTTTCCAACATGACATATATGCATATGTAGGTGACAGTGAATTCATTAGGTCACGGGGCATTATCAGCAAGGGAACATTGTGAAAGCAGGTGTCTATTTTTGTGGTAGCATCTCAAAAAAACGAAGCTAAAAACGTTAACACGTTGTTGCAAGTTTATGAAACACTGAAAGCACTATCTCAACCACGAACACATGGGGAGCTCTTTCATTGATAACTGTAATTGAAATCCGATCCCCAAGAATGTTATGCGATTCCTTTTGCAAATGATTTCTGAGAAAAACATTCTCGGTAGAAATATTAATTTTTATGATTCTACTTTAACAACGTAATCAACTTCCCAACTCGTTGGAGCTTGTTTTTGGAAGCAGATGGATTATTATAGGTTTATCACTCGCTGTGTTTCTTAAAAGTTATGATTATTGAGACTACCACATTGAAACAATTGTGTTGAGAGGCCGTCTCGAAATTGTTAGTAAACGATGTCCCATACGTCAGCAGTGCATTCATCCAAATGTGAAGCACTTGGGAAGTTTCCAGAGCTTTCAAAAAACTAGAGTTGCTCTCTGCAAAGCCTTTGGAAACTCTGGGGCAACTTTCGTGCTCTCCAAACTTCCCACAAGGTTTATTTGAAACCTGGAGATTCTTTTTCATCGTTTGATAACGCTTTGATAAAACGTATCTGCCGATCCAATTTGAACTGTCTGTATATTTTTGTAAATGCACAAATATTTAATCTTCTACTGGCCCCAATGCTTTTCCCTACTTACAAGGTTTTATTTCTTTTTTGTAAGAGAGACTATAATAGCAATGTAAATTTAGTTACGTACGTGGATGATAAATGTAAAGGAAAACATACATTGAAAAGAGAAATGAAACAACTTCACAGTTTTGTGTCTTAAATTCTCAAATTCACTCTTGCAACCCGTGTCTATAAGTATTTCACGAGACTAAAAGGGTTTTACCATCAAGAAAGGTTTGATTCTAAAATAATAACTGCACCCAACGGCGAATAAGGTTTATTTTTCTTTTCCACTTACTCTTTTTTCGAAGAAACTCAAAGCGACAAGCGGGCTTGAATTTATTCAGCTTCACCCTATTTCTGTAGTTTGTTTGCTCAGTTGTTAGGCATATAGAGTAAATAGATAACTTGTCCAAGTTTTGTTGAAATATCCTCAGACACCTGCCTAAATGCTCGATAAAAATAACATCGGTGAAATGAAAGTTTAATTTTTTTCATGCCTGTAAATGTTTAATAACGACGGAATAGGTTATCAGAGCCTTTGAGCTCTTCAGTGGAGTATATTGCAAATCAACAACCGAATACATAATCTAATTGAAAGGAAACTCGACAGGCAACATATATTTTGAATGTTAATATGGGGTGATACAGATGTTTTTTCGGTGTCAGATGAAAGGTATTTATTTACAGGCACCAGGGGCCTATGCAGGCGCACAATGGTCCAGGGCGGCGAAAATGACATCGCACCGAAATATTGATCAACATAAGGTACCGAACTCGACTGAAACAAAAAGATTTATTACTAGGAGGTCCAAACCCTAGGTAAAAATTTGCCATTCATTTACAGCTAAGCCTTGCCAAGTGGTCTCTGACTCGATAGCGACGGCGGATTCGCCATGTTTACAGCCAACTTAACATGTTTTTTCTTTGAAGTTAAATGGGAGCTAGATGAAGAAGAAAAAACAGCAAGTGTGGTGTTATGTATTTTATGCGCGCTGTTTGCAATAACTGCCATATCAGGAAATGGCATCGTATTGTTCATTATATGGAAAACACAAGAGCTTCATTCACCATCTTTCATTTTGTTGTTTTGCTTGGCCATGTCTGATCTTCTTGTGGGATTGGTTGGACAGCCATCCTTCGTTGCTTACAAGATAGCGGAGAGCCTCGAATCTTTCAGCGCGTATTGTAACCTGCGACTGATTCAGTTCTTTTGTGGGTGGATAAGTTCTAGCGTGTCCTTTATAACTGTTAGTGGCATCTCTGTCGACAGACTTCTCGCTTTACATCTTCACTTGCGATACAAAAGCATCATTACAGTCCGACGTGTGATAACCGCAATAATAATCGTTTGGCTGGTTTGCTCGGTGGCAACCACACTAAAGCTTTGGATGCAAAACTGGATCATTATTGCGATTATTGGTAAATTATCGGCCATAACAACAACTGCCTTTTGCACAGGTAAAATTTTTCGTATCGCTCGAGGGCACGAACGTCAAATCACTGGACAAAATAATATAGTAACTAGTTGCTCAATCCGAACGAAGGATATTAACATTCGTGCATGTAAAAAGTCTGCCACGACAGTAATTTATGTCTTTAGCTGGATGTTGATGTTTTATCTTCCTTTCCTCGTCGTTATGGCTATGGAAATGATCAAAGGCGATGAAAAGGTAGTTAAAATCGCTTACGAGTGGGCCTCACTGCTTGTTTTTATAAACTCTTCAGTAAATCCCGTTATCTACTGTTGGAGAATGGAACAGATTCGACTTCGCATTAAGACCTTATTTAAAAGAAAAGCTTCATCCAATAAAATCCATTCCGTCAGTTGAGAAAGTCCTGATAAAACACATAGATCTTTTGTGAAGATCAACACTTTACGCCTTAATTACTCTTTTTAGAGATGATGTGAACATATTCAAGTCTTGAAGTAAATAGACTTAATAAATAAAGAACTGATAAAAAGAAAAAAATTAAAGGAAAGAAAAATAAATTATTATAGAAATAAATAAATTGATAAACACTGCTCTTTTTCTGGCCCTTATCAGTTCGCCTATATCACGTTTTGAAAAAGCTTCGTCTCTATCATATGTTCTTGGTCAAAACCTTTGTTAGGAACTCAGTTACAGCCGCTTTTTAGCGTTTCCAACGCAACTAGATTATCTCTGACGCGATCATTCAGGTTTTCTTTTTCGAAAAGGAAAAACCAAGGAAAAAGGTTGCTTAAGTTATTATTTTCTACCGTGGTAGTTCAGATCGGCAAAGAAACAAGAGAGACGTAGTTGGGATTACGTAATAGTTTGTATTCGCCTTTTGTCTTTGAGGTTGACAAGTCTTGAATATTTCATTCAAAAATTGTAGCCCTTGTCAATGAAAAGCTTTAGGTCAGGATCTCTCCACTTAAACTGGTTTTCATTTCATCTTCGACACATCCTTCGCTGAAGGCCCGGACAGCCATGACAACTACACGTACGTATATTGGTGAATTCATAGAAAACGTCACCGATGCTGTCACACATACACAGGCGCGTATATTTGATTCCCGAGTCAAAAACGGTCGACTGATAATTAATGGGGAAGGAGTAGTTAATTGAATAACGAGATGGCAGAGTTAAAAGCAGAGTCGAAAGGCTGTAAATTATTTTCTTTCTGGGCAGCATAACGCAGGAAATGTAAAGTTAACCGAAAAATTGTTTGCTTTCCACGGTATTGGCTGACATTCAGTCGTTCTCATTTCATACACGAAAATACATTGAAAAAAAGCTCAGTTGTTCTCTTTTTGATGAAGCGCTAGGACTGTCCAATTTCAACTGCCAGAATTGTTTCCGTGCCGAAGAAAAGTTGACATTTTCAAGAAGTATTTGTTCCCTAGTAATGTTTTTACCATTTACAAAAACAAATATTTTGATCGTCACTTTCTGAGTTGTATAACTACTAATTGCAAGACGTGTGTATGAATTATGTATTTCTATCAGTATATAGCTTCATATTTTTCTTGTGAAGTCCCAGCTTGTATCAGTGTCACGTTCGCCCTCGTCATGAACAAAACGTATTCAAATTGTTTCTTTTTGGATATTAACTTGCAAAAAAGCAAAGAAACCATAACTGCAAGTATCCTCACTTGTATTTTTAACGCGGTGTTTTCATTAATCACATCTACAGGGAATTTTATCATTCTTCGTGTCATCTGGAAAACTCAGGAGCTTCATTCGCCTTCCTTCATGCTTTTGCTTTGTCTTTCTGCCTCCGATCTCCTGGTCGGACTGATTTGTCAGCCGTTTTATGTGGCTTATCAGATCGCAGAGCTTTCAGATAACTACGGAGCTTACTGCATCCTGAGAATGACTCAAAATATATCTAGCTGGACAACGGCTGGTGTATCTTTGCTGATTTTGAGCTGTGTCTCCGTTGATCGACTTCTTGCTTTGACTCTTCATCTAAGATACAGGACAATTGTGACTGTTCACCGTGTGCTTTATGTCGTGTGTTTTCTCTGGACAGGTTGTATAACTGCGGTTTTGTTAAAGGTTTGGATAAGAAATTGGATCATCATTCCTTTAGTGGTGTTACTGATTTCATTTCTGGTTACAGCTGCAAGCACGTTCCAGATAGTACAAATTGTTCGCAAGCACCAGCGACAGATAAGACAGCAGCAACGAAACATCCAAATGAACACAGTGAATGCACTCAAATGTAGAAGATCTGCCGTGACTGCACTCTATATATATGGCTTGTTCCTGTTTTTCTATGTTCCATTTTGCTCGACCTTGTTCGCAGAGGCACTATTTGGGTACACCCTAAAGGTGAAGATTGCCTATGACTACACTACAACTGCTGTATTTGTTAACTCCAGTTTGAATCCATTTCTTTACTGCTGGAGAATTAAGGAGATACGCCATGCTGTTAAAACTGCTCTCAAGGGAAACTCGGGAAAATATCAGGGGGAATTGCCGTCAAAATAATTTTAATTTTTCTTATTTTTCTCCTTCTTTCTTTCCTTCTTTCAGTCTTTCTTTCTTTTTTTCTGTAAGGAAGCAAAAGCCGTTTATAAAAGATCACATTGTTTCCTAACTTTTTCAAAAATAAACGTGCCGGTTGTCAGATATTTTGATTAGGCGCAAACTCACTTCCACTGACTTCGCTGATTATCAAGATTTGACTTTACCGAACAATAATCCACTTGCGCATGTCCGACATTTAATGCTGTTTTTGTTGCTGCGTCATTCCTAAGAGGGAACTCGTGTCATGGCCATCCTATGAGTTTCACCCACATAAGTAGCTTTGACAGGAACATCTCACACGGAAAAAGTTATGTTCACGTTCGAAGTAACGCGCAGCCATCATCATGATTCTTAATAACGTGTCGCTGAGAAGCTGCACCAGCTATTGACGTATTTAATTAAGTAGAAACCGAGCGACAAAATTACAAAAAATTTGTCCCAAATCTGGAAGCTATTATTGGGTAAAAACGAAGTTGTCATATTTAAAAATCAACAGTCGTGGTGATGTGTTTGCCTTCATGACGTAAAGTTTGTTGAAGAAGACTGATGAAAGCCCTTTCGACTATGGTCTCTAAACAAGACCAGCGAGGGTTCATATCGAATTACTATTCATCGCAATTTTGTATTTAAATTTAGAATACTACTAGTCATTCATAATTTTCACCCAACTCAATTGCCGAGGATAATAATCTCAACTATTCTATAATTTGTCTCCTGGGGTCTGTTGTCACTAATAGAATAGGTTTTGTTTTCGTCGGTAGACATTCATAGCCATTTTCGTGATATGAATAATTTCATCTATTCTGAATAAGCATTAACATAACGTTCGCAAATTTTTCCTGCTCTATGATTAAATTTTTTTAAGTGGGTGTTTTTGAAAGAGCGTTCCCTTCACTGTTAATAACAGCAATTGTTAGTTTCCGGCTCAAATGTCAAAAAGAAAGTGTCCATCTCTCTTACCTCTTTGAGTTCAAAATAAATTGGGAATGAATTAATAATTTCATTAATTAGAAAGGTTAGTAAATTTTCTAATTGCACGTCCCTGAATTGTTCCAATCTGAACGGCCATAAATTTCAATTTTCAGCTCCCACCGAGTCATTTAGAATGTTTTCTTATTAAGCAAACTAAACTGTCAAATGCATTTATTCAGGTGTCCTACTGTTGAATGAAGCGCGTGCTTATGAATAATGAAAATTAGATTCGATTTGTTTGATGTTTCCGTTCAGCATGTTCCAAATCTCATCACTGAGTTCTATTTTTTGTCGTCAACATGAACGGAACCAATCTACGATGTTCCATTTTGGACTTAAACTTGGAACAAACTAGAGATACCTTTATTGCGAGTATTTTTACATGTATTTTTAATGCAGTGTTTTCCCTATTAACATCTTCAGGAAATACAATCATTCTTAATGTCATTTGGAAGACTCCAGAACTTCATTCGCCGTCCTTTATGCTTTTGCTTTGTCTCTCTGCCTCCGATCTATTGGTCGGACTGATTTGTCAGCCGTTGTTCGTGGCTTATCAGATCGCAGAACTTTTGCATAACTTCAGAGCTTATTGCATCCTGAGAATGACTCAAAACATATCTGGTTGGATAACAGTTGGGATGTCTTTGTTCACTTTGAGCGCTGTCTCCATTGATCGACTTCTTGCTTTGACCTTGCATTTACGGTACAGTTCAATTGTGACCGGTTCTCGGGTACTGAAAGTCGCTATCTTTTTGTGGATTGGAAACGTAACTGTTGTCATCTTAAGATTTTGGATAAAAAAATGGATTTTTTTTCCCTTGGTCGCAATACTTCTTTCGTTTCTGGTTACAGCAGTAAGTTCCTTGAAAATTTTTTGGATCGTTCGCAAACACCAGCGTCAGATAAAACAGCAACAGGAGAGTGCCCAACTCTCCACGGTAAACATGCTCAAATGTAGAAAATCTGCTGTAACTGTAGTATGCGTTTATGGTTTATTCCTGCTTTTCTATTTTCCATTTTGTGTGACAATGTTCTTGGAGACACTTTTTGGATACACGTTAAAGGTAAAGATTGCTTATGACTACGCAACAACTATCGTTTTCGTGAACTCCTGTTTGAATCCACTGGTTTACTGTTGGAGAATTAAGGAGATACGCCATGCTGTTAGAAATACACTGAGAAGATCTATAGGAGAGCAATAAAACTAGTTATTACAGGATCATGTGGTTTTATCAACTGAGACGTCAGCTCTCGAATCTCTTTTCAGCGGCCAATTCAAGTTTTTATCGTTGTCGTTATTGGCAGGGATGATGGTTCTCATTAGGTCAGCCCCGACCATTTATACCACGTTTATTATAAAGTGCGACAAGTGTTATCGAAGAGTGTGACAAGTGTTATCAAAGAGTGTGACAAGTGTTATCAAAGAGTGTGACAAGTGTCATCACAAAGTGTCACAAGTGTTATCACAAAGTGCGACAATTTTAAGGTGTTAGCAAATGCTACGATTATATCAAAGTACACCAGAACAGTCTCTCCACAGCAATGGAGTATTTATGTTCCAACAATAAGCCAAATGCACTATGCAGAAGTAAAGAAACAGAGTCGAATATTGACTCAGCGGAATACTTTGAGTTCAATGTCTCTTCATCTTCTTGACCATAAAAGACTGAGGGCTCTTACATTCAAAAATTTTTGCAACGTTGCAAGTGAAACGTCACACAAAAGAGGAAATCCTAAACATGCGCAATACTTTCTTCAGCAACAGAATGTCTTCAGCAACAGAACAAATTTAGAACAGAATTCGAAAGCATGGTAGAAAACAAAAGTAAACAAATGTTTGTCGAACTTTTAAGCCTCCGCGACCATGTGCATTAGTTTATAAATGAATGAGTTGCCAGTAATCGGATCCTTGCGTTTGCGCACAGATTTCTGGGATCGCCTTGGGGCAAACATTGTTACTCGCTAGAAAGGAATGTATGGCGAAAGGTTATTTGGACGTTCAAAAAAGAGATTTTGCCGAGAGATTACGGATTTTTCGCTGCAGTTTTGTCATTAATGGATAAAGATAATGTTGATACGAGGGAAGTACAAGTTTTTGTTCGAATTACCACGAAATATATTATGAAAAATACTGAAAAACTTCTTTCCTTGCGTAAGGTCTATTGTGAATCGTCATTGCGCAATGGTCTCGAAATATTACAAAATTAGCCATAAATCGCCAGGAAATAACTCATTTAAGTCTTTCAGTTGTATTTATATAGGTACAGTCTGTTTTCGCACTTTTTAACGTATTTAATAAACAAATTACGACGTTTGAAAATATAACTCCTCAAAGGAGAGAAGTCGTCGTCAGCGGAGATGGATATTATTTTTATCGAGCTGTTTCTCTTTGAAAGGATAAAATAAGCGATGAAAAATATGAGGACATCCCTAGGTCAAGTAATAGTTTGTGTGAAAAAAACCCGGAAGTCTTTGAGCTGCAACTTTTCTTCTCGAACTCCTTGAAGGATCTTGTCGGGAAAGAAAGATCACGGGAACTTAGGGAGAAACTAATCGGTAGATTTTACTACATATTTCATGGTTTTTCACACAAACTTACACTTCCCTTGTATCAGCATTACCCAAATTCATTTCTAATAAAAGAGCGGTGAAAAAGCGATAATCTCTCTAAACTCTTTTTTTTTTGGACGTCGGAACAACCTTTTGCTATACATTTCCTTCTAGCGAGTTGCAATGTTTGCCCCGTGGGGATCCCAGATTCCTGTGCGCAACACAAAAATCCGATTACTGGCAACTCATACATTGTGACTAAAATGTGACGCCTGAAAATGCGCATGGTCTTGGGCCTAGTCTGTGGGCCTTACTTTTCGAGGCCCCTTACCCATTGAGCTCCCGGGGTACATACATACATACATACATACTTTATTTGTCACGTAGGTCGATAAATGGCAGCTAAAAAGCTGATGTGGACCTACAAAACTAAAGAGTGTCTACAAAATTTAAATAATAACAATAACAAGTAGCGAAATTATGGTAAGTAAGAAAGGATGTAAGACCTAGTAATATAATATACAGATGATTTACAGTAGTAATAAAAAGTAATAAAATAAATAAAAGTAGTAAAATAGCTTTAATATATGTAATTTACAACGTCTTTATTTAGTCCCTGTAAACCATTAAATGTTATTTTATCTAAAATGTCGGATTTTGCTTTGAGAGCAGATTTGAAAGAAACAATGTTCGGTTTGCTCTTCAAGTACACGGGTAAGTTGTTCCATAGAACAGACGCATGGTGAGAAAAAAGAAGATCGACGGAAGTCACTTTTAGGGCGTTGCACGAATAGCTTCAGATTGTCCCTTAGATTTCTCAACGGAGAGTGTTTAGTAAACAAAGAGCTTATAGCAGCCGGAGCTCTATTGTAAAATGCCTGATAGGATATAGTGGCAATCCTCTTTTTATAGAAATATGATAAGGACTTCCATTTTGTCGCTGCCAGAACTTCAGTATTGGGGGTAGATTCCTTTAGGTTAAAAATAAATCTCGCGGCTCCAATGTGAATGTCTTCCAGTGTCTGAAGTGACTTAGAAGATCCCCATAATGCAATAGAATACGCAATACTTGGAATGATACCTTTGAAATAAATTGACTCTAAGAGGCGATTGTCGAGTCCTTTTAGGTGTTTGAGTTTCTTCACTCTTGCCGAAAAACGTTTGCTCAAAGATTTTATATGTGGCGACCAAGAGAGTTTATTATCGATAAGAATCCCTAAACATGTAGCTTTGGAAACAAATGACAACTCATTTTGCCCTAAACAAATTTTCTGTAGGGGTCCGATGAATCTTGATTTTGATAACAACATTAGTTCACTTTTTTTGCGGGATGAATAGTCATGAAGTTATCCTTAGCCCATTTGTTTAAGTCAACGATCGCTTTCTGTATCTTAAATAAAACTTCATCAACAGTATTTCCAATGCAAAAAACAGTAGTATCATCTGCAAACATTTCAACGGAAGCGTTCGTTGTGGCTCCGGGCAGATCATTTGAGTAAATGCTGTAAAGTCTAGGACCAAGTAAAGACCCTTGGGGTACACCCGTATCTATTTCCAACAATTCTGAGTTTGAACCATTTACGGTGACAAATTGTTTACGATTATCAAGATAATTTAAGAGCCAATCGTAAAAAGAGCCACTAATACCTATAGAGTGTAATTTATCCATAAGAACTGTGTGGTTGACGCAATCAAACGCTTTCCGAAAATCAATAAAGACTACGCCAATAATATTGCTTTCATCCAAGGCTAAACGCCATCGTTCTGTAACGGAAAGTAAGAGCAGCTCGGGTGAGCTTCCTTTTCTGAAGCCCCATTGATTTAAGGAGATCAGATTGTTGCTATATAAGAAGTTATCAAGTTGTTGGCTTACAACATTCTCCAATAGCTTGCCCGGAATGCTAAGAAGGGAAATAGGCCTGTAGTTTTCACAGTCGAGAGTTCCCTTCTTGTGAAGACATTTTACCTGTGCCTGTTTCCACTGGCTGGGGAGTTTGCATTCCAAAATACTTTTTGAGCCAGTGGCATAAAGCAATCCAAAAATGCGTCTCCAATAAGGTACAGCTCTTTGCTGGATATGTCATCAGGTCCACTCGCCTTGCCAGGTTTCAAACACCTTAGAGAAGATTTTAAAAGGTCTCTGTTAAGGGCTATGTTATAAAGAGAGGCACTGATTTTTCTTGCGGACTGACAAGGAGAGTTTACTGAAGAATCTTGTGTTGATTTCGAGAGGGATTTTCCAACATTGACAAAAAGGAATTTAAAGTGTTGGCCTTTGATGTATCGTCTGCGTGAATAACTCCGGAACTATCTTTAATCGGTCCGATATTTGTAGCTGTTTGTTTTCCCTCGAAAGATCTTACTGTCTTCCAAAAATCTCGAGCAGAGGTTGTCTCATTAAATTTTGTTAGCCAATAACTTGATTCCGCTAATCTAAGGAGTTTGGTGCATTTATTTCTTGCCTTCTTGTAATCTATCCAGGCTTGTGAGCCCTTCGGTGTTTTCTGTGCTTTAAGGAGTAATTTGTAGCGTTTGTTCAGCTCTTTACGTATGGAAGAGTTCATCCAGGGTAGGCCCCTCTTCTTATCTTTACTCGTCGAGCATGAAGGTGAGATTTCATAATGTCCTTGTATAAATACTCCCAAGCCCAAGTAGCATCGTCCAGATTGTGAAAGACATTGCAGATACTCCATGGGGCTGCAGCAAAGTCCGTTCTTAATGAGTCTAGATCTACTTTTTATAATCGTAGACTGTTTTGAGCGTTGGTTTCTGACGTTTTCTTTTGAGATTTACGATTGCATATATTAAGTGGTGATCTGAGATTCCTAAATCACAAACACCCTGGTGAGAAATTTTTGAGGTGTCAGAGCAAATCACCAAATCAATCAGCGTTGTGGAGGTGTCAGTGATCCTTGTTGCCTTGTTGATGACATTCTTTAGATTAAATCTATTCAAAAGTTGACGGAATTTCCAGGTTGAAGAATCTGTGTCCCTGGATTTAGGCAAAAGATTAAAATTGAAGTCCCCCAATAAAATTATATTCGTTCGTTTCATCCATATGCGATCCAAAGTAGAAGAAAATTTATTTAAAAACGTAGTGTCATCGGGTGGGCGATACATTGAAGCAACTAGAAGTTTCTGAGACGCCACCGTAACGTCAATCCACGCAGCTTCTAGAGAGTTGTTTACATTTATGTCTCGACGCTCATATGCATCTAAGTATTCAGCAAAGTAGATGACCGTGCCACCGCCTTTTCGACCATCGTTTCGATCGCATCGAGCAGTTTTGTATCCAGTAATGGCGATTTCGTCGTCAGTAATATCCTTACCTAGATGGGATTCAGTTATGGCTAAAATGTCAAAATTCATCGAAAGTAAAAGAGCTTTAATTTCCAATAACTTGTTAGGAAGACCATTTACATTGATGTGTGAGATCTTCAAACCTGGTAGT